ATTGTGGAGGAACATTCTCTGGAAAGAAAGCCTACCTTTGTTGCCCCGAAATTACAGTGCTAGGTCATAGATGCACTTATGCCGGTCGCCTACCCTTAGAGAGTATTGCCTCTACGGTATTACGTTGGGGACCGTGCATTAATCTCTCGGACGCTCGTGCTTTTATTGGTACGGTTGGCGTACTACGGATTTTCATCGAAAACTTCGCAACCCGAGCTTTACCTATTACCAAGTTATTCCGCAAGGGCGTAGAGTTCAAGTTCGAGGAAGAAGAAATTGCCGCCCAAGAAAATCTTAAAATTGCCGTGAAGGATAGCCCAGCGTTAAGGCCCCTTAATTATAAATCGACCGGAGCTGTCATACTTGCCGTGGATACAGGGCCTGCCGCTGTCGGCTATTATCTTGCTCAATGCGACCCTGTCGATCCGTCGATCCGGTATTTTGCCAGATTTGGATCAATCACGCTCAATGAACGCGAGTGCGGATATTCTCAAGCAAAGAAAGAGATATTTGGCCTCTATAGAGCGTTAGGAGATTGCAAAATCTATTTAATCGGTCTTCCTACCTTTGTTGTAGAAGTTGACGCCAGTGCCATCAAGGGTATGCTCAAAAACCCTGATATTGCGCCCTCAGCTGCAGTAAACCGTTGGATTATCGGGATCCTCTCATTTCACTTCGTCCTAGTCCACGTACCTGGTACCAAACATGGTCCAGATGGATTATCCCGACGCCCACCCCAACTAGGAGATCCTCCACCGCCCGAAGATGGGATGGAAGACTTCTTACACACTCATTATGGGCTGATGCATTTCATAAATTCGACTTCCCCTACCATTAATCCGCCCACGACATTAGTACAATGCCTATTACAAGATTCTGAAGTCACGGCATTAGAAGAAACTCAGACGTTACCTTATTCAGCAGTACCCCGCACGGCAAAACAAAATCGTCTAGATGAACGGCTTAATCATTTAATACCGTGGTTCATCAGTTTGAAAAGACCGCCTGGCTACGACGATATTGCCTACGAGAAATTCATGAAATATGCTGTTCAATTCTTTGAAAGAGATGGTAGACTTTGGCGTAAAAATCCGCAGGGGAAACACCAGTTCGTAGTATTCCCTCGAAGACGCATGTTTGTGATGACGTCTTGTCACGATGATGTCGCACATAAAGGATTTTATGCGACCCACGCCTTAGCCAAAGAACGCTATTGGTGGCCGGATATGAAGTATGACCTTGCGTGGTTCGTACGGACCTGTCATCTTTGTCAAGTACGGCAAACCCGCCAAATCCTTATTCCCCCAACTGTTGCAATTCCAGCTCCGCTATTTTCAAAGATGTACATGGACACAATGATAATGCCGACCTCCGGACAGTTCAGATATATCGTCCAAGGCCGGTGTTCGCTCAGCCACTATCCAGAGTTCCGCTGTCTTAGAAAGGAAACCGCTCGTACTATAGGAGAATGGATCTTTGAGGATATTTTATGCCGTTGGGGATCCCTAGTCGAGATCGTTACAGACAATGGGAAAGCCTTCGTCGCGGCATTAAACTATCTTCAAAAGAAATATCATATCAACCATATTCGCATTTCCGGATATAATTCCAGAGCCAATGGGATTGCAGAAAGGCCACACTTCGACGTCCGTCAAGGCTTATTTAAGGCCTCTGATGGGGATCAAAAGAAGTGGAGTCAAAATGCCTATTCCGTATTCTGGGCAGATCGCATCACTATCAGGAAGCGCATGGGTTGTTCTCCATATTTTGCTGCCACCGGAACGGAACCCCTTCTCCCCATGGATATTGTCGAGTCAACTTGGCTAATGCCGCCACCTGATAATATCATCAGTACCACTTCTTTAATAGCACGTCGTGCAGTCAGTCTTCAAAAGCGTTCAAAAGATCTCGAACGTTTAAGGTCTAAAGTCTATGAGGCCAGGCGTAATGCTGCCATTAAATTCGAGAGGGATCACGAGCATACTATCCGTGATTTCAACTTCCAAAAAGGAGACTTAGTCTTGATGCGGAATACGCAAATAGAGAAAGCCTTGAATAGGAAAATGCGCGCCCGGTATTTAGGTCCTTTAGTGATCTTAGGACGGAATAAAGGCGGTGCATACCTTCTTTGCGAATTAGACGGCTCAACCTTCGCCAGACCTGTTGCAGCATTTCGGTTAATTCCGTACTTCGCCAGACAGAAGATTGATCTTCCCGATATTGCAACTATTGTCGATATTCCACCTGCACGTATCACCGAGCTCTTTGAATCAAATGACGATGGCACCCTCGATGATCTTCCAGACCTAGAAGAGGATCACAATGAGGCAGAATTAGCTTGAGTCACTCGAAGAATTGGTGTTGAAACCAAAATATTATTTATTTGGGGCCCTTTTGGCCACCCATACACGCTCATTCTAAAATAATGTACAACCGCTGGTTGAACAGCGGTACTACGACACTCCTTCAAAAATAAAAATGCCGCGATGAAAATACGTTGAAAAGAAAAACCCGCCCGCCAAAACTAGTTAGGCCAAGAGCCACGGTTATTGGACCAACCACTGTTCTTGTTGGACCAATTACCTTTACCGTCGTTAGGCCAACTTCCTTCGTCGTTATTGTCCCAACCTTTGCCCCAACCATCGTCGCGTTGCTTACCATGGTTACCCTTCTTCTGACCATTGCGACGCTTCCTGCGACTTTTTCCGCCAGTTGAGGAGGAAGCAACCTTAGAAGCGGTTGAAGCCTCGGCGTACTCAGCCTCGCGTTTGGCCTCGAGCTTGGCTTTGATAAGGCGGTAGTGCATCACGAGCACCTGGCGAGTTTTCAGGAGCAAGAAGAGCTCGCGGGTGTTGGTCTCGAGACGCTGGTAAAAGGCATCGGAGGTAGCCACCAAGGAAGGAATAGACTCCTCGCCGGTAAAGGCAAACTGGGAGAAGTTAGTTCCGACATAGGCTTTAGCGGAATCGACAATTTCGTCAGTGGCCTTGTCCTTGATGGGATCATGAGGGTCAACTGGAAAATCAGGGTATTAGTCAATAGAAACCCTGAAAATCGGAGATAAAACGTACCCGGACCAAAAGGATGGAGCTCGAGGAGATCATCGATAATGGACAAAGTTTGCTCGTCGTCCTGAAAATCCGGCTCGTTGAAAGGAAAGAGCAGGATTTGGCGATCGGGGATACCGCCTTGGCAGTACCGGCCCCAATTCTTAGTGCAACCTGTGCAACGCTCTCCAAGGCCAGCCCAGTAACAGGTCTCGCCAGCCTCACGGCATGGATAGCATGGGCGCACGGCCTATACGGAATATTAGTTCAGTAAATTCTGTCACGGAAATTAAGAAACATACCGTGGTAGTCCTAGCAGGGCAAGCGTGAGCCGGATGATGAGGCGTGCCAGAACAGTAGGCGCAGAAGGCCTCCCCAATCTTCATCTCGTCCTTCTTAAAGGAAGCACGGTAAATATCCGTGATCTTGTTGCCGATATCAATCGCGTCCTGAAGAGTGCCTTCGTTCTCGGCGCGAACCTCCGCGAACGAGGAAGAAGAATGAGCACTGTTCTTCGACGACTAAGATTGCCAGAATCAGTCAATCATCTGGCGATATTGATACCAAGAACATACCGATTCCAAATCCGGAGAAACAATTTCCCCAATGTTAGGAGACGCAGCAAAAGAAGCCGGAAGAGAAGCAATTGCCGTAGAAGCAGTGGTCGCGTTGGAAGACCAAGACGCAGACTCTGCAACCTCCTTGGCAGGCAGAACGGGCGAGATTGGAACAGAAGTCATATGAACGTCCTCGTCAATGAAGGAACGAGGAAGCACAGTCAAACTACCGACGGCGGATTTCTCAGGAGGAGAGTCTTTGCCGGCGACAGAAGGGACGACAATAGGAGAAGAGTCCGGCATAGTAGCAGATGACTCTGCAGCAGCGCTGGACTGACTAGTCTCAACACCAAGCATGATACTCCAGAACGGTTGGAAGTTCAAGAGCGAAATGCCGGCCTGAACAGTATCCTCGAATTCCGTATAAAAACTTTCTTTAACGAGGCGAGGATAATGAGTCAAGAGAGCAGTCTAAGAAATTATCAATATTCCGGAGGCAATATATAATGGAATTATACCCTACCCGAGTCTTTGCTGCATCGTCGAACCAGGCGACACGAACGGAGAACGGGGATTCCTTCGTCAAAGGATTTTTAACGAGCGAGTCCGCACGCTGGACGAGGGAGAGGAGAGTAGGAATTTCTTTGACAAAAGGAGCAGACATTGTTTGCGATGGAGATACTAGGACAAGACACCCACCTTTTATACGACAAAGGGAGGGAGTATCACCTCAGCACGATGATGTTACAATTCCGTCGGACTTGGAATTGAAACTTCGACGAGACACGAGTTGAAGAAAATACCGTGTGCTAGCTCAAAACTGTACTCAGCGGCATTATTTTCACATCGGCGAAGCTTGCGTACTTCGGTATAAATCTTTCAGGCTTTTGCCGTTAAAGATTTAAAAAGTCTAGGGGGGAGAGACATGGTCCCCATGTGTTCCTACGGCAAAAACATTCCTCTCATTTCAACATATTATTTTCGCGCAATCAGTAACGAATTCATGAAAGAAACGACCTCACAATTCACGAAAAACCGCACGAACTCATTATGAAAATCACTCCGGAATTATAAATATCCCACCTATTTGACTATACAACACGGGGATATCACAACTCACGGTAAAAACGCCATCCACCCACCTTACGAGTTCAAAATCCGAAGCACGAATCTTTATCTATGCGATCTACGGCGTTTACATGCCATCTCCATTCACACTCCTTTCATATTTCCATTCCACGGCATTTAGACTTGAGGGATATTTTCAATCAGTCAATCAAAGCGCTTTCGAGGGCTCAACACGTGACCTCCAGTCGCTGAAGAATCCCTCTAAGTTCGAAAATCCGCTAAACTCAACGATAATTCACTCACTTTCACACAAATATACACAAGAAACGACTATTTATTTTGTTTAACGTCCTTGGGACGAGTACATGCAAGCTACGATATAACATTTTGCCCCTAAGGGCGCGCGATATTCAAGTCCATTCAAAATATAATACGGAGTCAAGCTCCCAAGAAATCCCTACGCCAAAGCCACAGACTCGAAACAGAAGAGTGGCAAGACCCTGTACTCCTACGCGCGGGCATAATCAACTTGTGATTAAACCGTAGAAGGGCCAGCCTCGTTCTCTTCAACCTCCTCGATGCCCGACGTTTCACCCCCTTCGACCCCATCCATGACCTTAGCCAGAGCTTCAACACCCCATAACGAATTGACGCAGTCCCAAAGGCCAGACACATGCTCCTGCAAATTTGAGGCCAGGAAGATGTCGCGGATAATGCGAGAGATAGCGTCCATGTGCTGATTGATGAGATTGCGAGCGCCAACAATGGCATCGTATTGCTCTAGAAAAGGGCATCAGCAATGGCAGTTAAAAAGAAAGGAGAAGCTTACCAGCATCCGGACGATACGGGATACGAGGGCGCAGCAATTTCTTGCCGTTGAACGTACAAAGTCCCTTGGTATAAACGCAGCGCGCACAGATGCACCCCGATCGCTGCAGGGCCCGGCAATGCGTCCCAGCTTTCTTGCACTGGTCGCAAGGGTACGAATACTTCAAACAAAGAGTCAGGAGAATAGAGGAGAAAGAAGAAAGAAAAGTACTTACCTCCTCTACAACGAAGGGAGCAATATCTGCAGCCCAAAGTCGTCCGTCAACCTCGACATATTTGCCAAAGTCCTTGGAAAGAACGAGCACCCCCAACGCAGAACGAGGATTGGGCACTTCTTCCATACCCTCTGGAACGCGTTCGCCAAACCCTCCTCCAGAGATTCCTCTAGAAGGATGGGGAGGTTCTCCCTTGCCTCGTCCACGGCCACGATGAGCATCTGGCATTTCTGGGACTAGACAAAGTCAGTTAGCCTCGAAATAGCGGATACTAGGAATAAAAAGAACTCACCTTCGTCTTTCCCGTCGTTGTTCTCAGTCCTCGACTACGGTAATTTTGCGCTTCTTGGAAGCGGGGACTGCGGCCTCCTTGTCCTTGCCCTTAGGAGGACCTGTCTTGGTAATTGGTCGCGGTCGAGGTTTGTTGTCCTTGCTCTTCTTGCGCCCACGAAGTACCCTTGGTGAATCAATAACGATCGTATCATCGTTATCAGGGACCGAGTCCTCGAAGACAGGATTGGGCGCCGGTTTTAAGGTCTTGACAATACGACGAGTTGGAGGAGGCGAGTCGACGTCCATAACCTCGTCTTCAGGAGGCGCCGGCGGAGTTCTGGCCTTAGGGACAGTCGTATCCTGCTCATCGTCGGTGCCAGGAAAGAATAAAGGAGTACGATCGCGTACCTCTTCAATATTCGTTGAAGGAGCTACAGGTTGAGAAGAGTCGGCGGTTGATGACCCCGAGGCCTTGATAGCGGCAAGACTCTGTTCCACAAGTAAAGACTTGGAGGGACGACGCAAAGGCGATTCCGGCGGCAGGTAAAAGTCGAACATTGAAGACGAAGAAGGCTTTGGACTACCAAAAGGAGAACTTAGTTGAGACAACGGAGGAGTCCAGGCAGAAGAACCCCACGTAAAAAGATTGGAAGTCGAAGGAGAGCCAGGACGAACGTCACCAGCAGCAGGCGGACCAGACTGGTCCACGCCTTGGCTTTCAGCTCCATGCGCAGGAAGGGGCGTCTTCTCCTTGAAGAGGTCTTGAGCAGATACCGACTGAGTATCCAACACCGGTGGTACTGGCGAAGCCTTCCTCGAAGCTGAGAGAAGGGGAGAAGTAGACTTGAGCACCGGTGAAACTGGAGTTTTCTCCTTGGAAGGAGAACGACGAGGAGGCGGCTGCCTTGAAGCAGGAGGCACAGGAGTTTTCTCCCTTGGTTGGACAAGCGGCGTCGCGTTGGAATTATCCAGATTGGTAGACGCTCCTTTGGGAGACGGAGGAATCGAGGTCGTTTGCCTTGATTGCGCCGGTACAACTTCCTGCTGAATAATAGAAGTCGACGCGCCAGTATTAGATGGAGGAGCAGGCGTTGATTTGTCTTGAAGACGTTCGCGTCGAGGTGTTTGACTAAGCCCGCGACTAAGAGCCATCGAAGGTGCACGCGATTGACGCGATGCAGCGGAACGGAGGACGAGAGGAACCACCTGGATATCGTATTTGTCCTGCAAGAAAAAGGTCAACCAGATGAAGAGAGAGATGGAGTAGTCAACGCACGAAGAGAACCAACATAGCATTGAACTCTGCTCGTGCTTGAGATACGAGCTTCCGAGGAAAGTCTTGAAGGCACGACAGTGCAGCAAATTCAACCTGCGACCAATCGTCTTCGTCCACATCTTCTACGGCGCTCCAAGTCGTATCACAAATCACCCAGTTGGAGTGGGCGTTGAGCAACCATGCGTCGACCTCAGCGGAATCCCAAGTGTTTGTTGGAGGATTGGCGCCGAGCTCCGTTAACTTTTGAGCAGAGTCGTGATAGCTTGGACCAAAGTCTTGCTCAGTCATGGCGGAAATCAATGTCGATGCACGCTAGCGAACGAAAGCACTGAAAGTTCCTTCAGTAAAACTACAGGCTACCGTCAAAACAAAGAACTTACCTCAAGAGGAGGAAGAGCGTCTTTGTGAGGCTCTAATACAAGGAAACACGCGTCGAAGTCAGCACAGACGATGAGCAAGCGCACAGAGGACGGTACCCACTAGTACGCGGTGGGGAGCGTAAAGAGAAGTTCCACCAACGCGAAATTTCTCTAAGTTCACCTTACCACGCGGCACAGAAGCCATGTGTGCCTTTCACCTTTCACAGTGAAGGTACTATGTGGAACTTAGAAGAAATACGAGACCGAGCCCGTATGGAATACCGCTTCTTCGGGATCTATTTATAGGTCACCGACGCGTCTTTGGCATTACCGTAGCCATTAACAGTCTTATCGCACAGCCACATCTTATCTCTTGACGACAAGCACCCTAAACCCTGACTTCTCATGGGAATATCGATTATATCGCCAGCAACAAATGTTACGGAGTAACATAATAAAAGTCTAGGGGGGATGATGAGCCTCAAGGCTCTGTACGCTCAGAATTCGCGGATTTTAGCATTATAATAAATGCCTTGTCCACTTAGCGGACTTTCACTAAAGTCAACGATTGCAATCACGGCAATACCCACTCTTACCGCCAACTATCCTTCCCAGCTCGTATTCCGTATCAATATGCGCCACTTCATTAATGCCGCCAGGCACCTGATTGCAGATCTCACGGATTTAGGACCATCATTGATCGCCCAGCACAGCCATCGATGACCTCAGCATCAAGCGTCATTTAGAAGAATGCCGCAGTCAAAGTACCAACTCCACGGCAAAAGACCTAATACCGTGACCTTTCCACTCACTTTACTAAGGCTGTTACAACGCCAAGATAATGCCGCACGCATCTACTTCAGTGTACTACCTTCAGTGTACTTTGCCGCAGCAACACAGCAGCCCAAGAGTCCATATGTCGGGGGAATTCTTTCTGATCACTAAGTCTATACGCGGTAAAACCGTGTGGGTGCTGTTACTTTAGAACTCTGGGAGCACGCGTTTTGTATCATTTCTTACCAATCGATGTACTAAGGACTTACTAAGGACTCGTTTCAAGTATTCTAATTTTATTCCGGACTTGTAGTATAAAAGCTAGTATAGTAGGAGTTGCTAGACAGAAGTTACTGGACACTAGCCATCATCCACGTTATCGACCACCGTTATCGCTTGTACTCACTAGGAGATAGACAATAACAACATAGTCACTCCAAGTTATACTCTCTGTCACGGCTTTTCTTCTAACAGTATTGGTGTACGCTCATATTGCGCCAATACACGGAATTCGGTGTCCACAACTCGCTTTTATCTTTTAATCCGCCAGCATCGTTTCACTTTCACCAGCCAGGATCGTTTTCATCAGTTTTCACCTTCTACGTCGCCATCGTTTTACCCAGTTCAGTTCAGGATCGTTACGTCCCCGTGTGGACTCAGATTAGGATCGTTATTGCCGCCAGCAGCATCTGTCACGGAATTTCGGTCAACAGCTTCAGTATAGGATCATCAGTCACGGTATTTGGTATCTTGCCGTCAGTTTCAGTATAGGATAGTCTCCGTGTAGACTCAGGATTAGTATCAGTTTCGTTTTGCCGTCGTTAACCTCAGTATAGTTTCAGTTTTAGTCCAGCCCAGTCCCAGCCATCGTTTTACCGTCACTAGTTCCCCCTCATATCATCGCCAGTTCGTCTTATCTTCGTTTTACCGCCAGTTTCTCGTTTCTCGACTACAGTCTTCGTCTCTTGCTGTCACGGTATTTGTTATCTTGCCAACGGTATTTCTCTTTGACGGCATTTTCTCTAATTCCGTCAACATCGCCCACGGCTTTTACTAGTTAAATTGCCGTCACTTCGTTCACGGTTTGCCGGTATTCCCAGTTATACCGGATTCCGTTCCTTCTCGTCTATCGAGACCCCTTCCGGCTTACAGCCAACGTTTTCTAGTACTCGATCGTTAAGGGTACTACTTCGCTGACTGAAAAGTCGCAGTGTATACTTGCGTTCTTGAGGAATTCATCGCACGGAGGTGCACCGAAACACTCGCACAACAACAAAGCCTTTATTGCCGCTACGCGCCATTTGCCGTGAACTCCTCTAGAGTTTTGGTTTTTGCCGTTGCCACGGAAGTTTAGGCTCATCAACGCCAAAGGCATAGGAGGGGATTTCCGCCGTCCTACGCAGCCAGCGATGGACAATGAACCCCTAGAGGCTGGTCCACCTCAGACACCCCCGCTTGACCGAACGGGGAAAGAACTGGAGAACCCAGTCAGCGCCTCAGGTCAAGACAAGATGGACGCCAGACGTGGTGGTCGTCGCCCCGGCAGGGAGAATCGGCCGACGACTCCGACGGTAGGGCCTTCCGACCAAAATGTAGGATCGGTTGTTCCTGCTGCCAGTGGCAGAAAAGCAGCTGAGGCCGGGACTCCAGGGGACCACCTTCATTTAGTCGTGGCCTCATCCGCAAACGATGCCGACCCCCTGGACGAGCCAATATGTGTGCGTTTGCCTAGGGTTTCCGAGAGTACCGCCGGCGTTAGGAATGAGGATAAGTACCGGATCACAGTAGAGGTTACAACGCCAAGCACAAGCGCCCTTGGCCAGGGCCGAACACAGGGCAGCGAGCCCTCCTCTACCAACTCGACAGAAGGTGACCAAATGCCGCCGAGGGGCCTTTCCGACTGGCCCGGTGACCAACTGCCACCTCGAGGCAAGAAACCCCAAGTCTCGCTGGAAGAAGTAGAAGATGAAGAAGCCCACTTACGGTCCGACATTCCAATCACTACACCAAAGGGGAAGTCTCGTGTGACCCCCAAACCCGAACTCATGCCCGAAGTCAGGAAGGCCGTCATCGACACCTACTATGAACCCTTCGGGGCGCACTGGACCTGTAGAGCGCTACGACTGGCAAAGGATGAATCCACCGCCGCTGCTACCCTCAAACGGTGGGTACATCCCCATCGGACAGCGGAGGTAACCATGGAGTTATGGGAAGCGCTGAAAGAACAGCCGGAGACGGCCAGTGAGGCCAGGGATAGGTGGGAGTGGATGGAGGACCTGAAGAGGCCACCAATGTACATACGAGGTAGAAAGGGGCGCAATGTATCCATTAACGTCCAATTAGAAACGTTGGATACCCAAGAAACGCATGCGGTGAAAGCGCTAGTAGATAGCGGCGCCACTGGCAGCTCGATAGACCGGACCTGGGCCCGCGACCATGCCCTTAACCTCAGACCCGTGGCCCGCGTGGTTCCAGTCTATAATGCCGACGGCACCCGGAACAAAGGAGGGGATATCACCGAGTATGCCGAGGTACGGCTACGAATCGGGGACCACGTGGAGCGGATCGAACTCGCCGTGGTAGACTTAGGCAACACTCCGTTATTCCTAGGACATGACTGGTTACAAAGACATAACCCGCTTATTGATTGGGATACCGGATCGGTTACCTTGGCCCGATGCGCGTGCCGAAAAATCCCCTTCTCTCTTCCCGATACCGACCCCACTTCGCGATGGGATGAGTATGAGGAGGGAGACACCATCTTAGTCATAGACTTCGAGGAAGCCTTTCATGTACGGGCTATGGGGACCAAGGCCAACGAGCTGGCAGCCCGGGCCAACGCCAACAAAGAAATCAAGTCCTTCGAGGAAATCGTGCCGGAAGAGTATCGGGAGTTCAAAGACGTCTTCGATAAGGAGAACTTTGATGAATTACCACCGAGAAAACCTTGGGATCACGCCATCGAACTAATTCCCAATGCTAATGCCAACTTGGACTGCAAGGTCTACCCTCTTAACCCGACCGAGCAAGAAGAACTGGACAAATTCCTGGACGAGAATCTATCCACGGGTCGCATCCAAGCTTCCAAATCCCCCATGGCGTCCCCCTTCTTCTTCGTTAAAAAGAAGGATGGAAAACTCCGCCCGGTACAGGACTATCGGAAGCTTAACAAGCTGACCATTAAAAACCGATACCCGTTGCCACTCATCGGAGAGCTCATGGACAGGTTGAAGAAAGCACGGTACTTCACCAAGCTGGACATGCGATGGGGGTATAACAACGTCCGAATTAAACAGGGAGATGAGTGGAAGGCCGCATTCCGAACTAATCGCGGCCTCTACGAACCCCTGGTGATGTTCTTTGGACTTACCAATTCCCCTGCCACTTTCCAGTGGATGATGAACGACATCTTCAAGGACCTTATTGTGGCCAGAGAGGTATCAGTATATTTGGACGACATACTCATCGCATCCAAAACTAAGGCGGACCACCGACGCATAGTACGCCAGGTGTTAAAGATACTTCGGGACAATAAATTGTTCCTAAAGGCCGAGAAATGCGAATTCGAGGTGGAAGAAACCGAATACTTAGGAGTAATCATCAGTGAAGGAAAAATCCGCATGGATCCCGTAAAAATTGCCGGCCTACTAGACTGGCCAACCCCATCCAAAAAGCAAGAACTACAGTCGTTCTTGGGCTTCTGCAATTTTTACCGATGATTCATCCGTGACTATAGCAAGCACATCAAACCCTTGACCTCATTGACAGGGAAGGTGGAATGGAGGTGGGGGGAGGCCCAACAACAAGCATTTGAGAAGCTGAAGGAACTGTTCCGTGAGGATGTAGTGTTGGCCATCCCACTTGACAAGGGAAAATTCCGGGTAGAAGCGGACTCTAGCGAAGGGGCGGTCGGGGCGGTGCTATCTCAGTGGCAAGATGAAAAGTGGCGACCAGTGGCTTTCCTTTCAAAAGCCCTCGCCACCACTGAACGCAATTACGAAATCTATGACAAGGAACTCCTAGCCATTATGATCGCCTTGGAAGAATGGCGACAATACCTCATGGGGGCCCGCGAAGATTTTGAGATCTGGACGGACCACTCCAACCTCCAGTATTTCCGTAAACCCCAGAAATTAAACCAAAGACAAGCTCGATGGGTAACCGAACTGGTGGAGTACCAGTTCACTCTTCACCACAAGCCGGGGGCGCAAAACCGCAAAGCAGATTTGTTGTCAAGGCGGGCAGACCATGACCAGGGAAAAGGAGATAATAAAGACATAGTCGTTCTCAAGGCCGAACATTTCTGGGCCTTGACCATGCCCATGACAGAGGAACTCCATGAGAAGATCAAACTAGCCACTCATAGCCCGCGCAAGTGGGACCGTGGCATTTCCGATTCCCTTAATCATGAAAAGGGGATCTCCCACGACCAAGGACTACTCTGGTATGATGGGCGCATCTACGTACCCCTAGATCGACAACTACGGGGAGAGATCATAGCCCTACGGCATGACCATGTAACCACAGGGCACCCGGGCATCGACAAGACCACTGAACTTGTCTTACGGGATTACTGGTGGCCCCAGATGCGCAGAGAAGTGGAAGCTTACATGAGGGGATGTGAGGTGTGTCAACGAACTAAAGCCGATCGTCGACCCAAAAAGGCACCTCTCCACCCTAATGAGGTACCCAACCGCCCTTGGACCCATATCTCCATCGACATGATCACGAAACTTCCCGATTCAAAGGGGTTCAATTCCATTCTGGTCATAGTCGATCGATTCTCAAAGACCATTATCCCCATTCCCTGTACTGAAGAACTCACCTCGCTTGGGTTCGCCAAAATCCTCAGGGATCACATCTACGTCCCATACGGAGTGATGCCGGAAAAAGTCATTTCGGACCGAGGGGCCATCTTCGTGTCCAAATTCATGCGGGAATTTTACGCTTTAATTCACGTCAAAGGAAATCCCTCCACCGCCTATCACCCTCAAACTGATGGCCAGACGGAACAGGTTAACCAGGAGATCGAGAAGTACCTGAAGATGTTCGTGAACTACCGACAGGATGACTGGAGCGAATGGTTGCCATTGGCCGCCTTCACACATAATAACCGAAAACATTCGGCCATGGGCTTCTCGCCCTATAAAGTAGTCTTTGGACGGGACGGACAGGTTATCAAAACAGCGCAACGCCCTGATTCCGTCCCCGCCGCCTCGAAACTAGTACAAGGCATCCAGGAGGTACAAGAGAGAGCTAAGGAGTCCCTAGAACGAGCGGCCGAATCCATGAAGAAGGCCTACGATAAGCGTAAAGGCAATGCCGTCGACTATCGAGTAGGTGATAAGGTATGGCTAGATTCTACCAACTTGAATCTTCCCCGCCCTACCAGAAAACTCGGCGACCGACGCGTAGGCCCTTTCACTGTTGTGGCAAAAAAGGGCGCCTCCGCTTATGAGCTCAAGCTTCTGGCGGGTTGGAAGATTCATAACCAGTTCAACGAATCCCTCCTCACTCCCTACCATGCTCCCAAATTCCCAAATCAACCGTATCCCGAAAGGCCACCCCCAGAGCTTATCGACGACGAGGAAGAATACGAGATTGAAGAAATTGTAGATGAGAGAGATAAAGTCGTCGGGCGGGGGCGAACCCGCCGAACCATAACCGAATACTTGGTCAAGTGGAAAGGATACCCTGCAGAAGAAAACTCTTGGGTAAAACGCTCAAATATGGCCAACGCGGAGGAGCTTGTCAATGACTATGAGGCACGCATCCAGAAGGTCGTCTGGATGGTAAACGAAAAGGGAAAAACAGTTGGAAGGGACGATAAGATACCTCGCGACCTTCCAATTGAATATCACGACCCCGATACTCCCTGCATCACCGATGTTGAAACGGTGTACTCATCTCAATGCTCCAATCCGAGGCACTCAGATACCCAACAAGACTCTTACCCCCCTTCCGAAATCATCGATAACCTTAGCGTTCCAGATTCACCGGAAGTCGGTTATAAACTCGACGAATGGCTCAATATCCTAGCAAAGGCAAAGGGAGGCGATTCTCGTCCATGCGAACACCACCAACAAATGGAGAACAGCACCAGCAACCTCCATTTCTTGAAACAAAAAGAGGATATCGCGGATGACGAAGAGCAGGAGTTAAACATTCAAAACCTCGAACGCATTCACGAGGACTGGGCCTCAGACGACAACGACGATGATGACATACTATCTTTCTATTCAGAATCGAGGCATTCCTCTTCAGACAGTGGAGAGGGGGATACATGCTCATTCGGGACGAATGAGTCTTAAGGAGGGGGTAATGTTACGATTTATTCGTTTTTCTTCGTTTTACTCAGCTTGATTACCTATATGCGATCACCACGGACATTTTCTCACAGTACTATTTTTAGTTTACTCAACGTGTATTTAAGGAGAGCCTCAGCTGGCTTAAACCCCAGCTTCGGCTAAGGTTTAATCTACCTAACATCAAACTCCGTTCTTCGTGACTATTTGTCCCATCGACTTTCATCGCCTTTGACTTGCTAGAGTATCGTCTACCGAAGTGCGAGTAGCGATCCTAGCACGATCTAAGTCGGTTAGAGTTAGTGGCTAACATGAATCTATGCCGACGAGTAATGCACAACATCCTGGGGTGGATGTGTAGTGGAAAGCACTTAATTGAAAGTCCCATTGATGGCGCAAACATTAATGCTGTGCCAGTTTGCTCAAATCGATGAGCCCAACTTGATCAACGTTCTTGAGTTTTGAACTCTAAGAACTAAGTGCAATGCTTCAACATGATGAAAGTGTCTGCCAATACACTCCACTGAGTAACGGTCACCGACACAGCTTCACTGCAGGGGAATATAACCCACCTTGGCAAGATGAAAAGCAGTACTGGTGGAGAAGCACGCAATGTAATCGCACCTGGAAGGAACGATAACATTACCCACATGGCCTCGACCAGGTCAGATAGTAGTAAATCTTAAATGTGTTTTGCCATGGATACTAGACAGATATCACTGGCAGGTTATGCGTTTAATGTGGTGGGTCAGCTGAACAGCTGGAAAGCAGCAAGGTCTACCTAAGACCACAAACGGATAAGTGAATAAGCTAATCGAAGGAACATACACCTAGGTACCTTAGCTTGTAGTAGCGCCCAAGAGTGCGGTTGGTCAGCGCTCATTACCAGCCATGGTGGTGGTTGATGGTCGTTGCGTCAATAAATACTGTGACCCTCGATCGGTCCTCGTTCCAATTTGAATATGTATCCTTGCGTCCAATTCTAATTTCTCGAATCTCACCTTGACTGAAAAAAAAAAACTGGACAGATTATGACAAGCCTGTACGTCGGCTGTCCTACACAAGTTCAATCCTAGTTGATTTCTTTTATGTTTGATTTGGCGAACTGTTTAAATACATGGCTAGTCACGTACGGTTACAAAGTTAGTTCTGTTACAATTACTTCTTTTTCAAAACAAGACGATGGGCACACGTTCCACCGCGCCTATAGCCTCTCATCAGCTGGATAATGTTTAATGAAAGTAGCCCCAAAACTACTTACCTGCGACATCTATAGATTGTCTCCTGGTCAATCAAACCCGGGGGCAAGGGGGTCCTAATACCAAATTAAAAGACAGTGGGTCAATTAAATAATTTTGTGCACCAGCGTCGGACCTACCTACCTCCACGTGATATATATGACATCATGTACTATTTTTGGTATCCGGTCCGTTTTCCGACTATGAGAAAGGCGACGTGTCACCATCAACAACGAAGCAGTTGCTTTGTCTCGCACTCTCACCACTCATGTTTGACTGTTGCACTCAAGATTACATCTCTTCAGGTGATTATCATTATCCTTTCAGTGAGAATTATCCATGCTAACATGATTATACCGATTTGACCTCAATAGTTGATTGATAGTTGACTATTTGAATACTACCCCATACATGTGGCGTCATCATCATTGGGGGCCCCGCATATGTCAGTGTTTCCCCCTTTTTTTGCTACACGCATTGCAGCGCCATCCTACAGGGACGTAGTCAACACGAAGACATTCAAGATGGAACTAGGACCTCAAAGGTAAATCTCATTTCCGTACTGTGGAGGTGAGAGCATGTACTTACCCAGATTGTTTCACAGCCTCTACTCGAGCAGGACACCGCATCTGACCTCAGATGTTCTTCGACTGCGGTTCCACAGTAGCACTGCCTCAAGTCTTCGACGTTGATAATTCTTCGTTTCGCTCTTCCTGATTGACGGAGGATTAGGCCATCACTTATCGTGTTAGCATTGCTGTCTTTTGCTGTCGCTGGAGGGGTAAATTCGGGAGAAAGACATGACAGGTGAACTGCTACCATACCTGAGACGTCGGTACCAGAATTCGGAGCTACAGTGAGTTCCATCAATTGCATATCTTCACCATCTAATCCGCTGGCAGGAAGTCCTGCTCCATCCCTGACCTGTCGCTCCTGGAGGGGGGAAATACCTTCTATCTCGTCCTCCGATGCTACTTCGATACTAGGCTCTTTCATACTGATCCCGGTCTGATCTTTGTTGATGCCAGACGCATCCTCCATATCGGAGACCTCTCCACTGTTCTTGGGTATTCCTTCAATGTTTAGTGCATCCATGTCGAGATTCGTCTCTTCATTGTTATTGTCAGCATCATCGTCTTGCATGCTGCGGATGTCATCAGCTTCGGTGTCTTCACTGTCTTCACCGTCACTGTCTGTTTCGTTTGTCCGTATCTCATTCTCATCACCTACCAGATCGGTTGTCCTAGATGTTACAGTCAATACACTGATTTCATTGTGATAATTTGGTGGTGTGTCTACCTTCGTGCAAGTCGACTGCTATGTGCCTCTGAAATGATGAGGGGACCGAGCACATCCTTCTTGCGCTTATTCTTCCCCCGTGGCATTGGTACTTTCTTACGCTCATCCCATACCTTGTCCATAGCAGCTTTCTCAGCGCTGGATATCTCCCAAAGATGCTTCCATTGATTCAAGTCTGCAGCTGGGTGCTGGTTCAAGAAGTGATATCGCGCCATGTATTTCCAGATAGCTGGATGATTGGGGGGACATAATGGACAACGAAGTGGGACGTTCGAGCACGGTGCAGTTTTCGTGGATGCCACTGCTATGCCATACTTGAACGTTACTCCTATATTGGGGCATCCACGGGATGACGAGTAGTCAATCTTTGTCTGACCCTGGGCGCCCTTTCCTTTTGTCAGGTAAAATTGGCATAATGAAGATGGCGCTAAACAAAGCCCACAAGGTTCCGTAGCTGGAGAAACGGAACTCTTCAGTATGTGTGCACCCATGTGAGCAAGGAAGTGATGGGCCCTGCTCGGATCCAACGGTACGGATGGAACACACGATGAGCATACCATATCCATAGCAAGATCCAAATGTTGAGGCTGATCCTCTATCTCACAGACAAAACATGCTTTTCCTGGAGAGGTCATGGTAAGCAATTGTAGAACTACGTTGCAAGCCTTGCATACCTGAACGTTGATAGGGAAAGTGTCGGCTCTGAGTCGTTGAAGGAATCAGCTTGGAGTCACCTGGCTGGATCTGACTCAGTAGGCTATCACCAAGAGCAAGGATAACAGTGCTCTCAAAGAGGTAGAATGGTCTTGTCTTTCTCGTTGAAACAGATGGATTGACGGGCTGAGAAAATCGACCAGGTACCTTCAAGCAGACCGGTTGAAGGTGGCTATTTGTTCACCAGTCGTTTTGACCACTAGGGTCATCGTCTTCTGTTGTCGGTATCAATTCCATAAGCTGGAATGTTACGGAAACAGTATCCTCAATATGGATGTTGATTACCTCTCCAATGCCAAGGAATAGCATGTGTTCGCATCGAATCAGTGTTGCTATAGGCTCATTCAGCATGAGACACGGTCATCCAAAAGTGGAATCATAATCGACAATTCCGTTATCTTGAAAGGGCATGTCAAAACGGCCTAACTCTTGCACACGTTTAAGGCGATCCGTAGATGCAGGCTGTTTGCAGTACTTCGAGCGTATGCCTAGAGCACGAGCCTTGTTCATTTTGATCCCGTCGAGCATAACTTCCTTGTCAAAGTGCGAGGTCGAATGGGCTTCATCGCTACTCCTGCCCTCCGCTGCAAGGGCATCCTCTAGCTCGCGAGAACATGGTGTTGTGAGAATCGAAGGTGAAGGATTATTGGCAATGGATGGGCCATCAGGCTCTTCCTCAGGCTCAGGCTCGTCATCATCGTCGTCACGAGGTTGATTCAAAATGAGCTCCCCAAACGGGCATAGGATGTCAACGTTGGTGAGGCCATCTAGCGACAGGATCAGAGATTGGATTTCCGGTGTTTCCTGGACAGCCTTAGCCCTGCTGATTCGCCAGCAAGTTTGAAGAGACACCCGTCGTAGTGACACATCTCCTTGCCATGAAGACGGAGTGAGATGATCCTCATTAAGGGGTACTGGAGACAAATTCCGAGCAAGAGCTGGGAGACGTAGACGACGGGGTCCTCGGTCCCATTGAGGATACTTTGCCAGGATGTTGGCCACCTCTGTGGTTCCTGTGAGCCATGTGCTCAGCTGTAGCATGTCGACGTTGGCATCATTTCCAACCATCATACGAAGAATCCTGAATAATTTTTCGAGCCCGTCGGTGCCTAAAAGGATCAGATAGAAAAGCCCATCTGGGTTATCGACCTTGCCCTTGGCTGCGCAGAGGTATGCATTCTTTATCATGATCATGATATCGGATTGAGGTGAGGTGCCGGTCACGCAAGTTTACAAGGCCTGCTGGACCTAGACCGATGTGCTGTCGGCATCTTGGACACACAACATGATCCTCGTTGATGAATTCTATTGGTGATGTCAGATCTTTTATGTTATGTGTTCGAAGCTAATTGATAATTCAGCATCTTGAGACATAAACCGAGCCTAAATACCAAGAACCATACCTGTGGAAAGGCCATAGCAGACAGAATTGAGTGCACACAACAGGGATTATTAATGAAAATGGGTTTATCCACCTCTTTGCACGTGTAATAACGTTCATTTAAAATTTTACGGGTTACAGGGGTTATAAACTCATATTGCGGCCTAATCGACATCCATCTGGTACGTTCTGGCAACACTTGTATTACCTTTGTTGTCTTCACCAATTTGCGTATCGAAACATTGAACCAAATCCTGCTGTGCATCATTTTTAGGGATGGTATCGAATGCTCTTTCTGGTGTGGTAGCTTTGTTGGCCCTGGCGCAAATGTGGTCAAGGAGATAGGCTGATTTTGGAAGCAGTGGTGCCTGCCACAGCAGAATAACAGTAGATAGCACGTGCTACATGACAATATTGATTCTTTCCGCTGCTGTAGAGTGTATCTCTTTGCTTAAGTTGGTTTTGGAACATTAGAACAGATTTTATGTGTATTTTGGTTGATTTCAGCACATATTTAGGCAAATATAACTAGGGTCAACTTTTTTTTTTTGTGACATCCAGCTGGACCTACCTACCTACCTGGTGTGCCAGGCTGGAATTCCGGTACCCCCTTGCCCAGGGGGTACCAAGGAAATACCCTGTCCCTGTTCTCTCCAATGACATTAGGCGTTTGACCTGTGCCATCCATAGCAGTGCTGATGGTCAAACAGAGGTCACAGTAGGACTGGTCATGCGGACCCGCCTTGAGTGTGCTGAGCAGAGCCTCGGTGAAAATTCCACGAACTGTACCATCATCCTTCTTGACCTCTCTTGCAAGCTGGTAATCCTTGCATGCAGCGAGCAAAGTGTGAGATGCTTTGGGAGACCAGTTCCCCTCCAGCACCGAAACTGTCTCATGCAAATAACAACCTTTCAATTTCAAGTCATTGTCACCAGCTCGAAGCATTAGCTCCAATCCTGAAAGGAGTGACAGAGGTAATTTCCGAGTGGTACCACATGGGAGAGTGTCTGATATGCCGTGAGTGACACCACCTCCATAGCAGCAGTCGGTGATAACTGTGATGTTTTCACCCTTTTTAACACGAATTAGATAAAGAATTGTATTGAGCTCCCTGTCACTGATATCGGGAATAGGACCATTCGCATCGACTGAGTAGCGGTCTGCAGGACAGATAGCTTCGACGGCTCCCAGATGGGCAACACCACCTGGCCACTTCAGAAAGTAGTCAGAGCACTGGTAAGAGGTGCCGTGGCCACTGAAGTAGATGATGATGTTGTCATCTTTTTGAATGAGAGGGTTCTTGTGGATGTCATGCAGCGATTCGATGATGGAGGCGTGAGACGGCCAGCACGTGCCAGGTAATGGGCTACTACTAGGAGCAAGTAGGAGCCGGAGGTGGGATTTGGGAATGCCTAGACTATGGACGAGATATTGGTAGACAGCCTGGGCATCAGAGATGCATCCACACAATGGAGATGCTTGATACGCGTCGATGCCTATGATAACGCCCCAGCACTGATCTGGTTTTAGCATAGGCAAGGGCTAAGGAAAGGGAGCACAACACACATCAGTACTTGGATGAGAAACCAAAATACATCGACAGACCTCAGGATCTGTTGGCTCGGGAGGCTGTTCACTGTCATTTGGAAGTTTTGGTGCGGGAAGTTCTTGAAGGTGTTCTAGACAGCACTGAAATTCGAGCAAGTCATCAAGAATCTTGGCATCCCACACGATCTCATCATGAGGGTATTGGGAATCCGCTGAATTCCACGCCATGTCCTTAACTGTCTGGAGAATGACAGCCGAATCGACATTTCCTGGTATTCGGTACTTCTTCACAATCTTTGCCTCTAGCGCCTCATAAGACACAATTTGTTCCTTAACATTCTCTATTTCGGTCATAGGAACAGCATGATCATGAACCTCCTGGGCCGTTAGTGAATTTGCTAGGCAGTGAAGGAGAAGGACTCACTGGAGTGAAGACATTGTGGGGGTGCGGCATCCCTGGTGGGTTGGTATCCCAATGAAAGTGGACTACTCAGCAGAGATATTAGGCAAAGTATCGGATGAGGAAACCCCAAATGAAAGGGAGACTGGTATGCAAGGAAAAAGAGGTGGAGGGGGCATTTTAAAGCTCCTGCATGAGAAGAGTATTCTGGGATAAGAACACCAACAAGCACGGAGTCAATGAGGGATAGCGACTGTCAATGTAATCAAATTAATTCGGACAATGGCAAAGAGACATGCTGAACATCAATACATGAACAGCGATACATGAACAGCGATACATGAACAGGGCTTGAGCTGTATACAAAGAAGCGCCACATGGTACTAAATGATCTGATGCTTAATGCTACCGGGCATGACCTCTGTGACGAAACATCCAGTAGATTGACCCTGCATCTAACGCCGAATTTTGTGACCATCAGATCTGGCATCTTACATATAATTTTCAGCGCTCGCATATTTTATTCACTGATTGATTGGATATAGTATCTGACAACCTGCCGAGCAACAATATAGAGTCAGGGTTAACTCAAAAGGTGATCCCGTTGACACGCGTGCAACGCGTTCACACATGTAATTTTGCAAATTCTAGGAATGCAAACATGTGTGTGCCCCGTGAATAATATTAGAGTGCATGTAAGGCATAGAGCGCTACACACTGAGGCAGAAAGCACTATAATAAAAATAATATGAGTAGAGCGCATGGCTTAGACTTAGAATGGCACACTTGTGTCATTTAAGTGTGCAGTCTCAGTGCTTATACACACACACTGTGCCCTCCTCTGCAGTGTATCACTCAATTAAATTCACTGAAGATAATATATTGAAGGTGCTTCGCGCTACATTGATCTATGATGCGCGAACCCTGCCGATCTGGCAATCACCGAGAAACGTCATCCTGAACAAAGAATCAACAAGTCCGAATACTCTAAGGAGTTCTCGGCCGGAGAGAAATAAAACCCGCTGCCCATATGAAATATTAAACTAGAAATGGTTGCGCAGCAACCAATAAAATAAAACTCGCTCACTAGATAAGTTGCGTGGCACTGTAATTAAATCCGTGGAGCCAATAAGAAGACACACACCGCATGGCACGACAAGGCTAGGCCTTGCCAAGTGGAGAAAACAGCGGTAGCACACGTGCCGACACGGAGTGCTGAGTAAAATAATGATTACTATCACTACGGCTGATGTGGCACGCAAGGGAAGGGAGTCCGAGGTGGAGCATTGTCTATTTTCAGTATTTACATTTCATATAGTTAACGGTAAATATAAGAGCGGTAGTTACAGGTAGTTAGCAAGTTTTCAGACCCCTGCAGTTGTACTACGAAGCAGCGCGCTTAGTGTACGACGAAAGGATTTTATTTGAAGCTTCGAGCGAGAGAGTATTATTGAACTTAGAATTATTTTGAACACTTTGAGAGCTCGCGAGGCATGCCTTGCTCGAGCGCGCTTGATTTGTTCAAGTAAAGTACAGTAATTGATTGCGCTCTACTTAGAGAATATTGTATTGTGATAACTTGAATGTGCATTTGTGTTTTTGGAACTTGTTTGTGAATTCCGAGTTATTGCAAGTGGCAGAGGTTCGAACCCTTTGGCTTGTCAGTAATCTCTGAGGTTTTTTTGGTTTATTCCCAAGTGGCATAGGTTCAAACCCTGTGGCTTGTGGACGTGTTTTCTGTGTTTGTGTATCTCTGGATCGCATAGGTTAGAACTCTGTGGATCTACGAACGGGTTTTGAAGTGTTCTCTGCTTGGAGCGCAAGGCTTTAAGTCGTGTTAAGTGTATTGTGAAACATTGTAGACACTTGTGTGTTGCGCACGACGTATTTTGAGGGTTATACATTCTTGTAGAACATTTGGGGGCTTGCGAAATAATACTTTTGCCTTGAGGCCGAGCGATTCTGTCGCTCACCTCCTGTTCCAAAAGCATTTGGACTTAGAAGATTATTATATTGCTAAGCGTGCTATATTATATTGTAACGTGCAAGGATTATTTCAATACTACTGCTATTGTGTGCTTGTATCGCACATCACCCCCGAACTACTGAGGGTTTGTGTGTGTGTGAGTGTGAGTGTGGGTGTGTTAGTGTTATATACGCTAGTGCATTTCTAGCTTGGCGTGCACAGAGCCTCTTCACCATACCACAACTGCACCACGAAAGATGACAAAGATTCTCCATGAGGAAGAACGAAGAAAACGTAGGGCAGCTGGTTTGGCATGGTTATGTAATGCTGGAGTTGATGGTGGAACTTCAAAATCGGCCCACTGGATGGATGGAGTTTTTATTCTGATCACTGTCCCTAAGAAGGAAACTAACCAGAGTCCATACTACGCATGCATTACCTACCTAATCCACTACGCTACGGTACCGAATGAACGTTAGGCCTCACTGATACAGTCACGTCCCCGCAAGGTACGGCCTCTCAGCACCAGCGTCAACGCCGTGAGATCTGCTATAGATAAGTATGATGATTATGATGTCACACTGCTCATGCCTGGGTGTATCACACTTCCTCGGTTTGTGCTCTACTTGTTCCAGTAGTACTTCCTACCCCTACCAACCCAGCCTCAGCAGTAGGTTGGAATCGTTCCTCTAAGTCAACAATTTACGGTGCAGAGAAGTATGTCCAAGTTCAAGAGCATGAACCTTGATAGTGATGTTAGTGACTTCCGATGCCACTTTCACCATGTTATAAGTTATGATCAAAATGGTCAGAGAAAATGTCATCCTGGTAGGAGGTAACATGAACTCCGAGATATTTATGCTGGTTCATTCATTCTAGTATCTGGCCAAGGAGTGGCAGGAGACTCAGCAGCTTCCTGAAACACATACATTTGGTCTGTAGACTTCAGGATATTCATTGCGAAACTGTTACGTGAGGTCTACAGCCCAAAAGTGTCAAGATAAACTTGCAGTCCACATAGGATGGTCTCTCCCATCAACGTTAGTGCTTGGCAGAACAAGATTACCACGAGATTTGCGGGTGGTCTGAAAACAAACCTTGCACGAGTCATTGCGTCAAGATGATGACTAAAGCAACAGCCCAACAACCCAAAGAACTGTACAGTTCCCCCTATCCATGAACCTTAAGTAATGAATCATCAGACGGAAGGACTACAGAGCAGAAGAAAAACAGAAAGGATGTTATCTCCTGTTAAAAAGTACATGATGTATCCCCAGTCGTAGCCTCAGCCTTCTCGTCTGGCATAATATCCAAACAGCCGTCCCATGAGTATCGCAAGTCAAGAAAATTAACTCAGCGACAGTCAATTGAACCTGAGCACCGCACAACCACTTGGAGTGACCCAGCACACAAGCTTGGAGTCGCCCAGTTGAGGGGAGGGGACCTACTCAGCACACAAGCTTGAGTAAGGTCACCTCTTGGAGCCCTATAGATGGGGTGAAGTATACCACCCACAGTCCTGGTGTCTCATCCCAGTGCTCATAGAGCAGCTAGAGATACCAAAATGCAGGAAGACAGTGTTCTGAGGGTGTTCAAGGTCTGGAGAGCATGGAGACATGAAGGGTCGGCATAAAATGAGGACCTGAGCCAAGGCCGTCCATCTGGCTAGTTATTTTGACATGCTCACCCCTTGGTCATTGGCACCTGGGGTAGAGGCCTCAGAGGACCATGAACACTTCCAGGTACGAACTCCTGGCGAGGATCTAGTCCACAGCCGCCAAAGTGTCGAATTGTGCATCATCCGGGTAATCTGCTAGCCATCCATCAAAGCAAACGCTCTCAGGGCTATATGCAACGTCTTGCAGCACACAAAGAGGCTTTTCAGATGTGGCGAGGCGAGAATTTGGACCCAGACGGAAACGACATGATGGGGATAAGAGAGATAGTCGGACGTCCTGAATCGAGTTCTGCCCCGACTTCTCTTCTCCCCTGAGCATATATCAAGCTTCCGACGCAAATACTATTGGGCCCTATTTTGGTACTTTTGAGCATCAGTTTCCTATCTAATATCTATCTTATGAGCCCCAGTCCTGATCCTACATACTTTACAACAAAACTTAGGGGTTCCTTATTGGGACCGCATACCGGTTTTCTAAACTCCAAACTTAAAGTGATAACAAGATCGTGTCATGTGGCTCATGCTTGTGGGTCGGTCTGAGAACTTACGATGGCAAAGTTAGTACTGTTACAGTTAAAAAAATTTTGAAGCAAAACGATGGACAGTGGACACACGTCCCACCGCACCTATAGCATCTTACCAGCTGGATAATGTCTAACAAAATTAGCTACCAAAGCTACTTACCTTCAACGTCTATAGATCTTAACGTGGTCAATAAAATCCAAGGATACCAAGGAAATACCTTTTGTTCCTGTTCTCTCCAATGGCACTAGGCGTTTGATCTGTGGCGTCCATGGCGGCCTGATGGTCAAACAGAGGTCACAGTAGGACTGGTTATGTGGTCGCGCCTTGAGTGTGCTGATCAGAGCTTCGGTGAAAATTCCATGAACCATACCATCGTCCTTCTCGACCTCTCTCGCAAGCTGGTAATCCGTGCATGCGGCGAGAAGAATGTGAGATGCTTTGGGAGACCAGTTCCTCTCTAGCACCGAAACTGTCTCGGCAAATAATACGCCTTCAAATTCTCGTCACCAGCTCGAAGCATTAACTCCAGTCCTGAGGCGAGCGACAGAGGTAAGCTCCGAGTGGCATCATATGAGAGAGAGCTTGATATTCCGCAGGTGACACCACCTGCATAGCAGCAGTCGGTGATAACTGTGATATTTTCACCCTTTTCAACACGAATTAGATAAAGAATTGTATTGAGCTCTCTGTTGTTGATATCGGGAATAGGACCATTCGCACCGACTACATAGCAGTCTACGGAACAAATAGTTTCAATGGCTCCGACAGTGGGCGACTCCATTGAACGGAGATACGTGATACGCGTCGATGCCTATAATAATGCCCCAGGACCGAGCTGGGTCTAGCACAGGTGAGGACTAAGGAAAGGGAGTACAGTGCACATCAGTATTTCAGAGAGAGACTAAAAAATTCATCGACAGACCTCAAGATCTGTTGGCTCGGGGAATTGTTCGTTCCTATTAGAAGCTTTAGTGCGGGAAATCCCTGCTCTTGAAGAGGCAGTACCGAAAATTGAGCAAGTCATCAAGGACCTCGGCATCGTGCAAGAGCTCGTCATGAGGGTGTTGGGAATCCACCGAATTCCACGCCTTGTCCTTGACAGCCTGGAGAATGGCGGCTGAATCAACATTTCCTGGTATTCCGTACTTCCTCGCTATCTTCGCCTCTTGCTTTTCATGAGATGCAATTCGTTCCTGAACACTCTCTATCTCGGTCATAGAAGCGACATGCCCATAGACCTGCTGTGCCGTTAGTGAATTCATTGGGCGGTAGAGGAGAAGCACTCGCCAAAGTGAAGGCATTGTCGGGTTGCAACATCCCTGGCGTACTGATGTCCTGACAAAAGTGGAGTGTCCGGTAGAGATATCAATATGCACCAACAAAAGTTGATGAGGAATAAAGACTGCCAATATACTGATGTTAAGCGCCCACCGATCGGATCTGAGCCTTAGATCTTCCTGACTAGTAGCTCAGTAGAGCTCTTCCATTTATTTTGCCTGGATCGGCAAAAGGAAAACGAAATGGTTGGAGCCCTAATCACAGTGTGAATCTCAGCCATTTATCACGGGGGTTCCGGCGGCATTGCCTCTGCATCAAATATCCAAGATCTTGGCACACTGTATCTGCATCCTAAACCCTAGTGCCCTTGTCGGTTGATTGGGTACAGAATCCGACCTAGCTGGTAAGTATCGATAGAGCCATGGTAACACATGATGGTGTCCCGCTTAAAGATATTCGCTAAGTGTTCACACCTGTATTGCCCTCCCTGTATTCACTGTGTACGTTAAAGCTCTCGTTCCATTATGGAAGGTGTACCTTGCTATTGATCGTCGTCCAGATATTGCGGTTACTCGTGTTTGTTTAGCCGGAGTGGAGATGAGGATCTCAGCTGCAGCGAAAGAGCTTCCTTTGAGGGGATTGGCCGGCACAACAGAAACATTAGCAAGAAGAGGCAGGGTTGCACCGTTAGGCGCCTCGGGTGTACGTTGAGCAGTCAACGTGGAGGTCTTTTCCTACACCGTGAAAAGAATGTCATCTAGAAGACACAGCCTTTTTATCAAACTGGAGTTCCGGGGACGGGTGGAGTGCAAGACGTACCATGCATGAATAGCAATGTGCCTTGGTCCAGGGCCGACATCGATATATATTTGCCCCTAGACTCTGAATTTGCCGGGAGCACCGTCATTTACGATTCGCCAGATTTTATCTGCACCCAAGTCTGGAACGGAGACTTCTCCGTTGGGTTTGAAGGACATGGTCAGATGGTTTGTTGGAGCCCACGGGGAAGACGGTTGGGGGATCCTTCTCGAAGCGAAGGGGCCACGGTAACTTAGGAGATCCAAACTGGTGAATAGCAAGCCGCCGGCTTGCATTTATGCGTGCTACTTCTCCGGAAGAAGCGGACAAGTGAAAGTGGGTCCATTGCCGCCTGTAGACACGGTATCCGCCAGTGATAGAACCCCTGCGCCATCGACAGAAAAAGTTTACAAGTTCCCTACAAATTCAATCTGTACGTTATTGACCGCACTATGATAAAGAAGATCAAGACATGGCCAGTTAGCGATAGATGCGACGTACTTTATTACAAAGCTATTATTTAATAGTTGCATGATACACATTTAACATGCTCTTGCGCCCAGTATCAAGCCTAGAACCGCACAGGACGAGCACAGAAAAGCGCTGGATAGTTGGATCGTGTTGGATTTCCCAAAACGGCAACTATCCGGGCCCAACTATCTGGCAGCCGAACTGACTCTAAGTTCGGGTGACACGGCAGCTAAAATTGTTAGCCAGGGGCCTAGGATTACGCTTCGTTTTGTCCGAACACGGATGTAACGCCGCTTTTTCTTCATGGGTTTTCTCCTGACGAATTCTGGCGCGTCAGGCCTCAGGAGTCGTGAGGGATGTTCGGGTTTCACTGGAATTACTGATATCCGTGACATCCCACATTGATCGCAAGCCTGCATTCCCACCTCCAATATCTTCGAGCGCGTCTCGTGTTCCGAGGTCCTATCATAATCCTGATGGGTGCCAAGTGGGCGCGTCGACGAGAGGAAGCACAACATGGATCGGCTTGCCGTCCCTTCTTCATCCGCCTCATCACCGCGCTCCTTCATGGTCGTACATCCTGCAGATGTTATAAATGGCGACGGCAGCGAGTAACCTTGACTGTGATGGCGTGTGAGTCGATGACGACTGGTCTCGTTCACAGTGGGGTGAGAGGCCTAAAACCATCATAAGTACATCCAAATGTACACGTAAGTAAAATAGACGTGCCTTCGTATCAGTGTGCCCCAATTCAACATCTGCAAGAAACCAGCTAACGGCAAGGCCAGAGGTACAAGCATCAGTACCGTTGGCAGACGCGTGCCTTGCACCCGAATTCCACAACCCTCTCAACAATGGCAACGGACATTAGTCTTGGGCGTAATGATGAGAGCTTGTCCTTGACGTCAAATCTCCGCCTTATAAGTCACGATGCAAATGGCACTATCAAGCCTCGACGGCTAAGGGGAAAAAAGTAAACACACGACTTCTACCGCTGCGAAACTGCTATGTGAACGGGAACTTTGAAATTTGAAGTCTCGAATTTCGCAAATTCGAAGCTCATTATGGTCATCGCCGAAAAGTTATGTAAAACACTTTCTGGTGAAATGAAATTGGCTTACACACCATGGGCCGTGGTTACCGCTTTAGGTAGTTGATTGAAGGTAGTTGATTGAAATTTGACTTCGACTTTCTCCCACCACCATCCGCTTGAACTGAACGCGACCACGCCACTCTACGACGCGATGGATCCTCTAATACCGATTCGATGAGGCGATGATACACGATATTCGCTCAACCATTCGACAATGCACTGAGCGTGGTCTTCCTCGCTTCAGCGAAATGGTCAGTTGGTGCGTTCTTGCGTCTATCTATTCGCAAGCACGGCTCACGCATATATCAAGGCTATCGGAAATGTTCATGTCGATTCCGTCCTCAAGAGAACACATACCCGACCCCCACCGCCTCCTGTTGATGAGCTGGAGCAAACCGAGCAGGACTACATCGCTGCGGCAAGGCAGTCGATGAGCGACAAGCAGTTTCAACGCGCTGCTTACATTGTACGGGACTGCAGGAGTGATAAAGCCCGGTATTATAACTTGTATTGTCAATATCTGGTGCGTGTGTTTGTTGATGAAAGGTCGCGCCAATCTGACGTTCATCTGTCAGAGCCACGAAAGACTAGCTTTGGACGAGTGGTACAGGCTCAGTGGTACGTGATCCTGCGGCATGTCCTTACAAGTCTAACGTTGCAAAAGATAAGAAAGGAGCAGCCTACGTCGCCTGTGAACAACGAGATACCTGTATTACTTGAAGACGTCGCGCACTCGACGGAGCCTTGGCTGATGTTCATGTGAGCTATTCCTTATAAACTGATGGTCGTATTGACTGGAACCAGTGAGGCACTGTTTCTCTCTCGAATGTCGCGTAAATATGAGGCAATAACGGCAGTTGTTAAATGTAGTCGAGATCAAATCCTTGGATATGGGCCGCCTGGTGTCTTTTGGGAGACTGTATCGATTCCGAAAAAGAGGTCAGTCAGTGGCCACCCAAAACTCCCTGTTATATGACTGACGTCTCGTAGTATAATGATGTCTTGGCCCGGATACCACTGCCAGCGAATCACCCCGTGGTCTACATGTTTCGAGTGAAGATGCTCAACGACCTGCACCTAGCTTCAACACAAGTCCAAATATGCGACCTTCCTTCCTCAGTCCAGAATTCTTTCCGGCTAGCTTATGGGTGATGTCCATGAAAAGTCGTGGATATGCTTGCCTATCCAGCGTCACCTTCTATGGCCCGATGGTCATTGCCGAAGGTCTTGAACTCGTCAGAGTACAGGGATGCGCAAGCGCAGTTCGAACGTATCCTTTCCCTAGAACCCGACCGGCTCGAAGACATCGATTTCTTCTCTGATATTCTCTATGTGATGGACAACAAGGAGAAGCTTTCGTTTTACGCTCAAAAGTTTCAAGAGAAAGACAAGAATCGGCCGGAGGTGTGCTGTTTCATTGGTATGCTCTTTCGTTATCGCAATCGATATGCTTGTTAACGGAGTAGTGTTAAGGCAACGCGTATTCAATCCGTACAGAGCATGAGAATGCAGTGAAATATTTCCGGCGCGCTACCTACCTGGATCGAACTTATTATCATGCGTGGACGTCAATGGGCCACGAGTATCTCGTGATGGGTAATACTCATGCTGCCATTGAAGCATATCGGCGGACGTTAGGTTCGCGCAGACTTGGGTTTGCTTCCCGGCGCTTACGACGGTTTCTATAGATATTACCAAGAAGGATTATCGTGCTTGGGCGGGGATGGGACAAGCCTATAGGGTCCTGGGCATGTATAACTATTCTCTGTATTACTATGAGAGAGCTTCAGCAGTTGAGGTGTGTCTTTCTCTCGATGCAACTGGATCCTCGTGATAATATCTCTTCTGCTAGGCCTAATGACGTGACGATATGGGACTGGTCTAGGATCCTGCTACTGAAGACACGGAGAGGTATAATTCACTGTATTCTATTATATTCTGGCCCTTACGCCTTTGCATCCTCAGAATCCAAGAAGCCATCTCTGCCTACAGCCGCGCACTCAAAATCGGCATCAACCAGTCCCTCCCGGGCATAAACTGGAAACTCGGCTCAATCTTTCGTTCCATGGACGTCTGGCCTGCGGCAGAACAACATTTCCGGGCCGTGGTTCAGATCGGTGAGGGAGCCGAAGGTACGATTGCTCTTGTTTTAAGAATCGACGGCTTCTCATCCTTGGCCGGACTAGGTCGTTTGAACAACTCGGAGCCGTATTTAGGGATCCCTGTTGGCCTTGTCGGAACGTAATATCCGTTTTGCTTTTGGAAATTTGTCTGAGGCGAAGGAATACCTGGAGCGAGTGGCGTCGAGCAATACGGAGTTGGCGGGTAGGGCTGCTGTGATGTTGAAAGCTGTGAAGACGAAAATGGCAGTCCAGAAAGTGAAAATATAGGTTGTAACCTTGTAACCTCCTTCTCTTGGTATGTACTTTTTCTTGTAGCGACCACGGTCATAACATGGCGTCAGGGTCAATACAACGTTCGACTTTTACCTGCTTGCAAAGTATCGGAAGGGTTAACGTGATACGACGGCTGACTAAGCTACTGGACCTGGCAGCCTCGGATCGGAGACAGTCCTATTTATGTCCAGTACTGAAGAAACACCCGAAAGTTATCTGGTTATCTTGGCTTCGTCACCTGAGCCACGCGAGACGGACAAACCCAGCATTATACATGACGAACGGCGAACGCTAGGTTTGCTCGATGCATTAGCGGGAATATGCGTGTCACAGAAAGAAGGGGAGGCCTACGCATCCGCCATAGCAACAGCTTCGGAATCGTGTACAATCTTTATCATTGGGAATCATGAAGAGGTCCCACAAGAGACCCAAGACTACCTAACCGATATCTGCCAAAAGCTCACGGGCATAGCACATCTCGTCGACACTTCAGAATCGCGTACCCCATCAATCGAGGATCTTTCCCCAAAGGCTCGAGACTCCATCAGGCGATGTCTATAGATCTGTGTTTCTGTTCACATTCACCAAAGTTTTATACTCGTCTTACGAAGTGGAATGCCATGTCGACAAAACGGTTGAAAGATATTACACATCAGCTTGTGGATGAAGCCGACAAGGAGAAATTCCAAGACCTGAACGGGTGCTCTCGACACCCTTCATCACCTTGCCTCAGACTTTCGCATAGGCGACGAAGACTTGTTGCTCGACCTTCTCGAAGCGATAGCTCGAAATTGGAAATTGAGCGATCCAAAGACAGCGGCTTTTATAAATATGCTTGACCTTCTACCCATGTCTGATCAGATGGATGGTACGTGCTATCATGATCTGCTGGTCGAATGCTCATGCATTCTGGATTGTTACAGCACCTTTCCTCGTCGAACGATATCTACGGAAGGTCTTGAAGACGTACAATGAAACGACCAAGTTGATCCGTTTTGTAGTATCGCCTCGCCGCGGCCACATATTCAGAAATCAGCCCAAACTCGTGTTTCTACGGTCTGAGAAACGCAGTGTAGAGTTGGACATAAAAACGGCTGTCGGGACGCTTAAACGTCAGATGGATATCATTGACGAGGATGAAAGATTTCTTGACCGATTCGTTGACGACGCAGGTGTTCGGTTCGAAGAGCAATATACTTGCTGTCCGCACTGTGAATGTGCAATGCTGGCGGCAATCCTGGAACAGTGGAAAATGCCACAAAGACCTGCTCCGGTCGTCGGGATTTCCGAACTGTCTTGCCTTGGCTGCCGCTTATATTTCACAGCTTACAAGAATGCATTGAGAGAATTACCAGTAAGTTATCCGTATTTCTTCTACGGTGATGTATTAAGTCGTTGAATTTTAGGCGATTGACCTGCCTAAGCAGTTTATCGTGACCGGAACGCATAATACTCTCTACCTACCATGGGTGTCACCCGATCTAACATCCATCAATCCTGATCTGCACGCCGCTGTCCAGAAACATCTGAAGGTGTTAGTACAAGCAGCATCTGTAGCGCATGTGAGATCGCGTCACCGATACTCAGAGAGCACCACACATTCGTCAGAGGAAGAAGGCATGTTACCGTGGAAATCATCCTACGGTACGTTATACATATTTAATTTCTTGTCATTTGCGCACCGATTTTTTTCCAGAGGATGTTATGAGGAAAGCGAGGGCCAGAGTCGAATCATCTTAGAACGCTTGTGTAGTTCTGGTAGCACAAGAATGTACGCAGGTGAACGGCTTCTGGGGAAGGAGGTCTGTAGGAGGCGAAGCTTCACCGATGAGGAGAAGGAGGAGAAGAATAGCAATTTCTTGACCGCTCTTAGTTGTTTTCAACAGCCGTATGCTGAAATTTCCACAAATCACTTGAAAATCGTTATCAATATTCAGTGAATACTATGTACTACGCCCGACTATCTACTCGCAGTGATCTTCAGTGTGCAAAGGTGAATAAAGTCGGGACCGTCCCTTTGACGAGCCGGGGAGCACATGAGCCTATTTTGGCCGTGATATTTCGGACAAATGTTGGCCGGTCCGGTCATCCGGGATGTTAGCTGCTAAAATTTCTGCAAATCTTTTCCCGTTTCCACTCTGCATCCAAAACCAACTCGACAGGTCCCTCTTGACACCTCTAAAACATGCTAACTTGGACAAACGATTTGCTCTCGGACCCTCTAATATGCTGATTATGGACAAAGTTTTCACATCTTTTTGGCCTCAGATATGCTAATTTCCATGAAAACCTTGGCTTCACAGGGACCTCTTTGAAGGCCAAGGCGCATAAATTGAGCGTCTCCACGAACTTAAGAGACACCATACTTATCCCTCGTGTATACAAATGGAGTCATATTCGTCCTCGGCAGAATTAGGTGACGACAACGGCACCGAATTTGGCGTGGCACCTTAAAGTTAGCAGGAGTCACAGAGACGAATCAGGCTCAGCAGTTGCCCTCACACGCTCCCCCCACATCGCCCTTTGCACTCTTCGATGGCCCATGCAGATCATTCCCGCGATCCCTGGCAAGCATCTTTCCGTATACTCAGCTCACAAGCCCACTAAACATATCTCCAGTCCCTGGGTGATTCTCAATGACCTCGGTGCTGCATTCGCAATGGGTGCCGTTGGTGGCGGCATCTGGTATAGCATTAAGGGTGCCCGGAACTCTCCTAGAGTGCGTGCAACTTATATTCAAAAGAATTTCTTCCCACCAGTACTTCGTTCAGGGTGAACGGTTTGTTGGCGCCATATCATCCATGAAGGCCCGAGCGCCAGTTACAGGCGGTAATTTGGGAGTATTCGGAGGACTGGTCTCAACATTCGATTGTGCTGCGAAGGGCTGGAGACAAAAAGAAGATGCATGGAACGCTATCATATCTGGATTCATGACCGGTGGATGTCTAGGCGCTCGAAGTACGCTGCTGTTTCGTCTTTTTCCTCAAAGTTATAGCAAGTGACCGCCCCATTTTTCTGATACTTAGGTGGACCCAGATCTGCTTTTGGCTCCGCCATAGCATGTGGTGTCCCTTCTCGGTGTATTCGAGGGTGTGGGTGTTCTTGTATCACGCGTATTTAGTGAAAGGCCACAGCCACAGATGGTCCCATGTGCGCTACCATCTCTTTCAACTCAACTCTTGTTCATATATATGTTGCACAGTACCTGTGCCGATGGCTCCCCAACAGCAAGCTTCTTCATCCATCCCTGGCTTGCAATAGAAACCCTTCCGTCTATACGCTACTTGTCGACGCTATCTTATATACATATAATTATACCCTGCTCTCAAAACGTCGTCACTTTGATAAGGTAGCGCGTAGATTTCTGACGCCCCCTTCGTTATAGCTCAACGGGACTCGGTTTTCAGTGACACCTTCCAGGCAGCAAGGCAATTACTAGCTGTTCTAGTTCCTTTTGGTCATAATCGACACAAGATTCCAGGTTGACGATGGAGCAACGCCATTCGTGTCCAATGTTCGCCTAGTTCGTCGAGTCTCGTTTCTCATATATGTCCCAGGACATCATATCGACCCCACTTTCACCTCTTCGAACTATCATGGTTACCAGTCTTGACCATTACACTGCAAAGACCGAAAATCAGGAGTTCACCCCGCAACAGAAGATTGAAGGTACATGATGTCATATAGACCTCGAAGTATGATCGTGCTCATACTAACGAGATCGTTCCATAGGACGTACTATCGATACGGCAGTCACAAAGACCTGTGCGGCACCTGACGAATTGGGATTTTTCATTTGGCATTGGAAGGGGAATATCGAATGTGTGAGTACAACGATGCAGTTTATTATTACACTACCAACTTATCAAGAGGTTTGTCAAAGATCGCAGTCACAGCGTCAGGACACAGTTCCTTACTGACTTGAGCATGGACGAGGCCATGCGGCACATAGACCAGACTGAATTGGATGGTTAGTGACATTTCTCGCTCTTGGGACGGTCAGTCCTTCTTATCTATGTACTTTACCTACTTGACCGACTTGACCGAGTACTCTATCTTGAATTTATAGATTTATACGGTTTATGGAACAGGCGAATCGCTCCGTAACAGACTTGTTTGTCTCGTAATTCTAAAGTCTAGGTATTAAAGGCGTCGAGATCATTATGCGCAGAGAATACAATAAGAAAGAACCAAAAAAACGCAGCATTAATATGCCTTCGGGGCATCCATACCTAGCCTAATATCTTCCATCGCGGCCAAACGTTCGACACGCATTTTCTCGATATCTCCTCCCAGCGCCACTTCCCACCAGCGCTCTTCCTTCGGGACATCTCGCCATCCTCCTGTCAAGAACTTTTTCATGGCTTTTGGGTCAGGACTGCTCGAACATCTTTTTCGCAGCTACATATGATGGCGGAGGATTTTCCACAGAATAATCTCCTACGGAGAATCCGTTAATGGCCAGCACCAATGCCGGCGGTATCGTGATACGGCCAATCTTGAAACAGAACTGAGAGATAGATATACAGTGCACGATTGCACCGTCAGGTTCCTCGTGAGAAGTAGCAAGTTTGGCTGCAAGTTTTCGGAGATCGGCGGGGTGGTCGGTGGTGCTGAGAAGAGGTGTTGAGGCCTCGAGGGGTGTAGGCGCGGTAATATCGTCTGCCGGTGTACGAATCGGGCCATTAAAGACACCCGGGGCAGGAGAAGGAGCCACTCTCTTCTCCGCCTTTCGGCCCTTCTTTGCCTTGGTGACAAATTTACCGACTGCATACATCTGATGAACGCGTCAGACCTTCGACAGGTAGTGGACGTGATTAGAGACACACCCATTTATCACCCCAAGATGCGACGGTGAGACGGACTTCGTACGACGCTAAAATAGGGATCTCTCTGAGAAACAAAAAGTGTGTTGCTGCGATGAACTCTTTAACGGCGGTATTGAGAAATATAGGTTGTAGCAAACGCACCAGCCAAAGGAATGTATCCATTCACGCCTTCACGGAAGAGTTGAGGCGTATACTTGCACGCCCATCTGAAGCGGACCGCGTCTAGTGTCTGCATACATGATAAACACGCCTCGTTCAGGACTAGTGAGAGTTAAAATTGACCTTGGCATAGCATGAATTACTGAGGTGGAGATTAAAATCGCTCTCGTCAAGGCCTTGAATAGTGTAAGTATAGCAGGAGAGTGACGTTGGTGCAAACTCACTGGCCCAGTTGTAATAATTCATGGTCATGACAAACGGATTTTTCCCAATTGGAGACATCGAGTCCCACCATGCCTGCGACGCTATTTTCTTCCCGGCCTTGTTCTTGTGAACGATGCTCAAGCGATGTAGCCTGTGCCACATACGAAGGTTGTAATAGGGCGCCAAAACACGGACTGGAAGATTGTTAGCCCTTCAAGCCGTGCGCGTAGTATTCGAGAACGTACGGTGCCATGCCAGAGGGAAAGACCTTATGTTAAGAAGAAGGAGAACGGCCAGGAAATATTTGAAAGGCGTAGCCAGGCCCAAGAGTCGGTCGACAATCGGGGGGACCATGATGGGAAAAGACAACATTCACGATAGGCGCTGAACGCCTTACATTATATTCGCCGGCTTGGGACCGGTTGACTTGTAACCGATAACCGGATGATCGATGAGCAGCGTGGCTTATCAAATCCACGTTACTACTTACTTTCGTAAAGTAATTCTCGTGCTAATCAACGGAGTGCATCAGATCTTGACGCGTATTAGAGTCCGAACGGCCTAGCAGCGATGTGGAGCCACCGTACCATCATTATAATACTCGCGCTAGTGCTGATCTTGAAGGAAGAGCAGCTGAATGGATAGTTGGGCAGTTAAAAACTACTGATCGTTTGAAACAATGACAGTATAGTCGCTAATGGTACGATTAATACCATCATAAAAATGGTTGCTATCGTACGCGTCTTATATTCCATTGACAGGCGTCATTACACATGCTAGGGACCTACTCGGCTACACGGTTATTTTGATTCACGCTGGTACGATTACTGACGAAAATGGGAAGGCGTATCGGTAAGAGGAGCTATTAAGACGTTCTAGTATATAGTGAAGTCAGCTCATTCGAACTTTCTTGTGCGTGACGGTCAGATGGCATTTTGTCTTCGTTTTCAAGTAGTATTGATGGCCCCGGACCCGGTGGTAAGCTGGACTCCGTACGTTAGGAACACAAGAACAGCGTAGAAACATGCAAACTATACGGGATGACAAGACCAATTGAACACCATAATTCACTGTAGAGTTTGTCCGAATTAGGTTTAGACCTGCATACATACGTGCTCGAAGTCGAAGAATCAAGCGACAGCCAGACACTTCTACCATCAATTTCCTTCATATCTACGGGAAATCAAACTCGGTAAACTCTGACTCCAATGCCCTAAATGAAACTTTTTCGTCGAATTCGTCAAGCAACGTGAAAACGCCTGTAAATTCGTACGTGGTTCTGCACCCTGGAAGGCATTCCTTGCAAAGCCAGTATACCTCTCCAGTATAAGTAATCATATCCATCAATGTGATAAGGAGACGGCTTCGCATGTACGTGGAATTTCAAATCGTTTAAACCTACCTCGCGGCGACATGTTCAGCTTTACATCCCATCTGAAAAGCGACTTGAATAGAGAAAAATGAAGATCTGCTACCGACATCTTCATATGCCACCTCTCGAAGCACGGTTCGTTGTAAATCATCGTCCAAGTTTTTTCGCCCTCGTGGGTGAAAATACTCCCTGGCGAGAGAACCTAGTTACACGCAAGTAGAGCAGTAATTGAGAAATTATCCTGATGTACACTGGGGAACTTCCGTCTCTCAATTTGATACAAGGACAGTGCGGGGTTCAGGTTGACGGAGGCTTTCAAAAGCAAAATACATCGACACACGATCATTGAGAGAAGGATTTTCGAACCCGTGATTTCCCGGGGCCTCCGATTTTCCTCCGTCCAATCCGATCACTTGCACTGTCCTTCAACGGAAGACTTTCAGATCAAGAACACGTACAAGCAACTTTGACACAGCTACACATCTACAAGGAAACAAACTGTTTACGGTAAGAATGTTATGTCATGCTTTGCCAGACACATTCGTCAACTGCTTCAGAATCTCTCGTCCAGGAGTGTGAAAGCAGACGCGGATTCATACTTGGCTCTGCACCTTGGAAGGCAATGCATGCAAAGCCAATGCATGACCCCCCTATAATTATACCCCGGGATGTACCTGTACTCATAATTGTAATATGGCTGAGCATGTATATAGAAGCGCAATTCGCATAGATTTATCTCGGGACGACACAAAACGTCGTCCAGAGCGTTCCAGAAACGCGGGTCGCATAGCGGCATCGAACCACCCTGAATCTTGTGCTGGTCGACTGCAACCACAATGGTGACTATTTCAAGCTGGTTTTCGGATGGAAGGGCAAGGAACGTAGTCGTCCACCACTGGACACAGCTGTTCATCTGGTCCATATCGTCGGTCAGGCTTATGATGGCGGATAGGTCCTGCACGTGCTCGATGTGTAGAGGATAGAGTTCCCTGTCTTGGAAGGAGAAGAGTTAGAATATTGAAGACTTCTATGATCACGACCTTACTCATATTGATATATCCAATCTCGAACCTCTCGAGGGAAGGCTTTGTAAGATCCAGCAATGCCTGGATATGAAAGACCATGGTTCTGTCAAATACGAGCCTCACTCCATCTCCTTCAATGAAGAGCTGTTTCAATGCGCTCAGGTCGACCGGCGACTCTGGACTGATGAAAAGGTCCCATGTACTATAGTCGCCGTCGATAACAGCGATGCTGAAGTTTTGCAGTGTCGGTCTTTGAAGGATGGTGGTAGTCACTGAGCCGCCCTCTCCCTGTAACTTGCAGCCCTTCAGAATGAGACGAATGAGTTTCGGCATCGAGGCAACGAGATTCTTCATGTCGTTCTTGGAGCATGTGATAGAGTCCAAATCCAACACGCAGATGTGGGGAAAGGGTATGAAGGCTGAGCGAAACGCTGAGGTATTCGGAAAGTTGAACCAATTCAGGCCCTTGACTTTCATGCTGTTTATAGGGACGCGTTCATCCTTGAGGAGCCTTAGGAGGGGGACGAAGTACGGGTCGGATCTGAGGATCATCGAGTCACGATCCTCTATCTGGATTTCATTCCAGCTTTCATCGGCGTGGGGAATATGTGGGTGAGGGGGAATATTGAGTGCAAGGTGGATGCTGGGGGAAGCTGTGATGAGATTGTACAGATCTTGAGATCTATAGCGCTGTCGTTCGCCGAAGTATAAGAAATCTTGGAATTCTGGCAGACTCATGGATGCTAAGCTGTGACTCGGATCAGTAGATAAATCCAGGACGTACACAGTTGAACACTCACGAGATGGCAGAGAATGTGGTCTCGGAGAGAACCCTGGAAGACCTCTTAAGAGAAGGATAGGCACACATACAGACAATGGGAGTGAACAATGGTGCTTGCGGTCCGACTCCCTGACGGCCAGACTGCTCAAATTAGTGATCACTGTTCACTGTTAGCTAGTTCGGCTAAGGGCCCCAAGCTGCCTGGCACCTTTGTCCAATGCTCGCCAAATTCGTCACTACGCTCCTTTTTGATCGTTGCAACGTCTAGAGGGACACAGCGTTTCGACGAGAAAGGAGACAGGGCTACCAATCCACAGTGGGATTGGTCATGAAAGTAGCCACCATTGTCTCTTTATTTAGTTACCGAGCGCAAGACCGATTGGGCCGGAACTTTCGCCTTTCTTTGTTTTATCTGCATCGAGAACGTTAAAACGCTCCTTCGTAAGAAATAGGCGACCACTACTCGCCTAGACGTTCCTATCTAGATACCGTGTGTGATCAGCTTAGACTGCCCAAGCATGATTTAAGACCTTTCTCTCGTTTCAAATAGCAGCCATCACGTATTTGATTGTGTATGATGTGGCGGAGTAAGTTTTTTGCCAGCCATTCTATTTCTAGGAACATGCACCTGCATCCTGTGGATTAGATAAATGTCGAGAGAAACTGTAGTGGTGTACTACTCACTGCATCATGATCCTGGGACCAAAAAACAGAGTATTCATCACCTGAATTAACGGCGCTCAGGATTTCACGACAACGTAAAAGGTCGGGTATTCAAATTGGGCCCGTTCGGAGAAGCGCTGGAGTACTCTCGTGGCACGAATCCCTGGTGCGAGAATCGTACACGGCGATAACACACTCCCTGATGATGGCTGGGGTATCGCCATGCCTGCGCTCAATAGGACGTCTTGTGAAGCTAATCCACTACGGGGTAGAGCCGGGCCACTCCATGAACGTGACTGAGCTCCAAGATGCCGGCCAAGAGAGACACTAGGAAGACATAAACAATGCTATGATGGACGGATCAAATAAGAGAGGACGCTCAGTAGTTTTTTGTTGTCATGAGCTATCGAGACTCGAAGAAATTAAAGCTGAGACTCTGGATTTAGGTGTAACATCGCGATGAGAATCAGTGATAACTCTCTTCCCTAACCCATGACAATAGCTTTTTCTCGTACAAGGACATGAAGGAGTGCCATACTTGATCTGTCAAGAAAAAGGCATCGCATTTGCAACCATATGTTTCGAAACTGGATGATAAAGCCAGGAGTGAATGACTAATTGCGTGAACGTCAAATAGCAGTTCAGAATTATTGTGGGTAATTGGGAAACATTCGTTTCTCGATCTTTGACATAAGGATTTACTGGGAGGATGAGGTTCGAGCAAGGTTGAGGAGACGAATTTTTGAACCCGTGATTTCCCGACATCTACTCGATCTTCCGGCTACCTCCGTCCCGTCGGCACCGGCCGTCTGGAAACCTTGACAGAGTATTGACGACCATATTCGTCTTCATAAAATCATAACGCTCGAGGGGTAAATCACCGAAGCCCCTCCTTTACACTTCTTCACATTTCGAATTCGCAGCTACCGCTTCCAGGTGTATTCGCCCTCTGATGTCTACTTCGTATAATCATGGAAACCAGCAGAACCGGTATGTATTGGAAAAACGAGGAACATAGAGGTATCTTACATTCAGGTAACATTCAGTATGACTGTTGTACATAGGCTAACGAAGATTTCTCTTGTCAGCTCATTTAGCGTGCAAGAAAAGGAAAAGTAACGTCCGTGAAGTTTGGTCTTGGATTCATTCTGTTACGCCGCTACCTCAGTTTCTCGCCACTCTGGATTTACGTCCATGATACTCTCCTTCCGGTCTACAGGCTCTGATACTGCACCCTCCACAGCTGAGTCGAAGCTGCCTAAACTCTCGTCGCTTTCGCTTTCTTCTCCATCAACGGTTAAGGGAGGCGTCACACTGGGGATGACTTCATCCGCCTCGTCTCCTGACAGCACCTGCCATAGCTTATTTAAGCCACCGATCCCCCTTCGCCCATGTCTCCATGGGCAGTCCTCATCCTGTTCCAATAGACTCTTGTTGAATACCTCTAAGCTCCACCAGCCGCTGAATCCCGTAGCTTGCACCAGCTTGGTCATCTGAACCACAGGGAGGAAGCCGATATAGCCGGTGGGAGGGTTGGGATTGGACGTATCCTCTCCCGAGGGTTCCACGTTCTCGGGCAGAGGCTCGCAGGGAAATAATCGTGACGCGCGAGACCAAATCATCCTCCGAGGCGCGTCTGGAGCATCGAATATAGGCTGCAACGGCCGGGTGGCGTCAGCGAGCTGATACAGGAATATCCTGTCTCCGGGGATCGACCTTGACATCTTCTCGAGATTCTCCATCATTTTAGCCAGAGTCTGCTCTGTTCGAATCGAGGATTCGGTGGCTGGGTCGGCGTATTGGTTGCCGCTGTTAAGGTAGATGAGCGATGGTGCTTATCGTAGCGATATAGTTGAGCTTACAGCGTGTTGAAGGAATCGAGGATGATACCGACATTGGGAAGGTTTACTCGTTGGACAACGTCCCAGACGGGCTCCCAGTTGTCCACGACAGTGCCCCAGGATAAAGGCTCAGTAGCCTATCCTGACATCGTATGTCGCTGCAAGCTCACCGAGGCGACGGAAAGCGTCTACCTGAGCGTCGAGGTACATTTCCACGGTGTAAGTATCAGTGATCGGATGAGGTCCAGGGACGTGGTTGGAGCAGACGAGCATGAGATCGCATTGGAAGTACTCCATCAATCTCAGCCAGCGCTCAGCGCTGTCCAATCCTGCTTGGACATCTTCCTCGGTTTTGAAGTTCTCGAAATTTCGTAGAGGTTGCACGACGGGTATGGTAAGGTTATGAGAAACGCACAAGGCGGTGATCACCTTCGCGCATTCGCACTCGAGGTCGGGGGTGGATAGGGAATGTGGGTCAAAAGGTTCGTCAAAGAGATGGTGATGTTTGCCGTTGATAACTTCGGCTACGAAGCCCTCGAAATCGACCATGAAGATTTCAATGCCATTGTAGCCTAAACTAGAGGCAACTTTGATCTTCGTCGGCAGGGAGTGGTACAAGCACGAGCCCAGTGAAAGGCTCGCTATCGCGAACTGCGGTCTGAGCATGGCTTGGGAAAGGAAAGGGAGCAGTCGAAGTCAGCTTCCTCTTTTTGATCGTCGGAATGGGATTTTTCCTCCCGTGGATGATCCCTCTTCCGTCGCTTGATTGGCCCCAGGAAGGCTGACAGGACATTCTACAGCCATGCGACGCCACTTTTGGGGCTGCTATGCTGTGAGAATGTCATGACATTGAAGGATCATGAGGGACTGGGCTCCAAACTTTGCTACCTTCCTGTTCGGATCGGGGACGTTTTCTTCCGTATCATTTAAATCCAGTCTTCAAAATCTCAGTGGATCGTTGAAGCCTTGGCGTCATTCACAGCTGATCATTTGCCTTGAGCGTTGTAGATGAAGTGAATTCAGAACAGGGGAGAAGGCGGTGATGTCGGACCGCCGGGTCTCCTAAAAGTCCAGCTGGTGCGATGACCTACATGCGCGTGGCAAACTATGTCAAATTGTTTGTTTACCGTCTTCTGCGTCTGCCTACAAAAGTTGTTCCTGCATTCCTACCTATGTGTATCTGTTAGAAACACTTTATTCTCAGTAGCATTATCATTCATCTCTGCGAATTCTTGGTTCAAGTTTGGTCAGATTAAATTAAGGGAAATGTTGCCGTCGGCAAGTCACGTGAGCGTATTATTCGTTTTTTCCCCCGAACGCTAACAGCCACCATCCTACATACCCAAGTCTCTAACCGGCGTGTCCAGCTTTCTCGTCTTTCTCGACCTTTCGCGCTTCGGGTCCCTTTTCTCTTTGCGCTGGCTCGCTCTATGCTTGTGTCCTGTCGCCCAAGCCACAGACATTCATCGTGAATGTTGTCTAACCCTAAGTCTTCTCAGTCTGCCATTTGACCGCGTTTTCGCTTGAGAAACACATATTTCTGTTGCCGATGGTTACAAGAGTAACGACCAAGAGGGCGTGACGTTGGGGTGTAAAGTGCTGAATGCGTCGTGTTGGTTGTCTTGGGTGTTCGCGGGTTTCTTCAGGCATTCTTGCCTAACAATGACACTCATCTTTGTGCATTCTTATCGCATCTCCGGAAAGTGCTCATTCACTCGCCAGTCTTCTTTGCCACTTCTACGCACCGAATCTCGCCTGTGTTGCCTCGGGATCCCGATTCACTGCATAGCGTAGCAAGACCACTTGCGTACAAGAATGCCCTTCTTCATTTGGGGTCTGACGCCATGCATGTGAAGAGGGAGTGCAATGCCGGAAATGCGTAGATTAACTTTCAAGTGCAGAAGACGGCGTAGTTGGAGCACCAGAGAAGCGTCGCGGGACCTCCCTGAATGACACAGAGAGAGTCGAGTGGGTTCCACACAGCTATAGAGATCTACCATGCGAGCATTTGAGATAATCGCTGGGCATCCGTACTGGTCTTCAAGATCTTCTTCGCCGCATTGTTACTCCACGACTCGCGATTCTTCCACACCAGTGACATTTATTTGTTGCTGGTGCACCACTTCGTCACTGCCCTGGCTTCATGACAGTTTCATTCCCTTAAGAGGATCAAGTATCCGCACAGGTCTCTGGCGACCTTCTTTTCCGCTGGTCTGTTCTCGTTAGGAGGGCAAGTCCAAATCCCGGTGATGTTTCTTGTGGATTAGTTTCCCTCGATCGCCGTGAGTCACTGTGGTGTTCTCTGTTGGTTATGACTATGCAGGGACACCATAGGAGAGGCTCAGAAGCGTCGGCGTGCGCATCGAAATCCACATGGCCTACGGCGGCATGGTTACATTGGCAATTCTGGACCGAGTTCTTCTGCAAAGAGATCTTCAAGAGGAACATACAGGAAAGCGAGGCTGCTGGGCTAAACACGCGGAAGCGGCTTTCGTAGGTGATACGCTTTAGCACGGCGCGATGCTGGTAGCTCTGGGGGAGGTATCTTATCTTTAGGGATGGCGGATCTGTCTACGCCTCGATTACCTTCGTCCGCCCTCTTTGGTTTTCTGTCCTTCTACTACAGGAAGGCGGATACGACGTTTTTGGCTATGCTGTAGTAAGCCACTTTCCTCTCTTTTGCTTTCTGTCCGGACGTGGTGGCTTGTGAACGAGGAATGATGATCCCAGGATTCGTGTGCTAGGCAGATGTATGGACCAGGATGCTTCCGTTATTCGGCCGAGACTGCGAAGACATAGTCTCTTGAGCCTGCTTCGATCCCTTGCTTGTTCTGCTCTTCCTCACCGAGACTTGTCAAGGCCTTTCTTTGTATCTGAGAGGAGAAAGCTAACTATCCTTGACCCAAAACTGGCAACCTGTCGGTGCATCTTTAGAAACATCAGGCTCCTGTGGTCGCGGCGTTCGTTGGCCCTCTGTTGTGCTCTGTTGTTTTCATTGATAATTGTTACTCCTACGGGATGTTTCAATAGAGTTTTGTGCTCGAGTGTCATTGGACAGTCCACGGAGCGCTGACGAGGGTTGCGGCGTTGTAATCGTGGTGCTGCTTGGTTGTGTTCGGGATGTGTCAGGGGATGCTCTTGGTGAGATGTTTGACTACGCTCCCTCAGAACTTTGAAGGGTGCAGTCTAGGTAACATACAGGAAGACGGAGTAGGTGAGGGCGAGGCAGGATCGAGGCTAAAGAGCGGTCCTACTCGCGAGAAGTACTGAGGATATCTGGTTGGTTATCCTGGTATCCTTGTTTGTTGGGTTCTGTGGTATTGTCATATACTCGTTCATGTATGGGCACCGCGGTAGATGGATGGTACGGGACAGAGGGAGGGTAGTTGGATACCTTGCGGTTGCTATCGGCTGTGAGGTATCCGACGCTGAAGCGAAAGTGACCGAACGGTGTGGTTGGTGCGACGTCGTTGAAGAGGGACGTTGCATAAACTCGAGAGTGGATACCAGATATTCGGGGATCAACGTGGCTGATCTGTGGATATCTTTCCTAGGGTTTGGACGTTTTTGGGGAGGATATTTTGATGTCCGAAGATCCAGATTTCGACGTCTTGATAATTTTTGGATTTTTGGATTGCCTTCGTGGTGATCTGATTGTGTTTTCTTCTGTTGAAATACGAGAGACAGGTGAGCTTCTCCTTTCAAATGATTTCTAATTCTTACAATTTTCAGGCAATAATGGCGGCTACCGCAACATTGGAAATGTAGCACTTTTAGTCCAGATCATCCTCAATTGCGACTACAAGATGAGTTTTCTTTTTTCTTTTTTTCTTTTCTTTCTTTCTTTTCTTTTTTCGTGTATGCAGAAAGGTTGGGGCGCTCGTTTTTGCGTCAATGAGATGTATCTACCTCTGTCTATATATGCTCGGTGTTCAGCTGTGGCATCTTCAGCGTTTCAACTCTCGATGCCAAACTTACTGCATCGTTAACCAGAGGGAAGATGATCTAGTTTCGCGCCTGCGTTCTGTGTAACACCCAGCCTTCTGCGTCAATCTACGTAACAGTTGTACTGACTTTATGGGACGCTCACGACCGCCCGTCAACTGCTGCGTCACATTTGTTCATCTATGTTCACTCCCTGACAAACCCACGCCATCGCGGCTATCAAACCTTTTCTGCCCAAACGAAGACATAATTAGACCTAACCGGGGACAAGATTATTAAGAAGTGAGTGGAGTGAGTAGGTAGGTAGGTATCTTCAAGCCGGAAACGCAAACGAGTGGTAATTAACTGTAAACGTAAAAAAGATAAAGCGGTCAAAGGCCGAGTCGTAGAACTACAACAAGTACAGTACAGTAATGGCACAACACATAATAAATCCAAACCAATAATTATATCCTTAAAATGAAGAGTAAAAAGGATTACCCCGTCATCCCCTCGAACCCAAAACTCTTCCCCCAAAATTTCTCGTCCCACTCTCCATCCCAACTCAAGGCATCCATTGTGCCCGAGCCCGCTGGGTCCGGCGCCCAGCCGGACGAGAAGATATTAGCACTCGGGTCGAATATATCCCCAGGTAAGAACAGCGGCGAGAGCGACACGCCGTCCTTACCCCAATCCACCATAGCCGGAGGCGCGTACAGCCCATCCGACGTATACACCGAGCCTGGTTCTTCCCTCTTCCCAGGATTATTCCTTGCCGGGTGGTCCTCCTCCTTGTCTCGCTTCCGCTTGCTCCCGTCGCCCTCAGTTTTGCGGGTTCAACCCTTCGATGTCCATGAGCCGGTCCAGCCTTCGCCAACACCGCCTCGCAAGCTCCCACGTCTCTCCAATGGTTTTCAGCGCCTCTGCACAGTTCATCAGGTGCAGTTGGGTCTGCAGACGGAGGGTAGGCCGGACGGATAGCTTATACCCGGAGAGATGGGCAATCGCGGTGGTGAATATGAGGTAGATCATCGCAGGATTTGACTGCGCCAGAGAGGAAGGATCCACCGTGAGTTTGTCGAGAAGAACATTGAATGTCGACGCAGCGTCGAGGAACGTTGAATGGGTTGTTTTGTCCTTGAAACTATTTTTGGTTAGGAACGGGATGAAGGAACGATAAGGATAAGGACTTACAAGGGCCGGTAGAGCAGGATGATGGCTACTTGGTAGAACATGTTGATTTCCAAGACCCTGCGCTCCGGTTGATGACCAAGGGAAATACGAAACTGGACGGGAAGGTCGTGATGCCACCGATCAAGCTCTGCCTTGAGCGTTTCCATAGGCTTCCCTGCCGGGAATTCGAATCCAAGATAGAGATGCAAGTTGATGCGAGAAACAATTCGGCACAGTGAAGAGGTCTGAACAAATAGGTCGCCTGAATCCTTCACGATACTAGGAGGTGGACGAAGAGCATCAACGATTCCTGGAGGTCGACCGAGCTGCAAAGACAGCAGGAGGTCGAGGGTAAGACATACTCCCCAAACCTCCGATGTAGGTTTTAATTCGAGCTCCTGTGCCATTCGCACGGCGAGACCTATGAGCAACCACGCTTGGCCCTCACTCCCGCGTCCATGATCTCGAAGAGCGAGGAGTAGAAGTGTTTGCACGCTCTCAAGTCGGCTACCTTTCCGTAGGAGAGCGCTCATAGCGGTACGTGCTTGCTCATACCACAAATCGGCGGCAATTTTGCTCGGGTCACCTCCGAAGACTGTCAGGGCCGGATTTGACGGCGACAGCCGACCAGCATAGGCACACAACGCAAGCATGAGGCATGTTGTGCCTTCCGGCACCGTAGGTGCAGTGAGTTTTGGCTCGATAAGATGTCGAGGAGGTAGCAGGGGATAACTGGGGTGTACGTGTGTATAGTAGACGTCAATGAGATTGGTGAGAATGTGTTCAGGAGGAAGATCGACTTGTTCGGTTGGAGGGAGAAAATCAAGTTTGGATGACGGTGATGTTGCCTCAAAATTAGCGGAGCGCCAGTAGCTGCCAGTATACGCTGGATTTGACTCGTCAGTGAGCCCTTTGTAGTCTAGGTCGGTGGTCATCTCTACGTCAGGAGGAGTGGCCACAGGAAAGGCATTTGAGATCGGGGATGGGTATGTCAGCAACGGTGCTCTGGAGGTCGTGGGAGATGTAGAAGGAAAAGAAAAATCGACGTCTTCGCGTGACCATACGGGCGTATCACACTTCTTGAGCTGTGGTGGAGGTGTATGTGTACGCTCAAAGGACTCGCGTGACATGGAATAGCTATAAGACAGATGAGGCTGCTCGCTTGTCGGTGAGGGCGTCGTCTGCATGACAGACGGTGAATGCGAATGTCCATTAGCCTTGGCTTGATAGAATGTCGGCTGTGATGGTGTCGAAGGTGACTGTTGTTGCCCACCGCCCGCCTTCAAGTTGGGATTTGGCGGCGGCAACAAAGGCTTAGCAAACGTCTCCTGGTCGGTCCGCTGAGCAAAGGGGGCAAACGTATTGGTCAGATCGTCGAGGATCTTGGCGGCATCAGTGCCGGTCCAGACGACCTTGTAGGCATCCCACACATCCTGGGTACATGTCTTACTCTCCGTACGAAGAATCTCCACAGACTGCAGGCATAATTCGGAGAACGCCACAGTCCCCCGAAGTTTGAGGATACAAAGACCGAGCAGAGTCTCGAGCAGCGTCACTCGGGTCTCTGTATAGCGTAGATAACCAGATGGTGGGCCTCGACGACGAGGCTCGCGCGAGTAGGAGCATTCAACCTTGGTTTCTTTGCAGAAAAAACAGGGATCTAGGCCGTCACACTTTGAAGTATTAGGTCTCTTCTTCTGGCACATGTATGGGATAAACAGACCTTTTTCCGCTTGAGACGACAGGTATTGCAAGCTACGTAAAGGAAGTCAAAAACGGGCGTGGCGAGAAAAAAGATGCCGGACCTCTAGAGACCTTCTTGTTCGTTTTTTCGGGTGCTGGAGGCGGGTTCATCTTACCCCACAGTGTGGAGGTATGGGGTAAGAATTTGGAGAGATTGGTCTCGGAGGGAGGTTGTTCCAAGCAAACGGAGGGAGAGGGTTGTTCCAGATCCTCTCTGGCTTGCTGACTCATCACCACGTGTCGGAGTTCAAATGTTTCTCCACCTTACCCCGCAGAGGGGTCCCGCTTTTCAAAAAGGGTATATCCGGTCTCTAATTCCTAAATTTGTTTTACTTGTACTCACTCTGGCCTACTCCAGCTCCCTAGCCTCCCTAGTAGGCTCACTACATTTCTAGTAACGGTCGAGAGGGATCAATCATGTGGACCTTGCTGTATCTTATTTTGGGATCCACCGCCGACCACTGTCGGTGCCGCACATCTACCCTGTGCGGTAGACCCGAATTACCACGCCAGAGATAGGGATTCGTGGGAGATGAATACCGATGTCACCCGTGATCGCTTTTTTGCAAGCTGTCAAAGACAACATATGGTCCCTTTGATCTCGGAAATCTTGTGGAGGTCGTTGAACAGGGCCCTGTTCTAAAGCCCCCTCCCGTCGTCATAAAATGAGTCGACCGTAGTCTGGTAGGTCATAGCCTTCTATTTGACACCCTTTCTTCCAAACGACGACAAGTTTTCTGGTTCTTCGAGTCTGATATTCTCGGATTTCGAAGTAAATCGGTTGTAGCGACATCGGCAAGTAAGTAAGGCGTCGTGTTCAAGAAAACACCGTCCTACATTTGGTGGCTGTAAGACCAATAAAGCGTCAGAGTCCGAAGGGTGTGATCCTGTTGCTTTGCCTGAGTAAAGTGACCGATCCTGGGAAGGTGTTGGCAATGCTGAAGTTTCGACTGTCCAAAATCAAATAACTTGAACCCTGCCGCGGTTTGTGCTATATTCCGTGGCTCAAAATCACCATGTCTAACACCAAGAAAGTGTAGTTCTGCGTGGTGATGTGCGCTATTTACTGCATCCGCAAACGCAGGTACCGAAAAACAAAGCACTCACCTCCTGAATCAACAATGCATCCGTTATGTGACCTCAGTACCCATGGATCAGATGAGGCGATTGTAAAGAACATAACTTGTCGAATTGCTTCACAGGTACGAAATGTCAGAAGCAGACGCAAGAGTGGAGTAGAAGCCGACCAAATACAAGAAAGAATTCAGCAGGGGAGCTTGTTGGTGAGATTTCGTGGAAGAGGGTCCATCTCCGTAACGCGGTTAACCTTTTTGAACGTCAAATCAATGAGCTTTGGTTTGCCGTTAAGTATTATTCTTCCGCGGGACCAACTTGAGCCCTCGGGCCGTCCGCCCGGGAGAAATCGGATTCGACGCCCTGGAACAACTCCTATCCAACCTTTGACGTTTAACCAAACCAAGTTCCGCTGAGGCGGCCGAAAGATGACGTTTCTATGTCGATGATGCAAGAGAAAAGGTATGTATTAAGTAGAGGGAGACGGAGAATTGTCCGTTTCCGAGGGTCCGAGGATATCGATAATGAAAGAGCATGTCGACTTCAACTTATACTAATGCGACATCCAAAGGAATGTTTATGATCTTGCACAGGCACGAGACTGGGGAATAGAACGCGACGAGCGTACGTAGATTGTTGTTGCCCTGGTCCTGTTTGGTTTGAAAGTGTCCCATTGGCAGGCCTAGAAAATATGATTCTTCTTCCCAGGACTTGGCCTTGGGGGCCTCCTCCTAGTCTCCTGCACTGGCGTCTTCCTAGACCTTTCTTCCTCTGACTACCTGACTATTTTTTCTTCCCCGTATTCTTCTTTCCTACTGATCCTCGCAGTCAGTAGGATGAGTGGAGAGTTGGAGGATATGCCAGACCTGATATTCCAAGAGATTTGTGGTCATGAATAAGTAGATAATATATCACACGGCCAGAACGCAAAGTCAAACCCAGAGACCAAATCGTTTGGAGTCTGGACGAAGTAACTTCGGCAGGTGCTGCCGGGGCGTAAGCTGACATAATGAGCGGGCCGGCCGACAAACCCTAACCCCAGTTCTTCCCTCTCGCGAGTTGCCAATGCGACCAACTCTTTCTGTACTGAAAGTCGCGGTGCTATCGCAACCTTTTAAGCGGTCGCAGCTTGGTATCTTCCAGGGAAAATCCAAGCAATACGGCAACAACGTTCCCTTCTCCAAGCACAAGTCACGCAGGACATGGCTTCCCAATGTCCAAACGAAGCGTATCTTTTCTGATGCCCTAAACCAGTCTATCAAGTTGAAGGTCACTACGAGAGCGTTGAAGACAATAAAGAAGGTGTGTTGCACTTATCAGGTAGTCTATATGGATGATTGAAGGGAGTGTAGCACGGTGGACTCGATAACTACCTCACAAAGGGGATGAGGCCTTCAGAACTCAGTTACGAGGGAATGCGGCTCCGCGTTGGTGTACTAGACGCCATACGGACACCGCTACCCGCCAATGCTCAACTACGAAAATCCCCGGCGTTCCTCAAGGAGCAGAAGAAGACGGCAGGAAAGGCGAGACTTGCAGAGATCATCGAGGCGCAGAGGACCGCCCTCAGCCGGGTCAAGCTCAATCAGAAGCCGACGCTGGAGGACGCGAGGAGGGTCAGGATGGAGGTGATGGAGACTCTGGGGCTGAAGGTGACGCCGGACCGTAATAGGTGAGTTAAAAAGTTGCCTTTTGCTGGTGTGGAGCGCCAATTCTTTACAGGGACAATAAAAGGGCCATCTTGGGTTTCTTACATCAGAGAGCGAACTCACGACAGAAAGTATTACAAGGAACTTCATAATGCACAAACATTCTTTTCTCACCTCCTTGGATCTTGGAGCCAAGTTATCTATGCCCACCCGGATCCGTTCACTCAAAGTTGCTTGATAACTGATGTTGCAGATCCCATCTCATTCTCTGTTGGTAGAAGCGGTTGTTAGTGCTCTCACCCCGACTGTTAGACGAATTTCCGGCCAGGTGCAAGAGTGCATCTCATATGTTATGTGGAAGAATTAAATCCTAGACTATTTTTCACTCATGGCCGGGCTTGACGCTATCGACGAGGAAGTTCTGAAATGTATCTTCCTCCTCCGAAGCTTGTCGACGTGTTTTTTTTCTTGTTGACCGCCATGCAAGCTCTTTTGCAGCGGTATCCTGTTGCTTCCAGGACTTCTACGCATCGCGGATATATCAGAACGTTCCACAAGTCTGGCACGAATAAAAAAACTCAGGATTCTGCCGTCTTTATAGATCTACGTCAGATGTGATTGGACGGAAATTCTCCTGTCGTCGTTTTGAGACGTTTGAACAGTAGAACACTTCGGCAATCATATGGATGGTTATGATGCTCTATAAAAGTCTGGCTAGGGAGAGACTAGCATTTGAATGAAGGAGTACACGTCTCATTCCGCAAAAGACCTCCATCCCGTTAGTGGCTTCTCGTAGTTCCTGGCCTGACAATATGTTCATCGTCAGGATTTGAATGTTTGGAAGCGACCAACACGAACAGTCAATCGGAATGGGAGAGAATGAAATAGAATACACTACTTTTTGATACATCCAGTGAATAAATACAGGTTGGTGGTACAGAAAGGAACGATATTGATTCAGCTACCAAGACTGAAGCATGCTTTGGGCACATTCCTACGACGAAAAAAGTCAGGAAGACATAAAATCACAATCTGTTAAAACCAACCTTCAGCCGTCCTAGATTATGCACAATCGCCACATTGACCATTGTCTTAAGTTTCCGTCGCATATCTCCCTTGTTCAGGGTGTACTGATACGCTCCTGAACACTGGCAAAACTTGGATACGTTGTCGGACTGTATCTGCCGGCACTTTGAACATCTCAAATCCTGCAGCGCAAACGACCTCTCCATATCGAATAACACCTTCATCAATGTGAACTCGATAGCTTGTCGATCATATTCTCCATGGCAATTCAGGCAGATCCACCTCTGCGACACGTCGAGATTATTCGGAAGCAGGTCTGGGTCACGACAAAAATCGAAGTCGCGTAGGGCATCACAGTGCCTGCAAGGGACGTTGGAGAGGATAAGCGGCTCGCAGGGATTGCGAAAAATGGCATCGTTTGCGAATTCACGAACCCCGATAAGATCGAGTAGATTCCGTTTCAACAATCCGATCTCAACTTGATAATCCTTGGCCAGCACGAACACCGCACAGGTGAACTTGACAAATTCTAAGACAGGGTCGGAAAGATGAAGGTAGGAGCCAGGGAGGACCGGGAAATCGAAGCTACTCGTTAGTTCTTCATTCAGCATGGCCTCCCTATGCCGTTCTTGTACGCTTCCAACCAGTTTGAGGAGTTTTCTGGTCAGGCGTCGGGAAATGAACTCTTGTGTTGACTCGATCTCGCTCTTTTTCGTAACATCCCGCTGACTAGAATCCAGGGCACCGTTGCGTAGCGCACGTAGAGGTACTCGTGATGCTTCGTTGGTGCGCTGCCGAATCTTGTAGAGCTCTACCGCAAAAAATTGGATGGCGACACCAAAGTCCTTCTGGATGGCCGGCGGAAGGAACTCTGCGATATTCCAGTGGTTCTCCAGTGTCAGCTCTTCAGGGGGCTCAAGGGCGAGAGGATCTTCGCACACGATGCCTCCCATGTTGGCGTTGTCCATGAAGAGTAAAAAGTCGTAGAACTTATCGGTTTGTAAGTAGATATGCTCGAAGAGTTCATGGGATGTGACGGCGGTGTTGATGTATGTTGCATACGCATGGGCTGTGCCAGGAGGCTTGGAGGTGGAGAGAAGTAGGCGGCTGAAATCAGCGTAGATGACATGCGATCCGAGGCGCTTAAATTCCGCCAATAACTGGATAAATGTCTTCCGCATAAGGCCATGGACGAAGCGATGGAGGTTAGGATCATAAAGCTGCGATGCGCTTGAGCTGATCCATCGCCAGAAATGGTCAATGGTTACAGACGGACTTCCGAGCTCGCCATGGATTTTGTCAAGAAGCCAAGTCTTCACCATGTTCCTCAAAATGCTAAACGTTTGTGCGGAAATATTCGACTCGCCCAGGGTGAGATCTCGCTGTCCTTCACCGTTCTTGTACTCATCGAGTGTCTTGGACACCGAGTCGAAGGCGGTCGATCCACCAGTCCCCTCGAGCTCGTTAATGACAACGGAATGTAGGACAGAATTGACGGCCAGGTTTCGAACGCTGATTTCGAGACAGACATTAGAATAACATCCGGGTGACTGGAACTCCGTGGTTGGGAACTCCTCTGATAGTCTCTGGTCATTCTCGATACCGCCGAGGTCGGGCTGTTCTCCAGGTGACCACCAGAGTACCATGTCGTTCTGGATGAGACGGCGAGCGAAGGAAATATCGGAAAGAAGAAGAGGCTGATCGCCTTCAATGTGTCCGATGGGGACATCGTAGTAATCCGCAAGTGATATCATGCGATCAAGCCATGTCCCAAGCGAAAGATACCGATTTAGCATCTTCTGAGCGACGTGGGCTTGCCATGGAAACACATCCAGTGTATGAGGTCCCCGAGCTTTGGTCATTGAGAATACAGGAAATTTGGACAGCTTCGGAAGCAATCGGTCGAAGTACGCCTGATCTTTGCTCGAGGAGATGACAACAGTATATGACTTGTCTTCCATCAAGCCAAACTCGCGGGAAATCGCTTTGAGGGCGGTAGCGTCGGTGGAATGATATGTCGTAGTAAATTCGCGAGCGTCCTCGTAAATTATAGAGGGAGAAGTTCCATACTTTTCCTGCCTTTTTCGCTTCAAATCGGCATAAGTCGCCTCTAATTTGGGTATGGGTTGGCGACGTGTTGCTGGATCAACAATGTGAAGCTTGATAGGACCTGTCGGTGAGAAAGTGGCAAACACATGCAGCGGGGCAGTTGCAGAGCACGCATGATAAAGGAATATGTATTTTCCGCCTATCCCTCCTTGTAGGTACTTGCGAGAAGCAGAGGTCGACTGAGTTGCGCGATCGAGTTGGTGGAGGTCGAAACCAACGGTCTGACCTCGGTTCAACGTCATGTTGGGATCTTCAAGTGTACATGATCTTCCTAGTTTGAGAAGCCCTCGAACAACGAGAGGGACCTTACAGACGTTAGTAATGCGCCTTGACTTGAACCGAAGTACGTTACCTGTTCTTCAAATACTCCATCCACGTTAGGATCATTGGCAAGATCAATGAAGTGCTCATGGATGTCATTGTAAACATCTTCACGAACAGACAATTGGTAAAGATTCGTTGACGGACGCTCACGAGGTAGACTGCGAGTGACTTTCTCAAAGGTATAGAAATCCGGCCGGAAGATGTCCTCCTTGGGATTTCTGAGATGGATATACATCTCTCTGGGTATTCGTAAGGGGGCTGAGACGATCTCCCCATCAACGGACAACCATAGAATAAATCGACCAGTAATCTTGCTCGGGCGGATTTGTAATACGTCCCAAGTGCGACTCGTTTTGACTTTGACGCCTCGAAACATGGATGGCACGACTACTGGCGCTGAATTATTCCATCGGATGTCTTGTCGTTGCTTCCAGCGAGGACGCATTGCCTTAATCCAAGCGGAATAATTGATGGAAGGATCAGGTATCGCAGGAAGAGTCTCTTCTTCAACCTCAGGCTCTGGTGTCTTCGGCCGAACTTTGCGGTTGACAACGGCGATGCGAATACGCTTGTTTTGCGTCTCTTCTCCCTCCATATCCTCAATGTCCCGAGGCGGCGGAGGTTGTGATTCCTCTCCAGTAGCAGGCTTGAAGAAGTCTGTGAGCTTGTTTTGTTTGAACTTGTCGCCTGCTACCGCCACTCGTTTATGAAGCCAGTCGGGGTGACGTATACGAGGAACAGGATTTGGAACCTTTTGCATAGCAGCCGGTATCGTTATGAGTTTTTGGATCACCGATCCCAGGCGCTCTATGTAGTACTGCCAATCCAAGATAGATCGCAGATCAAAGTTGACCAAGCTACTATCTTTGAGCCATTTGCGAAGGTAGGTTCTCTTGACGCTTTCCTCCGCAGAAAAAATTGCGACTGGAACAGCACGCTCCGTGACAGGTGCTCCGACTGGACGCTCCGAGATAATAAACTTGCACGCAAGACCCTTGTCCTTCACCATTTGATCGCCAAGGAATTCGGCAAGACGACGAGCAGTACTGATGGACGTCGACTTCTGCCCACCATATTCAGCAAGTGTCCTAGACATGCTTCGATTCTCTGCAATGAGTTCAACCAGTTCTTCATCGTCAAGACTCTCGGCTTTACTGAAGAGGACGTCGAGCCATTGGTCGGCCACCTCCGCGACCGCAGTATAGCATTCTTGCGTGGTGGTGCCGAGTAGGAACTTTTCGAAGATCTGGATTGAAAGATTTTGATCAACTGGAGCTCTCCGCGCCGCTTCACTTCAAAACCTTTCAATTCGGCCAATGAACCGTCGTCGTTGAAAACAGCGTAACGTTTCTTCAACAATTTGTCTTCCTCCTTCGACGATGGCAGGATCATGGCCTTGTAAGGACCATCGAGCTCGAAAAAGATCGAGTTCTCGCTGTGGACCTTATACTCGCCCGTTTCAGGGTCCAAATCGTGGTACTGGTGATTGGTGAATTTCGCATGAACGAGATGATTTAGCATAGTACAGGGGTAGGAGAAGGCGATAGCTTTGCCGTTCAAGAGTTGGAACTTGAAATTTTCTGGGAACACGCCGGGCAGCATACACCAAATTCCATCAGTATCCAGCTCAAGTGGTCGTCCAATCTGTTCGACTAAGGCACGCGCCATCTGGATGATTGTCGCACCAGTGAGACAGGTAATACCGGCCATTTCCATCGAATGCCATCGGGCACCCTTTCGCATGACGTATCCGTAGAACGAGTTTAAAATGCACTTATGAGCGAGCTGCAAGGAGTCATATAGCACAATCATCTTCTTTGCCTCGTCAACCTCGGCTATCGACTTTCCGCCGCTGACCGCTGAGTCCAAGTTCTTCTTCCAAGTCTTGTGAAGACCTTTATACTCGTAACGACGGTCACGAAACCTCCGCACAGTATCGACGTAGAAAGGATTCTCCCTCTGACAAATGATGGCCTCGCGATTCTCGATCTTCGTGTCCTTGGTCTTCTTATAGACCTTGCGGGAGTAGTCACCGAGTCGCTTGTGGAGCAAAGCTGTTTGCTCTGCAGGAGAGAGATCAGAGAAACGTCTTTCAGGATTGCCCAGGACGTTTTGGCGGAAAGGTTTCCTGGTTCAGAGCATGCCTGATCATGTTGTATTCGTCACGATGAGCAGGAAAGAACTCTCCTCTCCACGCCCATTCCAACCGTCGGTCGCATGTCTTCCCTGGTCTGTTGTAATCACAGACGGCGCAAACAGATTCGTCGACCATGGAGTCTGGCTGGAGTCGATTTGACAACATGATGTTAGGATACATCGCCGCAACGTCCAGATGATATATGAGTGGGTTGTCGGTGCGCTTCGGATTGTCCCTCATGACTTCCAGGGCGGCTTGTATCTCCGCCTTTACTTCTTCGTAGTTTGTAACATCATCCATGGACGACTTAGACTCTTCAACAATGCAGAAAGTTAGGGCCGCGTCGAGTTCATCAATTAACTGTTCAAGCTAGTCAGCATCTAATCTATGATGCATCAAAAGAAACTGAGTACCTGTTGTACGGCTGCAGGTCCAATCTTGAAATCGGTCTCGATATCACTACGGAAGACACCAGCCTCCAAAGCTTCGACGTGCCCGCCGACATAAGTTTCAGACGCTAGAAGGTGGCCGTCATACATATGCCCATGTGCCTCTTCGTGTCTGTTCGGCATAATGATTTTGCCTCGAAAAGCTTCAACCTAACGAGAAAGGTCAAACAAAGTGCGAAAGGAAGATCGTGGGCCTACCATTAGCAAGGTCTCGCATAAAGTCCCGGTGCCTTTACGCAACACCTCATCAGGGCAGAGTGGAATGATGTTACAGAGAGAGAAGATGAAAGGGTGGACATATTTCATGTAGAGATAATATGTGGCAACGGCATCGGAAACTGAATACTGTGCTAAGACTTGAGGCTGCTCCATAGCATAACTAGAAAAGTGTTGTCAAGACATGTTCTGAAAGCTGGAGTAGAACGCGTACGGAGTCATCAGTTCGGGGTCCAACTCTATAGGATTGTATCCGAGCTTCGCTGTGGTCACTGCTTTTAAGCCCTGACTTCCTTGGGGAAGGTATGAATCTCGTTTCACCCATCGGAAACAATCCATATGCACACATGTGCGACTCTTATACTCATCCTCACTGTCCTTGGCGAAACCGGTCTGAAGGAACATGTCGACTCCATTGGCCTTAGCCCTCGCATCCAGAAACGGAAAATCGAAAAAGTCTCCGTTGAAAGTCGCCATGACTGTGGGTTTCACATCTTGGATATGAGAGAAGAACCGACTGATAGTAGCGGCCTGTAGTTCCAAATTTAAGATAGCCCAAAGAAAATACGAAGACGATATACATACCTCATTCTCTTCGTTGAATATTATAAAAGGTCCCTCGTATCCTTCTTTGGGAGTGTACTCGAAGTCTTCAATATCTTCACTGACGATCTCCCGATTCGTGATCAGATATCCTTGGCCGTCTACCATATAAGAGATCATCATTACTTGGTCGATGGCCTGGTCAGGGAACTTGAGCGGTGCCTTCGTCGTCTCTATGTCATAGGCCATGACGATAGGATCCGCGCGCTTGACACGCTCAGCGATATGACGAAAAGCAGGCTGACCCGCTGTGAATGTCACGGCATACCACAAACCGACACGAATGTCGATGTCGATAGCAACGCGAAGGTAGTAGGGGACATCATATTCCCTGATGTCGATGATGCACTCCCGAGGATCCATATCACGCATCCTGGGCCCATTCCCTCCAAGCGCTTCCAACTCCCCATCAAGTTCGACGCCCATGCTTGCTCCACCTGCAGCTGCGCTGATAACTTCTGCATACGCATCGACGGCGTCGCGTTTCGAGCTATTTTCCAAAGCGAGAGGTAGGAGGTCCCGTCTGACCGTCAGAAGGTCTGATACATTTCGAAAACAGAGCTGGAGGTAGAGGCGGTGATGACCCATAAGATGATTAGGAAGCTTCAAGTCCTCTTTGCGCTCGCGCGAGATTCGACAGATGAGCCCTTCGTACTTCTTGTTCAGCCACTCTTCAATAGTAGATTCGGTTCCAGTCTATGCTTTTGTGAAATTCAGTTTGCGCTTGATACAAAGAGCTTACCTTGCACGCGATGCAGAAGTAGGGTTCGTACGCGTAAGTGGCCTTGAACATCCCGCCATCGTCTTGAATGAAATAGTAATCAACTGCAGCTTTTCCAGATGGCCAGTCCGGATCTTTGAGCAGCGTCTTGACAAAACAGATGAATGAAAATCCCATAACACGATGTAGGACACATACAGGATGCATATTGACTAGCCAGCCTTCCTTCATTCCACCTTCCTGTATCCTGGAAAAACCGAGCTTCTCGTCAACTTCATCATTCAAGGTTATCCTTTCGAATCTCTCAGCCATCTGCGTTCCATCGTCCTCACGTATTGGGGCAGGTTCACCAGGTTTATTGCTGCCACCTCTGCCACGTCCACGGCCGCGCCATCCACCACGAAAACCCGACCGAAACGAGCCTCCGCCTCTACCGCGAGACGATGTGAGTCCAAATGTGCCGCGTCCTCGAGCCATGCCGAGGTCGTCGAATACGGAATTGTTCAGGAAGAAAATAGGAAATGAGAAATGGTGTTGTGACTGTGTGACAAGGGAGGTGAACTAGCACGTGATGTGACCATCGCATTCCGGTCGGCTCCTCCTCTTCTTTGTTTGAATCACCTTTCTTGTCTCACTTCGAGATGATTCTCTTCACAATCCGCAACAGCTTCTGATAGTCATCGTATCTTGTCTTTTACCCCCTCTCGCATCGGCTTCACTGCCATTCGTGCCTCTGCAGAAAGTGAAGCTTCGGCAAGTGTACAATTATGTAGGTCTTCACGAACCAAGACCTCCGTGACTAAAACAAAAGTACATCTTACACAAAAAATCTATTCCTCCGTACATGAATATGCTAGTCGGCTCGAGGAATCTAGATAATGTATTTCATAATCCCGGCTCCGATTTTCTATTTGTAAATGAGCTTAATAGTCATGGATTTGATGGGATAACATCGCGACCACCTCTTCACTCTATTCAGTCAAACACGTTGCTAACCTCATTCCTTGGAAGGTCTTGGTCTCTCTTTGTGTCAGGGTGATATGAAGAAACTGTGGAATCACACTGCTGGAAAGACTCAAGGGTCACGGTCACCCAGCATTTTGAGAATTATATAAAGGAAATCATACAATACAGAAGCACATCGACTGAACGAGCCACGCAGTGGCATGTTAGAGTCAAATTATGTACTCCAATCGCCTTAATCTGACCTCTCGCCCTTCTCTTGCTAGCGTCTCTACAACAGAAGGTGTCACGCATAACTGGATCTAGGCCTGTGGCAGATCGTTCTACTATTTCTTCTCTGTTCACTTGGTCTCCTCAGTCGGGACATATGCACATGTTTCCAACTCCCGAACCACCGTCGACACAGGATCCCAATGCCTCTCCCGATGAACCCGATTTAGATGCCGAGCTCTTGTACATAACACCATGTGTTCGTGGGCACCCAGGTCGCGTCATTGATTCGGGCGGCAAATCCTTTGTTTTTGGTACATGTGTTATACTGGTGCGGATGCAGTGAATAGCACCATCACAGTTTCCGCAAGCATCTATTTAATTCGCCGAATGCAGGTTCATGTTCCTCAAATAAAACTTCCTTCAAAGCGGAATGGCTGACGAGAAGATTTATACGCAATCGAAAATGCGCTGATGGTGCTATTTGAAAACGAGGGAAAGGTGTTATTATTATCCCTGGGCGGTCTATGTTGATCACCACAGATATCTGGATAGACTGTACTAAGCGAGTATCAGCTTTCAGAAGAATGTCGAAGGAATGCTGGAGCCGTTTCAGTATCTAATTTGCTTTGGTCAGTCTTTCAAGTCATGTCTTTTGAATTTTCCCACTGTAACGAGCTTTCATAGGCAGCCTGACTGTTTCCCATCCCCTTCCTTTGTCCCCTTGCTCATGAATAGCATATTATAGGCCCATTTTGATGATTGTGTATTTTAGATTTCAACGTGCAGATAGCTTCAATCTCTTGTTTGTTCTTAAAGAAGTCCTGCCCTTCAGCCTGAACAACATGAGGTTTCTTCCGAGTCGTGCAGTCACAGACTGATGTTTGTCAGCACGTTCAGTTTCAGCTTTCGACTGTCGTCTGCGTCCACTCTCGCTTGCATAACTGTAGTCTTTTGACTTCGGAAACACGTTTACTGCTAACATTGTGTATATTATTGGAATCGGGGACCCGGCGCTTGCGCCGCTACCGACATTGTCAGACCCGTCACAGTACAACAAAACGTGACCCTCATCTTCGACCTCTGAAAGACAAACGGCAGAAATGCTGACAGTGGGGAACGGAAGGACGTCGCCGTTCAGCTCATCGGAGAGCCTCCACCGCGACAGACGTCAACAAACATACGAGGGCTTTTCTATGTGCATGTGCAAGTGGATGAGTCGGTGGTGCTGGAGGAGAGCCTTGGAAGATGCCGCAATGAAGGAGGAAATGTAGGATTGTTCAACATCTGCGACGATTCTCTTATATGAGATGGAGGTCATACGAGCAATCGAAAAGAAAATTCGGCATTCTGGTGCTGGAATGCCCGCTTAGCAACGGTTACACGTAACGTTATTATACAACTCGTGTTCGACGTAGGGTTTCAATAGGATGTGGTTACTTTACAATGTTGAAAAAAACGTCCTGGGACCTAAAGATGGAAACTGGTCTATCGTCTAGGGTATACTGAGACTCGTCCGTTCATAGCCTAGGCGTGCTGACTTTCTCTTCGGGAGCGTACTTTGCCTGGGGAAGACAGTGAGGTAAACGTCGCGTGAGATAACTTGCCGGCACTCACCATTTCATTCTCCTTCTTCTCATAGCCACATTTCTTGTAGAACGCTGTAGGAATCTCAGGACAAAATCCACGAAGAAAAAACAACGCGAACACGCACGTATATTCGCATCGCTGCAGTTCAGTATCGTCTTGTAGCACCCACTGTTCTCGCTGATGTACGTCAGGGCCTGGATGATTCTCAGCCCGAGCTTCTTTCCCTGCTGGTTCTTATCGACGGCTATATCCTCGATATGTCCGACGCTTCCCAGGCCACGTAGGAACTTGCGCTCTATGAACACGCACCCCACGCCAACAATGCGGTCGGAAGCTTTGTCGACGATGACGATGGGGTAGTACGTCTTTGGGGCAGCACGCATGGCATCGAACTGGGCAACCCATGCCGGCTCGCCCGGGTCTGTCACGACTGTTAGGACAGAAAGTACGTCAAGCTGGCCACGGTGGTAGTCGGTGGATGCCAAGGGGCGGATCTATAGTAAAGAGCAGATTTGAATAAGGATTTTGAGTCATCATGAGAAGACTACGCACATGCAAATCAGCAGGTAGCTGCTTTTTGACTTGTGGGCAGATGAGCTCAGCGGGAAACAAGAGGTCGAGAGCGTCATCGGAGGTGAATGAAGGAGCCATCGGAAGAAAAAAGGTGAATGAAAGTAGAGAAGGTAAAAATGGGCCCGGAGAAGGGAATGATAGCGAGACGGGGTAGCTGGTAGTGGTAGTTGTCGTCAAGGTTAAACGTGGTTAAATAGGGTTATATAACCGTCACTAGCATAGCCACCACTGCATGCCTGTGCGCCGTTGCGCTTTGCACGGCCACCCTACGGGGCAGTTCTCATGCCGGGATTAACCAATTTCTCGGATTTGAACGAGGTCCGTTGGCTGTTCCCTGTCTGGCTGTCGGTAAAGGTATCATCAAGAACATTCTTGTAATGGACGATGTGGTGAGCATGACTTCGTATCAACCCTGCATTTATTACTCTTATTACTACCAGTGATGACCACGTTCCCATCAGAACTCGTGGAAATAATCGTTCATGAAATTTGGCACTCTGAAATGTCCTCTGTTCTCGTGGAAAGCTCCGTATGCCTCTCAGGAAATCTGCTCCCGCCCCGCATATATTTACTACCTAGTATGTGATATGGCGCCAGAATCCATCATCTATCGTGATCTCATCCCTCAACGTTATATCTTACATGTTCTGCCCGTCCATATTCGCTACGACGTATTACAAGGTGATTTGTGGATGACCCTACTTGAATGACTTTAAATCAGACTCGTTGAAGGTAGAAGATCCTCGATGCCGGCGGCGGATACTAGTAATCAAACACTAAGTAATCCCACGGCACTGGGTGTTTTTTTTTGATGGATGCCGGAGGGACGCACCAGCACGGCAGCATGGCTTACAGAGAGTGGGAGAGATATGCTTGACTAAACTGCGAGTACTTAAGTGTATAGCTAGTTGGCAACCGTGACACTTCACACAGATGGTATTTGACTTTGCAGAAGCTGCAAAACGACACGCTACTCCCCTACCTGCACTCGAGAGCGCTGATCTAGTATCAGGCATCACGGCTGTAGTGACGCAGGTATGTATCATTTGCGATTAGTACTGTGACTCATTTCTGTTTGAAGGAATCGGATGTGAGGCTATTGAAGCCCTAGGTTGAACACGAGTCGTATAATAACGCTACATGTAAGCTACTAAACTAAGCCTTTCAGTGCATGCCAGAGGGACACGTCAGCATGGCAGCATGGCTTACGGAGAGATAAGCTTGTAATGAGTAAACTGCGAGTACTTATATGTGCAGCCAGTCTGATTCTTGGCAACCGTACACTTCACACAGATGGCATCTGACTTTGCAGAATTTGCAAGACGACAAGCTACTCCGCTACCTGCACTCGAGAGTGCTGATATATCAGGCATCACGGCTGTAGTGACAGGTTCGAATACAGGTATGTGTTGTTTGCTGCTACAGTTGATTAGTACTGCGACTCATTTCTATTTGAAGGAATCGGGTACGAAGTGGCCAAGTACCTTGCTGAGAACGGAGCGTCCAAAGTCATTTTGGCATGTCGAAATGAAGTGAAAGGCAGGGCTGCTGCATTGAGGCTTGGCAGCGCTGTCGAGTATCGACACTTGGATTTGGCTTCGTTCTCTTCGGTACGTGAATTCGTGCGAGATTTCAAGTCCAACGGGATGCCTTTGCACCTTCTTGTGAATAATGCTGGGATGCATAGTGTCCGCAAACAGACTACTGAAGATGGACTGGACCTGCTGTAAGTTGGTTTTTGTCAACGATACCGTGCCGACACTAATAGTCACATACCCGTAGGATGCAGGTCAATCACATCAGTCCCTTCCTGCTCACTCTCCTCCTCCTCCCCATCATGGAAGTATCCTCTCTAAGTCGTATAATCTGGGTCACCAGTGGCGGAGCCGCCATTGCTGAGTTCCCTCAGGCAAGCGAGACTCATCCCGTCAGCGCTCTCTGTGCCCTGCAGTTCAAACCCGAGGAAGAGCATAACTTGTACTTTACCTCGAAGTTGCTCAATGTTATGTGCTGCGCAGAACTGGCGCGCCGTACAGCAGTGAGAGTGGCGGCAGCCCATCCTGGGTTGGTGGCTACTGAGCTTGGGAAGAAGGATATACGTGGGGAGAATTTCCAGCCGGTCGATCTGGAGGGGAGATGGGGTATAAAACCACGGAGTCCAGCGGAGGGGGCAAAAACCGTGCTCATGCCTGCAACATATGATGTGTCGGTCTTGTGGGAGCAGGAGGGGGAGATGCCCCTGTTTGATCATATGGAGCGGGCTGAGTATCCGCCAAAGGCGAAAGATCAAATTTTGAGGGGAAAGGTGTGGGAGGATACCGTGAAACTGATGAGCCTCGGCACTGACGAACTCGAGGAGCGGTTTCTCTAAAATTAATATTTTTTAGTCCGATGTACTGTATAGATAGGAAGCACCAATCAACTTTGAATCGTTCTCTGCCTTTAATTTTGGAACTAGACGAACGTCGCTCTGAATTCGCAGCCTTACCCAGGGCGACCAGGTTGATAATCGTGTAATGTCATGAAATAATTTACCTTTCAAGACAGAGGTGCCACATTCACTGTAACCGAATTTCGAGCAAGAGTATGTCGGCCATGGTTCATAGTTGCATGCACGTTGCATAGCACTTCGCAAGGCCAAACGACTGACATTGGCCATGGTCTAATGCGGTGGAATGGGCTCACAACCGATGTCAAGGGGAAGATGAGCATCCATGATTTAGACTTTTCATCTGTAGGTTCGTCATATAGTATCTGCCTTTTATTGGCTAATCTCAGGTTTCTTCACTTGAAACACATTACACGAGGTAGAATGAATGCAGTTGTGCAGTTGCGGCGGCGGCCTTCGAAGAGCATCCATCATGCGCTCTGTCTGACCAGAGCGCACTTAAAGTTATTAGCCCGTGCAAACCTGACTCGGCGGCTGATCTCGGTGTCACGATCATGTGAGATTCTATGCTTTCCTCCTATTACCATGACCGCATTACCTGCAGAGCTCGTGGAAATAATTGTTCATCAAGTATGACACTCTAAAATGCCCTCTGTCGTCCGACGGTCCTTCATGATGGCTTGCCCTCGGATCAGCCGTATGTGGAAAGCCGTTTTTGCCCCCATCGCCTCCCAGGATATCTACATCCCCAGCCTCGCATACATATACTACCTATGCGATATATCTGGACGCCAGAAATCCATCATCTACCATGACCTCATCCCTCGACTTACCCGTACCATTACCTGCTTCGTCGATTGTGGAGCAAACGCAGGGGAAAGTGAAGTAAAAGAAGTTTACCGCCTTCTCATGTGGCTACCTAACAACATTGGCTTCAAAAGTCTTTTCCCGCAAGTTCCCTATGTATCTCTCGAGGTCGTTGGATCGGCGGTGGACGGGTAAGGTCAGATTTACGTGTCTTACATGGTCTTCCCATCCACATTCGCTACGGCCGATACCTGTGCGAGGCACGCAAAGATGGGTGTGTACCACTGGATGTACATGTGTCCATTGCAGATCCGGATCCTTTCTCAATCTTGTATGGTGACAACTCCGAGTCGTTCTACGTGTTTTGCGAGCTGCGCCATGTCGGTGTCGGTGGTCTGGTGTTCATGCTACATGACCCGTATGATCAGAGGATGTGTCGTGGTGACAACTTATATTTCCACCAAACTACGTATGCGCGTGAAATCCGAGGGGATTTGGAAGACATCAATTGGTCCTTGTGGATGGCTTCTAAACGACCCTACGGTACGTGGCCATGGGTAATCCGAGTCACCTCGGTTTGGGTTTTCTAACATGCAATCTTATAGGATTGAGGCGCCTTGCTACCCCCCTTTATTGCTGGGAATATAAACGGTTGCAGCGGCCATTAGGTTATTTTGTCTGGGCATGGGCAGCAAAATGCCATCAGTCCATCATTGATTTTGAAGTAGTATAGGTTTCGAAAACCCTTGTCCACGCAAACAAGGTAAGTAAAATCAAACAAATACAAGAGATTCCCGAGAGTCTGTAACCTTAGTGATATGGGGCTCGTTCAATAAGGAACAATGTTAAAACAAGGCAGAAACAGTGAAGCCATCTTGTTTTGGTATCATATTGCCACGGTTGCGGCATTCGCCGAGGCGTTTCTGTGTGCGTCGAATCCGCCAACGATACCTACGTCCCTCAAGAATCCGTTAAAGTGAGTAAATCTTTGTTGTTTCTCTGGCCATCCGTCTGCATTTGGAGTCTATGCACTCGTAGCTTTCCAACGCTACCCAAAACTTTGACAACGAACGGAAATTTGAGATGGATTCAGCCAGATGCCGTCGGATGTAGTGTTGAACAAGTGCTGATTTTTTCCTCCTCTCGGAACTTTGGTTTGTACAGATGGTACGTGACTATATCCTTCCTACCGTATTCACAGAAGGCTAATATGTGTTTACTGAGTGTAGAAGGTCGAGATTGACTCCTTCTCCGGCTACCGTATTTACCCCAGCAAGGGTAAGCTGTTCGTCCGTAGCGACAGCAAAGTGCGTCGGCTTCCTTCTGCACTGCTCAGAGTCTCATCGAAACACCAGGTCTTCCGATTCGCCACCTCAAAAAATGCCTCCCTGTTCCTCCAACGCAAAAACCCTCGCAAGATCGCCTGGACACAGGTATTCCGCCGGATGCACAAGAAGGGTATCACGGAGGAGGTTGCCAAGAAGCGTTCGCGGCGCACTGTGAAGCACCAACGTGGTATCGTCGGTGCTGACCTCGCTGCCATTGCGGCGAAGCGTAACCAGACCGCGGCTGTTCGTACACAACAGCGATTGGCTGCTATTACGAAGGCTAAGAGTGAGAAGAAGGAAAAGGAGTCCAAGAAGCCGAAGGTGAGAAGTGCTCAGAATATTTTGTTTCGCCCGTGAAATAATGATTTGTAGGCTTCGCGTCCTGCTGTTCCTACTGGTCCCAAAGTGTCGAAGCAGCAGATGAAGGGTGGAAAGGGTGGACGATGAGCGGTCTGACGTTACCTACCGTTGTTATTCATGGTCCCATCACTTCATGCAATCTATGCGACTATGAGCATGCCTTTCCATTTTCTAGGCTAGTCTATTATCTATCCTGAACGCCACAAAATCCAGTTGTTCTTGTTAGCCTCTGGAATTTCCGGTAATTCATCAAACAATGTGGTATAAAAGGCTTGGCATGACTTATCTTTTACGGCAAACGTGACTGTTAATATCATCTTCAAGTCCAATGTTAACGTTTACCGGTTCACCGTTCCGCAATGTAAATCCATTAACTCGAAAGAAACAATAAAATGCAGACTATGGTTGACGGATTGGCGCCGACTACTCGCGCTGGAGCCCGGGGTGAAAGATATCGCGATATCGCGGGCGCTGAGCCGTCAACAGAAGGGGTGACAGGAAACGATGGGCGCTGGAACAGGAAGAACAGGATCACCGAAGCCATCGGGAAATGGCCCTTGCTGTTTCCCGCAGTTGTAGTAACCGGACCTGTTACCGGGCCTGGGAATTTCATCAACTGGCATACAGCGCCCACTCGATTCGACCTTGAAATATAAAGGAGACACGACCACGGGATGCTCCCTTTCTCTCATGGATCCTTCTACCCCGCCATCCCAGGCTCGAGCGAGCCATACCTTTGTCCCACCACCTTTAGATGGTTCTCTGTCGCTTCCCGAGATATACGATTATAATGCGATCCACAGTCCGGACCACCTCGTGTTCGTGTACGACGACGACAATGACGGCGTCAAGAAACTTGTCTGGTCAGAACTGGGCCAGGCAATGCACAGAGCCGCGTCGGTAGTACGGAGGAATCTGAAAGAGCAGCATCGCAGCACGTCGACAGTAGTCGCAATACTGGCGAATGTAGGTGAGCACGTCTCTGTTTCCCGGTCATCGTCGATGCTGAAGCCAAGCAGACATCTTCAGTTACTTTACGACGATAATGGGTATCCTACGCGCTGGCCACCAGGCATTCCCTATATCGATCGTGACCACGACGCCTGCTGGTATCGCCCATTTGCTGCAGCATACACGCGCCAAATACCTGCTCGTCGGCGTTGATCCGGTGTCACAATCCTTAGCCTGTGCCGCACTCCAAGTGCCGTCCATTGGCGGGACTATTGGGGATAACGTTAAAGCCGTTCCAATGCCCTCCTTCGAGGAACTATTCTCAGAACCCGAATACGAGCGCGAACCCGTGCCTCCAATTCATCCGCGACAGACTGATCCATGCCTCATATTGCCATCTTCTGGTGCGTGTGCCGCCTTCGGGCAATGACCGATCGCGTCTTGATATTGTGATTGCAGGTACAACCGAGTTCCCTAAACCGATTATCATAACACATCATGCTATGCTGCAATGGAATTGGGTTCCATGTGAGTTCAGCGTCGTCGCTACGCTCTAACGGGGCTGAGTTCGTCCCTAGATTGCGGTAGAACGGACCTCTGTGGCCATCTGCTTTCGGCGCATGCTTTGGCGATGACTCGTACGTAGACTTCTCTTCCTGGTCTTTTTAATTTATGACTCATGCCAAAGGTAGATATCTTGGGCGCTACCATGCTGTCATGGACGGTATGCCGCTTAGTCCGTGATCTCTTGCCATAATGTGATGCCATCTGTAGGCTAGTACGGGTATAGCGGTGGCGGGATTTTCACCATGGCGCAGCCCTGCACCTCCTGATGCGGATGCCATGATATCTGGTGTCGTCAAGACGTCAGCGACATTGTTGTGTACAGCCCCCTCACTGTTAGAGGTGAGTTGACATCTCTGTTCGCAGGATTTAGTTGGGCTGAGAGATTTTTAGACGTGGGCCAGGAATCCTGTCCATGTTTCAGCATTGAGAAAACTGTTTGCTGTTGTAGGTTTTCATTTGTCTATGACGATTTATGTACTTGACGGAATATTATTATAGACCTATGCCGGTTCAGCTTTGGACAGACAAATTGGAGACTTTCTTGCAAGCCATGGCGTGAAATTGGTCAATCTCTATGGATCGTAAGTAGTCTATATGCCATGAATCTTGGCTTGATTCACTTTGTTTATTTACAGAACAGAAGTTGGTTGTGGTTCTGAGTTCATTCCGGGTAAACATCTATCCCCATTATCTATGCTAGCAGCAGCTGATTTCTGTTGCAGACGACCCTGACCCAAGCCGTTGTACATATTTTAAGGTAAGCCTGTCGAACAGCATGCTCCAACATACCCCTCAACTCAAAGCTGGGCAGTTCTCCCCCCATAGTACTCCCAAATTCATACCATTCAGCGAAAATGTTTATCATTTACTCTTCACTGTAAGCCATCATTGCAAATCCTCCATTCCCATCGCGATTAAAAACATAACAGAATACATCAAAACACCCGTTACACGTAGTAAACACGGAGTCTAGTGGCGTAAAATATTTCGATACCCATGATCTTGTCATCCGCCATCCTACCTGATCCTGATCTCTGGAAAGTCTATGGGCGCACCGCTGACATCATCACATATACCAATGGCGAAAAGGTACTGTTTTAACGTAACCCTCCATATTTTGCACCTTTTGATCCTAGTCAATATGAACAGATAAATCCCGTACCGATAGGTAAGAAACTCTCCGGCTCTCGTATACGCATTCTGACAGCCGTAATACATTCATCAGAGCAAGCGATATCAAAGCATCCGATGATTGATCGTTGTGTAATGTTCGGGAAGGGAAGGCCTCATCCGGGGCTTGTTGTTGAGCCATCTCGAGAATATGCAGTTGATATCAAAGATGGGGATCTTGTCAGTGAGTACGTTGACGCCATATGGTGAGTGCTTTCATTTTATCGCCGCGGCCTACACTTAGTCTTCTTAGGCCTCATGTGGACGAGGTCAACAGCTCCCTACCGGAGCACTCAAGAATGACAAGAGAAATGATTATTATTACCGACCCGGCGAAGCCCTTCCAGTACTCCCAGAAGCTGACTCTGCGAAAGTTTGCAGTTTTGCAGGATTACAATGATGAGATAAACCAGGCTTATCGGTCTACAGAGGTAGCCCAGCCTTTGCATCGTCCTGAGATGTGGGATCAAGAGCATTTCTTGAAGCTTGCGAGAGCGGCTGTCGAGAAGTATATGCCATGCTCGCTCAAGGATGATGATGACTTGTTTCAGGCCGGATGCGACAGGTAGGCTTCGTCTAATGCTTGTGATATCCTTGGGCTGACACACGAACATAGCTTGCAGGCAACATGGATCCGAAATATGATCTTCCATTTCCTCCATCGATCACTAAAAATATCGACCAGGAATATACCCCATACGCTCGTGTACTCCAACCCGACTATCCAACGATTGGGCACCTACATTTGGCAGGTGATCCAGTATGGCCAAGCCTCAGTCGCTCTGTCGACGCTTTCTGGCAAGATCGCGGAGATGGAGGCGTTGGTTGGGAAGTACACCACTGACTTTCCCGTGCATCGTCCGGGTCCGAGTCCGAGTGGGGGAGGGAACGACGTGGTTCTGGTGACAGGAACCACGGGAGCCTTGGGAGCGTATATTTTGGATTCGCTGATCAATGACCCCACGGTCACGCGTGTGTATGCGCTGAATCGCGGGGACACGAAGGGTGCGAGGTCGGTGTACATCAGACATGTGGACAGTTTCCGCGAGAGAGATCTGGATTGGACTCTATTGAACTCGGATAAGCTGGTTTTGCTTGAGGCTGATTTGACGGTGGAGGGCTTAGGCCTTGAGGGGCAGGTGTATGAGGAGATCCGGAGGGATGTGACGTGCATCATTCATAGTGGTGAGTGCTTCTCTTTGAGCACGGGATGATGCAAGAGATAGCTAAAATACTTCTTCTTTCAGCCTGGCTTCGGAACTATGCTGTTTCATTGTCGACTCTGGAACCTTTAATTTCCGGAACGCGAAGATTAATTGATTTAGCGCTGGGCTCGCCCCATTCTGCACCGCCGACATTTGTTTTCGTCAGTTCATTATTGGTTTTCAGGAGTAAGTGTGGCTCCTTGATTGATGTTTCATGGACCTGACGGCTTGTGATTTTAGATTGGAATCCTCGACAGCTAGCGCCAGAGGCTGAGAATTCGCGTCCGGCTACAGCAATTGGCTGGGGATACGCTGAGTCGAAGTGGGTAGCAGAGAGTATACTGGCTAGGGCAGCGGAGACGACGCCATTACGCGTCTCTGTGGCTCGTCTGGGACAGCTTAGTGGAGGGTCTAATGGGTGTTGGAGTCCTAAGGAGTGGTTTCCCTTGTTGGTCAGATCCGGTCAAGTTGTCGGTTGCATACCGCAGCTTAATGGCGTAAGGCTTATTCTGATTTGTATCCCCCCTCTGATGTAAACTGACTATATTCTTCGCCAGGTTCTCGGCTGGACGCCTGTCCATCTAGCTGCCCGGGCTATCGTCGAAGTGCGGCATAGTGGTGAACCGTACATGAATATGGGCCATCCAAACCCTATGGACGCATTGGAGATGTTCCGGATGGTGAGTGAAGAGCTGGGTGTGCCTATGGTGCCGTACCCCGAGTGGCTGGCTGCGTTGGAAGCGTCCGTGAGGTCTGGAGAGACGGCTAGTCATATACCGTCTCTGGCGATGATGGAGTTTTACCGGTCGGCTTATAGACCGCTGGGGAGCCAGAATTGCGATGCGGTTGGAATTACGCTGGGTGAGTCGGAGAGGGCGATGTTTGCCTCGTCGTCGATGCGGGGTCTTGTGGGGAAAACGGTTGGGAAGGAGGATGTGGATTTGTGGATGAGGTATTGGAGGAAAGTGGGGCTTCTTATGGGGACGTGTTGAGTGGTGTTGGGCTTCGTTTGGGACTTGGATTGGAGCATGGACTTGATACCTGTACTTGGGATATATTACATTTAAGTTATTAGTAGAAATACTTATACCATTATGTGGCCGGTGGGCTTCGTACGTATTCTCAAGCATTGGAGCTCGAGGAGATAGCTGTCTATATAAGAGTGTAAGGAAAAATCAACATGCAATGTTCGATACAAAGGACAGATTTACTACTAAGTGAAGATATTTGGCTGCGTGACTAGCATGTACCTTTCTGAAACGCTCTTCTCAAACGATAGGTATAGATTCAAGTATTAACGATACAGTCACCAGAGGTTGCTATCCAAAATAACCAGGACTGGCCCACCGGCCTTGGATCATCGGCTGTGTGGGACTGCGGATCTGAGTTGCGCCCGGGCCCGTGACGTGATGGTCACCGCGTGAGAAACAGCGCCTCCTCCTGCTTGTACACTAACATCCGCCTACTTTTCCTTCCAAATCGTTTGAAACGGTGAGGCTACCTCCATTATCCTTCTTCATTGTTTCTTACCTTCTGCCGGTGCTCGCCTACGACCATCTTCACAGATAACCCTTCCATAATGTCGGTGCCGAGTCTCGAAATATCAACGCATAGCACGCTAATGCCCTTTCGCTGCCTAGGTCTGAGCCTTACGACCCGTATCTGCCTCGCAATGGCTCGTCTTCGAACCCAACCGGATCAAGTCAGGGGGGCGGAAATGCGAAGACTGCTGCTATTCAGGCGCAAATTGACGACACTGTTGGGATTATGCGGGAGAACATCACCAAGGTAGCAGAGCGTGGAGAGCGGCTGGATTCGTTACAGGACAAGACAGGTGCGTTTACGGGTCTCCACGTCGTCTTGGACGGCGAGCTGATGGTACACATCATCCCTTTTACTTGTTCGTTTCAGATAATCTTGCTGTGTCGGCTCAAGGTTTCCGCCGTGGTGCTAACCGAGTCCGAAAGGTGCGTTCGTGTCCTCGTTTATGTGCTTTTCTCTTATGTTTTTATGCAGAACATGTGGTATGTCATGGTTCTGTGTCACTTGCTGTTGTCATTGTAATTCACGTAACTACCCGTGCCTAGGTGGAAGGACATGAAGGTATGCTACTGTTGATCTTTTGCTGTGTCTGTTGGTGGTTAACGCATGAAAATGTCAGATGCGAATTATTATTGGAGTAGCTATTGCGGTGATTATTGTTATCATCGTGGTCTCCATCGTCAAAGCGACACAAAAATGAGCTCTGAATAGTTCATTTTCTTTCTATACACCTCGCTTCTTGTCTGTATCTATGCTCCATAGTGTTACTTTCCCTTCCTCTTTTGCCGTGTCATTGGTGGAGTAGCTGTGAATTTTAGGATATAATTCACATCGAGGGTAGTAGTTTGCTTTGGACTAATTTCTCTTTGTTGTGTATCTTCATGTCCCTGGATTGCAAACAACTCATTTGCACAATGTACATACCTTAACTTCAGAAAAACATATGCAGGTTCGGCGCTGTTTTTCCTTCTCTTCCTCGCTGTCAGAAGGAAGCTGTGTGATATCTTAGACGTACGTGTAATAACTGCGGTAGCTGGCGATATTCCCACGCCACGGTTTCCGATTTGAGAAGTCATCCTGAACAACTTGTATCGAAACATTTACGTCGTCCTGCTCTGCTCTCTTATTTTTGCATAATTTCTTTTTCACCACATCTAATTCTGGCCGCAGTCTCTCGTTTAGTTCTTTCAACATTTATGCCGTCATGTCTACTGGTCACGCACACAAACATTCCGGTTCTGTATCCCAGAACCAAAAGGCACAGCTCGCCAACGCATATAACGAACTGGGGAAGGAATTAGCGTCGCATAAAGTCAGAGTAGTCGGAAATTACACACTGGGAAAGGTCATTGGTGAAGGTATGTTCAGTGCTGTTGAGTAGCTATACCGGCGGTAACAGTTGATGATGATACAGGTGCCTACGGAAAAGTACGTATGGGCACCCACCGGTTGACGTCGACCCGGGTCGCTATCAAGCAGATTCCGAAGTCCATGTCAGCTACCCTCACCCGTGAGATACACCATCACCGCCAGCTACACCATCCGCACGTTGCCCAGATGTACGAGGTCATCGCGACGGAGTCCTCAATATGGATCGTCACGGAGCTCTGCTCTGGAGGCGAGCTCTTCGACTATCTCGTCGAAAAGGGCCGCTTGTCCGAGGACGAGACCAAAGTCATGTTTGGCCAGTTGTGTCTCGCTGTTGCATACCTCCACGAGAAGGGCATAGTCCACCGTGACCTCAAGCTTGAGAATGTATTGCTCGATGAGCGATGCAAGGTGAAGCTCGGGGATTTTGGGTTCACAAGGGAGTTTGAGCGGGGAACGTTGATGGAGACGTTTTGTGGGACGACCGGGTATGCCTCGCCTGAGATGTTACAGGGCAAGAAGTATCAGGGTCCGGGTGAGTTGTCCGTGTCGCAGTTGATTGGCGTCTCCTCATGACTGGCCCAGAGGTGGACGTGTGGTCACTGGGTATTATCTTGTATTGCCTGTTGACTGGAACGCTACCATTTGATGACGATGACGAGGCTGTCATGCGACAGAAGATTATAAAAGGCGATTTTGAGGACCCAGAATGGCTTTCTATAGGTACGTTGCTCTATGCTGTATTACCGGCCGTATCTCAAATTTTCGTCAGAATCCCGCGATCTCATCAAGAATATTTTGGTCATGGATCCGGCTAAACGTCTGACCATACCCCAGATTTTGACTCACTCGTGGTTTGGCACGACAATTCCGACATTCCAGCATGAATCACCTATACAACTATCCCCCAACTCTGTACCTGCTGTATTATCATCCTCTGGGTATGAATTCCCCTCAGAAACAAGCTCTCCAGATGTTCCATTACAGTCCATTCCTGAATCTAATCGCTCCTCCGAAGCGTCCTCTTACTCTAACCATTCCGCATCGACTTTCCATTCTACTTGTGGTACGTCTCCTCCTACCACTCCAGATCGTTCTTCTGGAGACTCCTTCGAAGATTTGCCGAAAATCGCACCCGCCATCCACGCCAACCCTAGCGAAACTACGATTAGACGTCCCCTTCAACCCTCCGATCTTGACTCGATAGTCACGAAGGTAGAGACAGTGATGGAGGAGGAAGCGGATGATGTTCTCGAAGTTCCTTCACCGCCTCAACGTACTCTGTCGTCGAGCTCAAAGGCGCCGCCAGTCCATTCGGTCCGAACCCCGGCGCGTACAAAGCGTCGCTCGGTCTCCTCTCAACTTTCCGACGGGGAGTCTCCAATAGCAGAGAAAGCGCCAACCCTGCCTACACCGCAAGGGCAGGATGTAGACTTTTCGTCTTTATTGAGTACCCCGGCCCCGATTATATTCTCGACGCCATTAGAACAGGAATTGCTAAATTCGCTTAGTATGCTAGGATTCGACCTAGGTCAGATCGTCTACTCGGTGCTCAATGATGCATGCGACGCTGCTGGAGCTTTGTGGTGGATGTTGAAGCGGAAGGCAGAAAAGAAGTTGCTAGAGGATGCGGACAATCTCATAAGTCCCGCATCAGTGATAGAAGCCCATATAAAGGATGCGAAGGCCAAGGCGAAACATGGTGTCAATGTTGGGACACAAACAGATCCGACCATTCCTGCACCGTTGACTGTTGTTCGAACTACACCGCAGTTTGCTATTGTGCCGCCAACGCCTACGTTTGTGCCAAGGCCTATGACACCCCCTCGTTCAACGGCATCGCCGACATCACGGACCCTTTCACCTTCATCCTCGATGGTGGCGGAGTCGTCGCGGTCTCACCCGACAACTCCCGCGGGAAGCATGAAGGAGCCAAAGGTGCGCAAACCGAGGTCCGGCAGTGTTAGCATCATGCAGCGTGCGACAACAGCGTTGGAGGCCGCAGGCTTGGTCCGCAAGAAATCCTCTGAAGCAGTGAAGGAGGACAGGGAACGGGACAGGGACAGAGAGAGGTTCAAGGAGGCGGAAAGGAAAAGCGGGACGTTAGATGAACCTAGGTCCTCACACGGAAGCAGCTCATCAGTCTCAAAGCTGACCAAATCGCCACCTATGAGAGCCACCAAGGGCCCGCCGACTACGCCTCCGCCTCATGACCTTCACCAACAAATAGGATCGCCGTGGGTGCTGACAAACTCACGAGACTCTTCTCCGCGTCGATCTGGTTTTGTGGCGCCAACTCCTGCTAACTCACCCGGGGATATAATGACTTCTGCTTCAGCCCCAAATTTGACACCCACTGGAAAGAGCAATCAAGGATCACAGCGCAACCGGGCCAATCTGCTCACTGCGTTCAGGCTGTGGTTCCATGAAGATCGGAAGGGAAAGCGTAAGGAGAATGCTGGAAGTGTGTCTCCTGCTAAAAGTCCTTCTGGTATCGGTCGAGGACGTCCTGTGATGTCAGCATCACAGTCATATTCTGCTGGATCTATCAAGAGACGGACCAGTGGAGGTACAGGTGGTAAATTTGCTCGGGGAGGCAGGCACCGAGCACAGCGTGGCTCGATCTCATCTCGTCGTTCAAGTAGTGTTAATTCCCGAAGGTCATCTGTGAACTCTGTACAGATGATTGTACTAGATTCCCCGCATGTGCCCGGGATGCGATCTTTTGGTAGCCACACGCCCAACTCGGAACGGGGAGAGTATTCATCAAGACCATCGTCGATTCGGAGTATCTCAAAAAGGCATCGCAAATCACCTTCAGCGAGCTCAGCTGGTTCGACTCACTTTAGGACGGCTTCTCCGATGCAGAAGTACCACCGACGGGGTGGTTCAGGCTCCTCTACACGGGTCGTACGTCAGGTACAAACCAGACCTGCACACGTTCGATCAAATTCTACAACATCTTCTCTCCATTCCCCATGTTCCTCCCGACCGACGTCATTCCACGAATTCTCAGATAACGAAGGTTTCAGAGCGGGATCACCATTTCGTCCGCATTCACGACGGACTCTGGATGAAACGCCGCGCAGAAGCGGCTATAGTTCTGGTAGCACTACGTATTTCCAGAAACGTCATGGCTTATTTTCCAATCCCGTTCTCAGCAACTCTATCGGACGATCAAGTTGGAAGAAGTCGTGGGGTCTAGAACCTCCGGGGTGGCAGACCCGAACAGCTCATCTCCCTGTTGAGGTCCTTTCGATCTCGCCGGCGGCAGAGGGGTCGTCTATCCGGGATGTGTTCTCAGGGCGTCAGTCGCTCAATTTGGGAGACGAGAGTGATTGGGTGGACGAGGACGATGATGTTCCGTACGCAGGAGGTTTGGGACAGATACCTACGTCGTCGTTGCCGTCGTCTTCTGCACCGAGTCATCGTATGGAGTCACCTGTGGTCCTATCACCGGCGCCGAGAGGACATAGGAATAAGAGGGCGATGAAAGGATCGAATGTGCCGTCTGGATCTGGGACAGCGCGGCAGAAAGTATCGGAGAGGTCGTCGCCTGTGTCGGTAACGGATCCTGCTCCAGAGGCTCGTGGAGGAAGGCGGCAGTTACCTACTGGACGGGCAGGGTCTGCGTTCCGACAGGCCATTCAGGAGGAAGACGAGGAAGAAGAAGAGGAATGATCATTTACGCATTTCCTTTGATAGACTTCTGTGGGTGTGGTTTCATCTCTATTTATCCCTCCTACCTTGTTTTATATGGATACATCAGTTCTATCATTCATGAGTGCTATTTCACGTTAAGCTGTCGATACCCTCATTCATTCATTTTCCGGTTTATTATGGATGTTCATTCCGTTGTTTTATTACAATTTCTACATCTATATCTTTCTGTTCTGTTGTCCTGTTTTAGCTGGTAACTTATTATGTCGTAGAGGTGTCTTCTGGACTGCGCAGCCAGAGAATACGGACATGGTGAAATGGCTTGTGAGGTTCCTGGAACTTCCAATATTTCTGCGTTGAAGGCACAGGCGTGTTGCAGTTTCAGCATGTTGCGCGTATGTAATTCTTTTATTTAATTCTTTGTTGGGGCTATCATTGCGTTTCAGCAGATTGCCTCACTGAGCCGGTTTTTCGGATCAGGGCAGTGTGCGGCTCTGAGAACGTGTTCAATTTTAGGCATGCTTCACAATCTACTCCTTCTCTTCCCGCGCTCTCATAAGGCGGTATATTATATAGCATGCCAGCGCGAATTCCTTTTATAGGAAAGCCTCACTGAATAGCGTGGTCGGGATGCACCACGCCGGTCAGCTAACTATCGAATCGAGAGTCGGTGCTTGATGAGACTGTATGGGCCAAATCAGGCCAAATTTGGCATCCTTCGCCTTGCATTTTCCGGATGAAATTTCAGTGTCACTTCCATCCATCCTTCGGATCCCAATAAGTCTTCGCTATGTGCTTCTCCAACTACAGGGATTCCACCAGGTGCCATTTCTCCAGGCCCCAGAGGCCCTAAAATATGCTAACTACGGACAAGGGTTTCAAATTTTGGGTCTGAAATATGCTATCTACGGACAAAGATTTCGCTTTTTTTGGGCCTAAAATATGCTAAAATCCGGACAAACCTTGGCGGGAGCTTCCCGGGGCCTATCTGTGGGCAAAGTCATATCCCGCGACCTTGCGTTTTGCGAATTTGTTGGCAAAATTTCTGGTAGTAGCATTGCGTCTTCAGTAAGCCCAAGAGGAAAACAGTATTCTGTGATATTTCCATTATAAAGGATACCCGGGCAACACAGAGAAGGTTTTAGAGACCCGACATCAGTGAGCTCGCTTCAGTCTACCCTGCAAAGTCCGTCTTTGTCCCATTTATCGCTGCCAACTCCTGCAGCCACGATAAACAGGTCCTTTGGATCATACCTCCTCTTGATATCTTCCAGGCGCGGATAATTGGGTCCGAAGAACGTAGGTTTTGAAGTCTTCCTCCAAAGAATCGGCTTCATTGGAGTACGCGGCCCCAGATATTCCAGCGATTTGTTCGAGGATAGGCAGCTGGGTGTCCTTAAACGTGTTCTGAATCGAAGAAATATTTGGCAGCGATGTGGAGTCTTCCCAAACGTTAGCAAGGATAACCTGAAAAGGAGATTAGATCTTGTTTGAAATACAGACAGTTGTTCGTACATGTGTCTTTGCTGTTCGCCATGCGGGATGAATAGCAGAGTCAATATGTGCATTTTCTGATACCTTGCCTGTGATGTATTCCAAGTGAGTACAAAGAACGCCTTGTGCAACTATGTGGTTCCTACCTCCCGCAACTAGGTGACCAAGGACACTTGGTCCACCATAAAGTTTATCAGAATGGTGTTATCGACAGATACCGAAGGTGACTTACGCATCAGCCCCAGCATCAAAAAGCTGGGTATACACTTGGCCGACGATACCAGGATGATCACGATACGCACTGGCTGGGATTAGTCTTGAACCTAGCACACCGTTCTCGCCAACTACGTCGTCGGCTGCGGTAACCCCATCGTTTATATTAAGCTCATCGAGCTGCTGCGAAACAATCTGCCCAAACTCCTGAGCGTCATCTAGGAATGGCTTCAAAGCAGCGGCAGCGTCAACAGGGGAGACTCTGGGGAAAAAGGAAGTGAAAGCAAGCGTAGTATATGGATCAGCCGTGGCATTTTTGTAGACATAGAAATATTGGCCCATATGTAGGTCGTCCCAATCGAAGATATGCTTGGCGTGCGACGCCATGATTGAGCCAATTGCCGCAGTGTCGTTAACGACCATCCATACGAGCGAATATGTAGCATTGAATGTTGGGAAAGTGCGGAATGTGGCCGACACGACAACACCCCATGATCCTGCACCGCCTCCTCGTAATGCCCAGAACACTGGTAGGAAGTTCAAAGATATCAGAAAGTTGGTAAGTCTAGAAAGAACTGGGACACTGACGATCGGCGTTCTCTTTCTCGTTCACTTTCAGACATGTTGAGTTAGCAGTCACGACTTCGAACTCTGTAATTCTCGTTAGTAACAGATTCACAGAGAAGAATTGATGCTTACCGAGGACGTTATCTGAAGCCAGGCCCAGCAGGGGCGAGAGCGCTGAATGGCCGCCTCCCTGAACGTAGCCGCCAGCAGCAACGACAGTCGCCGCAACACCACCTACGAAGATCTTTCCTTGTTCCTTAGCTGCCTGGTACAAAGTGTTCAAGGGGACTCCACTGCCAACAGTGACAGCCGATCCTTCGTTATACCCGCCGACAGTAAAGTTTTCAGCAAAAGTGATATTTTGAAACTTGTGCGTAGAAATAAGAAGCGAACTGCGTGCAGTAGAGCGTCCCAGATAGTCGTGGCCAGATGCTTTAACCGCCAATCGAAGGTTGTGAGTACTTGAAAAAGCGATGCCAATCTTTATTTAAATCAGTTCTTGCCGGTCGTTCGACAACAAAGGTCATTCCATTACCTGCACGTCCTCGATAGACTCCGCTAGAATAGCGTAAATGGGAACATTGCCCTGACCACAAACTGTCGAATTCCTCTCGCATATAGACGGAGGGATGGATTCGTAATCCTGGAGAAAGACGAAATTATTATGAATTCGTTTGGCGCGTCATGAAAAGCTCACTTGTTCCCAATTGACCTGCCAAAGCGTCACAATGTTTAGCGGGGTAGTTTGATGGCAGATAAATATCGTACCTGATTCATGGCTCCAGGTATATCGGCGCGAAAAGCCGCGCTGGTCCATTCCGCGTCAGTGCAGCCGCCATGCATATTGCAAAACTGGGCTGATGGGACCGCTTTGACAAGTCTTCCAGAGACAGAAGAATTCAGATTCTTCCATTCTTCATCAGACGGAAAGCTTGGGTCTCCAGGAACCGTTCGACAATAGTGGGCACCGGCGAACGACACGCAGAGTAAGAGTACGACACATGCACAACCGAGTTGTTTGAGTAGGAAAGCGAGTCCCGCCATGACGAGGAACTCTGAAGATAGGTTCTCCCTTTTATACCCACAAACTGAAGGTGATAGTCAATTCTACCCTTAACAGCATGACGAGTAGGGCACTGCCTTGACGGCTCTTGAAGGCCGTCGAGCTGTTTTAGTTACCATAAAAGTCGGTAAATTTACATCAATACAGTTGTAATAATCCACGAGTTCAATCCGCAATTGAATTTCGGTAACTTTAAGATGCGCAAACTCGGCGAATCGCGGCGTGCCGAGTGTTTCGGAAGTTGGAGGTTTAGGTGCAAGGAGTTGGGGGAGCATCAGATGAACAACAGACTGCCAGTCCGGTAAATAGGCTTTGGGTGTAACTCATTGGAGTCACTGTATATAAAACCTAGTAGACTGCCCGTCTTATTGAGGGCGAATAATATCATGTGGATGCAATTCCAACTGCAGTACACGTACGTAAGTTGTTCTTAACCGGTGCATACCCGGCGTCGCAAGAAACATACAGCTAAGCAAAATCGAATCTGGCTTCCCAGTGACCTAGAGTCTTGGAGAATATCGATTAACCCTCTTGATGAAAATCAGAAGAATGATAGAGTTTTTGCGTAAAAGTAATGTTAAGCCTGTACCAAAGCGAGTTCAACATAACAGGGCAGGCAAAGTGAGGAGCATTGAAGATAGATCGCTTTTCGTGGCCTTCGGAAGTACGGAGGCTCGGCTCCTCGGCTTATCCTTGAAGTTGCATCCGTTAAGCTGACTAATCATACCATCACGTGATGTTCGACGCGACTTTGGAATTGGAAATTATTCATTTGTTGACCAGTCACCCTCATTACTGCCGTACAGTCCTCCGCCGCCATTCACGAGCAGCTCGGCTGCCAGTAATCTACACAACCGATATGGCGCTCCCCCTTCTTACATCCTTGCTGAATTCTCTGCATTCCCACTTGCAAGCTCAAACCCAACTATTACCAACACTTCATGCTCAGCTTGGTCTCCCTCCAACGGCACTAGAAGAAGAGCTTCTCGCAATACAAGAGAACTTGATGAAAAGCGTTGAAAATCAGATTGAATCGCGTCGGAAAGAAGTCGAGATGTGGACTGAGAAGTGTGAGGTGGTGGAAGAGAATTGTTCTTGCTATACAAAGGCACTGGGTGGAAATATCAAGTCCACGGGTAGTAGTATCGGAGAGCTAAGGAAAGAGAAGGCTCTTCCGAGACGGTATGAGATGCTTTCTGAAGCATCAAGAGAAACTACGGCAGGTGTGTGGCTCCACTGTGCTTCAATGACTCTCCGCTCAACTTGACCATAGCTGTATCATGCCAAACTCGAACAATTGACAACACTTACGAATCGTATTAATGTTCTGGCTCTCACGCTGGGCCACGATTTCTTTGCCTACGACATCATAGAAGCCACTGGGTTTTCTGGGTCAGACGACGCAGATCCTATGGCAAATCGCGACGTTACGCCAGAAAGGTTCTCCAGGCTCGAGAAAGAACTCGTTCGTGGAAAATCAGAAGTTGTGAGTTTTGAGACCCCTCGTCGTTGTCTATTTCTTATCGTTCCTGCAGTCAAAGCGCCTGTCTCAACTATCCGCTACATTCGTCCAGATTGACTGGCTGTACACTGAACTTGGGATGCCACCATTAGCGGTCGAGGAGCCACCGTCGGCATTCTCGACACCTCCTATGCCGTCTCTCTCCCTCTCACGCGCCGCTGCTTCGTTAGGAAGTAGTTGCATGGATCCATTCGCTATGTCGACGCCAACGCCAGCTTCGCGAAATCAGTCTCTTATATACCACCGTGAGGAGATGTCAGATGCAGATTATCGCCGTATCTTTGCTCATTTCGTGGCCAAGGTTGAAGAGGCTGAAGATGAAGGACTATCTGAATGTCAGGGAGTGCCAATAGGGCTGGAAAAAGTTGATCCAACCCCTGGTCTACTCAAGTGGGCAGAGAACCTTCGAACATCCTTAGAAGAAACTAAACGCCGACGAGAGGCTCACATTCAAGCCATGTTTGATGAGCTTGAAGGTCTTTGGAATCGACTGGGTGTCTCCGATGCGGATATGGACGCCTTTGTAGAAGCACACCGTGGAAGTACGGAGGATACCGTTAGGGAATACGAAGAAGAGCTGGAGAGGATGTTGGAGATAAAGAGAGAACAAATGGGCTCTTTTGTAGCAAGCGCAAGACAAGAAATCACGAAACTTTGGGATGATCTGCTGGTTGGGGAAGAAGAGAGAGCTGATTTTGCTCCATTTGCTGACGGTGAGTACTTCTACAACCTTCTGTTTCATTTTTGTTGAATCTCTGTGATAGATGAATGCACCGAAGAACTTCTGACGATACATGAAGAAGAAATCAAACGACTAAAAGAAGAGAAACGAATGAAGGCGCCTCTTTTGGCCAGTATCAAGAAGTATTTCGAGATCTGTGAGGAGGAAAAGGAGCTAGCGGCGGCCGCGTCTGATCAGTCACGTCTATTTGGACGAGGTGCGCGCGATCCAGGCAGACTCCTCCGAGAAGAGAAGATGAGAAAGAGAGTATCCAAGGAGAAACCGCGAGTACGTTCTTCTCCGGGTCATGACGTTACGTACTTCATTGATATTTCTGTCTATCTCAGCTCGAACGAGACCTTATCGCCTCTATACCTACATGGGAACAGGAAGCTGGCCGTCCGTTCCTAGTCTACGGCGAACCGATCTTGCAAGCCCTGATGGCCACTGTCAGCAACGCCGAGCAGGAGAACAAACGAAAACCTCCCCGAGCCGGGTCTGTTCCCCCACGAGCTACAACGCCTGTTAATCATTCATATGCACCGGCGAAGAGTGGCGTTGTAACTCCAGCAGTGCGACCGGCAGGAACAAGCGCGCAATGCGTGCCCAGTAAACGAATAAAGCTCAGCGACTCCGAGTCGACGGGACCACAGCGAGCTCCCTTCGGCATGTCTCGGGCAGGGAACGGTGTAGGAAGACCAGCGTCGCCCTCGAAGATACCTGGATCCAAATATCAGACGCCAACATCACTACCTCGACCAATAGCAATGCCTGTACCGAAGCCTGGTACACAGCATCATGCCCTGGGGCATGGTCGTGTCCCAAGTAGCGGAATATTGTATGGTGGTGTTGGTGGATATGGACCTGCTGGCATACGGAGTGCGAGTGTCGTGTCGTCATATAATGTGACGAGACTCGTGAGCAGCGGGACTGCTGGGCTGGCGAAGAAGGCCTCGAGGGCCAAACGGGAAAGCTTCAAGCCGCGACCGAGTGTGGATATGACTGACGTTGGCCATGGTCCAACGCGATGGACCGGGCTTACAGCTAGTGTCAGGGAGGAAGATGAGTATTGAGTAATAATTTCTTTCTCATTGTATGTTCGTCATGATATCTGCCCTTTATTTGCCGGTGACTTATTGCATCTGTTCTCACACTTCAATTTTCTTCATGATATATGTTTGTATTATATGAATAATAACAGGAACACTACTTGTCCACTTCGCCTCCGAGATCACTACTACTGTGTCGGGTAATTTGTGCAATTTAGCATTCAGCACCTGTCCTCGCAAGGATTATACCCCATGTTCGGGTTCAATAAGTAACTTGATGTGAAGTTCAGGGATTTGGATTTTTCGGCCCGGCTGACACGTAATTTTGTTCTTCTACCATGGCGACAGGTAGTGGTTTGTGGGTCCAAGAATCTGAGCTCCAACACAGATGTTTTCCCGCACATGGATCATCGGTTGTGACATGCTTAACCTTCTCCCGTGGCCGTATTATAACTGCCTCAGACGATCATTCTATTCACGTGTAATTGCCCTGCGTCTGGCGATCTACTTCGGTCGCTTGACGGGCATGAAGGGGGTGTCTGGGCGCTGGCTGCAACTGAGGATACCCTCGTCAGCGGGTCTACGGACCGTACGGTGAGGATTTGGGACCTGGCTACTGGTCGCTGTACGCACGTTTTTGGCGGTCATAGCAGCACTGTACGATGCCTCACCATTGTCAAACCGGAGTGGGTAGACGTGGAACAAGAGTCTGGATCCGTGTCAAAGGAGAAGTGGCCTGACCGATCTGTCATTGTCACTGGAAGCAGAGATCACTCTTTGAGGGTTTGGACACTTCCGAAGCCAGGCGAAGATGAGTACCACTGCTACGGCTCGGAGGATGCGGACCCAGATACCGAGGATGAAGTTTGTGTAAGTCTTCCGGACGATATCCCGTTATGCTATGTTATAATTTCACCATCAGGACGCCGAAAAGAATCCATACCATAGGCTACATCTTGAAGGTCATGATGAGGCCATACGAGCATTAGCAGCCTGGGGACGTACTGTAGTTTCAGGAAGCTATGACTACAGTGTCCGTGTCTGGGATATAGTCACTGGACAATGCAAATTCGTTCTGACTGGCCACACTGGCAAAGGTTCATCCTTCTATGCTTCATTCATTATTCACTATGCCCATAACGCATTCCACAGTGTACAGTGTCGTTATGGACCCAGCGCGCAACCAAGCGTACTCGAGTTCCATGGATGGAATGGTTCGTGTGTGGAATCTACACACCGGGCAATGCCAACGCACCTTGGTAGGACATACCTCGCTGGTCGGTCTTTTAGGAATATCGCCTTCCTATCTGGTGTCTGGTGCCGCTGATGCGACGCTACGTGTCTGGGACCCGGACACGGGCGAGTTGAAGCGTACTTTTTCCGCTCACGCGGGAGCCATCACCTGCTTCCAGCATGATGAGTTCAAGGTTTTCAGCGGTTCTGATAGTGCACTAAAGTTGTGGAACATTGGCGACGGTACTATTGTAAGAGAGTTCAAGTTGTCGACGGGTGTTATGGATACGCTACTATGGAAGGTGATGTTTGACGACCGGTGGTGTGTTGCCGCAAGCAAGAGGAACGGTACCACATTGCTCGATGTATGGGATTTTGGAAGCCCCGACGATGACGGTATAGAGGTGCCTCCGAAAGGGACTTAGGTGAAGAAGGCGAAAAGGGAAGGGGTCTCGTGGTTCAGTAGGCCCGAGCGCCACTACAGGCAGTCTCTTTCTTCATGCCTGGTCGTGACCCGTTCTTTTTTGGCTAGGTTCCATGGTTTTTGGACCGCATTCACGCATCCCGCGACTTATACGTGAAATACTGTGGACCTTATTCAGCGTGTTGCGTTTAACACATCCTCGAACTGAGTGCACTAGTGTATCGATGAAGATGTAGCTGCATGCCAAGGCCGGTGCACTGAAAGACCCATGCACAGAGGGCGTGACGATATTGGGGGTCTCCTCGGCTACTCGTGTTGACAGAAGTATCAAATACAGTATCTATTATCTATGACTTGCAATGAGACTGTTATACAGATCCACGCCGGGTAACATACACAAGTTTGTCAAAAGGCGATATGATGAGAAAACTCAAGGTACTCGGATGGCAGCAGTCATACAGTGACTGAAAAGCTCCATCAACGAGCCATCTTCAGCAAGAATACCCATGCGCTCGACCCGTTCACGTAAGTCTTCTTCCTCCCGAAGAACATTTTCCACATATTCAGCAGCACCTGACATATGTGCGATGTGACAACAAGCAGCATGAATAGCTAGATATTCAGGGCTGGGTAGAGGCAGAGTTTGAGGATTGGGCGTAGTGAAGGTGACAACACGACTTGGAAGACGTCTCAGTGTCCCTGGGGAAGTGGACACAACGACATATGTATTTGGTTGGTCGTTCTAGGTGGTGTCATGAGAATTATTGCAGCCAAGAAATTCGAGATAAATACCACAGCTTGGAGCCACAAAGCCAACTTGTCGAAGTAGTCACGAAGGCCACTGCATAATGTGAGGATGTTCTCCAATCGATGAATTCCAGTACCGTCAAGTTCATCTATTTCTATACCAAACATACGCATCATATTCCATACAGAGGCCACCCATTCGTGCTAATAAAGTGGTTACGAGCTATATATATGAACCCAGGAAACACACTTACTGTGTCAGAGGAGGTTTCAATATCCTCGCCTAAATCCGAATTGAGACCTTCCTGAGGGGTCCTGAGTCACAGGTCTGATTCTGGGCAAGACTCGGAAGTGTGGAGAAATTCTTGTCAAAATACTCGAGATCATACATGTCGGTTTTGAGCATGCAGTGAAACCCGTCACGAAAAAGAGCCTACGCGCTCTTGAGTACAAAGGGATAGATGAAAGCCTCCTAATAGACTTATCGCTTTCTTTGCCGTGCAATGATTCAGGGATGCCTGTTGGAGAAGGTTTTGATAGAACTCCGGCACATCATCGACATCTGGAGGAGATGAATGTTGCGACGAAGCAAGGGTTCTCCCTTTTACACTTTTGACTACAATGAAGTTGAAATACTGGGTGCGGAAGCATTGCACAGACGACTTACATATGCGAAGCAAGCGCTGGATGTAGTGGTTGCTTAACGCAAGTAAATTCTCGTCACTGCTACTTCTGTTGATGGTATATACCATACGATCTCTGCCAGCAGTAGTGGGAGCCTCTATAAGAGTGTATCCCAGCACACGAGCGCAGAGAAGTACAGGAGGATGTCTTGCATGAGGGAGAGGAACGAGATTGGCACGAGACTCGAGGCTCAGGCAAAGGTTAAATGCAGCGTGGATATTAGCTTCAAGAAAGGGATTCTGTTGAGGTAGAGGTCGAGGGTCAAAGTCACTTGGTTGTTGTTGGGATTTGGCAATCCGGCATCATGCCGAAGTTGCTTATTAAGGTAGAAGTCTTAGGAAAAGCATGGAAAGTTCTAGTAAAAGTACATTTAGTATAAAAGTAGGCACTTTAGGGTAGATCCTCATGCGTTTGCAGAGCTCAGCCAAGCCCAATACTATTGACTTGCCACCGCACATGTGACACTGGGAACGAACTGATACCCCGTTTTCCAACAGTTGTGGTAGAGACATACAAGTGGAAGGATCCCCAACCACTACAGTCTAAGTTATGTAAGGAGATTTTCCGCGATCATGATCAGCATTCGGCCCGGCGGCACGCCGTGCGACATCCTTTTCTTCAATCAATCTAATTTTCCAGTTTTCAGTGACACTATCATTGGGCTCGCCGTAGTAAGCCTAATATCAGACAAACGGCGATGAAGAGGAAGTACTTTGGCTACGGATAGGCAGATACACTGTTGGCGTCGGGCAAGCCGGAGTCAAGGTGAAGCAATATCAGTCTCTTACACTCACTTACAATTGAAGTGAATTGAATGCTACATACACAGGACAAGACTCCGTGAGAAGCTATCAAGCACAAGAGCTGCTACAAGATGAGGTACACAGTGCACATTAAGAACGGAAAGGCGGCGATACATTTACCTGAATGAGACACTGTCTCTGCCAATTTTAAACTTGCTCCCACACTTTCACCATGGCTACATTCCCTCCGGAGCTCGTGGAAATAATTGTTCATGAAATATGGCATTCTACAATGCCCTCTATCATTCGACAGTCCTTCATGACGACTTGCCCACGAATCAATCGAACGTGGAAAGCCGTTTACGCTCCTATTGCTTCCCAGGACATCTACATCCCCAGCCTTGCATACATATACTACCTATGCGATATAGCCGGACGCCAGAAATCCATCATCTACCATGATTTCATCCCCCGACTTACTCGTACCATCACCTGCTTCGTCGATCTCCGAAGAAATGTGGAGGAAAGTGCCGCAGCAAAAGAAGTCTACGCTCTTCTTATGTGGCTACCTAATGACGTTGGCCTCAGAGCTCTTTTTCCACAAGTTCCCTATATATCTTTTGAGCTCAACTGGATTGGTGATGGACGGATGGAGGAGATACGTGGTCTTCCCATCCTCATTCGCTACGACCGATACCTATCCCCATGCTGCAATAATGCAGGTGAAGACGGGTATCTGCGACTGGACGTGCATATATTCATTCTAGACCTGGACCCTTCCTCAAGCTTGCGTAGTTGCCATTGGCGTCTCATCCTATTAGCATTGCACAATGTTGGTTTGAAATTTCCGAGGACCTTCAGTGGATGCGATAATTCGTATTATCAGAGAATGTCTTGTGGCCGCATCCTATATCTCTATCAAACCAAGTTCTTACCTGAGCTCCAAGGTGATACGGGAGATATCAATCGGTGCTTATGGATGGCTTCCAAACGACCCCACGGTGCGAGGGTGATTACCTCTTCCGTCTAATGATTTATCTAACATTATCCATTATTTTAGGATTGAGATTACTTGCCGCCCCACGTTTTTACTGGAAATATAAGCAGTCGCAGTGGTCTTTACCCGTTGCATATTCATACTACTACCGTATAGTAGGTCGAGGCTCTCGAATTACTATTGGAATGTAACTTGGAAGCCATTGGCATTGTCCAGGCTGAGACGCTGGAAAACTGGAAAACGTATTTGAAACCCCGGGCCGTCGGCACGTCGGCATTCGTTTGAGAAACGGGACTCTTCCCTAGTTCCTTCCTTCACTACTACCGTCATCCCACAATCTTTTGCATGCATTAAACCTCACGCTCATTACCATGCCCACTTCTACGCTCACTGATTTTGTATCTACTCATGCCGTCCTGCTCAAGGTCACTCTTGGCTGCCTGGCCGGGCCTCTTCTAGTCCTTCTATCACTTGCGTTATGGTACATGACCCGAACATCTATCTCACGAGGGCGTACTGTCTCTGACATTGAGGTGTGTCACAGAATATCTCTCGCCTTTAATGATTGTACAGAGAGATGTAGGTGAATGTCAAAGAATCAACATCTTGCGCATCCGACATCTTTCCGACACCCACCGACTCCTTAAAATCGTACCCTTCATTGTATTTCGGTCCTGGTGCTGCCTTTTCTCATCCGAATCCTTCGCCTCCTCCTTCCTTTGTCCTTATGGCAAGCCGCGGATGAAATCGTCTGTCCTTACCCGCGACCGCGCTCGAATTTCTCGTCTTCACAAGCCGGCACTTCAGAATCATACAGCCCAACGGACAATCTTGCTCGACCGCCGCCTGCCCCTCCGCTCTATGCCGATGTCATTGTTCCGTACAATCACCAAGTCGCTCTTTGCGGCGGGTCGAACTCTGTGGCGTACGGGTATCGACAACCGGATTGTGTGGATTATGCCCGTCCTCGAGCAAGACGGAACGCACGGCCTGCAACGACCATCCCACCGCTTCTCATCGTCAAGAAAGGATCAAATACGGGTCTTTCTTCGCGTCGCGCCAGCAAACCCGATGGGATGTCAGCATTGTCGCCATCTGTCAAGCGAAAAGAAACGACCGCACAACCAAGCACTCTTAACTCAGAAATCCCCAGTTCCATTCTTCCCTTCGTTGACAAGGACCTTCCTCCGGTTCCATTACTTTTTGTGGATGAACAATCTGCTCTGCCTTCTGTCAGCATTACAGAATTGTCGTCCCGTTCTGATGTGCAAAAGCAAGAGTCTACGTGTCGTCCTCTTTCGGGAGTGCCGAAATTCCGGTCTATAATTCCTTTCGTCGACGAGGAGAATCTTTTGTCACATCCTCTACTTTCTGTTGGCGCTAACACCGCCAGGACAAGACATCTGAGTATGGAGATCGTCAGATCGTCATTACGAACTGCAGGAAAGGAAAATACGCCCCCTCTGAATATCGTAATATCGAAGCGAACATCCACGCCACCTCTTTCTGTAACCAAGAAGAAGAAGAATCCTGCGACTGGAACGATGACCTTGTGCGATGTTACCAATACGAAGAAGAGCTGGGAGGTGTTTAGGGCTCGTGGTGCTATACGGAAGGAACTTGGTCTCCCTTGTCTTATTAGGAATGACGGCGAAGAGATCCTGGGTACGATTTTGGAATGATTCTTTTTGGGTCGGACGAGTCTTGGTCTATCTTTATGGGGATTGCATTTCTTTCGCGTCGGTGCATCTTAGCACTGATGCTACTGGTGCTCGCTCGCCCGGGCTCATGCTTTAGCTTTGCTTTCGAAGTGCGTACTTGTCTTCTAGGGGTGTCAATACTTATTGCATCTTCCTTTCAATTGATGTGATATGCACTCAGTAGTTGACTAAGCTTGGTCGGCGTCTCTACCCGCTTGACACAACTGGTCGACAGGATGGCCTTGTTGTGGACAGAGCCGTAGTAATCTCTCGGATGTCCATCATGGCCCGTTTCACCTGAATATGTCTATGTAGGAAGTAGTACTTGAAGGTGGCGCCGTTGTTCAGCATACGATTACTGGCAACGAAAGACTTCTCAACGTCCTGGAGCGAATGTCTAGGCCGCATTTTATCCTGTATGAGATATTTGAGTGGCTGTTAGTCTCTAGACCGTGTACATAAGTATCTACAGTAAGAATGTGGTAATTTTAACCAAAACGTATATATGCCTATTCTCAACAAGATTCCTAAATGGTAAGTAAGGTGACTGTCTCTCTTGAGAAGATTAGTGTATATTAGCGCATACATTGCAAACGAAGTTTGATAAACGTCCTACTACTGGCACTTGACTGGCACGCCATGCGCAGCCGAATCAGAAAATTCGATGATTGATTAGAAGTATTTAATTTATTGCTGTAGATAATTTGAGAGATTTAACACTGTATGTCTTTCCAGAAGGTCACGTCGTGTAATAAGGTGATGATTCATTGATGGATTAAGAACGCTGGGGTGGGGATGGAGCGCACGTGTCAATGACGTAACCAATATACCCCTTCAATGCGACCACACCTTAGACCCTCATGCATCGATGAGTAGCCGTCGTTCCTCCCATTCCACTCGAACGCGTACCTCGTCCATTGCACGACCACCATCCTGGAGGACACTCTCTTTAAGCAAAGGAACAGCAGCAGCTAGAGTCAGCTTGATACACGCCGAGCCGGAACGGGGGCACGGAGCCTTTGGTTCAGCTATTGACGGCCTACCGTCTTCTCCAAAAAGAAACGCAAGACTGTCTAGAGATATCGGGGCAGACGTTGCTGGCCCCAGCGGACTGAGCTACGAACAGAAGAACTCGCTGAGTACGCCACAGGAAAGCAATACAGAGGAGATGAAAGGTGTGTTTCATGCAGGCAAGGTAGTAATTTTCAGATATTGAGTTATTTGGTAGCGACAGTGCCTACGAACTCTGTTACATCAATACCAAGCACGAGTACGACGGTCACGCCGCCAATAGTGTCAGGGAATGACCAGACGCCGCCTCCAGGTATGTGCTTGTCTGCGGCTGTGCTAAACACGGCTAATCCTTCTACCTTCGAATTTGCTAGCTGTATCGGTAGAGAAAGATACCCCAACATCGACACCGGGTACGAATCCAGATGCTCGACTAGAAGACACGCCGGAACCGCATGCCCGGAACGACGATACGCCTCCTGAGGTAATAACTACGGTTCCGGCACCTGCGCAGTCCGTCGGTACTATCCCATTCCCAACTAAACCTTCCTCTCCACCTCGAACTTCCTGGTTTGGTTCCTTGGGACGCTCCCGGGGACGAGAAAAAGCGAAAGAAAGTCGGGTTTTTGTGGAGAGCAGCTTACGGGAGGCGAGCTCGGGAATCGATGAGGATACTGTTATGCGTGATTCGAGCCATGAGGAGCCGCAAAATTGTGATGTGAAGGATGCGCTAGAGCCTCCGAAGACTGGAGAAGATAAGCCTCAGCCACTGACTGTACCAGAGGTGGAACCATCAACGGTCACGACACCTTCTCTGCCTCAGCCAACGCCATCACAGCCGGTCGATACACCTACCACTTCGCGTCGATCGTGGTTTGGTGCGCCTGTGTCGGCTTCGCCTCCATCTGCATCCTTCTATTCCATCATCAATCGACGAGGATGTTCCTGCATTGTCTACTTCGCCTCTACGCAGCCCTGAAAGTACCCCCAAGAGGCCTAGAGTGGAGAGCGTCAGCGATGGTAAACGCGCTCGACTCGATTCACTAAATCCCTCAAGTAGCAGATTTACCATCAGTATTCCTCTCCTGGGAAGGCCAAAAGTACCTTTAGAGGAAGCAATGGCTAGCGCTCCCGCAGTCATGGATTCCCATCCACAGAGCGACGAGTCAAATGGAACAGATACCGAAAGTACGATCACTGCTGACACTGATATTACCATGACCGCGACTACTCCAGAAACTACGATAGCCACAAATGAGGAGTCACCGGAGAAAGCGCCCATGGTCGAGATAGTCAAGGAGGAGATTGTGGTCAAGGCTAGCGGAACGGAAGAAGTAGGGAACCGAACGTCTTGGTGGGATTATGTTGGATGGGGTGGGAGTGTGCGTTCAACAGCTGTACCCGTACAGACAGAAGAAGCGTCGTCGACTGTAGACACCGTTCCTGCGGAGGAAACTCCGCCAGTACCCACGACCGACACTTCACCTGTCGTTGAAGCACCGATGCCGCAAGATACAACACCGATAGAAGAGTCTGTGACAGAAGAAGCTCGTAAACTCAAGCCCTCTTCGTCCTCTCTCTTTTCGTCAGATACTCGGGCATCGTGGTACACGCCATGGGCGTGGTATTACTATTCTACTACAACCGAATCTGCATCTACGGGCATGACACCCAGTGAGATGGTTAAAGAGGAAGCTCTGGCAAGAGATAGTGTGGAGTCCACGGAGGTAGTTATGACAGATGCTGATGATGGCAAGAAAGAAATCCGAGAGGAAGAGGTTAATCCTATAACTTCCACAATCACCACAAATCGCTCAGGATGGGCAGCCTTTTTTCTCCTCTGCTGCGTCTGCGAGACTGGGAGCCAAGCGGATAGAAGACGTCAAGCCGAGTGGAGAGATGGAGGTTATGGATATTGATGAAGATGATTCTCCTAGTAACTCCGAGGCGAAGCAAGAGGACGTGCAGAAATCGGGTCTGGCTGATAAATCCAATGTAGGATCACCACCATCTTCTCCGACGCGGACAAAGGGCAAGGATGGGGAGTCCAAGCGGGAGATTCCACAACTCATTATCTCGGAGGATGTCAAGTCCAAGGCGGCGAAACGCAAGTCATCTGGCTCGCGCCCTCCTTCTGTGTCGTCATCCAAGCCTCCTTCGACGAAGTCTGGTGCCAGTACCCCACCCACGGCGTCTAAGAAGACATCCGGCGCAACGACTCCGCCCAAGAAGCCTGTCGCACCACGTACGCCGCCTCCACCGAATTTGGTACTGCCTTCGTGGCGAGACACCTTCCATTCGGCACCTCGTAATGTCATTCCTGTTTCCCCGCAATCATCAAGTAGGCTTGGTAGAACAGTCAGATTCCTCCTTAGGGGGTAGCACCGATGGAGGAAAAGGGAAGGAAAGGGATACAGGTGCAGATGTGGGTATTGGCTTGCCGAGAGCTTGGGATGTCCTTCAGGGGCAGACGTCACCTTCAGACGCTGGTATGGGAGATGTGCTGAGAGGTTGTAAACGCGTTGTTGTCATTGGCATTCATGGATGGTTTCCCGGTGCTATCATGCGAACTGTCCTTGGGGAGGTGGGTCTATACATCTTCTCCTCCCTCCGAATCGAGGGTTATCTTATGTTTGTTTCGTTAGCCCACAGGTACTTCTCCCAAGTTTGTTTCGATGACCCTTCAAGCACTCGACGAGTTTCAAGCTCGGCATGACGTGAAGCTTGAGAAGGTGACAGGAATTCCGTTGGAAGGGGAGGGAACGATCGGTGGTAGAGTTGACAAGTGAGTCAAATACTTTTTCGATAGAAATGTTCTGACGATTCCCTCTAACAAGATTATACACTTCGCTGACGAGCAACGCAGAATGGATGAATGACCTGCACGAATGCGATGCCCTCATAGTTTCTACGCATTCTCAGGGCTCCGTGGTATCAACTCACTTGTTGGATCGTCTGTTAAGAGAGGGGCATCTTGTCGCTTCGTTCACGCCCGGCGAGCAGGAACCGTTGTCTCCCGGCGTCGAGCCGGGTCTTGTGGCAGGCAGGAAGAAGCAAAGAATTTGCTGCCTTGCTCTTTGTGGTATCCATTTGGGACCCCTGCGCTACCTTAGTACTAGCTCTCTCTTCCAGCCATACTTCCAGTATTTCGAGAGCGAGGCGGCACGGGAATTATTTGAGTTCCAGGTATGGTGTAGCGCATTTATGATTGTGTATGTACCTCAACTGTTCACCCTGTAGAACACGGAAAGCGACGTATCGAAGGCGTATATCTCCGCCCTACGGAATGTTGTGGGTCATGGCGTCAGTGTCTTCCGTGATCTTGTTTTCCTCCTGGCTGACCCAGGCTCTCAGACTAAAGTGGTTTACATCGCTTCACTGAACGACCAAGTTGTCCCTCTGTACTCAGGCTTGTTCACAAACGTCAAACATCCGCTGATCTTGAGAGCAGTCTACATTGATGGTGATGCGTATCAGTACGCAGTATTCGGGTCCTCGGCAAATCCTTATGCTAATTTTTTATATTCATAGCTCATCGGATTTTCTGTCGAATCTTCTCGTTTTACTCCTTCGGATCCTGAATACCGGTTTATCTGATTCGGGACTGATTGCTCACTTGTCAGAAGCTACAGCAGGCTCTCTAAATGGCGTAGGGTCACTCGACGGCGTATGAGGAGGTGGGAACGTATGCGTGAGTATTCTTATCTATACCGGTCGCGACGTGTTTCGTGACCATACTGTGTATACAGCCTTGCCGTAAACTATCTCTTCCTGGCTGATGACGGTACCGATACCAACCAAGTTGAGCTGAAACTGGACGACTTCAATGCAGCAACAGAGCAGAATGATTATGAGGTCCGTCTTTTTCCTGTCCTTGTGCTAAGTGGTTGCTGATCAGCGTACGCGTAGATCCCATGGTCCCTCAGAGATCTTATTGCAGATCCCTCTGTCCAACGATTGTTCGAGGGAGAGTTTCTGAGTCTGAGAGATGCATTCAAGGAGTGGCACCCCAAGACGACAATTTTGAGGGACGTCAAGAGGAAGTTGGCTCCAATTACGAGGATGAAGGGAAGTATGTCAGGCGCACCCTACTACGCAGGGTAACAGTAAACTCTGAAGGTTGTACACATGATTTTTTTTTCGCATCGGGGATGGTTCAAGTGGGAGTCATTGTATAAACAGGTCATATTATCGCATGCAAACGCATACTATTTATGTACGTATAGAAGAAGTTTATATATACAGGATTCTAATTATCAGTTTGGAATCTGGGTTTCGTCATTCCTTACAAGGCAACACTGGTGGTTTCCGTTCAAGACGCTGGGTATCCCTGGTGGGGTACGGGTAACTCGGGATCCAACTACCGAGACAATTCCCATATGCGTGGGTTGGACTTCCCTCTTCCATACCCATCGAAACTAAGTGTGTCCTCCAGTTCGTTTGAGTTTCCTGCCAGTGGAACGCCGTGAATCCCGCATAAATTTGGTCTTTGCTTCAGTTTTGCTTATTTATACCACCTTTAAAAAGACGGCTTCTTACCTGACGTGCTTCTTCTTCCGTTCCCGATACCTTCATTCCCCACTCGAGTTGCAAAGCTCTTTACCTCTTCCAGCAGGTGAAATGTCTACTACGATATCATTCCGAAAGGCCGATGGCCTTGGCAGTGATGGCGATGGGGAGGGCCTGGTCGATGATAGGATCCCTGCTCGATACCAAGGATTCTTGGCGTGGAATGCATTCCTATTGGCGACCGACTGGGGAAAACATTAGGGACTTTTCAACGTCATGACATTCCTTCATGCAATTGGGTGTCCACAGGCATGCTGGATATAGGCCTGTTCAAATGGGGCAGCAGTGGCGTGAGCAAGCTGTTTAATATTCTATGTTGTTCTACGTTACTGACCTATTCAGAGCTCCAGGTCGCGTCATGATTTTTTAGTTTTAAAAATCCATGAAGAGCGCATGTGTCAATCAGAACATCCCTAGTCGACACCCTCAATCTGGACGGGACCGATACTACAAGCTCTTCACCTCAAATTTTAGGCTGATCCGGCCCGGGACTAGAACGTTTCAACAAATTACTACCACTCACGCGATCAATCGATCATTGGCTGCATCCATGAAGGGTTCTTCCTTGGAGTATTTGCCACCAGCGATATCATATTCTGCTCCATTTCCCGCTCACGATGGTGGGAGGCAGCATCCAATTCCTACTCGACCGGGTGAATATGTCGTGGTACAGTTAGTGCTTTAGTCACTCACATATCCCACAGCATTCGGACCCGGGCATAATGCCTCACCTGTGTTTTCGCAAACGGGATGTGAATTCACCAAAAGTCAGATGGTATAAATATTCGAGTGGTCGTCTAAGCATATTCAGCTCAACATGCTTTCTTTGCTCGCATCGTTTGCTATCCTTTCGCTGTTGCGACCTCATCCTGCGGCTGCTGTTGTCGTTGAGCCAAGGGCAGGCAAGCCTGCCAATAGTCGCTTGAAGGAGTTCACTATTGACCTCGTTAACAACGCTTTGGCGCCTGATGGCCATCTCAGAAGTGAGAGGAATCACTGTTCGCCGGTACAGCTAACGTTTTCAATTTCCACTAGGCACGATCGTCGCCAATGGAACGTAAGTTGAGCCGATTCACTTAAATTTCTGAGGTTAACCCATGTCGCTGGCAGATATCCTGGACCCCCGATGTTGGTTAACAAGAACGATCTTTTGTCCATCACACTCAACAATGACTTGGTTGGTTCTTCAGTATTTTTCTGAGTATTCTGAATGCTCATGTAAAGTTTTAGGTTGATACTTCCATGCGAGTGTCCACTTCTCTGGTCAGTATGCATTTCAATAATTTTTTTGGCATCTCATAAAAGTTCATTCGCCTGCAAAATAGGACTTGGATGGAATCTTCTACACCACAGAGAACTTGTGGAATGAAGGCAGTCCTTTTGTCACTACTTGCCCTCTTGCACCCGGTAACAGTTTCACGTACACTGTTGACCTCAGTGAATTCGGTCAGACGGGGACATACTGGTATCACAGGTAAGTGCCGTGATTTGAGTCAAAGTTGTGTATTGATCCCTTCCATATAGTCAACTAAGTCTTCAGTATATCGATGTACGTCTTTTATTTCTGAGTTGCTCATTTCCTGATCCATCCCGCAGGGATTCCGGGGCCCATTGATCATTTATGGTTTTTCTTCTTCCTTTCCTCTTCTTCTTTGCGGACTAAAACTAGCAATCCAGATCCGCATGACCCCTTGGCCCATTTATATGATGTTGACGATGAGTCAACGGTAGAGACCCCATTTCCCGGTATTTCACCGTCCTAATACGCCGTCTTAGATCATCCAACTCGGCGACTGGTGGCACAACAGCACCTTGCCTATGTTCGAGCAATTCGCCGCCACCGGTATTATTCCGTATGTTTCATTTCCTTCTGTACCAGATTTAGCTCTGAGTGCACTTTTTTTGCTAGAGTATCTGATTCTGGCACTGTAAATGGTGTTGGACGATACAACGGAGGTCCAGAGGTTGATTGGTCTGTTATTAACGTCAAGTTTGGCAAGCGATATCGATTCCGTATCATCAATGAGTCGGCACGGAATGTCTTTACATTCTCGATCGATAACCACACCATGACGGTCAGTTGCATCTCATACGTTAAATGAGCGAATGTACTCACTTCGATACAGGTCATTGAAGCTGATGGCCAGGAACTGCAGCCCTCGGTTGTTGACAGCATCGAAATGTTGGCAGGGCAGCGGTATTCTGTGGTGGTAAGTATTAGTGCTGGTAATCGTTTTGTGCAGGCTGAATATTGCTGTAACCAGGTCAAAGCTGACCAACGAATTGGCAATTACTGGGTCAATGCGCCCTATGTAAGTTTTCCAAGAATTAATCTCGCCCTTGAGCTACATCCCTCCCCAGGTCGGTGGAAGTCCCGCCAGAAACTTGAATCGTGAGTGATTTTTTTTTTTCGTTTCGAGCGGTCACGATTCACCATTAATTCTAGAGAACGCTACCTTATCCCGGGCTATTTTGCGGTACCAGGGAGCTCAGAAAGTTGATCCTACAACCCCCATGACTTTGGGTCCTGTCGATGGCACTCCAATGATCGAGGGCAATCTCCGTCCCCTCAATCCAGAACCTGTGTGTTTTAGCTTCCCTCTATCTTTGGCCGCGTTATAAGATTATTCCACAGGTACCTCCAGCGGACGTCAACATGACCCTCGAGTTCGTCGTCGTCGCCGGAAAAGCCATCTGGAACGTTAACGGAGTTTCGTATCTTCCACCGGCGGTACCCACCCTCATGAAAGTTCTCGATGGCGCCGTGGCTGAGGCCGACTTCAACGAGACGGAGAACACATTCGTTCTTCCCGCCAACTCTACCATCCAGATTGAGTTCCCAGCAAAGTAAGGATATTTCTCAATGCATACAAACCTGTCGCTAACACGACACGAATAGCGATGATGATGATGCACACCGTGAGCTGCTCGTCTCTTTCCTCGCTGCATGGCTTCTTACAATCCCACTTATCTATAGCTATTCATATGCACGGTGTACGTCGCGTTGCTTTAGCTGCCCGTGATCTAACAAATTCATTTTTTTTCTAATATCTAGATGAACTTCTGGGTTATCAAGTCTAACACCACCGAGGAGATCAATACTGTGGACCCTATCAAGCGCGACACCGTAGCCGCTGGTGCTGCTGGTAGCATCATCCGTTTCAGGACTGATAGGCCTGGCAAGTTTTGATTACTTATTTCGGGATGTCCTTGACGGATTGTACACAGGACCGTGGTTCTTCCATTGCCATATCTTCTGGCACATGCAAGCCGGGCTCGCCACTGTCATGTTGGCCGATCCCGCTGCTGCCGCGGAGAAGATCCATCCAGATGCTGCTTGGAATACCTTGTGCCCCACTTATGACGCTCTTCCGCCTGAACAGCAGTGATTATCAAGTCTAAGCATTGAAGCTGTAGGTTCATCAAGTTCATTACTAGTTTATATATGTGAATTGTTTCTTTGCGTTCTACGTGCGTTCTTTGGTTCCACTTTGGGTGACGGATATATATAACATCATTTGTGTTCCCAGAATATGGCTGCCAAAGACTTAAGGCGAGAGATGTTGTCGGTCTTACTGCTGGCGTGACTCGTCGTGCCGACTTCTAAGTCTTCTGCTTATTTCCTTCCGGGCTCATTAAGGATGGAAAGCCGCGCGTGATGAAAACATTTTGCTGGGGTGACAGACTTGACTTAATAATCTTTGAATTATCCCTGCTTTCTTTCGTCTTGATAGTAATTTCGAGTGGCGCAATTCTCCTCGGGGCACTATTTATACTCCTGGTGCAGGTCTATTTACTCACGTATATGGAGATCAGAATCATTGATGACACGTGAACTCTCTAAATGGGATATGAACGGCGTATTCTACGTGGTCGACTCAAGAAATTACCTTGGCATAAAGTTACCCGTGCGATGAATCAAGATGTACTGCGATTTTGTTCTCTTATGAACGCTTTCCCTGCACCTGTCCTTGGTGTACCGGCATGCGAGTTTACAACTCGTTTATTGCCTTTCAGATCAACCTAGTGTGCCACGGTAGTTGAATCAACATTATCTTCAAATGTTCCATGGGAGCCATGTGGCATAAAACGTTGGATTGATGGTACATATCTTGCGTGAGAAGGACAGGATGGTCTTTCTACATACCACGAAACGGCTGAGCAACAAGGTGAATATGCACTGAGGTAGATGTGTGTATGTAGAAAGGGATGGATGAACGTAAGACGAAATGTGAAAGCAGTATTCAAACAAATAAGTGAGTATTATTATAGAAAGTGCCAAAATATGAATTGATGCAGAGAACTTGGTGCGTGGAATGATCCATGCAGATGCATGGGGAGAGGTACAAACAAGAGTGATACGTTTCATGAACAAGAAACACTAGAGACCTTGTATCTGGACGATAAGGAATTGTTTCTCATCGCTGAATTGTTCATCTGAGGGGGGGAAGATGAGCACGCGTCAAGCGGCGAAAAGGCGAAGGTGACGTACCGTCTTTGTCATTGTGGAAATTCTTCAAGAACTGCAGAAGCTTATCCTTATTCCTCCGGAGTATCGACTCAATCTGAGGAGGCTTCTTGGGGTTCGCTACAAACACCTAGGCCACCATCGGTGTCAATATGTATGCCGGCAAGACCGGAAGGGCGCTCACCTTGAACACATGGAACGCCTCGAACTGTATGTTCTTGCTCTTGTCCCTGAGTAAATTCATCATCATCTTAAGGTTGGCCTCGTTGGCGATATACCGCGTCATGACATTGAAGTTGGCGCGATCAAGGAGAATCTCGCCGAGAAGTTTGAGAGACTGTCGTTTTGTGACATAGTTATTGGAGAGGATGAGAGTTGTAAAGGAGGAAAAGAAGCGATCGTAGTTCTTGTCGAGGTATTCCGCTACCATCGGCTTGTGCCGCGTCAGCGTCTCCTTGAGGTTAGCAAAGGCGTCACATGAAATGCCGAAAGTCGTGGTTTCAATGTAATGCGGGAAGTTGTAGAATCTAGACGGCGTAAGCTCACAGATACGGGATCGGCGATCAGCAAACCGACTCACTTATCCGAATAGAGAAGAATCTTGCAGAGTGCTTCGTGTCTCAACATCTCCTTTAAGATCATACCCGTATTGAGTGCAACGTCCTCGTTCTCGTATCCAGCGAGCGTCGCAAATAAAATCTCGTGCTTCCCTGATAGATACTCGACAGTAGGGTATCGCGAACCAATCTGACGTCGCAGGAGATTATTGAATATCTGGACAACGTCTTTTCGGGCTTCGAATTCGAATCGGGCGATGTTTTGTACAAGGTGCTGTAGGAGATCGGTATTATATGTTTCTTGTGCTAGTTGTGCAACCAGCTCTGGTAGTGGATCTGTCGTACGCAATAGATGTCCTTTATGAGTCGAGATACTGTCGAGAGCAGAAAGCAACTCACCACCATCACCGTACAGTATAGCCTTTATCTGCTGAAGATTCTTCGATACATCCTCGCTGGCCTAGATACAACCTCAGGAATCAGTCATAGAAATACGCAGGTATTACTGACCTTTCTCCGAGTATCACCTCCTGGGGCACTGGATTCAAGCCTTGGAATGGCATCGCGAAGGCCTCGTACAAGATCTGGCGGCGTCCGTGGCTTTGTTTTGAAAAAATTCATGGCAGCCGCCAGTGAATGAAGGAATGGAGACGACGGGAAAGGAAAGGTGGGGCGGAGAACGTCAGAGAGAAGGTGGAGGTACTAGTAATAGTGGCAGCAGTTGGAATTTCGTATTTCCGGACCGTGCCGGCCGCACTTTTCTTACAGCCTTAATTTCGGGCGAAAATAAAAAATAAAAACCCAAAATGGTAACGACGCTTGTGGAGCCTTTTTCTGCACCTGGCACTTCTCTACGGCCAAGTATCTGGATGAAAACAGCATAAATCTGAAGGCTGTAGCATCCTGTTTTAAAAAATCCATTGCATCGTGCCATGGAAGGGCTGCGATTGACCTTGCTGGTTGGAAGGTTGGATCGATGCCGTTTTTGGAATTGTCGCAATTTCTCATGTAAAGGCCTCAGATATCGTAGTCAAAGTGAAGTCTCCTTGCATAACGTTTGTTTACAAGCCAGAACACCTTCATATTGAACCTGCTTGCAGGCATTTCGGTGCACTTGAATGTGGTATTACCATTTTAGGATTTTATTTTATTTCCGGTCATCAAAAAGTGACAACCTTTCCGAAAAGGCTGTAATTGGGCTGCTGTCAACCGGTAACCCCTTGTTTCAAAAAACTAATTACACATCTTCCTCTTGTTCATAGCGGCACTGACAACTTCTACAGGCAACTTGCGGGAAAGAAGTACTTGACCTGGACCTCTTCAAGGTTTCTATTTTCCACTCCAATCGTGCCATCCATCATCTGATGATGGGTTCGATGTATCATTTCATCAATCTGATTCGCCTCGTCATACTGAATTCCGTTTACCATAATGTACTACGCGGACGATCGAAAACTAGTAGAACTTGACGACAGTTACTGTATACGAGTACTGCCATGCTGCCAAGGCCAAGTACTATATCCGGCGGATCCGCCGACGATGACTAGGATCCGTGGCGTGTACATGACCGTGGATGCTGTGGTGCTTGAAGTTCCTGGCAGGGATCGTCAAGTTACCACCTCCGCAGACTTAGGCCCCGAGTTATTAACTGCTAGCAATCGCCCTCATCTCTTCAGTGAAGACTTGAATCTTGCTACCGTCTTTGTGGGACTTCGATCTTCAGACACGAAAAAAAATTACACGCTGGGAAGGCAAGAAACTCCCATGTCCCTGCGAGCTAATAGTAGGTGGTCATCCAGACATTCTACGAGCCGTTCATGTATACGGCACCGATGGTTGTGGAATACAACAAAGAGCGGCCAAGAAATTGCTATTCTTCTCCTTCTCCTTCATTGGCGAAGCTTCGCCTCCTGCAGACCTCCTTCCCTAGAAGCTGTCGACCTGCGCACATTCATGTATTCCTAGAACTACACTAGCGTTCCTAAGATGATTCGTGCCAGCCGGTCGTCAATTTCCTCATAACATCCTCTGGCAAAAAGCTGGTGACGTAAGGCCCCCAGAAGCTCCCACCAAACATTGTCCGGCAAAAATCTCAAAATCGGTCCTCAAATATGCAACTTTTGGGGCTCAAAGTATGCTAACTCGGACAAAGGGAGTGTCGCTAGCAGTGCCAATCACATATTCACAACCCCAGCGTTTGACGTTCGTCTGAATTGAACTTGAAATCGGTATGTATGAGGCAACAAAATCCATTCACTCAGGCTCCGGACACGAGTTTCATGGCTGTGAGTACTATTTGATGAATTGGCCGAAGGTTCGAAAATTTGAAGCTTCACACTATTAGATGCGAGTCCTATGGACATCTATAAAGTGACTTGCCAGACAAGCTTCGTACGTACCTAGAGCCAACTCTTGAACATGTGAGGCGAAATAATACTGTGGACCCCGCGGAAGCCAACCAGCTGTCGCTCGGCATTCAACAGTGCCACAGAATCAATCAATAAATCTCGAGGTGAAAACCCATGATTGGAGAGATAAGGCAGCTCTACCTGCGAAGTGGTCATGAAAACTGCAGACGATTCGGCATGTGTTCAGCATTGATATTGGCCTCGAGCTCACTGTGAACACTCTTGCTACAGCCATACAAAGGTTGTTCTAGTAGGGATGTCAGTGTTTCTTGCGACCTCTTTGAGACTCCTTCCCTCGTCGACCCTACGGAACACCACAACACCACCAGTTCCAGCCACACCACTTGCGACCAAGTATTCCGAGTCCTCGCCACCAAACTCCATTCCGCGTACCTGGTCCAAGCCAGTGTATACGTGTCTGATGAGCTCCAGCTTCCCTTTGACGTACCGGAAGATCGCAATCGCATCACCGCGCTCGTCAATCTGCCCCACGTTCCTATTCGACGCGTATATGTATTGCACGGGGAACTTGCTCGAGGTTTTAGGAATAAGAAGCTCAGCGGCGGCGAAAGACGCGTTAGCTGGCGGGTCTGGGGGTATGATGGAGACATTAGCGAGAAGTGCAGCAGTCTTGGTGGAAAGGGAAGGGATCCTCTGGACCGTAAGGGTGGACGCAAGTTCGTGTAGAGTAAATAGCAGACCATCTTCAGAACAATCAATAAGGTTTTAGTATCGTCAGATGAACTGACCTTCAACTGCTATATGCCTCGGTCCGGATCCTGCAGGCTGGGTGATTGACCCGGAAATGTTCCAGTTTCCAGGTGATCCATTCTCCTTGAGCCGCCAGACGGTGTCACCTCCCTGTATATGTGATCAGCGCGACAGGTACCACAGGTATGCAATTGATCTTACCAAATCAGGAACTAGCACCTCGTTTCCGTACTCCAGTGCCATGTGGGGGTGAGATACACCTCCGCTTTGGATGGGGAACGATACCACGCCTGCGGTGTTATCAAAGTCTAGTGGCGTGCTTGTTGTAGGAATGATGCGTCCGTTGCCACTCCCATAGTTCATTGCAGCGACTTGCCCTGTGGAGAGGGCGACTGCGAAAGCAGGGCTATCGCCGTCTGTCGGGATCGTGCTGACCGGCTCAGAGAGTACGCCATCTGATGTGACTGTGAAGGATTGCACGGCTCCTTCGGTATTTTCGTTGGTGGCGCTAAAGCACATGTTCAATGAAGATCTCGTGTTATGAGATGGTACTCACTATAGGATGCTTTTGTTGGTAGGATGCGACGTTATCCAAGAAGGATTAGAACCAGATGGGTATTTGCCCGTCAGTGATAGAGTGGATGCGTCCGAGTTGAAGAGGTAGGATGTGATGAAGACGTCATAGCCGCCGGCGAGGATGGTGAACTTTACCATCGTGATTTGGACAAAGAATGGGTGGTAAGTGATGAGGATGCATTGGGTTGGAGCACTTTAAGTATGGATACACGTAACACGAGATTCTCCAACAAGGTCTTAGATCTTGGGTTGTCTGGGGCAGTTACCATCGGTCCGGTGTTATTCTAGTTTGTGTCACGTCGACGGAGGATAACCAAAATATGCAAGCGACCCCGAAACTTCGCCAGACTTCTTGCGATGACTTCTACCGGAAGCATTCTCGTGGCAGAATATAAACTCCGATGCGCTTCACGGAAACGAGCCGCGGCAACGAATCATTGTATGCAGATCCATGTGAATTTGCCAATATGAGACTAGCCATCAAGACATCATAGGCCAGAGATTTGAGATGAGGTGTCTTGGACGACGATATCCACAGGTTGGACCGGCTTGCAGCGTGCTGTATCTTGAGCTTCCCGCGATGAGGATCTGGTGCGACAGCCCGGCGACCGTATGAATTCTCGTGGGATTACTTGCGTTCGATATCAGTTTCCAGGAGATTTTTTTAGTAAGTATATATACCTGTTCAGCCCGTGAGTAGTCACCAGTCGCGTTTGCATAAACGTAACCTCACCTTTTTGTTGCTCAATGAGTCGTGCTGAGCCCCGTATTCCACTACCCACCCTTATCGTGGAAGAATGCTCCTCATGTTTCTGTTTAGGAGCCACGCTGACGGATAAAGACATCTTCTTTCCTTTTAGTCGTCCAATTCACTACTTTCTTCAGAGAAATCGCTTTCTTCCCCCAAGTAATCTGAGTCATCGTCTTCGGGCGGCGCCGCCCAGAAACTCCATTCAACTCTTTTCAGTGAGGGCGGTTTTTCTTCTCTCGGGATGTTTTTCTTCCTCTCGACCCACTTCCGTCGAAACTCCTCGTCAGAATACATGGAGGTCATACAAGAATCGCATTCGCCGGTCCACATGTTCTCGTTATTGTTGCCGTCGGTTAAAATAGTAGTGCCCGAAGAAAGGACGCCTATGCTAAGATACACGTATTCGAGTTGTCCTAGGCATGACAAAACCTTTGGGTAATGGCCCTTGAAATAAAATGAGTCACTAGACGAATAGCATACGATGGCGCGCCTTACTGGAAGCCCAAGGCCATTTTCGTACACGATCTTCGTCGGACAGGGATCTTTGAATCTGGCGATGCTGCAAGTATTGCATAACCCACACCATATCTGCAACTGACGCAATCGGAGTACACGCAACGCTGAAAAACTCCTGGAGATACCACGGATGACCATAGGAGATGGCCACAAGACATCTCTGAGATCTAATTCCGTTACTCCCGAAGCTTTCGCGCGGGAAACCCGTAACTCCACGTTCCACTGGTCGTTATCCCGGCTGCCAGATAAAGGTCGATGTGGGGTGTATTTAATCGATAGCCAATCGAGGCGTATCTTCTTCAGTCGAGTAAATCCGTCGATATACCAATCTTGTATGGGATTTGCGAGAGTTGGGGGTAACTGAACACAATGGAGTTCGCTGTGCATATATGTAAGAACCGCGACTCAAGCCAGGAGAAGTTGTCGAAATACCTCGTCCATTTTGTGAAGACCTCTGGTAGCAGATGTCCATCTGGAAAGATATCCTTGTAATCTTTGGTGTAAAGCTTTGAGAACCATACCTCGAGCGCTATGTCTCGGTATGCTTTTGATGCTAAAGAAAACGAATGTATCGATGCCCATTGAGATTTATTGTTATGGCCGCCATCTTGCGAGACCGTGCGAGGCTGAGCCAGGGCGAACTGTGCTATCTCGCGGATGAGTTCTAAAGGCAGGTGCATGGTGATGGGAGAAAACAAGGTCAACTTTCCCAGGCCTACGCGACGCGACGCAATCGGCATATCCCGGTTAGGAACTTGGGCCCGTTGAATTCCAAGTTCAATTGTACACAATTTAAGAGCCTGAGGATAAAGTTGGATGGAGAAATCCTGCTTTGGGTGAGCCTTCCGAGATAATAAATGTTTACAGATGTGAGCTTTCCCTCCAACGGCTGTGAGATTAATCGACTAGACTCCGAGTCGAGCTAGTCCAGTCCTCTTATTCAACTATGACAGTCGTAACTCTACTAAGTTGCAGAAGGGTCCCTGGATCACTCAATCGACGACGGGAAAAGAAATACCGTGATGGAGCATACATCACGGTAGGTGTTGGTCCTGGACTTGAAGCTATTTGACGCTTGGTCCTTGTAGAACCAGACAATAATATGCACAAGCGTGTTTCAACTTGGTCCACGTCAAAATCATTTCAAGCCATTCTTCGCACAAATTTTATGGACGACGTCTAGCTCATTTCCGCTTCATCGCCCCTACCGAGCTGTCAGACGAGTCGGCAAATAGACAAACCAAACAAAACAAAAAATAGATCGGCGAACAGGTACGGGTATAAGATATAGCGCTAGCATATTTAAACAAAATCGGCTACAAAGATAGATTTAGATTCGAGTTGATTCCTGTTCCATACCGGCGGGAACATGAGATGGAGTTATATCTAATAACCACGCATCATCTAAGTGACAGCATCAGCATCAAAATGAAGATTCCAAGCAGTAATGTAATCCCACCTTGAAGAATTCTAAGAGGAGAACCCAGAGTAAGCGACTATACGGAAAGAAAGACAAAGTTACTCACCTTGATAGTCGATCTCACCATTTCCATCCTGGTCAGCTTCGTTGATCATCGCCTGTAGTTCAGCGTCCGACAGGCGCTCGCCTTCAAGTATCATGAAAAGATTTTCATCACGAATAGTCAAGGGTACTCACCAAGACTCGTCATGACCTGCTTCAACTCAGCGGCACTGATGGTCCCATTCCCGTCTCTGTCAAACACCTTGAATGCCTGCCTAATCTCATCTTCGCTATCGGATTCATGAGCGCGTTTTTGCATCATGGCCAGGAACTCTGAAAAGTCGATAGTTCCATCGCCGTCCGCGTCGACCTCGTTGATCATGTCGTGGAGCTCCCCTTCAGTAGGGTTCTGTCCTAAAGAGCGCATGACGGTCCCCAGCTCTGCGGTGGTAATCGTGCCATCGCCATCTGGCATGGGGAGAAGAGGTTTTTAGCAATTTTCGGACATGCAAGCGTCCACAAAATTTGACCTTTGTCGAACAAGGAGAAAGCTTCTTTGAATTCTGGACAAATAGGTGAAATCAAGTCATGGATATTCGCCAGGACACACACCAGTGATTTGCTCTTAATGAGAAGATGAACAGTGTCAGTAGGGAAAGCAAGGATCGATCGCCAAGAACTTGCCGTTAGACTACATGGAGACGATCTCAGGGGAAAAAAATGGGAGATCATAGTAATCGACATACCAGTTGATCCATCTTTGCTTGGCGAAATCCTATTGGGATGGGTGAAAGAGATAGTTATCGTGGGCTACGAGCAAATGGAGGATTGGGCGTTTAAAAGATTGGGCAATGGGCAATAGACTTACGGCACCTGATAGTTTCAAATACCCTTCAACGCAAAAGGAAGTATCGTGCTTTCCGATGAGCGACGTGTTCTCCGTACATGACTGCTTTTATACAAGAGAACATATTGTAGACTGCACAGCAATGACTGCGATGCGATGCACTGACGTAGCTGGGGAAAATTGTGCTATCACCGCCTGGACAACCGTTGTTCGCGCTGGGCAGTGCTAGTGGCTGTACATCGTTCGGAAAATCAGGCATCCACTGCCACCAGGAGGAAAGACGTCATACAACCAAGATATGAATTTAGATAGTTTCCGGACCCGCAGGTGGAAGATTTATTGTAGTAATTGTTACGTCTCAGTACATGTGGTGAAGTTGAACTGAACTAACTCGAAGTCTGGATATATTTAACTCAGTCTAAGTACAACGTCTGGCCCGCCACCTGGAGAAATCTGGTCGAGATAGTCAATAAGGTGAGAAGGAAAAGTGGCAGCTTTTAAGGAAGACGGCGAAGAAACAAAAGGAGAAACGCTGATCATGAGCTGAGCAAAGCTGTGAAGATAAGTGATAGTTAATTAAATAAATAATATACTAATTCATGACTCGAATACCAGATATGGCTAATTAAGCGTATGTAATTGAGCGGCCCCGCTCCTTAACTTGCTACCACCATCTGGGAGCGTGTGCTGTTACCTATCCATCTACCTTTGCAGCAAGCTTCAGCACGATAATGGACGACGAGATTGAGTACATGGGTACCAAACCTGCTTGTCTGAATCGACTAGCAAGTAATCGCCCCTTTCTAGGCGCCCTACAGCCTACAGGTAGAGTTCATTGATCTTTATATGAGTGTCTACCTCACTGGTCCTCATGCAGGGATCACTCTTCATATCGAGAAGTATGGGGGCGAGCTCTCAGAGACCATGACTTTCCAGAAGCCGAAAGGCAACACAATAGCTATAGGAAGACGACCGCCCACAGTAGATGTGGACCAACTAAAGCGAGACCAAGAGGAGGGCAAGGCCATGTTCAGATGCCCTGTCGTTAGCCGAAAGCATGCTCGGATAACATTCTCCGACGCTGGCAATGTTAGTACAGTTACCCTCACCCTGTCACTCGTATCCTAATTGTCCTAGGTATTCCTCATTGATTTGGGCTCACATCATGGGACCCATCTGCGAAAGCCGGACCAGCCTGTCTCTACAATGCTTCGTTCTGACATGCCCACGGCCCTGGCTACAAATGATATCATCACTTTCGGTAAAACCGTTGGCAGGGGCGGTGATATGGTTCGGCCAGTCGTCGCCCGAGTTGAATTGCTCTACAATCAGCCCGTCTCACCTTTCAGGCCTCTTATTGTTCCAGATTCGCCAGCAAGTTCAGAGGGGTCCGCAAAATCCAGTGGCCGGTACGGTGTTCATGTATCATCCTCAGAGTCCTCTTCCGGATCTGATCATGATTCGGATATCGAAGAACTGCGTTCGCCACCACCAGTGTTGTCCAACCGCTCTGGTCCTCCCCAACGATTTGATTCTTTATTAGGCCGAGCTTCTGAGGTCTTGAAGAAACTCATTCCTCCTGTTCATCCTGCGCCTTCAAGCCAGAGCTCCCCGATGATGAATCACATATTCTTCTCTCCTAGCCCTCAGCCACCATCGGAATTCATTGGGTCTCCCGGACTACGCTCACCGGCGATTAGCCCCCTTGACCATGATGATGCCTTCCCATCACCTCCGGGTTTAGACCTTTCTTATCACGATCTGTACCAGCCTGAAGACCGTGCCAAATCAGCTTCGCCGATGGAACTTGGTAGTCCATCATCTGTATCTTTGCCGCTGTTTCCGAGCTCCCTAGAGAAGGTACTTAACGAACCTGTCGTAATTGGGGCGTGGCCCTCTGCACCGAGTCACAGATCCTTATCACCCCTCCCTGAGACCTCTCAGGATAAGGGCAGCGAGAATGCCGCTTCTGAGGCACCCGTGGATGCCCCTCGGGCTGAGGATGCCGCCCCTTCCTTTGATACGAAGACCGTCCTGGATGAAGTCAAGGTTGAATTAGCACTTTCCCTCTATTCTTTCAGTCCTACTTACTTCTGCTTCAGGCCGAAGTATCAAAGTTGGATGCCCAGCGCCGCAAGTATAAACTCAGATTCAACGCTAATGCCCATACTGTGAAGGATAAGCTAAGTGATCTAGATGAAAGGGTGACCGATGTAAACGGACTTTGCACTTCGTTGATTGAGCAAGTCGACAACTTGTGCCATATGGACATTCCGGATCTGCAAGCACAAATTGAAGCTCTGCAGGATCAGGATCAGGGCCAGGAAGATCTCTCCAGTGAAAGAGAGGACTTCCAGGCCAACGCCCAGACTCTTCGTGATCTCGTTGCTGGTACGATTACCGTTATCATTGTCGCCTTTTGATCACAACACTCATCTTCTACAGATATGCGAACGCTTCGCGAGACCACTGAACAGCAGATGGTTGCAGAGCTTGAAGCTGTGCGACTGGCTCGTGAAGCGGCTATCAACGCGATGTCCGAGGTATGTATAGATGAGCCCCCGGTTTCTCTGTCTCACACATCGCAGACACCCCCTCCGATGTCTTTGAAGCGAAAGCGTGACGACAGTGGGGTAGAGGATGTGTCAGTTCCCGCGAGTAGCGCCATCACCACCGTCCCTGTTCATTCCCGCAAGCGCGCGAGAGTTGCGTCAGTCGTCATTCAAACGGCGGCTACGGTTGCGCTTGGAGCGGTGGCTGCTTGGAGCGCATTGGCGTTCAGTTGAACGAACATATTCCCGTCGAAACCTGGACATCGTCGTCATGGTGTTCAGTGACACGGGCGTGTAAGGTCATGGAGGAATATGAATATGATATCTGGTGTAGGATGATTGTAGGCGTTATTTATGCGAAGATAACAATGTTGTAGGCTAAGAGGTATATGCAATTGAAATTTTCCTTCCATATTTACCGTGGTGGGGGTTCGAAACAGTCTCCTCCGTACACTATGTAAGACCAGCGTCCCCAAAGTCCATAGCACCTAGGGAATACGGGCAGAAACAGTTTAGGGGAAATAACCTCCCATTTCGCCGGCGTTTTGCTTCTGTACAATTGATGTAGATACGAAACCTTAGTCCATATTTAGCTTAAATGACGGGGACTGAAACTAGGGATTGACGAGCTCGAACCCAAGTTAGCAATGACCACTTTTTGACGCGAACCTACACCAGAACTGTTAACTTGACCATTTACCATTGTCAATGAAGACTGGGAAAATGTGGAGGCTTCCTTCGGACACAAACAGAACGTCGCGGAGTCGTGTTTGCGTGTATTAACGCGTTACCCTAAATCTTACAGGCTTTTCCTATTCCCCGATGAATGGCAAACACTCGTAGCGAAAACAATCTACGCGGTTCAATGGGCGATCATGATGTTGTTTTCCCTTGCAGTGCAAACTGATTGAACGTCACATTGAGATCATAAAACATACTGGACGTATATCTATGATGGGTCTGGTTGCGAATGGCGATCACGTTCTAATTGCCTGGACATAATCGGTGCGGTAAAATAATTTATCTTACAGGGCGCTGGGAACGAAATGGCAGTAACATAAGACCATCGGATTTGACACTGTTGAGTCTGGTAGATAGGACGCCTCCCACAATCACTTGAAATTCTGTGGGATCATTTCCTTGCTATGATTCACTCGACGATGCATGGGCCCCACGACCTCTACGTGTATTGGCAAGCCAGTCCCCAGCTTCAATTCCAAGCAGTAATTCTCCCATGCCTAACCATTGATCTCCAAAAACGTGATTGATCAGTTTCGACATGATTTCAGCCGATAGGGCTGGATCTGTGAGTGCGATAACAATGGCCTCGAAGATGTGAGAACGACGGGTGACTTCTCCGCCAGTGGGATCTATGTCAGAGTATATGGCGTAGTAAAGGTCCCGGTGGGCTTGAAGCACCTCAGGCGGCTCTTCGCGGGAAGAACAGTTATGCACGGGTTCGTCGTCCTTCGGCATAGCATTTCCCGTCACAGATTGATCACGGTTGGAATCTTCTTTGTGTGTGTGTGACCGAGGAGGCCAATCATACATAATCGGGCCCCAGCCCCTAGTGATCCACGACGGATAACGCGCATATCCGCCTTCTCGAGGACCGACAAATACGTTATCCCAATCGAGGAATCCAGTAACAGTGAAGGTCTGAGGGTCCACCATTACATTCTGCGAGTCGAAGTCAGGAGGCGATAGAACGAATGGAGGTCCGTCAAACTGTGGATTGGGGAGAAAGAGGGAGAGTAGACAAAGAACGGAATAGTGCGCGTACTCTGAGGGACGTTCATTATTTTTGTCGGCAAGAGATGAGGCGAGTTCATTGATGTAAGAAAGGGCGGTGGGGAAGGGTCCGATTTCGTGAACAACCTTGCCTTCTTCGATTTTACGCAAAGGTCCGATCGTATACGAGAGGTCAGAGCCAGGGAATTCGAGTGTACCGATGCTATCGAACTCGAGTACGCAAAGCTGGGCCATTGAGTTAGCTATCTGCTGAAAAATATGGCGACGGTTGGCGTCAGTGAGAGCGCCCGGTTTGGTCCATATATCTGACAGGCGGATGCCCTCTATGAAGCTGGTGAACATATAGGCGTACCCAAGGCTATTGTTCGGGAAGCTATCATAGGCGTGGACGATAGGTAGAGGAAGGGAGGTTTTGTCCGAGATCAATCGCATGGTCCCTATCATGCTCTCGATTTTTTGGGAGTCAGTGAAAGACGGCTCTGGAATTCTGGCTACCCATTTCCTACCGTCAGGGAAAGTGATAATATAGACGAGGTTATAGGAGCCTTGCAACGCTGGTGTTTGGACGTGAGCGGAAGGGGACTGTGCGTGCTTGCAGGCCAACTTTTTGAGGGCTTCTATCGAGATTTTCTCCTCCAGACGACGCATATGGTCACAGCAGCTGAACGCAGAAGAAACGCTAGTAGAGGGTGAAACCATGGTAGCAGTTTGGAGGGATATTGCGATTGTTGACTCTTTATATCAAGTCAGGTTGTGACTCGACGGTGCCGGTCCCGATCATGATGCTTGAAAGTTGACGTTGAATTCGAGAATTCCGTTTTTGGAACGAGAACAACTATTTTGGAAGATCGAAAAATCCACATCGCCTGAAACTTGTTGAAACCTGACTGAGAATTTTTGCTCAATGCTTTCTCAGTTGCATACCAGTAGCAAACTTACAACTCGATTTAGATCAATGAACTTAAATAAATTGCGGAACGAATCCGGATTGGAGCTCGAAGAGACGACTTACTTTAGTGTGACTGGGCCAGCTGTAGGGAGGACAGGCCAGTCGCCAGCGGCCTCGGCTCGGCTGGCAGGCTGGCCAGTGGCAGCCAGCCCCTGTAGGGATCACGTGTGAGAATATCACGTGCGCACGCGTATTAGCAACCACCGCCTTCACTACAACGTCCACGAGGACCGAAATTTCGCTCGTTCGACCTTTATTTTCTGGAGAATAATGTCTTCGACACTGACGGACTACATTGAAACGCAAGACAGTCTTCTTAGGGAAGCTGCTGAGGCGCTGCCTCACCAGTTCAACCGTTGCACGTACCCACTTGGCTCCATCAGGTGCGGATTTGTCGCGTCTGTTGCATTTTCCTCGTCATTGAGATATTAAAGGCAACCTGTGTACCTCTGCCTTACATGTGCTTTGCCCCGTGGTATCTGTGCAGCTTGTTCCGTCGCCTGTCATACCGATCATGAGCAAGTAGAATTGTAAGTCACTTTACTTTAGCCAAGGGGCGCATCTAATGTCCTTTCTAGATTTCCGAAGCGCGACTTCCGCTGTGATTGTCCTACCTCGGCTCTGCAGCACCCGTGTACACTCCATACCACACCACAAGAAGAAAACACGACCAACCATTACGGGCAGAATTTCGAAGGAGTATTTTGTCGTTGTGGCAGACCATATGACCCAAACACTGAGAAGGAGACGATGATACAATGCTTAGCATGCGAAGTACGTGCCGAAAACTGAATAACCTTCAAAATTGACTCAGTTCCTGGCAGGATTGGTTTCACGAGTCGTGTTGCAATCTACGAGAACGTCCTGATGCGGAAACTCCAGTGTCGATAAACGAGACACAGCCCCAGGCAGATTCGCGGCCACAGAACGACGATATCGACGATGGCGCATCGGACGCGTCGTCCTCGGATCTTCCGCCGCCCCTCATACGCGCCTCCGACTACGACAGTTTCGTTTGTGCGTCTTGCGTCAGGAAGATACCTACCCTCATCCGATATGCTGGAACCTATGGCTATCTTGTCGTTGTCAGAGACGAAGTCTCTGCACCGTGGAGAGTTATCGGATCGACTGAAGGTGAGACTACTGACGTTGATATATCCACTGGGTCGAAGCGCGCGCTTTCCCCTTCCGCTGAAGGACCTGAAGCCAAGCGTACTCGCACCGAGGCATCAAATTCAAAGCCTCTGTGTCTAGTGCCTCCTATCAACTCAGTCGCGCAACGTGTACTTGCGGCATCAGACTCTGCCCTTGGAACAGGCGACATATTTCTCACCGAGGACTTCAGAGGCCGGTGGTGTTGTTGTTCATCGGTTGTTATTCATCAGCTGTACAGCGGCATCGCAGCTGACTCAGATTCTAGTGCCTTCCTTCCCTTGAAGCCAACAAGTTCCTTCTCCAAGAGGAAGAGACATATGAGCCCCCTGATGATCCTGATTCAGGTAGTATACCTTAAGTTGTCTGTTGATCATATTCTGATGTAAAATCTGCCCAGGTCTCTCCCTTGAAGAACTGGGTATCAGAGCCCTTTCACGCATCCCCCGAGAAAGAGCTATTGATGGTATACACGCTTTTAACGCCATGCGGTTAGCTGTATCTTTCCTCATTTTTGATACGCTATCTGAAATGTTGACAGCGACGATCTGCTAAAATACCTCCGTCCCTTTGCCCAAGAAGGAAAGGTCGTGGGTGAGGTAGATGTCAGGGCCTTTTTTAACAGGTTGCAGGAGGAGAACGCGCTTGGTATAGCACGATCGTAATGGATCTGCTCTTGTTTTCTTGTTCTGAGATCATCTTGGGTTTGATGCATCAAGAGAAATACATGATCGCTCTGGGCTCAGATGTGGTTTAAGCGTACTATTCTGGCTTCGCGGCTGAGATTGTTTATCGTGGCTCTGCATTCCAGAGTACATACACCACTGAAAGAATCATCTGCCCGTGTTGTGGGAATGTTACCGTATTAGTTTCTCTGGGCTTTTTGTGGATTTACGGTGTCAAGGACTAGCTGGAAAGTCTGGCTTTATCATATACTCGCGGAACCGATTGAAATGGGTCACATCTGGTCATGTGAATATCACCTGACCACATCGCGTAGAAACTTACTAGGAAGGCCCTAACTTTGCTTCAATCTTCAGCCGTTCTCTCTTCTTACCATGTCCATCGCTGAGGTGCCCGAAAGTTATCTCGCTATCTTGGCCTCGTCCCCTAAACAACGCGAAGATCGCAAAGGCGACCAAAACGATTATGAACGTCAAATGCTGGGGTTACTTGATGCGCTGGCGAGAATATGTGTATCCCAAGCAGAGGGGGAGGTCTACGCGTCGGCAATGGAGACAGGTCCAGACTCGTGCACAATTTTCATCATTGGGAATCACGAAGAGGTCCCACAAGCAACACAAGACTATCTCACTGACGTTTGTCGCCAGCTCACGGACGTAGCAAATCTCGTGGACACTGTAGGACGGAAGACACCATCGATCGACGATATTCCTCAGGATATCCGAGACACGACCGATAATATCTTGAAAACTATCACGGCTTTCACTTTCGAAAAGTTCTTGAGTCGTGTCACGAAAAAGGACGGCCGTTGGCGGGATCGAATGCGAGAGATTGATCAACTTGTGGATGAAGCTGATAGACAGAAGTTCGAGAAGCTGAAGAATGCTCTCAATATCCTCCATCAAGTTGCCACTTTCCATACAACGGATATATCGTCGATCCTCCAAGTTCTCACCGAGGTGTCTCGGCGTTGGAAATTTAGCAATCCGGACACAGAAGCGTTTATACGTAGGGTCGATCTCCTACACTGGCAGACGTGTGATCAGACGGACGGTACGTTTACCGGCCGTCGAAGATGTTAAATGCTCATCCATTCTGTATTGTTACAGTACCATTCCTCATCGAACGATATCTGCGAAAAGTGATGAAGACGTTCAATGAAACGGCGAAGTTGATACATTTTGCTCTATCCCCTAACCGCAGCCATATATTCAAAAATCCACCTAAACTCATGTTTCTGCGCTCTGCGAAACGCCGTGTAGAGTTGGACATCAAGACAGCAGTCAACACGCTTCGACGGATGGATAGGGACTATATTGACAGGTTCCTCGGCAGTGAGGGAGAGCGGATCGAAGAGCAGTACACTTGCTGCCCTCATTGCGAATGCACGATGCTGGCAACAATCCTGCAACGGTGGAGAATGCAGCAAAGGCCTGCTCCTATTATCGGGGTTTCTAAGCTGTCTTGCCTTGGGTGCCACCTATTTTTCCTGGCGTACAATAGGGCACGTTCTCAATTAACAGTGAGCAGCCAGTATTCGTTTCTCAGCGATGCATTGAAACATTGAACTTTAGGAGACTGACCTGCCTTTGGAGTTTGTCGTGACTGGAGCACACAACACTCTCTACCTACCATGGGTTTCACCAGATTTGACATCTATCGATCCTAGTCTACATGCTGGCGTCCAGGAACACCTGTTGATATTAGCACGGGGAGCGTCTATAGCGCCTGTGATCGAACTGTGTCGCCGAAGCTCAGAGAGTACCACACCTTCATCAGAGGAAGGCGAGGTTATGAAAGTTCTTGGTATGTCGAGCATGCTTAATCTCTTGTCATGGATGCTCACTAAGTCCTTTCCAGAGGATCCTGAGGGGAAATTTGAGGCCGAAATGGACATATCAGTTTAACCGAACTTCGCCACTCGCTTGTGTAATTCTTGTCACACATGACTGTACTCGAGTCAATGGTTTCTGAGGAGAGAGGTTGTACTTGATCTGTGACGTCAGTGGTCGGTCAGCTCATATTGGAGGGCTTCAAAATAATACCGATATGCTTTGCATAAGTTTTGCAATCCCCTTGGTACTAATGAATAGTAGAGCGTTATACTATCGGTCCAGCTACGCTGATTCGCATCAAAATGGACCGATTTCGCACGATATCTAGCGCAGAACAGGCTCTAGCTCCCCGGGGCTACACCCCCGGAATCCCTCTGCTAAATAGCTGTGATTCACAGGTGCGAATCACTCACTGGCAGGGCTTTGGAGGGGTCCTGTGCTAAGCAGCAGTGCGACCTGATTGGCGTAACACTAGTTTCGACTAGGCTCTTGATTGCAGCCAGCTTCATCGACTGAAATCTTCACCCACCCCATTGATCCTTGAGGCTTGACTCCGGTGATCCCTACAGGCCCCTTTTTTTTTGATACTCCGAGCATATCTCGAAACCATAATCTATGTACAGAGACACGACGGCGCTCGCTCGTGGCCAGCCCAGCAGCTACAGTAGGTATGCAGAGGGATTTTCAGTCCTTCAATGGTATAGACATCTCCTGTCTTCGTGCGTTAAGTATCTTAGGAGAGTCGACGCCTCCATAATATAGCTTAGGCTACGGGATCCCTGCAAGGACTGGCCTGTCCTCCCTACGGCTGCCCCAGTCACGGTAAGGCAAGTCATCGCTTCGAGCTCCAATCCGACGATTTATTTCAGCTCATTGATCTAAATCAAGTTGGACGTTCGCTACCGGTATGCAGCAAAAATTATCAGTCAGGTATCAACAAGTTTAAGGTGGCAATTGTCTGAGAAGTGTATTCATATTACTCTCCAGTTCTGACTACCTGGCAGGTCGATATCGTCCCTACTCTTTATCGAAGCCTTATATGACGCTCAGGCTCAAGCTCTCAGCTCTGGATCGGTCTCGCCGTGACTATTTTCCCTGATATTCTTGTAGTACGTGAAGCCCAATTCGGAGCGCTTTTTCGTAAGTCTACGCTTAAATCTGGTCCCTATGACGATATATTCATTTTGGCCTTCCAGTTACTGAAAATATCCTCTGGCAGACTTGGTGAGCAATCAAGACGAGAAATCAGGCATGTATAACGTACCAAGAGACAAGTCCACCTTCATGACCTCATATTCCTCTGACCAATCCGAGGCGCTTCCCAAGCATCGGCGACGCGCTCTCACATGCGCTATAGACGCATCTCGCGCTAATCTCAACAGGTGTTGCTGGATGCCGGCATGTAGACTAGGATCGATAGATGTCAAATCTGGTGAAACCCATGGTAGATGGGGAGTGTTGTGTGCTCCAGTCACGACAAACTCCAAAGGCAGGTCAGTCTCCTAAAGTTCAATGTTTCAATGCATCGCTGAGAAACGAATACTGGCTGCTCACTGTTAATTGAGAACGTGCCTTATTGTACGCCAGGAAAAATAGGTGGCACCCAAGGCAAGACAGCTTAGAAACCCCGATAATAGGAGCAGGCCTTTGCTGCATTCTCCACCGTTGCAGGATTGTTGCCAGCATCGTGCATTCACAATGAGGGCGGCAAGTGTACTGATCATCGTCCCCGTTGTCGATGAATTGGTGGAGAAATACTCTATCCTCATCAATAGTATCCATCTGACGTACAAGTGTGTTGATTGCCGTCTTCATGTCCAGCTCTACACGGCGTGTCTCGGAGCAAAGAAACACGAGTTTGACCTGGTTTCTGAATATGTGGCCACGGCGAGGCGATACCGCAAAACTGATCAACTTTACCGTTTCATTGTGTGTCTTCAAGATCTTGCATAGATATCGCTCAATGAGGAACGGCTCTGTGACAATGCAGAATGTATGAGCATTCAATATCTTCAACGACCAGTTGGCAGTAACATACCGTCCGTTTTATCAGTCCTAGGTAGAAGGTCGAGCTTGTGTATAAACGCCTTCGTGTCTGGATTGTTCAATTTCCAACTTCGGGATATTGTAGCGAGAACTTGGTGTAACCTTAATGCATCTGTCGTATGGAAACTTGCGGCAAGCTGATGGAGGAGATTGAATGCAATCTTGAGCTTCTGAAACTTGTTCCTCTCAGTTTCGTCCACTAGTCGACGTTCAATTTCGGCCCCTCGCTTGAGCCATGCACCATTCCACTTGGTTAGGCGAGCCCGAAATTTGTCAAATGTGAATGAGAGGACAGATGTGTAAATGCCGTTAATGGAGGTGTGGAGATCATGAGTAAATGGCTTATGAGACAGTCCTGCACTGTCCACGAGATTTGCTACGTCTGTTAGCTGGCGACAGATATCAACGACGTAGTGTTGTGTTTCTTGCGGGACCACTTCGTGATTCCCAATGATGAAAATTGTGCATGATTCTGGACTGGTCTCCATTGCTGACGCATAGACCTCAGGCTCTCCCTGTGCTTGTGACACACATATTCCCGCCAACGCATCGAGTAACTCCAGTGTCTGACGTTCGCTTGAACTGGACTTTGCGTTGTCAAATGAGCATTGCTCAGAGGATGAAGCCAAGATAGCCAGATAACTTTCGGGGGCTTCAACGCTGGACATGATGAGAGAAGACAGAGCCCGTGATCGGACCGTAACACTGAAAAGCTCCGCGATTCAGCTTAGGAGAAGCCGAGTGGAGCCGGAGCGGGACAGCCGCCGATCTCCCAAATTGGCTGGGGAGACACAGAATACTCAGTTGTACTTACAACGGCGTCGCAGCTGACCCAGATTCTAGTGCCTTCCTTCCCTTGAAGCCAACAAGTTCCTTCTCCAAGAGGAAGAGACATATGAGCCCCTTGATGATCCTGATTCAGGTAGTATACCTTAAGTTGTCTGTTGATCATATTCTGATATAAAACCTGTCCCAGATCTCTCGCTTGAAGAGCTGGGTATCAGAGCCCTTTCACGCATCCCCCGAGAAAGAGCCATTGATGGTATACACGCTTTTAACGCCATGCGGTAATGTTATCTTTTCTCATTCTTGATACGCTATCTGAAATGTTGACAGCGACGATCTGCTAAAATACCTCCGTCCCTTTGCCCAAGAAGGAAAGGTTGTTGGTAAGGTAGATGTCAGGGCCTTTTTTAACAGGTTGCAGGAGGAGAAAGCGCTTGGTATGGCGCAATCGTAATGATCTGTTTGTTTTCTTGTTCTGAGATCATCTTGGGTTTGATGCATCAGGAAAAATACATGAGCGCTCTGGGCTCAGATGTGGTTCAAGCGTTCTATTCTGGTTTCGCAGCTGGGATCGTATGCTTATCGTTGCTCTGCATTCTAAAGTACATACACCATTGAAAGAATCATCTGCCCGTGTTGTGGGAATGTTACCATAGTTTCCCTGGACTTTTTGTGGATTCACGGCGCCTAGGACTAAGCGATGTTTACTCACATTCACACCCGGTGTCAAGGCTATCCCGATAAAAGGCCGGAACAAGGCAACGTTCATGTAGAGCTGTAGACAAACGTTGACCTAAAGACGACCATGTGTATATCGAAATGATCATGCATCAAGATCGAATGAACTTTCTCCTGAACGTGGACCCACTCTGCTAACCCATAAATGGCAGTTCGTTTATAGTCCGGCAATCATCATCAAACTTTTTCGATCTGTAGAGTTCAAGACCATGTGCTGGTTCGTATGCAGGGGAAGTGTATAATAGCAATAGATAGATACATTAACTGGATACAGAATGCAAGACGAAAGCGAGGGTCTTAGATATAATGGAAGCAGCCAGTCTTAATTTTGTAACCCCATAATGTTAAAAACTCCTCAATGCATCTCCTTAAAAGAGAAGAGCCAGAACGCCAGCGCCGGCGATACCGACCAGTGCTTGAGCGCTATTTAGGCCCAGTGCCCCACCGGTCTGGCTACTCGCCGCTGAAGTAGATGAAGCCTCAGCACTCCTATTCGGGGAGTATTTAGTTAACCTCTAGGATACTCGATTAATTGTGCACGCACCTCGAAGCAGTGGTCGAAGCCGCCACAGAACCACTTGAACCAGAGCCAGAGCGGGTAGCAGATCCGGTAGGAAGACTTGTCGAACTGAAGGTTACTCCCTAACGAAGTAGAAGAGTGAGCGAGACGTAAACAAAAATGCAGGAAATACGACGTACAACTTCAGCGCAAAGGGCTTGCGCGGTTGCGATAGCAGTGGTGAGGTCGCTGCCGGTACAACTGCTCTCGATACACGTCGTGGTAGTATTGACGTACGTCTCGCTCTTGCACAGACAGGCGTTGTCGGACGGGGAGCAGCTACCGTAGTCAACATTGGTAATGCAAGGGAGAGCGCAATCTATTGGTTTATCGGTTAGCTACGACATTCGAAGGAACGACAGGGAGAGTATGCTTGCCAGGCAAAGAGGTTTGACGACCCAGGAGCATAGAACCCCATGCCGTGACGAACAAAGCAGAAAAGACAGTGAGGGAGAAACGCATAGCGAACAGTACAAATACTGGCAGTGGTAGAGAGAAACTAGTCGGGGAAAAACTAGTGAGGATCCCGAAATCATGTTGGACTATTTATGTGTCCTCGTTTGGAACTTTAAGACCAAAAGTGCATATCACGACCCAGGGTGGTGGGATTGTTGGGTTCCTGGTGTGATGATACGCACACGGTTCGTTATCGAATTCAAATTGTAATTTCAGGAGGCCGCTAGCAAAGTGGGACGTGACCTCATAAACGTCTAGCCATAAGGCGAACAAAGCATAGAGACATTGCACGCGAGAACCTGCGAGAACACAAGGTTGAGAAGAGAATTCCAGAGCCTGTATAGATCGATGCGAGTTTGATACGAGTACAGAGGGACCTTTGGGTGGTTCATTCGATTCTTTCTCGACGTAACCACAACAGCCAGAGAAGCTTAGATTGGATCCTTCCAGGACGGACGTTGCTTGCTACTGTGTGGTAGTAGAAGAGAAGGGTAGATGCCGTGTGAAGATGCCGAAAATCGGCAAAGTCCGGCCGGTTGCAAGCCACTGAACTTTATTTTATGTACACAACGGACCAAACAACGTCTCAGAGACATTTCTCTTCATCGACCTCCCCGACCTCAAGATTATAAAAAATGGTGCGTCGCGATACTGCTTTTCTGTTACGCTTGGAGGCTCACTGTATCTTTAGGTTAACGCCAAAAAGGTGACCATTTCGCAACGTCGTATCGATTTCAGTATTGACGTGCACTCTAGACTGGCAAGCGCTCGGCCCTCGAGGATGTCGTGACTCGGGAGTACACCATCCACCTTCACAAGCGTGTCCACGGCCGTTCATTCAAGAAGCGCGCCCCTTGGGCAGTCAAGTCGGTGGTCGCTTTCGCGCAAAAAGCCATGGGAACAAACGACGTGCGGATCGACCCCAAACTTAACCAGGCTCTGTGGGCGCAGGGCATAAAGACGGTACCTCACCGGCTGAGGGTGAAGCTGGAGAGTGAGTCGCGGCCTTTTGGTTCAGTGTTCTGGTGTACTTACGGAGGAATAGGGAAGCGAAATGACGATGAGGGTGCCAAGGAGAAGCTTTACACCTACGCTTCGCATATCGCCGTCACGTCGTTCAAGGTCGGTTTCTATCTTGTATTCTGTTCATGTATATCTCATGCTAGTAAACGCCAGGGCCTTGAAACCGTCGTTGTCGATGCTGAGTAAACGCTGTACTCCACTCTTCATGTTCACTCGTTATACAATATGCTTCGCTATGAACATGTTTTTTTCTCGCGACCCTCGTGTGTTGTGCATCTCGCCTCAGATGTCAATTGAGTTCTTTCCCAATGCTTCCCTGTCATCTCAAGACTAGCGGTCTGGACCTTGTGTTTTATCGGCATCACTATTGTATTCATGACGCAACCGCTGGGTCCCCGATCTTGGTATTCAGCCTTGGTGACATGACATCGTGTTGAGCCTGCTCTGTTTGACTATGAAAGACACGCAGATTCCGACGACCAAATTTATTGCGTAGGTTTGTCCAACAACAATTATCATTGTTAAAGTGTGTAAGTAAACGCAAGGTCTGGCTTTTGGCAACTTCTAAGAATATGTAGTGTCTTGTTCGTCTTGGATCTATCTATCGACCAAGTGGGAAACCCCGCAGTACTGCCGAGCCTGCTTGATCAGGACACTACTTACAATTGCAGAAGAACGTTCCGTCTATTCTGGTTCAACGACTCACCGAGATATACCCCATTGATACTATGGTTTCTCTTAGTATTGAATATCCGAAGAGTGGCCGGCACTCACGTTCATTTACTCCAGCAGAAGTTGAGACCATGGACCACCTCCGTCACTTTTTGTGAGTATGAAATATAATTATTGGCAGTGCTCCGAATTCATGTTATCTCAGAACAACGACATTCCTAGTTAATGAATGCCAAATCGCATTTCCTACTGCTGTCTTGTGAGGGCCGACTTACAAAAGCGACTACAACTACAGAGTAAGTACATACAAGAGTCCAAAAAGTCAATAATCACCTCGAATGAAGAGTGCGCATATAAACTGCTCGGCAGTCTCTTCGAGGGTGTAGACTTTAAAAATGTCGCTCATCAAGAGCCAAATGAGCTCAACCACTGGACATATACTGGCACGCCTTATGGACCGAACAAGGATTTCTTGCGATCTGGGCAAAAAAAAAAAATACAGTCAGCCTCTGATCACGTCGAAAGAAATCAACTTACCGGTCACATAGTTTTCCCTATCGACGTAGCTGCAGGAGAAGGGGCCGTGCTTTCCGGGTTTCCATCCTTTCCAGGTGTCTATATAGTCGAAACCTGTGAAGGTGCCCACGACCCGTGCCGGTGTTGGACAGAGATCACCGTTCAGAGATATGTATTTCACTATCCACAGTGTACACCAAGTCGAAGAAGCACTCAAAATGATGATCATGTTGGCGAGGCAGGTATGCCCTGCAATCGGGCCCGTATATACCCATGGACTAAATAGTATTTACACCGTCTTCTTTTCTATTTTTTAACTATTTACATTTGAGCTGTCACTGACCTTGTCCGTATTGGCACGCGCAACAACTTGAAACGAAGTAAGGGAAAGATCCGGGAACACTTTACGAATCATCGAGAACAAATGTCCAAAATGCTTCTGAGTTGCAGCTTATGTGATATGTTTTTGAACTTTTTTACATCTAAGTATTCGTTGTGGTTACAGGCGATGTAAATTCGAGAAAGAGGAGAGTATTTCGACACAGCAATGCATATCAAGACATGATCATGACAAGTCGTAAGGATACAGTATAACAAATGAAAGCAATGGATAGTCCAGATTGCAGTAGCGCCCCAAAAGACAACGAATACAGTGTCGGTAGGCGTAGCAGCCTAAATGAAGCAATGAAAAAATGTCCAAGAATGTCGGTTAGAAAAAGGACGGCGGTTCGTGGAAAAAGAGTGAAATCGAACTCGTCCAATGATTCATGGTGACTTGCGTGCTGTGTGCGTGCCTATCGCACATCGAATGAAAAGTGTCGTTATGTAGGTTTCCAATTTGGATCTAGGCCGCCCGCCCAAGGCAGTGGACTTATGGGACCTGAATCATCTGTCGCACCCCGTCGCATCCCCATATCATGCATGGACGACGCAGCGGAGAAATGTGCCCTGTGAGGGGACGCCACTGAAGATGCCGGACTGGCGGGTCCAAAAGCAGATAGCGCTGGAGACATGGGCCCTTGCGCGCGGTGCCTATGGCGCCCATCTGAAGAGATACTACCCGAATGAACCAGCGAAGAGCTAGCGGTCCCACGGCTCTTTGACGAACCAGTAGAGGGGTCCCGGAGCGAAGCGGGAGCCGAGCCCGCAGAGCTCGTTGACCCTGGGCTTAGATGAGAACGCATCGAGTGCAATGATCCCTGCTCAGAGGGATGACCAGGCTGGTGAATGAACTGAGGCTGTGAGGAAATGTGAAAAAGGGAATTCACTATGGAAGGAGCGAGCCTTACCAATCCGAACGTTGTCCTTCGTCCCACTTCGTCCACACTGCTTGGTACAACGCCAGCTAGAGACCTCCATCCATCTCCAGCAGAGGGAGGCTCCTCCTCAAGGATATCGATAGTGACGCCAGCAGCACCATCTGATCCGCCAACGTAGGAGCCCATCGATGAGGTAGTGCCTGAAATATCTTCCCATTTTCGTGCAGGCGTTGATAAAGGCAACCCTGGAGGATATGAAAGCAGTTTGGTGCCGAAACTGCTGTTGCTCGGAGTATCCTTCATCGAAGATGCCGACGTGAACGGTGAGATACCTCGTGGGGCAGGCATATCAAGGATATCGATCTGACCACTGAATACTGGTGTTACCGGCGATGTGGGAACGCTCGGAGCCGTCGACGTTTCTGCAACGGACGACTCTCCCGGCGCAGAGGCCTGGTGCCTCATCCTTTCAACAGACCCCGGACTCCAAATACCTAATTCCGCCTGGTTTGGTGCGGCAAGGGCGCGAGGAGGAGGGGTAAGCACAGGAACACCGGCTAGGACAGGAGTACTAGGTATGGAAGACTGAGCGTCATGATACACGGTTGCACCAGATGCTGCACTCTTGGCACTAACACTCGACATTGGCCGATCACTCATGGAACTCATCGCGGGTCCGAGAGGGCGTTGGGACATTTCAGGGGAAACATTAGCAAGCAAAGCTTGACCCGACTCGAGATCATCAGAGGGAAGACGTGAATGCCTCCGGGACGAAGAGTCCATACTTTTGAACAGGTTGCTGAACCGCCCCAAGCCAACCAAACTTCCGAGTCCGAGAAGACCACCACTGTGTCGGGCGGCATCGCTTGTGCCAGGATGAAGTCGCTCAGGCGAATCAAGAGGCGAATTGGACGATAACGGAGACGTTCGAGGGCCAAGGTCTTCAACCCGGACACGCCGGGCCGTTGCCAACATTGCGGGCTCGTCTCCATCAATGGGATATGATGATCGATGTGTTTGCCGAGAATTACGGGAAGAGTCTCTGCTAGAATGAGAATCCGGATCAATCAGTGGAGGAGGCGGAGGCATGGAAGGACCAAAGTCGGTATTTCCGTCGTCGGAGGGCTGCAAGACTGATTCTTCTACTAAAGTATGAAGAGGCTCGGGGGCGGGAGGAGTGAATCCTGGACGGTACTCATCCTCAGGGTCGAAGTGGATAGTAGGACGTTCTAGTAGAGACCCATAGCCAGAGCCTGTTGAAGAGGATTTATTTCCGCTACTATTGGTGCCATTGGAGGATACGGTATCCATAGGGACTTTTTTGGCCTCTGCTGGCGCAGCTTGTCTCCTAAACGGCCCTGGTTTAGCGCCACCCCTCCGTTTTGGTGGAACAGCTGGAGCATCGCGACTGCGTTGGAGGAATGGATCAACCTCTTCCCCGCTGCCCCGTGGTGAACCTTCCCCGGGAGGATGGGACGGGTGATCGACAATGACAAAATCTTTTTCTCGCCAGTCCTCTTCTTCGCGAAGTCGACGTCGACGATAGTCCCTGCTTCGAAGATAACAGATTCCCATGCTGAGAAGCACCACAAGTGCGAGAACAGAGCCCACGACTATGCCGGCGATTTGGCCTTTACTGAGGCGTCCGTTTTGTGAACTCGGAGGTAGGGTTGGGGTAGAAGAGGAGGATGTAGACGACGCAGTGAGGGGTGCAGATGAAGAGGTCGACGCGGAGATTGATGATGTTAACGAATTGGATAATGAAGAGGTAGATGAAGAAGGTATCGCAGATGAAGTTGAAGGTATAGATGATGAAGTTGAAGGTATTGTTGATGAGGTCGTAGGTGTCGCAGGTGAGGTGGTTGTAGGTATCGCAGTAGTTATTGATGTATCAGTAATGGATGTTGCAGTGGATGCAGGAGAGGTTAGACCGCCGTATGTCCAGTCAGAGCCCAATGGAATCTACAGACATTCATGTTACTGTTAAAGTTTAATATCGGGAGAGAACAACGCACGCTGGGCCCATAGTATGTCAATGGCAGGTACATAATCGAGGTGACGGTGGCAAGGGGAATGCCGCTGTCGTCAGTGACAGTCGACACAACCTCCGTCAACCAGGGCGGGAATGCCTGTGTGGTGTCAGCCATCCAGAACTGAATCTGATTTTTCTCTTTTTTTGTTGTTTTTGAGAAATATGTGTCGTTAGTGAGCGTGAGTCCTTGAGTGATACTAGACTAGGCAATCAGTACGGCAACGCCCCGACTAACGTAGGAAGCTAGAAGGGACGTACGAATTAGAATTGGTCGCGATAAAGTGTCAGAAATAAGAGATCCACAAAAGCGCCAGGAGCGACGCAAGAGATGGGAGTGGGAGGAAAGAGAAATCGCAAGGTTGCGGGAACCTGCGACGCGCTCCAGGCAAGTCAACCAAAGTCACGTGAGCAATGCTTTGCAAATTGACACAATCTCCGCAGATCGCCCGATTTAGTTCCGTGGGTTGCCGTCGGTCTGCCTTGTTCCTCGAGGCACGATTCTATCAACATTACCCTTATGTTGGTAGTCTAGCACTAATCTATGGCTCTGCGTTATTAGCATTTCTTTGCCCTCGGGAATGCTGAGATTCAGTCTATTCGAGTCTGGATCCAGTCTGATGCACCCATGCTTTACCTTTCTAATATGCGGCAATGTGTCATCGAGATTCCGCTTGCCTCATAGTGCTCGGTCGATCAAGCAGACGTTGGTACTCCTTCCCTAACTACTCCCTGGACCATCCGTGATGGTAGGTATGGATCCTCGTCGTTACGGCAGTCCTCAATGATTGTGAGAATCGATAATTATAGTCGTTGAAATGTACAATTGACGAAGCATCAAAATTTAATTTGGCGACCTGTCTCCGCGAATGTCCGTTCATGCACGCCGCAGAACCAGTGCTTCGCATGACAATTACTCTCGAGAAGCTTCCTTTGCCTCGTGCGTCTCAGCCGTACACACAGCATGTTAAGGGTTTCTTGCGCGTGTCATGGTTAAGTTGCCATGAAATGCATCGCCTCGGACTCGGCAACAAGACATGTAAGCGATACCCTTCCTGTATACAAGACTATCATACAGAATACAGATGAAGACTCCTATGAAAAACACGCCAATCTCTGGCCATGAGATTTGAGTGTTACAGCTATCAAACCCCGAGTACCGTCACAAACTGTTGTTGCAGATGCTTCATCTGAAATACATTAGATAAGGGAGTACTATACTCCTTGTAGCGGAAGAACTTAACTAAATGTACGTTATCATCTGGCACCAAACGAATATCCAGCTCAGAATTATAAGTAAAGAGTCCGAGTCTGAACACTAATCCCAATCATCGTCGTGCCCTACTCTTATATTCAGCTAGGAGTCACGCCTTAGCCAACGCCACAACGGTACCGGTAACAGCTTCTTCGAGATGATGGGAGAGGTAGGCTCTATCTCACGAAGAGTGTGGATATCCATTCCTTGGACCGAGGCAAGAAGATCTCCGAGTCAAGGTTGCCGAAGGGATTCGGGAAGGCAATGGTTTTGGAGAGAAACATTTCTTTGAACAGCGGAATACGTGTTCCTCGCCCAATGGAGATTAGATGGGAACGATCATCCAGAATCAAGGCGAAAGCAAGGGAAAGTCCGAGAAGGTTTAGTTTGACTGCCCAGTATGTCAAAGTGACTCCTTTCCAAGTCAGTCGAAGCAATCAATCTTCTCCGTAGCCGCAAAATATTCTGGTATATAAAGTCCTGCCTGTATCTGGATGAACGAACAATTTGCACCCAACCACCCAACCACCCAACCAACAATTTAACCACTAATATCAAGTCTCTACGCCATCATCGTAAGAGCACTACACTTCATGCACATTACCCATCTGATTCCAGACAGGATGACCGAGGGAAAGACAAAGACCGCGACTGCGACTACCGACGGAACGAAAACAGGTTCCGCATACGCCGGCTGGTCAAGCATCGCGACACGATACATATCCGAAACGAAGAAGGAAGATTTCGAGAGGGAGAGCACCGGCCAAGAATGGCCAAGGCAGTAGAAGAACTCGCCGAACCGGTTGGGATTACCTGCTCTAGGTGCGGTAAACATGGGACATCGGGGAAGAGACTGCAGGAACAGGTTCAAAGGGAGAGAGGAGGAGCAAGCACCGCCGGTCCTAAAGCCGCAATGTCGCTCAGCGCTGAAACCATTGCTAGCGCGCGCGTACTTTCGAGATTCGATGACCTGTGGAAGGTGAGCTGGTAATCAGCGTTTCCGAGACAAAGAGACGCAGGAGAGCAGCCACTAGTGCCACGGTACAAGACCGGAGCAACGGACGAACAGAGAACAATGGACAACCCAGAGAATAGCGTGGGTCTGCGGTCGAGAGTCGATAAAGCAGGAGGACTAGGCGATCATGCAAATTTCCTGTACCGAGTTCACTTTTCCTATACTGGATGTAAGCGCGTCGTTATTATCATAATTGGAACTGGATCACTTTCTGACTCGAAACGCAGTTATGACGTCAAGGGGAGCTGTATCCCGCAGTCGCGTCATTGTGATGGCTGAGATATATAAGTAAGACCGATACCACTCACATCTCTACAACTACCCACCATGTCTAATCCTTTCAAAACAGTCAAATCCAAAGCCTCCGGGCAGCACAAGTCTGAGTCTGCGGCAGGCGAGAAGAAGGAACCCATGTTTTCCATCCTGCCTCATCCTGCTGTGAGTATTGATCATACCACTGAAACAAAATTCCCTACTCACTGACGTCCTTCAGAAAACCAACAATCCTTCGGACCTTAACCCACCGAACCAGGGAGCAGGAGGACTGAGATCTGACCCAGTGATGGGCGCGCACCATGCCAGGGACCCCCACATTCCGAAGCAGGATATTTGAACAGCTTGGAACAGCCCCTGGTACGTCGTACATCCATAATGAGAGATCCTAAGCTAACTGATTCGTTCAGAGCCACGAAGAGCTCAGAAAGAGGCAGGCCGAGTTGAATAAATAGTGGCTAGCATCGTGTTCAACGAAGCGGGCAGCGACGTCTGTATGATCTTGATGGATAATGTAAATCATATGAATATGTATAGCGATATCGTATCGGAAATTTTGTAGAGTTTCGGTTTCAACTGAGCGAGTTCGAAAGAAGCAGACTCGGCAATTGCCGCCAGGACATTGATTCCGTTCTTCGATTGCTTCGGCTTCGTAACCAAGGGTACTGATGACTGAACTTGCAACTTCGGCTTCAAGAACAAATCTCGAGGGTCACTTTTTTCAGTCCTTGCAAACATGCAATGTCCTCTTCCGCGATGATAAAGACACGGTTTTGAATGAAAGCCTTCAATTCAGCATCATATGCCCATTTCTCTGTTCTACGTCTTCTTTCCCAGTTTCCCCTGACAAGCAGTTCGACGGTTCTCCCTTCGCGTTATCGCCACCTGATTTTGACTCTCAGAACTGGATGGTTGATCCCGAGACTTTTGACGTTGCCGGGTTTATGGTCACCTGGGATGACGTTTCTGTTGGGCCTCATAGGGAAGATACGGATATGTACTTTATCCTTCTTGGATTACGCGAGACGGGTGCGAGCGAAACTAGCAGCGATGACTGGGTGGAGGAGGATCCCACTGTGAAGGATGTCGAGGCAGCCCCGAATCGCTCACAACCTTTCTTCATGCGAAGAACCGCTAGCGACGCTCCAAACTCATCAATATCTCTACCTCTCTGTTTACTCTGCCGTAGATCCCGAAGATGCTAATATCTCACTAGGAATTGAAACATATTTCCTTGACCCGAAAACCTAACTTCAAGAGGTGACGGAAACCCATAGTCCCTTCAAGATGCTGAGCGGGAGCGAAGGCGAATTTGGTAAGATTCTCACTGGGTCACTGGTATGTAGACGCGCGCCTATTACGACACACGTGGTTAACGCATGTTATATACTTGATATCGATATCGATATCGTCTACTTCGACGCTATCGAGGAGCTGTGTAGACCTGCGGTGGCAGCTCCTTGGTCATGCCGTCTCAATCGACGTTGAGCAAGGAAGAGAAGGATAAAGTGAAACTCGCTATTCCAGCTCCCTCAAACAAGATTTTCTATGCCACGCTTGCCCGAGTCTACTACGCTTACCCGCAGCCGAACGAATGGTTGTATTCTGGCCTTCAGGGTGCTCTCGTGCTTACCAAGAACAACTCAAGTGGCGCACTTTCATTCAAACTTGTAGATTTGAGTGCTACAAGAGGCGTTATATGGGAACACGAATTCTACGATGGTCTGGATTACTTTGCTGACAGGGCATTCTTCCATTCATTTCCTGGCGACGCAAGCGATTCTTCTCGTCTGGATTAACAGCATGCTTAACCGCGCTTTACTTTTTAGGACGCTATGATCGGATTCGTGTTCTCTAATGAACCGGAGGCCAAAGATTTCTGGAAGAAAGTGCTCAAAAAGAAGGATGAGAAGCGCAGTACGTGGTTATCGCGCCTTTCCAATGCGATAGCTGTTGACTGCTCTTCCATAGCGCCCAAGCCTGAGACAGAGAAGAAGACAAACAAAGGGGGCAAGATAGACAAATCCATGGTTTCAGGACCAACGTCCGGATCGTTTGTTCACGTTGCGCATATGGGCTATGATTCAGAGTCCGGCTTCACTTCGAAGGGAGTCGACCCATCATGGACAGCTTTCCTTGGGCAGCTCGAGAATTCGGGTATCAACAAGGAAATGATAGCAAAGGAGATGGACTTTATCAAGGACTTTGTGCATTCACATCCTCAACAGCAGCCAGCTGTTGCAAAGGAGCCTAAGAAACCGAAACCGTCTCCGCCACACTCACGGAAAGCTCACAGACAGAACGACAGTGTCAGTGCACCGCCGCCGTCACGTGGACGCCCTCAACCACCTCCGGCAGCTGCCCTTTCGCGTACGTCACAGCACCCGGCCCGCCCACCACCTGCTACTACCAGTGCACCACCGCCACCTCCAGTCCGCCCACCAGTCCGAGCAACTCCAGGACCGTCTCCGCCCCCGAACCGGCCAACGAGCTCAGTGCCTGCTACTCCTCCGCCATCATCACTAGCTACTGAAGGTGTTCCACAGCCTCCTTCACAAGAAAGTCGTAGTAGGCAGAAGAATCGTGATATCAAGGACAAATTGGAGTAGCTTCTGGTATGTCGCATGTCGATTATTGGAGGCCACACGTTGATTGATTCGTCCAGAGTCCTGAGGAGCTCAAGAAGAGAACCAAGTTGAATAAATAAGATAAGCCGGCATGTCTTGTACGATTTTGGGTGGTAGTTGGTAACCCGTGGAACGCGTAGGCTTGAAATTTGTAACACAATGGAAGATACAAATGTACAATAAACGAGAAATTTGTTGGTCGTTGCCGCATGAAGGCAGAGAGTATCTACTGAAAATTGATAGCGAGTATGGTTCGAGAGGGTAATAATACATGTGTCAGCAGTCCTCCAATACTCCTCTTTCTCCTACGCTGTCTTTCCATCTTGCTCCTACAAACCCTGTTGACCTGATTAACTACACAAGCCGGCGCCAAAAGTTATGCGAGGTTCTAAGAGGATCCCTGTCCCTCCACTTCTTCATAAGATCCTCTGGCAAGAACTTAGCGAGCAACCATGCCAAGAAACCAACTATGCATAACGCACTCAGAGGTATGTTTACCCCAAGAATCTCGTCATCCTCTTGCTAACCGAAAGCCATTCAGTGACATACAATGCGCGGTCCAATATATATACTACTGTTCCTACAAATCCTATTCATAGATGGTGGTTGGACTATCTCAGGAAAATCCACCCGTCCCCAAGGAGTCTGGAAGTCCCGCCTCTCCACACCCTCTCTCTCTCGCAGCGTCCGCATTAGAATCAACCTCCAAAACAATCTCACCTCCCCCAACTACATCGTGCCAATCGATGACGCAGATGCTCGAGCTCTGCACCCCATTGATAGTTACACTTTTCACGTACAGCCTGCTTCCATCAGGCGGCGCCGCACTGAGGGACGTGCTATCAAAGTTGTTCACCACAAACTTTGTACTCGTTCCAAGCACATCGTTGGACAATACGAACGAGGAGAGGAGAGGAGACCCGATAAGCATCTGGGTCGAGGACATGACCGGGTAAAGGCCAAGGATATGGAATACGAGCAGGGCTGCCATTGCGCCGGAGTCATCGTTGCCCGGGATTCTGTGCGAAACTTAGTGAACCATCGTCTGTCAATAGGACCGACGACGAACCCTGAGATTTTGGTGTTGAAATTCTCATAGGCGACTTGACGTACCCGTAGGACGCTCAGATCAGGGCGGCCGGCATAGTGGTATATCCAAGGCATGGCGAATGAGGGCTCATTCCCTGCCAAGAAGTATCCGGCGGAGAAGTAGTGGTTGCTAGTGAAAGTTTGTCAGATACGACAATATATATAGTGGCAGGTGGACCGTCTCACACTCTGTCGACAAAGGTATCGTTCCCTCCCATCAGTTCCACTAGGGTCGCTACAGAGTGAGGAGCAAAGAAACTGTACTCCCAAGACGAGGCTGAAGATCAGTGTCAGCTATACCGCGTGGCTGAGAGTGCATCACAGACATTCGTAGAATCCGACGTTGTTGTCAGTCCCCCGAGCACAAGAATGCGACACGGGATCGACAGGAGAGCATGCATCCGGCGAACTGAAGGCGAATGTTCCGTTCTAGATTCTGAAAGTAAGTATTACCACAACTCGATCGAACAGGTTCCTACAGGGTATCTCCTCTGTACGAAGCCGGTGAACCCGTCGTGAGTAAGATTTGCATTCCACGTGTTCACAAAGTTCATAGAACGATTCGCGTAAGTCGCTATGCCGTCCGAAGACTTTCCCAGAGCAACGCCAGCTTGACGTACAGCGAAGTCCCCAAGGGCATACTACTTTAGTGTGAGTACGGAGGAGAACAAACTGGACTCCATGAGATACCTCCAAAGCTCGAGACGCTTCCCGAGTGGGTAGACCTGTAGACCCTGATGGATCCGTCCAATCGGTGGGGATATAACCAAATTGTTTCCAAGCCGTATTCTGTCGCCCAACTAGAGATGCATCCTTAAGTACTACACAAGTATACCTATGCCTCCAAAAGAGAACACACCTCGATACCAGTTTGGTGGCTGTTCAGAACAAACATATGAGTATTATCATATGGGCCAAAGGAAGAGCGAATCATTTCGCACCGTATTCTCTGCAGTGTCTACCAAAGCTTGGTACAGATCATCCACTGACACACCTAGATCTGCAGCTTGAGATCCATACTTGACCGCAAAGTCTCCTAGAATTGGCATGCCGTCGCTTCCACCTTGAACATACCCGCTACCATGGACTCATAAGCGACACGTTAAGATGAATTGATGAATTGCTCACGCCTTCGTGTTAGCACGACATTCGGGTATATAACCTGTGCTCAGGTTAGCGTGGAAAACACATAGAAGACGGCTACCTACCCGTGTTACGCCAGCCGTCTACATACGCACTAACAATATCAGCCCATGCACGGGGATTGATAATTGAGTGCAACGGGTGCGCAGTCCGGAATGTGTCCCATGAGCTAGTCTAGTTTTCGAGCCGGCATCTGAAAAGTGGGAATTATACGGACCAGAATAAAGCATCATAGAAAGGATACGGAGAATCCCAGTATGGATTCTCGTCGGTGAGGTTTGCTGGAATGAGGGATGCCCTGTATAGCTAATTCGAGTCAGTCGGTATGTAAACAATCCACCATCAGTCTTGAACAAGACTTACTGATGAATACAGAAGTTCTACAATCGTAGGATCTTCAACGTCAGGGTTGACCTGAACACGCGATAACACGTCTTCCCATTTCGAAACTGATGCTGCCTGAACGGCATCCCAATTCCAGGTAGGAACTTCCTCCTCTGCGTTCGCGCATGCCTGGTCGGTACTGATCATGGATATTCCGAAACGTGCAGTGACAGTAGAGGAACTAAATGACAATAAGGCACCCGCCTGATTTGCATAGACAGAAGACTGGAATGCGAAGCTAACGGTGCTCGCATTAGGCGTAATCACGATATTGTTGGCATCACTGGACGAAGTAGATTGGTATATTCCGGATGCAATCAAGCTCTGGTTTGCGAACTCGGAGGTGAAATCATAACAGGCGTAAGCCGTGTAATTGTCCGTTCCATAACTCTACAACACCAGCATATCAGATCGAATATTCTACTACGCGAAATCGAGGACTGACTTGAAGGAATGTCCCCTGTAAAGTGACTCTTCCGTTGGCTATGGAAAGGCCGCCGCCTTCAAACGACCGCTGCAGATCGTTTGTCAGATCGACTACGACGTGGTTGACACTGTTGCCCTCAGGGTAAGTAAATCTGATCAGCCCGGCTCTTCGCGTGGATGTTGCCTCTAGCTGAATGCCGTTGACAAATGTCGTGGTAAAGTAACCAGGGAAAGCGACTAACATTGATGAGTATCATTGCGTGTTTCCCCCTCAAACGCAACCTTACCATCGGCTCCCGCAGCACGTAAAGCAGCCCGAGCACCAATCCTGACTGGACACTCGGAAAAAGAACAGTTGGTCAAGGGAAAGAGTGGGAATATGCCATAACCCCCTGCCGTATTCCCACCTGTACCTTCGTCATGTATCAGTGATATGCCAGTGATGGACGAATTATCTGCGATATATCCCGCTTGTCGAGGCGTAGTACTGACGTCGATTCCAACCTTGGCCATCGCATAGGGAACTGCCGAGCCTACAGAACGCAATTAAACAAAGCTGAAGGGCCGACGGTGGGAATTAATGAGCAATGTCTACCTGGAAAGGCGTTACCCCCACTCCCGCCATTTGCCGCGGTCGATGTTCCAATGAAAAGATTCACGAAAGAGGTTAGATTGGTGCCATATACTTCTGAAGTTGCAAAGACCGAGAAAAGCAAGACACCATGGAAGAGGTCAATCATGATGAATAGGGCGGCATATTTAATGCAGCAGCTACCTATAAGTAGGGTTGTAGCACGTTCGAGATGGTCACTGCATCAGGAAGACCAAGCACATGGTACCATCTGTTCGTTACCGCAGGAATGCCGTTAGATCAAGAGTAGCATAGCGCTGCTACAGTTGATTCTCTACACAATAGACAAGGAGTCGGCAAATCGGTCAAGACCGAGATCCAGATGTGAGGCAGAAAACATTGGAGGGGTGGGAGAATGACGGCAGAGAACAGGACTAACTTAACCGGTCTTTCCGGACCGTAAATAAATTCGAGTTTTCAGCCGGAGGCTCCTCATGGAGGGTAAAAATAGCTAGGTGGGACGAGGAGCGATCCATAAATAAGTAGCCCTGACGCGCCATTCAGCGTCATAGGGATGTCATAGGCTTGTACCAGCATATAAAAAGGCGCATCGAACTATTGCTCTTTCTCAGCAATGATGTCAACCACGGAACAAGTAACGCCCACCGACGCTGGGGTACATCCCTCTGCAATTGGCACCAATGTGCGCCCCGACACAACCCAACAAAGCGATCCAAATCCATCCGAAACGGCGACTATTGGAAACGAAAACCATGACGAGTACCCGGAGCAGAAACACGCGGGAAAAGTTGGCTATGGACCGCAGTACCGTCCGGGACCAGTGAGTACGCTATTATTCGCATCGGGAGCTCTTTGTTGATTTATTGAAAAAGACTTTCGCCGACAAAGTGACTGGATTGAAAGAAGAAGTCAAAGGAAAGATTACTGGAAATCAAGGCCTCGTGCAGGAAGGTCACGAACGACGGACCGGAGAATTGAAACGCAAAGAAAAAGAAGCAGACGTAAGTAGTTACCGCCTTTTCGGTTTGACTTACGTATTAACGGGTATTCCAGATGAATGATCCTTTTTCGAACCAACAAACCGAACATAACGTCGTGCAAGAACAGCATCCAGATGACAGTCATGGAGCAGGGAAAAAATGAACTTGATGATCTGACGAATGCAAACGGCGAAACTATAGAGTTTATGTCGAACCCGAATACACTATGTTGCCTTGAAATGATTGGCAGGATAATCTCAAACGCCGTGCGGTTAGAAACGAGATCTAGAGTAAGAGTTGGGAAAAGAAATTGTCAGGCGACTTGCCAACAAACAGCGGCATCATCGGCCTTTTGAGCCGGGCCGGTACGGTGCTTTCAAAGTTCAAACCACACTATCTTTTCGCTGTCGATTCTAATACTTGATCACCGCCGGTGTCCTGCAGCAACAGAAGTAAGTATCTTTCTCTATCAACTAGATCTATGACTATCCGTATATTTAACCAGTGCAAGAGACCCAGTCATCACGTCGCATGGCTGTTGCCTAGATGAAAAATAACCTCGGAAACAAGTGAAACTGCGATCAGGACTAGAGTGCTATCAGCGTGATTTCGACTTTGCAAAAGGATCCATGAACGCGTCAGCAAGGACCGCAGCGGTCCGTGAACATTCTACTGTAGCCCATTTTATTCGGGAGGAACACGGGGACTGCAAGTTATTCTCCGAAAGATTTTATTTCGGAGTAAGTCCTCGGATGAGCATCGATTCGAACATTCTTGGACTAGTACCATGGCGTACATCGTCATGGAGAGTGAACGGGTCCTCTTAAAGCTCAGCCGGATCCGTGCCTATATATTGTCACCAACTTTCGTCGCGGATTTCACAGTCCTTTTCTCACTATGTTGTCTCTATCGATCCTTACCGCTTTCGTCTTCGTGCTTCCTTTCGTTTCTGCTGCTCCTTCTGAGCTTCAGAAGCGGGTTGACACTTCGACCTACTGTGGTACGTAGGGAGGATGTCGAAGACTCAGATGATACAGTGTTAACAATCATCTAGGTCAATATGACAGTGTCAACACCGGCACATACACTCTTTATCTCGACCAGTGGGGCAAAGATAATGCCGACTCTGGTTCAGCCTGCGCTTCGGTCACGTCGACTAGCGGTACCAACATTGCATGGACCACGACGTGGACCTGGAGCGGTGGTTCTGGCATAAAGAGTTATACCAACATCAACGCCAACACAGGTATCAACGTCAAGCTCAGTGCTATTAGTAGCATCAAGGCAGGTCATTTCCACTTCGTTCGAGAGATAGATGCCGATACGATGTTTAGAGTGCGTGGACCTGGAGTCAAACTACCAGCGGAACCGTTGTAGCTAACGTCGCGTACGACTTGTTCACCTCTTCTACGTCTGGTGGCTCGAATGAGTACGAGATCATGATCTGGCTCGACAACATCAACGCCGGCCCCATCTCTTACACCTATGGCTCCGACGGTTCGGCTACACCCATCGTGAGCAGTGTTACTATCGCAGGATACACATGGTTAGTTATTTATTGTGATGAGATTGATCTATATCCCTGACTTGAATAATAGGGATTTGTATTACGGTTCTAATGGCTCCAACTACGTCTACTCCTTCTTGACTTCGGATGAGAGCGCCGTCACGAGCTTCAGTGGTGACTTGATGGACTTCTTCGATGTAAGCATTCTCTTTCCATGTTATAAATCAGCTTTGTGCTCACGTCATCGTAGTACCTCACCTCGAATCAGGGACTGAGCACTTCGCAATATCTGACTACAGCTCAGGGTGGAACTGAGGCCACTTCGGGTTCCGCCACTCTCACGTCGTGAGTATCGTGTTCAAACCGACTGATTTTAGACTCACTCTTCCAATCTAGTTCGGCTTTCAGTATTGTGATCGCTTGAAAGACCATTATATAAGTCTAATCATAATATAAGTGACGCTGTGCTTGCATGATATTGAGATTTGGAATCGCCTTAGGGAGCTGACCCTCGGAAAATCTTGTCCGGCCCCCATTGTTAAGCCAACCAAGTCTGAAACATTGAAAACCGATCAACAATGGTCCCGGCAGAGCCGACCTAGGAAATTCGTCGGCGCTCCTGGCTAGACTCCAACTTGTCCCTTTTCACATAACAGGCCAATCGCCGTTCTACCAGTCACATACGATGGGTTATAGCTAGTCCATCCTGATACAATATCAGTACTAGTTGCCCGATAATCAACGAACGCCGACGACGTCGAGTCAGTGGTACTTTGAGTCCTCTAGATGAACAGCTTTCTGAGAGCCTAAGCCCTCCTAAGCCTGAGCATTAGTTGAAGCTTTGATAAAGAGTAAGAAAGACGTCGACCAGCCAGGTAGTTGGGACTAGAGAGTATAAATACACCTCTCGGACAATTTGCTATTTTCTTGGACCACAGATTTTTCCGTTGTTGACGCGCACTCAGGTATTCTCGAACGGCAGTCGTTTTCTTTTTGAAGGGAACCAAATGGCGGACTCTGCGCCATGCCAGCTTCGGCCATCACAAGACTTCAAATTCCGCCCATTCCCTTGGCCTTCCGATCAGCAACCGATCAAACTACTTTTCCTACCAGCGTGATCGCTCTATGCAAATCCCGCAAATTTACTGCATTCGTCCCATGAGCGGGCAATAGTGACCGCTATGGACGCCCCGAACGCGTACCGCCGCACTCTACGCATGTTCTACTGCTTCCAAGTGCAACACGGGGACTCGAGATAATTTTCCGATGACAGTCTGTCGGAATAATTTGTCGCGTAGAGGTTCAGTCAAGCTCTTTTGGCCCGGAATAGACCTATCTCAGTTTCTCCGTCGATGATGATCTCTAGTTTCCTAGCCTTGAAGCTCGGTCCTGTTTTTGCTTATATACCGGGGGTGTTTCGTCGAGTATTGCATCGCCGTTGACCATGATCTCTCTGTCGATTATCTCTGTCGTGCTCTGCTTTGTCAGTCTCGTTTCTGCTGCTCCGTCTGAGCTGCAAAAGCGTCTTGATACCTTGACCCATTGCGGTGAGCAGTAATCGTTGTCCCCAGATAGCATGTTACTTACAATCCTGTAGGCCAATATGACAGTGTCAACACCGGCACATACACTCTATACCTCAACCAGTGGGGCAAGAATGGTGCCACGTCTGGTCAATCATGTGCTGCTGTTACCTCTACGAGTGGTAACAACATTGCGTGGACTACCAGCTGGACTTGGAGCGGCGGCGACGGTGTGAAGAGCTACACGAACATCAATGCCAACAAAGGTATTAACGTCAAGCTCAGCGCCATCAGTAGTATCAAGGAGAATACGATCCCATTGACAAGCTGATAATATGCTGATGTGTCGATGGTTTACTAGAGTTCGTGGGCGTGGAGCCAAACTACTAGCGGAACCGTCACGGCAAATGTTGCTTACGATCTGTTCACTTCCTCGTCGGCTGGTGGGAAGAATGAATATGAAATCATGATTTGGCTCGATAACATTAATGCCAAACCCATCTCGTACAACTATGATGCTACTGGCGCAGGTATAGCCATCGTCAAAAGCTTGTCTATCGCCGGGTATAAATGGTTTGTAGTCCGTTATGGCATCGTGATCTGTGTTCTTACATCTTCGTGTTCAGGGATTTGTATTATGGCAACAATGGTTCCAACTACGTCTACTCTTTCTTGACTTCGGACAAGAGCGCCGTCAAGAGCTTCAGCGGTGACTTGATGGACTTCTTTGATGTCAGTTTCTTCAATTTTGAAGTTGACTTTATGCTCACATTTTCATAGTACCTCACCTCTAAGCAAGGGCTGAGCTCTTCTCAGTACCTCATCACGGCTCAGGGCGGCACCGAAGCCACACAAGGGTCGGCCACCCTTAAATCGTGAGACTTGTGCCTTTCCTCCTGGCTTTTAACTCATATTCTGGTCACCTAGTTCAACTTTCAGTCTTGTGATCAGTTGAATAACCAATAACATTGAATATATTCCTTTTACTCAGGCTTCTTGGAAACTTCTTGCGGAGAGTTTGAGTTCCTCATCTGACACCATTATCGTAGCCTCATGGCCTGCAACATATGGACAGCATGGCACCGGGCCGAAAGTAAGCCATACAAGGACCGCTGACATTTACTAACTTGGCACCATCCATCGCTCAGTGCTTGCTCTTTGATGACGTTCTTCCGACGTATTCACTAAGAAACCTGTCCAGATTTTCAATCTCACGGGAACCATACTGCTGCACATGGCCTATACTTCGCGGGTATCCCATCTCGCGGGCCGCTGAAAGCGATGAACGGGCCTCGTCAATAGTCCGAGGTTTGGTACCGACAGGCTTCTGACTGTTTATAGACCTTGATTCTTCTTTTTGAACGTGTATATATTCCTCAGGCTCTTTGCTTCTGGGAAAGACCACTGACACACAACCATGCGTTTCTCCTCGCTTCCGTCTGTGGTCACTGCGACGATTTTCCTGGCGAGAGCATCGGTTTATGCTCGTCCACGGTCTTATGCTGTCTGGGCCGCTGATTCTGCTATAGCGCGCGGACAAGGAGATGGTCTTGATTCGGACGGAGACCCTACGGTTTCATATGAACACGGAGAGTTACAGTGGGGACTACGTCTGCTTTATGAAACGACCGGGAACAAGTCGTACTTCGATTATATCGTTCAAGGAGCTAGCCAGATTGTCGATAGTAAAGGTGATATTGAAGGCGACTATTCGTAAGTGCCTGGGCTTGTTCAATAGGATGCAAACGCTCACACTGCATTTTAGCTTTTCCGATTACTCTCAAGATCCCATAAGGTCGGCGACACTCATTGACAACTAGCTCCTATGTCCATAACCTGACTACCACTTCAGAACGGGACCGACATTTGCGTATCTGTTGCGTTAAGTTCGGTTGCATGTTTCTATCCTACCGCTAATTCACTGGCCTTCGCGTAGGTACGAAAAAACAGGCCAGTCAAAATGGAAGACTGCCATGGATACCTTCCACCAACAGCTCATGGGGCAACCTCGAACTGCTGAAGGCCAATTTTGGCACAAACTAAGATATTTTAATCAAGGTATATTTGCTAGCAAACTCCGAAAATAAAGATCTAAAAGAGATTACAGGTTGGCTTGATGGAATTTATATGGGAGAAATATTCTATACTGTATATACGAACGCATTCCAACCGACCAACACCACAGCCTATGGTGCGACCATTAGTTGTCCAATTCAGTGGAGGCTCGAGAGCTAACGATTCATTGACAGCCGACATCGCAAAACAGTTCGATCTGATGTTCCAAAACACTTTGCAAGAGGAAGGAGCTGCGAACTACACCGGCCTTTTATACCATGGATATGACTACTCTCACACCGCTTCCTGGGCCTCCGAGGATCGAGGACATTCACCCGAAGTCTGGGATCGGGCAATGGGGTGGTATATGATGGCACTCGTCGACATCCTCGAAATTTACCCTAAAGATAAATCCGTCTTCCTGGACCACTTGAATACACTCGTCCCACGAGTACGTGATGCTGCTGATTCGGAGTCCGGTGTGTGGTGGTTGGTCATGACCCAGCCCGGCAGGACCGGTAATTACTTTGAGAGCAGTGGGTCGGCTATGTTTGTCTATGCAATGCTGAAAGCGGTGAGGCTTGGGTATGTGTCGGATAATGATAGAAGTATCGTGAAGGCGGCTACAAAGGCGTACCAGTATATGATTGACAACTGGGTCGTCGATAACGGAGACGGAACAATGAATTGGTTGAATACAGTGAAGGCAAGCGCTTCCTCTGTCAATGTACGGTTTGATACTTACATGTCGCGCTTTAGGTCGGAAGCTTGGATGGAAACGGGACGTTTGAAGTAAGTTTAATCCCCTCACGTCTCGGCTTGAGTTGATAACCATCCCTGTCTCCAGTATTATATCAGCGTCGCTGTGGATACCAATGATCTCAAAGGTCTGGCTGCATTCCTATTAGCTAGCCTTGAGTACGAAAAATTATAAACCGGTCTACTTACTGTAGCAAGAAACAAGCATTCGCATTCTTACTATCGATCGATTGAAAGTGCAATTCGATCACAAGTTCAAACCACTTACGGACGTGAAACTTGGAGGACGCCTCAGTGCTCCCCTCCATGGAAGTTCTCGAATCTAGACTGGAATTCTGGTTAAATTCTCAAACAGATAGATCGGATCAAAATTGTCCTGTTTGAGTTCTTTTTCTCCTCCGCTTCTTATTTTTTACTTCAGTTTCAGCTCCAACTGGCACCTTTTGAATACAAGTAAATATGCTGTATTCCCGCTGCTTCCTGGAAGGTTGGAAACTTCCTGTCGAGGAACCGAATTCCTCATGCAATCGTAGGTAAATGGCCGGCGGAGTCATATATTCCAATGCTGAAGCAAGGTTACAACGACCGTTGACATTTACCGTCCGTGTATCAATCATTGTGGCCGAGCACTCTAATATCATTATTCCTCCGGTGTATTAGCTAAAAGAATATCCGTGTCGTAAAACGGGGACGAGGTTCACGGCGGATAGAATCGACTTTCGAACCCAAAGTATCGCCCTTGGCTTAGCTCTGTAAACTTTGCAGATGCATACAGGTGTAGACCAAGTCCTCTACACTTTTCCTGCTAATTCTTTCTTGATTAACACCATTGGCATAATACTGCCTGTTTGCCATCCTCTCAACCTTTCCCCCCTTTCCACAAAATTCCAGTAATCTAGCGATAAATTCACATGAAACCACCGCGCATTCCTGTTGCCGTCTTGCGCTTTCTCAGCTGAGTCTTGGCATCCTCTTGGTCCATACATACTTCTTGGCTCGTCCCCTAATTCTCAGCCCGTTTGTCATGAGGCGAATGAACGTCGGAAAAGTTACACCAGTAACTAGGTACAATGCATTATAGGGTAACTATGGAATTTATATAAACAACTTGAAAATTGGCATATAATCATTAATAACATCCTTAATGTATCTTTATATGTGCCAGAAATATTTGTCATCACCTGCAATCCTTCTGGCTACGTAGCGACTTGGAATAATAATGTTCGACCGACAGTCCCGGTCCTAGCCTGGCAAGCCGCTTTACCCTGGTCCGGGATGTACGAGATCATCGTGTCATTTCTCTGACAGTAGAGCGGCCGTCAATAATCCGAGGATTAGTACTTTATAGACTTGATTCTTCTTGGTATTTTCCTCTTGAACATGTATATATACCTCAGGCTCTCTGCTTCTGGACAAATCCGCCCCATACCCAATTATGCATCTCTCCTCGTTTCCCTTCGTAGTCGCTGTGACATTTTTCCTGGCGCGAGCATCGGTTTACGCTCGCCCAGAGTCTTATGCTGTCTGGGCTGCTGATTCTGCCCTAGCGCGAGGACAAGGAAATGGACTTGACTCGGATGGAGAAACTAAAGTTTCATATGAACATGGAGAGCTACAGTGGGGACTACGTCTGCTTTATGAAACGACCGGGAACGAGTCGTATTTCGATTATATCGTCGAAGGGGCTAGCCAAATCGTCGACAGTGAAGGTAATATTGACGGCGACTATTCGTAAGTGTTTGATTTTCAATAGTATGCATATACTCACGTTTGGCTTTAGCCTCACTGATTACTCTCAGGATCCTGTAAGGTCGGTAACATCCGTTGACCCCACTGGCTTCGATACCTGTAACCTCACTGCTTTACCATCTCAGAACGGGACCGACATTTGCATATCTGTTGCGTCAATTCCAGTTGCGTGTATTCATCCCACTGCTAACCTGCGTTTGCATAGATACGAACAAACAGGCCAGTCAAAATGGAAGACTGCCATGGATACCTTTCACCAGCAGCTCATGGGGCAACCTCGAACCGCTGAAGGCCAATTTTGGCACAAACTAAGGTATTACAATCAAGGTATACTCACTAGCAAATTTTAAAAACAAAGATCTCAGAGATTACAGGTTGGCTTGATGGGATTTATATGGGAGAAATATTCTACACTGTATATACGAACACATTCCAACCGACCAACACCACAGCCTATGGTGCGACCATTAACTGTCCCATTTACGAGAGCTGACGATTCATTGTTAGATGATATCGTCAAACAGTTCGACTTGATGTTCCAAAACACCTTGCAAGAGGAAGGAGCTGCGAACTACACCGGCCTTTTATACCATGGATATGACTACTCTCACACGGCCTCGTGGGCCTCCGAGGATCGAGGACATTCACCCGAAATTTGGGATCGGGCAATGGGGTGGTATATGATGGCACTCGTCGACATCCTCGAGATTTATCCCAACGATAACTCCACGTTTCTGGACCACTTGAATACACTCGTTCCCCGAGTACGTGATGCTGCTGATTCGGAGTCCGGTGTGTGGTGGTTGGTCATGACCCAGCCCGGCAGGACCGGTAATTACTTTGAGAGCAGTGGGTCGGCTATGTTTGTCTATGCAATGCTGAAAGCGGTGAGGCTTGGGTATGTGTTGGATAATGATGGAAGTATTGTGAGGGCGGCTACGAAGGCATACCAGTACATGATTGATAACTGGGTTGTTGACAATGGGGACGGGACAATGGATTGGCTGAATACGGTCGAGGTGGGCCTTTCATCTGTGAAGTCGTGTCTACTCAACCTGATATTTACATATCGCACTTTAGGTTGGAAGTTTGAGCGGAAATGGAACGTTTGAAGTAAGCGAATCTCTCGTCTCTTCCTGAACCAGCTGACTATTTCGGTCTCCAGTATTATATTAGCGTCGATGTGGATACCAATGATCTCAAAGGTCTAGCTGCATTCCTATTAGCTAGTCTCGAGTACGAAAAACTGTAATTCAGTCTACTTACTGCGTGGAAAGAAAAAGGTACTCGCATTCTTACACTCAAAAGGTTCGACTTTGTAACAGCCCAAACCTGTCCTAGCGACAGGGAACGTAATCCAGACTCTAGTTACATGAAATGTACATCATTCCCAATATCCACCTCCACACCCCTCGAAACAAGCTCAGGGCCAAAAAAATAGGAGTATAAATAGAGTAAAGAAATTAACGATAAGAAAAGTACGAGTGATGATGCAAGGAGTGTGAGGCCAGTGGAATATAGGTACTTGGGTAGGGTATCCTGGTATTTGAACGCGAACTGCAAACTGAAAACTGAAACAACATAAAAACAGGCAAAATCGGAGAATATTAGGAGCGTCAAGAAGTCATTAGATTCATCGCAGGGGTATGTACGCCATCACCATCGCTATAGCCGGTGTCCAGGGACTGCCCAAAACAACAACGTCAACGCTGTAACAAATGCGGCAACGAGTATGGTGACCCATATTGCACGGCCTAGCAGCAGCTTCTTGACGTACGCTTCCCGTATTGTCAGCGTGCGGAAGGGTGTCGTTTCAGATTGTCCGAAGAAAACGAGGATGGGATCCAGCTCATACTGATGGGAAACGAGGAAAAGGACGGCGAACGTGAATGGTATGAATAGCTAGGACAGGAATGTCAGCGATCAGATAGATCAGAATTGGGTATTGACTTACGAAAAAGCGCTTCGACTTTGGCTTCACGTCCAAGAATATCAGGGAAAACGCCACCGCGAGACCGATCCATAGAATTATGAGGCCAAGAATTAATCGGACCAACGATGAAACAGGCGTTAGATTCCCAAACGCCTTTGATCGCAGGAATCGAGGGAAGGCATCCTGCTCCATCGCACGAAAACAGTACTCTTTCTGGGAATGGAACATGTCGGGGATCTGTGCCATGAGATTGTGCTCTGCTTGAGACTGAGGCCCTTGAGTTGAACTCAAAGGGAAAGAATGGATTCGGAGGGAAGGTGGCAAGTAGATTTCATGGTTCTCGGCAGCATTCACTGTATTTGCTGCAGGCGAGAGGTAACGAAAGTATATTCGCTCTGCGGAAGCGATGAGGTCGAGGCGAGTGATGGCAGCAGAACGAGGGATGATGGTAGGCGCACGCGAAGCGCGTTTCATGTTGAACAGGGTAGGCGTTCGACCTGAAAGAGAAAACGGGGTCGTCGAGCGGGCGAAATCATTGGGAGAGGTGGAATTTATACGAGTCTGGTCGGAGAGCACAGGCGTGGGACGAGGTGACGCTGAACGAGCACCGGACTTCTCATCGAGGTTGGCCAATTCCTGCTTGTCCTGATCTGTTATCATGTCACCAGTGCTCGCCGTGCTGCGCTTCGTCCCTACGCCATCTGGATTCAACCCAACAACCGTCCCGTAAATGGACCCACGTCTCCGTGCATAATCCCAATACTGTGGCCAGTCTTCCTTGATCGTTCGACCTGACTTGCGAACGTCCTTGAAGTATGCTCGGCACAGGTTTTCGTGCTGCTGAACATCGAGCCAGAAATCTAGAATATCTTCCGAGCCCTCGCGCTGGAGAAAAAGACTGCAATAAATTAGTTACGGCAATGGTGAAAAAAAGAATTACACACTAGAACATGAACAGATCGACTGGAGGCCGCGTTCTCCTGGACAGGACCTCTGTAAATGACGGCAGCCTGTTCTTGCGACTGGCTGCCCAGTCATCCTGCTGTCGCTGCTCGTCCATCTGCGAGGAAATTCAGCGTGCAAATGATGTGGTCAGGTTCAACGAACGTAAGTCACGGCAGTAACGCTGGTAACGGCTGCTGACGTAACCCTACCAACTCCGTACCATCATGTCCTTCAGCAAGGCGTTCACCCCCGCCTTGCGGGAAATACGAATCTTATGCTGCCAGACGGGACCTGCATCTGCAGGGACGAGGTATGTACTACTTTAGGCTCTTCAATGATGCGGCCTTCACTCTTTTCACAGGCAGTTCATAACCTCCAAATATCCTTTAATAAAGCAGCACAATCCTGATCTTCCGGTGTTGATTCGAGAGGCTAGCGGCACTCCTGCTAGGGTGTTCGCGAGATTTGGTGAGTCCGCATAATGTATGTGTGCCGCAGGCGCTGACGACCACGTAGAACGGGGCCGGGAGGTGCATGCCGACCTTGATAATCTTTCGGCGGCAGACGTAGAATCGAAAGTTGCTCAGCTGTTGAGCTCATAACGGATTTGTTGTTGCTTTACGCGTTGAAATGTTTTCACTTGCCGTAACTCTATGAACACAAGTCCAGCTAGGTCTTGGGTTGTTGCAAGCCGTCAAAGAGACATGTTCATATGATTTTTCGATATTCTTGCGACAAATTACGGCATCTTCAAGTTGACGGGACTGACCGCCTCCATTCCTCCGCTGTACTCTCGCGCGGTTATTCACATCACTTTTGATCAGGCCCGGGTCTTATGTCTCCAAGCTTTCCACGCTGTCTTGCGACGTATATCATTACATTTTGCTTATCACGAGTCAACGTGCCAAGAACCGCAAAGACACAAAGACCGAGAAGATGCACTCTGCGCTCTCCTACCACATGGACAAAGGAAAGGCGAGAGATATGGCCGGAGCTTTCAAATTGAATGACCCGTAACTGAAACATCTTCAAACAGCGTTAGCATCTTCGCCATTAATCCCAGAGGCGCCGTGTATACAAAGATGAAATCCAAGTGAAGCATACCTCTATGCACCGACACACCCGCGATTCGGCCTCGTCCCGACTTTTCTATGATGTTTAAGTCGTTATCCCTGATAAGGAGGTACTTGACTGACTTGTTCCCGCTCATGCTAGCTAGCCTGGAGTGCTTGCAGATAAGGGCTTGGCGGCCTTCTTGCCGAGTCTATGATAACTGAATAGGTGGCGGGGTCTCATGTTCAATCTGATAACTGAAAGCCAAAGCTCCTGGTCCTGAAAAACCTCCCTCTTGAATAATTCCTATCATCGACTTACTGGAGAAGCAACTCCGCATTTTGGTGCCTAAATGCTACGAAGAATTGATCTTGCAATTCATTCTCGTATCTTTTCTCCTTGTAAATCAATGGGGCAATCAGGCTTGTGCCTATCAAAGCCCTCCACATGCTTCATCGCCGAGTTGCTTTGAGCCTGAGGAAGTTATCTCTTCGATACAATAAAAGGCGCAATGTCACATCAGACTCCAGAACGGCTTCTCCTCCCCCGAGTTGGCAGCACCTCTGACCTCACCCTCTAGTCGTCGACACCATGACCAGATCGGAACCAGATACATCCATTGCCGTCGTTGGCGCAGAGTCTGCAAAGATTGATTATGACAAGGTTCATGCAGATGAAGTCTCGTCGACCGAAAAGGGTGTCTTCTCGGAAAACGAGCTGGATGGTATTCATGACGATTTGGAATTCCCAACGGAGGAGGAAATCAACACCCTTCGACGAGTGTCTGATACTATTCCTTGGAGTGCCTACCGTAAGTCACCCAGCTATCTCCAGGAACCTCTAGACTGACGATGGTTTCAGTAATTGCCATCGTAGAGATAGCGGAACGATTCTCGGTAATAGCTTATCTATCCAAGCTTCTTTGTCACCGCTGACCCAGCTCCAGTTCTACGGATCTACTGTCGTTTTCGTAAGCCTTCTAGATCTGAATCGTCTTGTCTGCGCCGCTAACCTCCAGGCAGACCAATTTTATTCAGCAACCTCTGCCAGAGGGATCCCATACGGGAGCGGCAGGCGCTGGTGGTGTTTCGGGCGCATTGGGACGCGAACAGAGAGTGGCCTTCAGCCTCACGACATTTTACCGATTTTGGTGCTATGTCACCCCGCTACTCGGCGCATACATCGCAGACTCCTACTGGGGCCGGTACAAGACAATCTGTGTCGCTGTAGCGGTCGCTCTCTTTGGTCATGTAATCCTAATCATTTCATCTGTGCCTGGCGTCATCGAACATAGTAGTGGTGCCATGGCTGCCTTCATTATCGGGATGATTATTATGGGCTTAGGTAGGACTGTTTTCTGTCTTGTGCAAACTCCATGTTAACAACGTTGCTATAGGGACTGGCTTGTTCAAGGCGAACATATCTCCTTTGATTGCGGAGCAATACAAGAGGACGAAGCTTTTTGTTATCACTACCAACAAAGGCGAAAGGGTTATTGTCGATCCTTCTTTTACAGTATCTCGAGTGTACTTGGTACGTCATCATTCAATGCCATTCATCTAGACGGTTTTCTGAGAACACTATCAAGTATTTTTACATGTTCATCAACATCGGCGCATTGGTTGGACAAATTTGCATGTCATACACAGAGCTGGTATGCTCTTTCCCCAGCGTAGCGGTTCTGAGTTACTAACAAGAGCGCAGTATGTTGGCTTCTATCTAGCCTTCACGCTACCCACAATTGTATTTTTACTCTGCCCAATCGTTCTCTGGTACGGACGGAACCGATACACACGATCACCTCCTACTGGTTCCGTCCTGGCGACTTCTCTCCGCATTCTTAGATTAGCTCTGAGGGGCAAGTTTAGTCTGAATCCTGTAACGATGTGGAAGAACCTGAACGCGCCAGACTTTTGGGACGGTGCAAAGCCCAGCAACCAAAAAGGGACACTTCCAAAATGGATGATATTTGACGATCAATGGGTCGATGAAGTCTCTCGTGGCTTTAAGGCCTGCGCGGTGTTCTTATGGTACCCACTGTATTGTAGGGGTCCTATTGCTTGCTTTTGTAGTTTATGAAGGCTGACAACATCTTAGGGCTCTGTTATAATCAGCTCGATAACAACTTGACCTCTCAGGCGGCCGTTATGACACGACATGGTGTTCCTAACGATGTTTTATCAAACCTCAATCCTTTGTCGTTGATCATTTTCATCCCTATTTTTGATTTCGTCGTAAGTGGAACGTGGTCAGGTATTCATGTTCTTGTTGTTGACGAGATATAGATATATCCCACTCTCGCTTACCTCGGTATTCGTTTTACCGCTCTCAAGAGGGTGACGCTAGGTTTCTTCTTCGCCTCCTCAGCAATGGTCTGGGCTGCTGGTAAGAGTGCGCGCCTAGATTCTCGTACACTTTCACTAATAGCCGTCATAGTCGTTCAGCACTATATCTACCAAGTGTGCTAGTACAGCTTTGCAAGTAGTAAAATGTGTTAACAGTAACGGTCCTGCAGACCAACCCTTGTGGCTACTACGCTGCTACTTGTGACGAAACTTCGACCCTAAATGTCTGGATTCAAAGTGGATCGTGAGTCCTTTTCTCCTTGAAAAATCTGCTGGTGTGGAGGCATAACGTCTTGTTCCAGATATGTTCTTATCGGGATTAGTGAAATATTTGCATCTATCACAGGCCTCGAATATTCTTTCACCAAAGCTCCCAAGAATATGCGCTCCCTGGTCATGTCTGTATTCCTGTTCACGTCTGCACTGGCATCAGCTCTAGGCCAAGCGTTTACGCGTGAGTATCAAATCGTTGGACCTTTTACATTAGGATTGACACGGTCTTCTTATAGCTTTGGCTGAAGATCCTCTATTGGTGTGGAACTATGGCACTGTAGGAGTCATTGCCGCGGTCTCGGGGATCTTTGTTTGGTTGTCTGTGCGTTCTTTGGATGCTAAGGAGGATGAGCTGAATAATCTGTCCGAGGGCCATATGGGCGAGAAGTTGTAGTCATTTTCTGTAAACTACACTGGTTCGGCTTGGATGCACGCGACGTTCTTACGATGAGACGTAGCTACGTTTTTCTATGTTCACGGAGCCCTGATGTATTTTATATCCCAGTCTTAAGATTACGCTCCGGCAGGGATGGCATTCAAACTCAGAATGTTGTCGCTTCCACAGGGCGTGAATGGCTTTAAGAAAGAAGGTAACTTTCAATCGAGGCAGTTGTGTCGATTACCGAGATCTGTGTCCTGTGGAACATAGACGCATTGAACTCTCGCATGCAACAAATCGGTGAATTCGCGACCTAAAATATCACTGGTGCGCCAACACCCTGGGGCTTATAACCGCCTCCTGCACAACTTTGATCGATTGGACAAAGGATTTGTGTCTCATTAGTGAAGATTCAAAACTATACGACTGATTAGGGGTCGTCTCTCAAATATCCATTGGGTATCTACATCTAAATACTTGTTCAATTACTATGATTCATTTGACGATGAATGAACTCCAAGATCTCTACGCATACTGGTAAGCCAGTCTCCCGCTTCAATTCCAAGCAATAAGTCTCCCATGCCCACCCACCTCTTCTTGAAAACATGGCCGATAAATTTCAACAAAATTTCAGCTGATAGCTCTGGATGCGTGAGTGCGATAACAACGGCTTCGAAAACATAGGAATTACGGGTGACCTCTGCACCAATAGGATCTATGTCAGAGTAAATAGCGAGATAGAGGTTCCTGTGGCTCTGAAGCACCTCAGGAGGCTCTTCACAAGAAGAAGAATTCTCTACAGGTTCATCGCTTTTCGGTATAGGCTGGTTGGAATCTTTTTCGTGTGTTTGTGACTGCGGAGGCCAATCATATATAATCGGGTCCCAGTCCCTAGTGATCCAAGACGGATAACGTGCATATCCGCATTCTCGAGGACCGACAGACATATCATCTCAATCGAGGAATCCAGTAACGGTGAAGGTCTGTGGGTCCACCATTACATTCTGCGAGTCGAAGTCAGGCGGCGATAGGACGAATGGAGGTCCGTCAAAACGTTTATTGGGGAGAAAGAGGGAGAGTAGACGAAGAACAGAATAGTGCGCGTACTCAGATGGAGGTTCACTATGTTTATCGGCAAGAGATGAGGCGAGTTCATTAATGTAAGAAAGGGCAGTGGGGAAGGGTCCGATTTCATGAACAACCTTGCCTTCTTCGATTTTGCGCAAAGGTCCGATCGTATACGAGAGGTCAGAGCCAGAGAATTCGAGCACGTGAAGCTGGGCCATTGAGTTAGCTATCTGCTGGAAAAAATGGCGACGGTTGGCATCAGTGAGAGCGCCCGGTTTGGTCCATATATCTATCAGGCAGATGCCCTCTATGAAGCTGGTAAACATATAGGCATAACCAAGGCTATTGTTTGGGGAGCTATCATAGGCGTGGACGATAGGTAGAGGAAGGGAGGTCATGTCCGAGATCAACCGCATGGTCCCTATCATGCTCTCGATTTTTTGGGAGTCAGTGAAAGACGGCTCTGGAATTCTGGCTACCCATTTCCTACCATCAGGAAAAGTGATAACGTAGACGAGGTTAAAGGAGCCTTGCATTGCCGGTGTTTGGACGTGAGCGGAAGGGGACTGTGCGTGCTTGCAGGCCAACTTTTTGAGTGCCTCTATCGAGATTTTCTCCTCCAGACGATGCATATTGTCACAGCAGCTGAACGCAGAAGAAGCACTAGTAGAGGGTGAAACCATGGCGGAACTTGGAAGTGCACCAAGGTGAATAACTGAGCAAAAGGACAGTTGCGCGCGGGCCTTAAAAGGCAACGATATCACGTGCCACACCGCGTAGAATTGGCGACGGTCCACGATCCGGTCTCCCTGATTCTGCTTCCAACTACCTTGGCCCTCTCTTGTTTACCCAAGTTCCTCCTACTCTGCCATCGATGAATTCGCGACTTGATGTCTCGAAAATTCTGCCTGAAGAGGTGTATCAACCACTCCTAGCGCTAGGTCTCCCTCCCACAGTAACTCTTGAGCAATTTACACGATTATATCGTGGTCCACTGGCCGATATCTTGGTCTTTCTCAGTGAAAGCGTGCTGGGGAAGATGGATGTAATGAAAGCTCGTGGTGACATTCATGGGTTCGTGTACACCTGATTTACTTAGTCTATGGGACGTGTGACTGATGTCGACCGTCTAGAATGAAGGTAGTGGGAAACGATGCCGCGAAACCCCACAGAATTAAGGCGTTTCGTTCAGAAGATAGATCGCGCTTTAGACTCACTGGAGCCAAGAAAAGTTATGCTTTATGCCAGAAGGAGCTGGATGAGCTATTGGTGGCATCGGAAGAAACCCGTGAGCATTCCTCAGTATCCAGATGATACTTATCCTGACTATTTTTTAGAGCTTAAAATCAGTAACTTGAGAAATCAGCTTAAAGACACTCGAAATACCGCATTTTTACTTACTCTCTTGGAGAAGAAGGAGTTGACGAGGATGAAAAGGATCGAAGAGATAACAACTCTCTTAAGAAGACTGAAGTAAGTTCTACCGATTAATAGTATCGATTATTCCTTATCCTGAATTTGTGGTAGAGAAGCACTTGACCAACGTCAGTCGTCTCAGGTCTGTTCATGCCTGTTCATTTGTCAGTTTCCAGTCGTTCTGATGTTTTCCTAGTTGTCTGTTTCTGTGCCGCCAGAAATAGACAGAAAGGAAATACTAAGACGTCGAATGACTCACTCTAGAGATGCATTAACGGTGCGCATGCATGTTAGGCTGATCTATGTAGCTTCACGAACTCATTCTTCTAGAACACCGAAGCATATTATGTTGCCCTCTCCCGCGTTACACTGTCGGAGACGCCCTGGAGGAATCAAGATTATATACCTCGACTGAAGACCGTGATGCAAAAGCATCTTTCTTCTCGAGATGCGCAGATAGAGGCTACTGTGTACGTTTCCTTTCTGTGTTCATCACAAGCAATGCTGATCGGTTTTCATTAGCGCTAACATCGTGCGATGGGCACGGACCTGTGCGCATGAGAAAGCCAAATATCACTCTGCATTGCGGAATGCTGACATGGTCAGCGACGCTGAGTTAGACCGAACAGAGTTCTGCGTTGTAAGCAAAAGCACCATAGGTCTGACGGAACGTCTATTCAATTTCAATCAATAGCGAAACTATGAAGCCATGCTACAGGGACTGTGCGATCATTCAGCTTCTTTGCTTTTCGCTATCAATCCTCATATACAATACGTGCGTATTGTCCTCCAATACTGGATCGTTGGCTTACCTTTCCCTCCAGGTGACCGCTTTTCAATTATCTACAATACAAGTCTTAGCGGAGTCTTTAGGCGATAAAGCTTATCCAAGAGGATATTTAGATGACCAACGACGACTATTGGTAGAACAAGTGCCGAGTGATTCTGTCACACATAAGGACGTATCATTTGTGCAAAGTGCAAAGCAGACATTAAAAGCGAGTCAGGCGGTGGTGAGAGCCCCATTTGCGTGCTTGTTTGACTTCTATCTTTACAGTCTAATTCAGTGTGTGCCGAAACTTGTACAAGATTTAGAGCGTCTAATACTATCAAGTATGATATGACACTGACCTGCTGCTTGTATCGCTAATCGTTTATCCTAGTTGACAAACGGAGACGTATATCGGCACTCGCCCCAAGTCTTCCCTTATCGATGGAGAATCACAAGGGATCGCTTTGTAGGTAGCTGTTCTTTTCCAAGTAGCATCTCTCTTATACTGTCCCCCAGCGCGACATAGAGCGGATAGTCAGAAGATCGAAGCCAGTACAATCAAATTACTGAAGAGAAAACTTGACAAAGCAAACATGGGTGCCGGGCTAGTCAAGGACGTCGAAGTCCTTGTAGACGAAGCGAAGTTCATCATCGGTCGGAGCAAGTAACGGTAAATACCATTATCATTATTCGTCACCCTGTACACAGACTGGTCTTAACGGGATGCACTCCTCTCAACATACCGGATCTGATAGTCTTTCAGATTCTCTCGTCACGAGAAGACCCGTTTTCGAACTTACCAATTGTCTGTGTCTGCCATTGGAATCTGTAATTGCACAAGAGATTTTGGCGTTTGAGCTGCCCGCTCAAGCTCAAGCAGCACCCAGTACACTATATATTTACCTCTTGCCTTCCCACACTGACGGTGTCTCCGTGCTCAGGCACATCGTTGATGTTGAAATCTGGATGAATTCCAATTACTTATTGGGCATCCAAGGCTGCAATGGTAGCCTTCTCCGGAGCAGCATCATTCGTCTGTATGTGTTGAGCGTATGTCCCATATAATTCAAAATCAGCATGCTCAAGCTACACTGTAATCGTTTATCTTGTCATATTTAGGGAAGAGGAAAAATGTAAGTATGCACGGCACCACAGCTAAAATACTCCTAGAATATAACCTCGCGCCGAGTGCAGTTCATGAAGGATATGCTCTAGCCCTACGTAGAATCAGAAGGCTTGGTTCTGTTGACGTAGCAGATGAACCTTTGCTCGGAATAGTATGTCGGAAGCTGAGAACGAATATCAGATTTCAACATTGACATGATGTGCAGGATACTTGACAATACCTTCAGGACTCTTCGGCTTCAGGATAGACATGGTGTGTTGTGACAAATGTCTTGTTTTCCGATAAAAAGTTAACGGTGTAGTGATCCTCAGGGTCACCGGGAGTGCGATGCAATGTAGATCTGGATAAGATGTTTACATCTGGATTTTCAGCAAGTGGAAGAATATACGCACTGGTCTTCTGCATGAGCGACTCGACGTTTCGACTCTACCTTAAAGGCTTGAGAATGTGCCTCGACACATTTCTGCACTTTTAACCAATCGTCTGGATTACTTGTGAATAACGAGTGTTTGTCAACAATAGACTTCAGAGCAGAAAGGATAGCTGAAGTTTCATAGTTGAGGGGGCAGGAAAGGGCGTAACAGAACTAAATCCCTGTCACTATCTTCGAAGGCCTTTTTATCCTCTGAGGTCAAATCTTCATCATATTTATCGCTGCCAAGACAATGTTATCCAACACACTCGAGGTCAAGAAGGTCAAAGTTGAGGCTGCTAGCGTCTCCAAGGAATGGATTTATTCAGGTAATTTGGAATGGCCCGAACCATTTCGCGCGCTGAAAGGAAAGGTTCCATCCTTGTTCAAAGGTAGCACATGGAATGTATGAGCGTCATGGCCTGCTGAACATGGGCAATCCGTCCTTGGCGGCTGCATGCCCTCCTTTGTTTTGGCCTTGGCAGATACGCGTGTAGCAGGCCTATTCACTATACCACACGACTTTGGGACATCGTCTGCGGTTATGGTCAAGTGGAAGAACCTGTGGTGTTTAGGTTACCGGTCACTGGTCCGACTCAGTCAGCAGTCCTCCGTGCTCTTCGTACTATTAACCTTAACTAATTAGATCTGAATATATGGTTACCCCACTGGCCTAACTGATTTTCATGGAAACATAATTACACACAAGGATGCATGGGTGGTGTTGGTGTCGGTGTTGGTGCCGGCACAAGGTCCCAATAAGGAACGCGTATATGAAGCATTTTGTTACTGTCAGTGAAGTCTTGGAGCATTTACAAAGTGCACGCAAACCAACGGACTCTTCACGCAGGCTTCCAAACCTTATCCGACTCACATGGTGCCGGAAGGTCCAAGCGTTGTTCTCGGAGAAGTGGATCGGTGCAAGAACAGTGACTTGGAGAACCGTAGTCACTGTTCCTGTACCGATCCACTTATGTGTTACTAGTTCATTTCCGAGGTCTTGCAGTATACAAGCATGTATATTTTATTAGTAGTCTGCGTCATTTTCAGCAACCTCGCTGTAGATTCCACTACAATAGTAGATTTCACATGCTATTTTCGTCTGTTTTTGGTTCGTCGGATTTCCTTCTCTTGCACTCCTCTTTCCAAAGGGGGCTTGGAGCACGAATGAAACCCAGCAGGCAGAGGCTTCTTGACGCCAACCTGGGACTCGAAGCTCAGCACAAATTCCATTTCATACATCTCACGAGTCTGAACTAGGAGAAACTGGTACCAGTTCAAGTATAGTTGATGTTCTGCGAGTATGTGAGGCATGAGCGGAGTCTCAGAATACTAAGGGCCAGGCGAACTCAAGTGTCCTTGATTACATGCTCACTCGTACGCAAACCCTTAGCTATAGTTCAAAGCTCTGTCTAGCGCAGCGAAGCACCAGTGTAAGTACGGATATCAAATATACGCATTCGCTCCCACTTGAGGATTTTGACGTTTTGGAAGACGTATGAGAGCAGCAGGTAGGGCTATGGACCCGGCCGTTCCTGATTGTGACGGTACCAGCAACAGCAACACCACTTAATCGTGTCCAAATAACTCGATCTGAGTCTCCGGGACAACGTATCATTGCAGTTATTTACGGGTTCGGCAAGGCTCAAGCACCACTGGTCAGAAATAAGATCTACTAGATCATCTAGATCTTTGGAACGCTCACATGTGAGATACACGTGCACTCGCGGTACATAAGCAACTCAGGCAAATTCAAATTGAAACTTGCCCTGCACCAATATCACCCCTATTGAGTACTGATATGCTATCTGGCGTGCGCCGTTTTCTCCCTACTGGATTGTCGAAGAAATCTTCCCCCAAACTTGAAGTGCTTTTGTACTTCGCTCAAGAAGGAAACGTTCTTCAACAGCGATATTCTCTTGTACGCCAGTTAGGAGAAGGTTTTGGAAGACGTTCTACAGTGTGGCTCTCTAAGGACTTGGTGTACGTATTTTTCTCGGGATCAGTGCAGGAGTCAATTCATCGTGGATTCAGAACCGGGAACGACGTGGTGCTCAAAATAACTGGCGCGGACTCGACGGATGCAGGAAAGTATTCACAGCTTGAGGCCGTTTTTCTCGACAAGGTTCGTCAAGTGCGCAACACAACCGAGCAACAACATGTTATTCACATGCTGGACCACTTCCCTCTTATCAGTGCCCACGGTCTCCACTGTTGCCTCGTCCTTGAGCCTCTTGGCCTATCCATAGAAGAACTAACTCGGCGGACGTTGCCAAACAAGTTCCCTATACCTATGTGCAGACAGATAATCAAGCAAACTTTGTTGGGTTTAGATTACCTCCATCGTCGATGCGGGATAGTTCATACGGGTAAGCATGTAGATGACGATGGTCTCATAGTGCTGATTGAACACAGACTTGAAACTGGACAATTTTCTCTTGCGCCCGAGCGACACCAGAGGGATTCCCACTCTAGGAGGTTCGAATTCACTGAAGATTGATTTATCGCAGGTCTCTCTCGGGCCATCTGCAGTTGTCATAAGTGACCTTGGTGTCGGTAAGCTATCTAAAAGCTATTCACGCTAATTTGGTGTTTAACAAATTGATTGGTAGCCAGTCATATAGAAAAACCGTTCAAAGGGGTCATACAGCCTTTCGCTCTGCGCGCCCCAGAGGTTTATTTAGGAATACCGTATGGTTCATCCGCCGATATATGGAGCATGGGCTGCCTAGTACGCCGTTATTGCTGTTTCGCCTGCTCACGTCTGACCCCTTTGCAGTCATTCCAACTTGTCACGTATTGCTGGCTCTTCAACCCCAAAGCAGGAGCCCGGTGGTCACAAGACGACGATATTCTAGGGCAAATGGTGTCGCTCAATGGAGTTGAATCATTCCCAGTCGATGTCTTGGCCCGCGGAAAGTTTAGTGATAAGTATTTCGACAAGTTCGGTATGTGTCGAATGATTTCGAGAGCTTGCATTGTTTGATAAGCTAGTGTAGGCAACCTTCGTGGATACAACGTCGGAGCGGATTCTATCCAAAACATGCTAGATTCACGCTTTCGCTTGCAACCTGAGGATGAACCCGAGCTTTTCGCTGATATGCTTTCTCGCATGCTCCGCCTTCGTCCTGAAGATCGAGAGTCGGCTTCAGAACTGCTCAGCCACCCTTGGTTACGAGATGCTTAACGACTACGTGAATGCTCTTGTTTGTATTTTATTGAATCCACAATGATCTATCTTAAGATCTCCTTCCCGACGCACAGCGTACACATCTCACTGCAATCCTCGATTCGTTACCCGTAGGGATGCATAGAACAAGAGTGTACGAACATAATTCATTATCTTGTTTGGCTTGCGTTTCTTCCATCGTCCGATTGTCTTCGACTTTTAAAAAATTTAAGTTCTGCTTGTGTTGATCATGATCTTACCGACTATCGAGGACTGTCTCATACCTTCTCGACGGCATTGTACCGAGATACTCGAAGAATACCAATCCGTAGTGTCCGACATCTTTCTGTCTATATGGAGTCCTTAAATAACAGCATGGCTCATCGTAATCACTGCGTTAATGGATGTTGGAATCCTCAGTGTTGGGCAGGGTAGACTCCTGGCTGGTAAGACCAGTTGATATGAACTTGTTATTTTCTGGCTCCTACAAGTAAAATGGGGCCAGGGATGGTAAGTACATCTTGTTCATCTGAACTTGCTCGCATGCACTCACCCATCTACGTCTCCAGCCCGAAGTTTGCCTTGTAGATGTCCCTCAAACTGTGGCGTATCCAACACCGAACTCGTCGAGGACCTTGCTTTACATCGAGACAACATATTGTCGTCCGGCAAGCAAGGACGAGAGGGTAGTCACAGGATAGTGAAGATGGGGACGAGGTGGAGGGGATACTAAAGGGATTGTAGTTGGGGACGGTAAGTACATCCCATTTATTCAAACTCGCATGTACTTATGCATCCGCATCCCCAGCCTACAGATTTCCCTCAAACCATGCCCCACGCAAAGCCGATGCAGCGAGGACCTGACTTTGCATCGAGACGACGTGTCGTCGTCCGGCGAGCGAGCATGGGAGGGTGGTCGCAGGACGGTGAAGTGGAGGGAATACGGGTGAAATGGGGGGGTGGGGATGGTAAGTACATTCCGTTTATTTGAACTCGCTCGCACAAACTCACCCATCTACATCCGCAGCCTGATCTCTTCCTCGCAAATCTCCCTCAAACAACCGTGCACCCAACGCCAAATTCATCAATGTAACGAGGAACTGCCTTTGCGTCGAGACGACGTATCGTCGTCAGGTGAGCAAGGCTAGGATGGTGTCAAGATAAAGGTAAAGTGGAGGACGAGACAGAGGAGGAGAGGAGATTGAGGGAGAGGGGATAAGATGCGGAGATGGTGGGTAATCCACTCATTTCTGGAGCTTGAACAGCAGGGACTAACCTCTTCCCTTAACCTGCTCCTCCTCCACATACAGACAACCCCTACCCTTTGGCATCGACCTGGAAAACAAGATATCAGGCTCGAACGATGGCCTGGAAGATTATAGCAGCGTTGTCAAGAGGAATTTTGGCCCAAGGTGACCTCTGTGCATCCGGAAAGTAGCTAGCAACCTCAAGGCCATGTGTAGATGGTCAACGAGTAACAGTTGGATCGAGAAACTGGCGAACGTAAGTCTTTCTGTACCGAGTCCGCTCCACCTCAGCTAACAGCGGTGCAGTTCCCTCTCCAATACCTACCGAGAGATCACGCAGTATTCGGTAATTGGGATCAGGACTGAGAACAGGATTTTATAACACAAATGGCACATAAATACAGCGCATGTAGTAGTCAAACCACTGTCTAAAAATGCCCTTTTACAGTCCCAAAAATCCGAAAATCTCTCCCCGAACCATGGTCGGGAGGGGGGTGCCCACACAATCCTCTCAGAATATTTTTGAAGGAAGAACGGCGCGCGGAGAGGCGTGGTTTGCGTCACAAGGAGGATTACTTGTCGTTTTTTTCGTGATGGTATTCCATTTGGCAAGTGATCCCAGACCGCAGCTCCCGCCACACCGATACTCGCACAGATCTTTTCCAAGTAGCACCTCTCTTATACTGTCCCCCAGCGCGACATTGAGCGGATAGTCAGAAGATCGAAGTCAGTACAATCAAATTGCTGAAGAGAAAACAGGACAAAGCAAACATGGGTGCCGGGCTAGTCAAGGACGTCGAAGTCCTTGTAGACGAAGCGAAATTCATCATCGGTTGGAGCAAGTAGCGGTAAATAACATTATCATTATTCGTTATGTTGCATGCATACCGATATTAACAGGATGCATTCACGACTTAACCCCCATCTATGATTCGGATTTGTAAGAGCAGCATTATTTTGAAACACTGGACCACGCATTATATCACCGAACGCCTTTCAGTTTAGTAAATCCCACCACATCCTCACGATGGAGTAGATGGAAATGGGAAATCCACCGTGCGCTTTCCTGGTCAGTTCTCACCACTTATTCATGGGGTCGTACCAGTTGGTGTCAAATGATACACATTACGGTTCCAATCCTTAGTGAGGAAACTGTTTTATTTTAGGCCCAATAAACACGGTGAATCCATTGTCGGCGAAAGTCTCTGACTCGGCATTCTGAGAATCGACAGTGTCCTAAGCAAGCGGGCGGGAGGGATTGACTTAACTGATCGCCAAGTTACCATTTTCTAACAAGGAAAAGTGAATGAAGATCGGAAGGCGATGATACAAGGGGAGATCTGTCAAGACATAAGGCGTAAGAGAAATGTGAATAATCATACAGATTAGCCTTCCTTTGCAAGAAGAGATGAAGAGAGCTGAAATAACGTATGCGTATTAGACGAGAAACGCAAAACGGTCCGATCAGACACTTCTTAACATCAGTCTCTCACCATGTCCAGCACCAAAGAAGCTCCTGAAAGCTATCTGGCTATCTTACCTCCGTCGTCTGAGCAACATTACGATGACCTATTTGACAACTTCGGGATCAAATCTGACGAGCGTCGAACGCTGGAACTACTCGATGCGTTGGCTGGAATATGTGTCTCGCAAGGAGAGGGGGAAGTCTATGCATCGGCAATGGAGACCAGTCCCGAAACATGTACAATTTTCATCATTGGGAATTACGAAGAGATCCCACAAGTAACACAAGACTACCTAAATGACGTTTGTCGCCAGCTCACGGACGTAGCACATCTCGCGGATACTGCAGGACTGCCTAGGCCAAAGATAGCCGATCTCTCTCCAAGGACTAAAGAATGTATCGACAACATCCTCACCACTGTGACTTCATTCACATTTGACAAGTTTTTGACTCGGCTTACGAAGTGGAAAGGCCCGTGGCTCAAGCGATGGGCAGGTATTGATCATCAACTTGCGGATGGAGCCGAGAAGAACAAGTTTCAGGACTTAACGCATGCTCTCAATCGCCTATACGAGGTTTCCACTCCTCATGTGAGGCATGTAAAGACGGTGGTCGGGGTTCTCGCTTCAATATCTCGAAGTTGGAAATTGAGCGATCGAAACACATCAGCGTTTATACGTGGGCTCGATCTTCTACCCACGTCTGATACGACGGACGGTATGTTTACTGGTCGTTGAAGATGCCGAATGCTCATACATCTCATACTGTTACAGCGCCATTCTTCATCGAGCGATATCTACGCAAAGTCTTGAAGACGTTCAATGAAACATCGAAGTTGATCCGCTTCGCGGTATCGCCTCGACGTGGCCACATATTCAGAAACCAGCCCAAACTCGTATTTCTGCGCTCTGAAAGACGTCATGTAGAACTGGACATAAAGACGGCAATCAAGACGGTTGAACATCACATGGAAACCATTGACCCAGATAGAGTATATTTTGACCAATCCATCAATAACGAGGAAGAGCAGCTCACTTACTGCCCGCATTGTGAATGCGCGATGCTGGCGACACTCCTGCAACAAAGACCTTCTCCGATTATCGGGGTTTCGAAACTATCTTGCTTTGGCTGCCGCTTATATTTCATCGCTTACAGGATGGCGCGAATTTTTCAATCAGGAGTGAGTAGCCAGTATTCATTTTTCAGGGATGACTTAAAACATTGCACTTTAGGGAATTGACCTGCCTAAGGAGTTTGTCGTGACTAGGGCATCTAACACTCTATGCCTACCATGGGTTTCTCCAGACTTGACATCTATTGATCCTGATCTACACTCTGAGGTCCAGCAACAGCTGTTGATATTAACACGAGGGGCGGCTATAGAGCATGCATTATCACTTGATCAATGCTCGGAAAGCACCACGTATTGGTTAGAGGGAGGTGTGGCCCCGATTGTGAACTTGTCTCTTGGCATGTTGAGCACGCTCGATTTCTTGTCATGGTTGCTTATCAAGTCTTTCTTAGAGGATATTGAGAGGAACTGGATGGCTAAAATGAACATATCATCTTAGGGACCTGCAGAACTTTCTTACTGGCTTGTGTAGTTCTTGTCGTGTACAATTACGAGGTCCGTGTTTAACGAGAGCACAAGAATGGACTACTGTATGAAGAGAAAAGAAATTCGTTTAATGAATGATACGTTCCATTATTCACATGCTCTAACTTTCGTCGTCTTTTATATGACAGGATGCCTGAGGCTTCGATTGGGATGGACGCATTTTGTACTAGCCGACATTAATTGGCCTATTGAGGGTATAACGGATAGTATTAGTACAGCAGCGACGAGTTAGTGTCATGTAAAATAGATAAATAAAAAATAACCCTAGGATGACAGCTTTTTATCATACCGCTTCAACAACAACCTGTCTACCCAACCGTCCTTTGGGAATGCTTTATCCCACTGATTGTGCAAATGTAACCCAAACACGTTCCCAAGAGCCTTATCCAGTGGACCTCCCTCCTCCATCCCAAGCCCCATCGTCCACTTGCCTTTCGCATCGTCCGCCACAAATGGGTCAGGCAGCCTGTTATCCAATCTACACGCTCTGCCATCACTGAAACAGAACGGAAGGATCTTGAAGGGAGGTATGGACCCCACAACTACCCGACGCCATAACTTGAAGTACAGCGTCGACCCCCAGTCAGTGGAATCAGCCCGAGGCGCGGTTCCGGTAGCCATGATATGGAACGCTTCGCAGATGTAGGGTGAGTGCTGACGGAATCGCATGAGGGCACCATTGAATGGCTGGTAGACTTTGTCTATTGGGGAGATATCAGAGGAGAAAGGATCAAATAAAGGTGTTACGCACCATAGCAGTCCCACTGAGTGACAAACTCGTGCTCGAGTAGGGGATCGAGGTCTCGCGTGAGTAACGAGTCCATATCGATCCATACACCGCCGTAATTCCATAGCAGGAGCAGGCGAATGAGGTCGCCGTCAACCCATGCTTTCTCGTCTTTACGACGCAACAGCTCGCTGCCCTCTAGCTCTGTTCCCACTGCCAATGCAGGGATATTGACAATTTTGAGGGCAAAGGCGTCGGGGTAACGCTCCACATAGCCGGCGAGGATCTCGTTGCTGGAGAGGTCACCGTTCGACCATAGGATAAGGCGGGAGGTGTGGATGTTCTGGGTGGCGAAGAAGGATTTGAGCATATACTCTTGCCGAGGTCCAAAGGCAGCGAGGTCGACTCGCCAATATGTATGGTACTGGATTCGTTCGTCACCGGGTATGTGCACATCAGGTATGCGAGTACTGCCGTCACTGCGTATCGTCCCAGCGAGGTCGTAACAATCCAAACCCATCTTCAATAGCAGCCCCGCCTGCACCTCCGTCTTCTTTGGACCGTATACTGCCTCCGACACGTTGTATTTTGGGCTGACTCTCGATGGGCCAAAACACCCAGCGAGTGGTTCGGTGGGCAATATTTCTTGATGTATCCAGTCACGGGAGTAGAACGCGAACTCTATGTGGGTTTCGTAGTAATAGAATCTGTAGAGAATGAATAAGGTGGTGGACAAGACGAATAGGGCGACGAAGCGCAGTCGTCGGATAGAGAATTTTGCAGACATCGTGGGTCGTGGTCTGTGCTCAAAAAAATATTCGGATTGGTGGAGGGTGGATGGTGAGGCTCGGCGTCTTGACGAGGACTGAGCATGGTAATAGTACGGCAGTTGCTCTTCACTCATGACAAAAGAGGGAAAGCTTACATAGCCGCCGGCTCCGAGTCGGTCCATTTTACCTTGAAGCTTGATCACCCATGAAGGCCATCAGAGGTATCTTATCAGTGTCCCTCAGTTGCATGGCCATACTTATCTTATTTCAGGTGTGCTTTTGACATGGTTAGTCGTTTACGCAGAGTTCTATTTACGTGGTTTCTTGAACCTCCTTCTAACAGTGATGCGGCGGTCAAGCAAATTCTGTTGGCTATGAACGAAAGACAGACGTTCATCATTGAAGACCTTGACGAAAACCATCTCCTCATCAAACAAGAAATGGAGTACTATGTCAGGAAAGAGTTGGAAGCGGAGGCGAGTCGGCGCTATGAATACTTATTCATTTCACTTACACTTACAGTCCCATGCAGTTGGAGAAGAATACGTACAGTCTGGAAACATGACGTTTAAGTCTCTTGTCCGTACACCAAGAATCATTTTCGTGACGCCGATAACAACTAGCTGATTGTCAATATTTGCAAGGAGTTCTACTCCTATGGTTCCGTACGAAATTATAGGTCAGTTATTACATGAACACATTTCGAGGAGTTTATTCAGTAAGTAAACTCCTCGAAATGAGGTATTAAACATGTTTATAGACTGCATGCATGCAGCATTCGTCCATATTCATCCTGACAGCTTCTACGTCCTTCATAATGTCCGGGAGGCTCTGCAAGGCCTAATACATGCTTCTACGATATCGGTCATGGCCAATGCAACTGGCATGCCCCTAGGATCAGTGCCAAAATTGACCAAACCCATCAGATGTCTCTGTTCTGAGCGCCGGAATATCAGCAAATACTGTGACCAGTCGCAACAGGTACTCTAGAAGTGGGCAGAACGCTAATTTCTGCCTTATGCTGTGGTGCCGTCATAATTGTTAACATAGTTGACATATCCTCTTGGACCCCTTGTGTTTGAAACCGGTTTGAAACATTGCTAGTACTAACAGCGAGGAGATTGGGGAAAACAATGTGAACATCTTATGTTAGCAATGGTCCGTGTAGGCGGTTGGAGCTAAGGTATCTTAGTTACGACAGCTCTGCTGTGTTTCCAAATAATTCGAGGGTGGATCTGAAATAGAAGTGCTTCCGAGTTCGACTCAATTGTTGCTCAGAATATCTTCGTTCTTTCATTTCATTGAAACAGATTCATTTCGGTTCCCCCCTTTCAGTCGATGCGTGTGGTGTGGCCTGGATACTTTGTGGCTCAATATTTCTGCCCGATGAATTGGAAAAGGGACTCTTTGGAAGGATAGGTAGTTAGACGAGTAACTGTGGGCCGCTACAGTGGAAGTACGGAATGGAGAACGTTCCTGAACCGGCGTAATCTTTCATCTCGGTCCGGGTTCCGTACCAGGAAGCTCTTTTCCGCTGCTACTAACTGCAAAGATTCTCTTCTTGCGTAGACTCTCGCTTTATACTCGCTGCCGGGTCAATCCATATATTTTGGGCTCGAGCATGCCTCTTCCATCAGAAATCAGGCCGTCGATAATGTGCGTCTACCCCAATTCTGCTTGGGTTGCTCTCCTGTCTCAACATACACCCGGATACGCACTCAATTTTTGAAATGATGGCTTCGAATTCCCATCGACTTAAAATCAATTGGCGTTTGCCGAATCTCATTGTTTAGCACACCCACGGTGAAGCCTGTACGCCCGTTGTCTACGATTGCAAAAATGGGTTAGTACACTGTTTTCTTTGATTGTGGCCTTCGCACTGATCATACGAGGACAGAACCTGTGTTAAAGTCGCCGATCCCTGCTGGAATATTGAGCGTCATTGAGAGGTCTAAGCAACTTGCTGCTTGGACTGCTGTCGATCAGCATATCAAGCCGGAGCACCGGGTATGTGAATATAGATCCTCTGTTGAGTCGTGGCTCATCGTTGCGGTCCAGGTAATTGGGGTTGGATCAGGTTCGCTGTCAGATATAGGTTGCTGAACATGATACGATTCATCATTCAGGATCTACTGTTCCATATGTTGTCGAGCGGATCGTCATGCAGGGATACGAGGCGAACAAGGATCGTGTTTTCATTCCCACTGGTAGATACAGGTTTGTTTCCCGAGAGCCTCCTGCTGATTCCAGATGGACCCAGGCTTTTCAATCCAAGGAATTGATCGTGTCCTCAGGTTTGGGCTTGGGAGATGTTGATCAATACTCGACTATCGACGTAACGATAGATGGGGCTGATGAGTGAGCGCGCGCGGCTGTCTTTCTTCAGCCTATCAGGACTCATTGTGATGCAAGGGTGGATCGTGAGCTCAACTGCATCAAGGGTGGAGGAGCTTGCCATTTACGAGAGAAGGTCTTGGCGGAGGCGGCGCTCACGTTCGTTTCATCTCCATCTCCTTGTTGCACGCTGATTGTCAGGATACTGTACAGGTTCATTCTTGTCGCGGATTATCGCAAGAACGTGGATTATCTTTGCACAAATGTAAGTGTTTGCTGCCGAGTCATCGTTGCCATGAAATGGCGCCTCGAAAATAAGTTTCTTGCATCCGAAGGCCTTGCATCCAGTTTGCTTTTACAAACCATCCTTACGATTTTCCGAGGCCGGAAAAGTGATGACAGCGACCGACTTGCTTTTCCCCATGGCGTTGGAACGGGGCATCATGATAACCGTCGAAAAAATTTTCTCCCACAGTCATGGAACAGGAACGTCGAAACATGCTAACTGGATTTTCTGTCTAGTTTAAACCTGGCGTCCCCATTGAGGTAGTACCTTTTGCGTACGCGAAGGTTTTACGCAACCTGCACGAAAGCTTGCGGTCACCAAACGCGACCCTTAGGATGGCTGTCGCCAAAGGTGCGCACCCTCGTTTCATTGTCAGTTCTGTGATTTGACCAAAATGTATAGCGGGGCCTGTAGTAACAGATAACGGTAACTTTGTCATAGACGCGCCGTTTTCGAGAGAGGACATGATGGATCCATATGCAGTTGCGTAGAGTTTTTCCGCTCTTCCCACAGTTGTCTCATGGTGTGATAGATCATGGCCCGCATCAAGATGCTTACCGGGGTCGTTGAAGTGGGGTTATTCTGCCATATGGCCAAGGCGGCATACTTCGGTAACCAGGTGTGTTTCAGCGCTGGTTTGCTTGATATCTTTTCTGATACTCATCCCGATCAGGATGGAAGTGTCACGGTGAAATGGGACGGTGGCAAGATTGAGCAGATCCCTGCTGCTAGCCAGTAGTGAAGAATTAGGCCTCAGTGTTGATAGAGAGAACTTGTTCGATCGCAGGGCTGGAGAAGGCTGAGAAGTACTAGAACTGAATGTACATGTACTTTAAATATTACGAGAACTTTGCAACATCTCTGATACGCATCGGCATTTATTAGGTAGGCCTTGATCAAGTCGTAAAATATCTTTTTCGTCCCTGACGGAGGGAACGGAGAAGTCACTGGGAAAAGAACCCCTATTCGCCCTTCCACGTGCTTGATCTTGCTAAACGTCGAAATTTCGGAATTGTGACTCATTGGACAGCTCGTTTTCCTTTCCCTTATTCAAAAGTGGATGGTCGTTAGATATCCGTCTGCAGTTCCTCTTCTTTCTTCTTCGCCATAATGTCGAATCCTGAGGCCGACGTCTTCAAGGTCTCCATCCTCGGGAAGGAATCCATCCACTGTGGTTTCCATCTCGTCCCATACATTGTCCGCACTGTCATCAGCACTTTGCCGTCGTCGAATTATGTCCTTATCACCGACACCAATGTTGCCAAGTGGCATCTGGATGCGTTCGAGGAGGAGTTTGATGCTCGCGCTTCGGCGGCAACACCCAACGGTGTAGCGTCTAAACCCAATGGTGCTGCGCTTAATGGTGTCACTAACGGGACGCCAAAGCCTCAGAACTTTCGGTTCTTCACCTATGTGATTCCGCCTGGGGAGACGTCAAAGAGTCGGGAGGGTAAGGCCGAGATAGAAGATTTTTTGCTGGCCAATAGATGCACCAGAGATACTGTTATTCTGGCTTTAGGTGGTGGAGTAATTGGAGATCTTACTGGATTCGTTGCTGCCACTTTGTGCGTATAGGTTATCCTGTCTCTATTTTCTGCAGTGTCACTAACATCGATTTCAGTATGCGTGGAGTTCGCTACGTTCAAATACCCACGACGTTGCTAGCTATGGTTGATTCTAGCGTCGGTGGCAAGACCGCAATCGATACCCCGCTTGGCAAGAATTTGATTGGAGCCTTTTGGCAGCCTGAATATGTCTTCATCGACGCTGCGTTTTTGGAGACCCTTCCCCCTAGAGAGTTCTCTAATGGTATGGCTGAAGTCGTCAAGGTTCGCGTCCAGTCTACTACCCCCATGTCGCTGGAAGCGCTGACTGGTTAATTAGACCGCAGCTATTTGGGATGCCGATGAATTCGCATCGCTTGAATCTCGGTCGACCGAAATTTTTGCGGCTCTCCAGTCTTCCTCGGCAGCAACTCATGCCGGTCGTACCAAGGCTACTCGTTCACATTCCCAGGAACTTCTACTTTCAGTTATAGTTGGCTCTATATCTGTCAAGTCTCACATCGTCACTATCGATCCCACGGAGACTGGTCTCAGGAATCTAGTCAATTTTGGGCATTCCATAGGCCATGCCATCGAAGCAGTCCTTACTCCGACTATACTTCATGGGGAGTGTGTTAGCGTTGGCATGATACTGGAGGCTGAGCTTTCGCGCCAGATGGGAATTTTAAGCCAAGTTGGCGTTGGGAGGTTAACAAGGTGTTTAAAGGCTTACAACCTACCGGTGTCGCTCAGTGACCCACGTATTGGAAACCTTCCCGAAGCGAAAGGACTAACAGTCGAAAGACTGTTGGATATCATGCGCGTCGACAAGAAGAATAAGGGTGATGAGAAGAAGATTGTTATTTTGTCTCGTATCGGCAAAACATGGGAAGACAAAGCGACTGGCGTGAAGGATGAGGTCATTAGGAAAGTATTAGCCGAGAAGGTCATGGTTGTCCCAGGCAAGCCCCGCAATGATCCCATCGAGATGTCGACTCCGGGTTCGAAGAGTATATCCAACAGAGCGCTTGTTCTGGCGGCCCTGGGGAGTGGAACCTGCAGACTGAAAAACTTGCTTCATTCGGATGATACTCAAGTCATGATGGCAGCCCTAATGGACTTACAAGTTCGCTAAAGTTCGTTCGATCTGATACTCGTACTTACTCGTATTACAGGGAGCCAAGTTCTCATGGGAAGACGGAGGAGAGACTCTTGTCGTTGAAGGCGGGTCTGGAACTCTATCTTTACCTCCGAAAGGCAAGGAGATCTACTTGGGCAACGCCGGGACCGCGGCCCGCTTCCTCGCCACTGTTTGCACTCTGGTCAGCAAACCATCTTCTGCGGGCGATGCATCTACGACTGTCATTACGGGCAATGTCCGCATGAAGCAGCGTCCTATCGGTCCATTGGTCTCTGCTCTCAAGTCTAATGGTAGCGAGATTGAGTGCCTTGAAGCTCCAGGCTGCCTACCATTGTCCATTGCCCCTAATGGATTGAAGGGAGGCGAGATTTATTTGGCTGCAAGCGTGTCTAGTCAATACGTGTCTTCAATCCTCTTATGCGCCCCCTACGCCGAGGAAAAAGTCACTCTACACCTTACTGGTGGACAAGTGATTTCACAGCCGTATATTGACATGACAGTTGCCATGATGAGGTCTTTTGGCATCGATGTTGTTAGACGCAAGGATGAGGCAACGGGTCATCTGTTGGATATCTACGACATACCAAAGGGAACCTACAGGAATCCTCCGGAGTACAGTATCGAATCTGATGCTAGTTCTGCGACGTATCCTCTGGCAATCGCAGCCATAACAGGGACGACTTGTACCATCGAGAACATTGGATCCAAGTCGCTGCAAGGTGATGCACAGTTTGCGGTGAATGTCTTGAAGAAGATGGGATGCGAGGTTGTGCAAACTGATTCGGAGACTACGGTGAAAGGTCCTGCCGTTGGAGGATTGAAGGCTATCGGAGAGATTGATATGGAGGTGATGACTGATGCCTTCTTAACGGCCTCGGTGTTAGCTGCTTGCGCTCCGGGCAGCACCAAAATCAGAGGAATTGCGAATCAGAGGGTTAAGGAATGTAATCGTATCAAGGCTATGATGGATGAGCTCGGTAGGTCTTTCTGGACTTTTAGCTGAATTGAGGTTGATTTTTCATCTCGACAGCGAAATTCGGCGTTCCGACAAGCGAACTTGACGATGGATTAGAGATAATTGGAAAGCCCATATCAGAGCTTCAGGACCGGGCGCTAGTGTACACTGCTACGATGACCATCGCGTCGCGATGGCTTTCAGTGTCCTTGGTTGTGTTATTCAAGGAACCGTGATCGAGGAAAAACGCTGCTGTCGAAAAGACCTGGCCGAACTGGTGGGATGATCTAGAAAACAAGGTTTGTAGTATTGACTGCTACTTGGTCTTCCCTCTAACCAATCTTGTGTCAGATCGGTTTGTTTGTTAAAGGTGTCGAAACATCTACCCCGGCTGCTGCGATCGCCTCAGCCAGCGGAACCGCCGATCACACATCGTCCGCTTCCATTATCTTGATCGGGAATGCGCGGTTCGGGAAAAACTTTCGTTGGCGACCTAGCCGCCTCCGTCCTTTCCTGGACGTGTATCGATGCCGACCATTATTTCGAAGAGAAGCACCGTATGGGTGTCCGCCAGTTCGTGCACGATCATGGCTGGCCGGCATTCCGTGCAGAGGAGGCTGTCATCCTCAAGGAATTGTTGGCCCAGAATGCCGAACGACATGTAATCAGTCTTGGTGGCGGCGTCGTCGAGTCTCCTGTTTGTCGGGAGATGTTGAAGGAGTATGCAAAGTCGAAGGGTCCAGTGGTGCATATTATGAGGCAGATCGAAGAGGTTGTCAAATACCTTGGAGTTGAGGGGGCTCGTCCTGCGTATGGAGAGCCAATCATGGACGTTTTCAATCGCCGAGAGCCTTGGTTTAAGGAATGCTGCAGCCATCACTTTGTGAACAACGTTGGGTCATTGTTAGGAGATGATGTCTCGCCCTATGGCGAAGAAGCGAACCAGCGATGAAGTTGCTCGATTCTTTGGGCATATCACTGGAATCAAACCTAACTTCTGTGCGAACTTGGCTCCAGGAAAACGATCCTACTTCCTCTGCCTCACATATCCCGATCTCACACCTGCGCTCTCCCGTATTGAGGATTTGACGGCAGGCGTCGGACGCATTGGAATTACGAGCTGATTTACTTACGCTCTCCTCTAGACTTTGGATCAATTGGACAGTACATCCCTTCGGATACTTATGTCGCTGCACAAATCGCCGCGCTTCGTCGCTCGACAACTCTGCCTATCGTGTTTACTGTCAGAACGCTGTCTCAGGGAGGTGCATTCCCAGATACAGCCGAGGACGAAATATTCGAGCTGCTACATTTAGCGTTACGGGTTGGCATCGAGTATGTGGACGTTGAAATCTCCCTCCCGCAGAAGAGGATCCAGGACTTGATTGCCAAGAAGGGCGCATCGAAGATTATTGCTTCTTGGCATGATATGAGTGGGAAGATGAAGTGGAATGGTCCAGAGGTCAAGGAGAAGTACGACTTGGCAAAGAAGTTGGGTGATATCGTCAAGATTGTCGGTCAGGCAGAAACTCTGCAGGACAACTTTGATCTTTTCAACTTCGTTCAGCGTATGGATGGCGTACCTAATGCGAAGCCTTTCTTGGCTATCAATATGGGTGCTAACGGACAGATTTCTCGTATCCTGAATCCTACCTTTACGCCAGTGACGCATCCCCTTCTTCCTAACAAGGCTGCTCCCGGACAGCTTTCGTTCGTACAAATACAGAAAGCGCTTCATCTCATGGGTCAGATGCCCGCTCGTCGTTTCTTCCTCTTCGGTTGTCCAATTGCCCATTCTATGTCCCCTACGCTTCACAACACCGCGTTCAACCTGCTTGGATTACCCCATGTCTACGGGCTGCTAGAAACCCCAGAGGTTGGCGAGGAGATAAAGGCTACGCTTGCTGCACCCGACTTCGGCGGCGCTTCTGTGACGATTCCGCATAAACTCGATATCATACCTCTTCTCGACAAGCTTTCACTTGCAGCCGAGTTGATTGGAGCTGTAAATACTATTGTTCCTATTCGCGAAGGCTCGGAAACGGTTTTGTACGGCGACAACACCGATTGGATAGGCATTCGAAGCTGCATTACTTCACACATTGCTGTTGGCGGCATACACTCTGCTCTAGTGATTGGTGCGGGAGGTACAGCCCGAGCGGCTATTTTCGCCCTCGAATCCCTCGGAGCAAAACGGATCTATCTTTTTAACCGTACTCACAGCAAGGCCGCAGCGTTAGCACGAGTGTTCCCTGACGCCAACATCCATGTGCTGGATAAGCTCGGGCATTGGCCGGAAGGGAACGTACCACCTAATGTGATAGTATCCACTGTTCCGGCTACCGAGACTACGACTGTACACGAACCCAGTCATCTGAACTTCCCCGACAGGTTATTCGACTTCAGAGATGGGCCGGCGGTAGTCATTGATATGGCTTACAAGCCTATCGAAACCCCTCTTTTACTGCTTGCAAAGGCGACCGCCAAGAATTGGACTGCCGTTCCTGGCGTTGAGGCGTTATTGGAGCAAGGGTTCGGTCAGTTTGAGATGTGGACGGGACGACGCTGCCCTAAAACCGCCGTCTCAGCAAAGGTCTGGGAGGCGTACCTACAACCGTAAGAAAGTAGATCCTGTGTATGTAGACGAATCGTAGAATTTTGATTTTCGGTGTGGGTCCAAATGTAATGCGGAAGCGGGACGGGAACTAAAAAAAGCGGAATCTATGGTACCGGAAACGGACGGACACCGTGTTTGACAGGGCATCCGAAAAAGGCATATCACGACCCGGAAGAGCCAGGCAGCTGGAATTATATGAGGGCAAAACCAGACAAAACATTGCATTTTCTTTCTCTCCGTTTCTCTTCCGTCGTCGCATTCCCTCTCTGAAGTGCTTTCACTTCGTCGTGGTATATATTAAGGATGCAGGCCGCTCGCAATCAACGTAAGTAGACCGGCCCAGAGCGCGACAGTCATTTGATCTTCCTTTTTCCCTAGTTGCCAGGTCATTGGGTCTTCCCCGTTCTAGAGCTCTGAGAGTCTCTCGCGAACCGATTCGTTTCGTCCGCCGGGGTCTGTCGACCACTCAGTCTAGAAGGAGTGAACAGGTGCGCTTGTTTTTACTGTTTTAAGGTGTCTACTCATAATGGGCAGGAGCCGTCAACGTCAACACCTCCGCCGGTCGCAAAATCTACGAAATGGCGGACTTTCCTGCAAGGCCTGGGCAGGGCAACTATTGTGGCTTTGGTTGTCGGCTCCGGATCCTTCTACTACGTCACGCAAAAGGACCGAAATCCTGGAGCTCAACTTCCTTTTGATCCTGAGAAAAAGACAATTGTCGTATTGGGAAGTGGATGGGGTGCTACCAGTATGCTGAAAACGATAGACACGGCGGACTACAATGTGGTAAGTGTCTCCGTTATCGCTTTGCTATTGTGCGTGTCTCACAGATATACAGGTTGTTATCAGTCCCAAAAACTTTTTCCTCTTCACGCCTCTTCTACCTAGCGTTGCTGTCGGAACTCTCACCTCGCGAGCTATTCTCCAGCCAACGCGATACGTCACACGGCACAAGGCGCGGGAAGTGACCGTCATTGAAGCGGAAGCCCGAGAAGTCGACGTGAGTTGTCATCCCCCTGACCCCATACACTTCCCCTCACTCGATCGCGTCATAGCCTCACAAGAAAACTGTCACCTTCACTGGTACGGACTGCGTTTATCTCTCTGCACGTGGTGTGCTCAAATTGGAATTGTAATGTTCTCAGATGACCAGGGCAAATCGTCTAAAACCATTCCGTATGATTATCTCGTCTATGCCGTCGGGGCGGAGGTCCAGACGTTCGGCACCCCGGGAGTTCAGGAGAAGGCTTGTTTCATGAAAGAGATCCAAGATGCCGAGAAGGTCAGTTCCAGCTGTAGTTTTATCTATTTCAGCTGCTCATGGATTTATCTAGATGCAAAAGAAGGTTATGGAATGTACGTTAGACTTTTTTATCGAGCTCTGAATGCTCTATCTAATCTTCGTCAGGCATCGAAACTGCTGCGTTCCCTGGTCAATCTGCAGAGGAAGTGGAACGGCTACTCCATATGGTACCAGTTTTCTTGAAATCTCGGTGTATTTCTCTGATTGTCGGTCTCTATCAGGTCGTTGTTGGTGGTGGCCCAACCGGTATAGAACTCAGGTTCGTATGACATAGCTTTTAATTGACTCCTGCCTAATGTCTATTTGACAGCGGTGAAATTCATGATTTCCTTGAAGTGAGCCGCATCTACCGCGGGTCCTTTTACTTGTGCTCATGATGATCATAGGACGACTTGAAATCTTGGTACCCCGAGCTTGCCGGCAAAGTTCGCATCACTCTCGTCGAGGCTCTCCCATCTGTCTTGCCTATGTTCAGCAAGCAGCTGATCGACTACACGGAATCGACATTTAAAGAGAGCAAGATCAACATCATGACGAAGACCATGGTCAAGGAGGTCCGTTACACCAGTGCCCCTTACAAAGCTGCATTCTAATTACGATGGTGTAGGTCAAGGATAAGTCCGTGGTTCTCCAGATGCCTGACAAGAGCATTGCCGAGATTCCCTGTGGCATTGTTGTTTGGGCCGCTGTACGTGATTTATTAGTATTTTCGGGTCAAATCTCCTTATCGTCGTTTGCGGCAGGGTAACAAGGGTAGAAAGATAACACAAGATTTAATGGCCAAGCTTCCTGCCACGCAAACCAACCGTCGGGGTCTTTCAGTAGATGGTCCGTATCTCCATATTCCATGTACGCGGCAAGTCTCTTATCATCCACAGAATATCTACGGATGAGCGGAACCGACGGAAGCATTTTCGCTATCGGAGACTGCACTGCCACATCCTATGCACCCACAGCCCAAGTCGCGTCTCAACAGGGTGCTTACCTCGCGCGGGTTTTAGCACAGATAGCAAAGAAGGACGCCTTGGAAGCCAAGCTGAAGAACTTGGAGGCAAAGGTTGGCGGCGTCGAGAGTGAAGTCGAAGCAAAAGGTATTGCGGACGAGGTCGAGAATGTCAAGAAGCAAATTGACATGGTCAAGTTGAGGCCCTTCCACTACTCTCACCAGGGCAGTCTGGCGTAAGTGAACCAAGCTCATCTCGTGCTAAGTACGAGCTGACTGCGGTATAGGTACATCGGATCTGACAAAGCTATCGCCGATTTGCCATTCTTGAACGGAAATGTATGTCGTGCTCTGCGTTTTGATTCCGTTTACCAATTGACCCTGTCGTACAGATCGCTAGTGGTGGTGTCGCGACGTTCTTGTTCTGGCGTAGCGCCTATCTGAGCACCTTGTTCTCCCTCCGCAACCGCACCCTCGTCGCAAACGACTGGATATTAACAAAGTTGTTTGGCCGGTATGTGTTTCTCCGTTAACGAATTCCGTTTGTAATTGACATCGGTCCATTTGTAGTGATGTCAGTCGAGACTGATACCGAATTTTCAGATGAACGATCTTTATTTGTCCGTTGGTCGTTAGAGGAAGCTTAACATGTCCTTAGTGCTACGAGTGGATTGTCGTAGCGTTCCTAGAGCACCTTACACCTTTCCTTAATTTTGACGGCATTTCATTAGATTTTCTACGCCAGTTTTGTGGTTTTCTTTGATTTTTTTTGTATATCGTACTATATGTAGTGGATATGCCTTCGCCCTAGATTCGCTCTTATTTAACTACCGAGCTTTAGAGTTTCCCCGATGCCTCACGGCGTTTGGGGTGCAGCACATGTACTCCGCGCTTGAAGGACTTTTCTTGAGGTACGCCTGAATCTCTCAAAAACTCTTTTTCTTATTGAATGAGCGCTGAGAGCTCTTGATTCCACCGTCCTGTCGACAGACCAAGTACTACGATCCCAATGTTGACCAGCCGGACCTACACTCCTGCCCGCTCGGCTCAGCTTCTGATGCATTGATGATTCGAACCTTCCGACGTTCTGCAGCTCCCCAGGCTTCTTCTCCGCATGGGGGCCCCATTCTAGGCACAGCCGTTCTCCACGTCTTTCCAAATAAACGGATTAACCCAAGGCTGAACCGTGCAAGCGATATGCGGATGTAGCGTTGCTCGGAGGCTTGCGATTAGTTTCCGAGTCTATAAATAAGCACGCCGGAGATACTTAGCAGGCCCAATTTTCTTTCTTTTCCCCCGCGATGGCAGGAGGTGCTGTACCCCAAACGACCGCTGGGACGTCCTCTAACAAGGGTGTCTTCCATAAACACAATCTCCGTGCCACGCTATTTTGTACTGTGTTTGTCTTCGGAGCAATTCTTTACGGGTAGGTCTCTCCGTCAACTTTCCGTAAATAAAAACATTCCTCGCCGGACCGCTAACTATTTTACTATTAGATACGATGGGTCCGTGTTCTCATTCAAAGATGCATTACTTCGAGTTTATTTAGGATTGCCATAGGACATACTTCACTGGAATTCTAGCGATGAATAAATTCAAGCTTGATTTTGGATCGCGCCAACCGGATGGATCATATACGATATCGTCTGCTTATCAGTCGCTCTTTGCTTCTATAGTGCAGGTTGGTGAAGTTATAGGATCTTTGTCGGCCGGATTTATTGGTGATCGTCGGGGGCGCAAGGGTGCTATGGTCGCTTGTGTTATCCTGGTCACTTTCGGCGCAGTTCTGCAGCTCATCCTCACTGGATCCATTGCCCTCCTTGTGGTGGGACGCGCCATTTTGGGTATCGGTGTCGGTATAGTGTCGAATTGTACGACCTTGTATCTCGCAGAGATCCCTCCTGCTGTGATTCGGGGAACTATGGTATCATCCTGGCAGTTGTTTTTGGCCATCGGTCAAGTCATCGGAGCTGGTGTTGCACAAGGTGAGTTGGGAAAATGTGTATGCGCGCGTGAGGTACTCATTTTGGGTGTGCCCGGACAGGAACGAAGGATTATACAACGTCGTTCTCGTATAGATTCCCCATTGCTTTGAATATCTTGATTTGCTTGATCATCACTGGCGGTCTGTTCTTCGTTCCCGAGTCTCCGAGGTGGCTGCTCTCTAAAGATCGCGAGGAGGACGCGTACAAGGCGCTGTTGCGGGTACACAAGGGCAACGATGAAATCGACATCCGAGCTGAGATGAAAGTTATTCTTGACGCTAAGCAGGCCGAGGCTGAGGAGAGCGGCTCAATCAGTCGTTGGAGAGATATCTTTTCCTGGTGTAGAAAAGAGGAAGTTTCTTGGCGCGTTTGGTATACTTGTGTGTCAGCAGATCGGCGGTGTCCAGTTCGTAAGTTTTCAAGTTCCCCAAGTTTCTCATCATTTATTGCTTGGACAACACTGACTGGAACTGTGTTAGATTTGTGAGTTACTTTGCCAACCGGTCGCGTCGTCGAATATTTATGCTTAATATGGCTTAGTTTCCTATGGGACTGTTTTCTTCGAATCTATCGGAATCACAGATGCAGTTCTTGGTTACTGTAAGCACAGCCTAAGATTTTTTGGCATAGAAATGACGAATGACATATAAATATTTATATAGATGATAACCGATATTGTTGAAGTCTTTGGCGTACTCTGCTCCTTCATGGTTGTCAATCGTATAGGAAGAAGACCACTTCTTTTGTCTACCACCGTTCTGATGGCTATAGTCCTCCTCATCTGTGGTGGTCTTGGTACGATCCCAGCAGAATCCCGGTCCAAGCCCGTCAATTCGGCCATAGCCTCTATGATCATCATCTACGTCTTGTATGTTACAACCGCTCCACCTGTCCATTTCCCACCTCATTATTTTCTAGTATCTTCAATTTGGCATGGGGACCCCTCGCGTGGGTGGTCGCAACTGAATTGGCCGCAGGAAAGAACCGTACGAAGATCATGGGTATCTCCACAGCTGCCTTTTGGGTTTCTGCCTGGGCGGTTACTTTCACACTGCCATATTTGTATAATTCAGAGCCTGGCTCGGCAGGTCTAGGACCTATGGTTGGATTTATCTGTAAGCTCTCCTACATCCTCATTCTATCCCATCATAATTTTGATTGTTCTTGTTAGATGGTGGTGGCACTATCATCGCCTTTATCTTTGTATATTTCTACATCCCAGAGACGCTCGGTATGCCATTGTTCCTCTTGTCTGTTCGAGAGATATTAATAGTACCTATTAGGCCGGTCATTGGAGGAGATCAACATGATGATGGAACTCCGTGTTCCTACAAGAGCTTGGTCTCAGTACCAGGCCGGTGTTTTGGACAAACATGGACGTCCCGTTCCCCTGGAGCAGTATGTTGCCGAGTCGAAGGTGGGACAGACCGAACTTGTAGAGCACACTGGTGCCGATGGACAACCATCGAGAGCATGAAAGGAAATGGACTTGTAAACAGGGCAGTGTAAACAGTAGGAAGGCATATAATTGATAGGATGTTCAAATGAATGACATTATCTCGATATCGAGTCTTCTGGAACCGGTACCATGGTAAAAGCCAACTTTGTTGGTCCAACAGAACGGGTTTCTGGAGATGATGCACGGATATGGGCAATTCACGGGTCCAACGCAGTGGTGACAGTTACTTTGGCCCAACTAGAGGGAAACCACAACATTGGTGCGACGCATCGGTACCGCATTGAGAAAGGTCACCGTTGTTGGAACAACCGCCATCAATTACCCTCCTCAAACTGTTGATGCTGCAGACAATCCATATGATAAAATTGCTTGGTGACTCCTGGGCCTAGCGTCCTACGGTGAGATTTGCAACACTTCCGGTATATAATGTTATTTGCTCGGTGTCGGTGCATGACAACCATGCTCATTGTAAGTGGTAGCCGGGCTTAACTTTGATACATGTTATGCTTTTGTTCTTATGTTGGCGTTGGTGGCGTCCGCAGTCTGTCGTCAATGTCAAGATAAAGAATCATGTTCCTCAGGCTACAGTACCATTGCTTCTCAGCAATAGTGATCCTGTTTTCAGTATCCTACCAGGACGAATAACCGCAGTTGCGATCCGGGAGAACTGCGGAGATTCATGATGATCCCGGGCCTGAAAACGGCAACCATGCCTTACGTCGTCCAGTAAAGTGTTGGAGACCTTCCATTTTATGGACCCTTGTCACCAAATTGTTATCGTGTGAGAGCCCAGTTACTCTTTGGGTGTTATCACTGGCAGGCTGGCAGCCGTGAATGACGATGGTCAGGAGCAGAATGGGAGAGGGCGCCGTCATCGGTGGAGATGGGATGGAACCACTTTATGAATCCGGGAATGGTGACCGTGGTCCGGGGTTCCACCATCTGACTTTCAGAAGCACTACTGGACCGTCTTGACGACATATTCATTAGAATACAGGGAGCGGACGAATGGAAGGACGAGGAAGTCAAAACTGATGCTATTTTTGTAGATAGAGGCTGCGGAGGTCCGTCGTATGTCCAAAAGCTCAGCTCTGCTCTGCTCTGCCGTTACGCAGCAGATCGATCCCGATAACCCAATTGCACGCCACGCTAAACAATGAAATGCGCAGCCTAGCGACTTCCGGCCATGTACCTTTGTACATGTAAGTGGCCGTGGGATACACATACCTATATTTGGGGGGGAGAGTGAAAGACCTGCCGAAATCCGTTGCCTGGTAGTTAACAAAGTCCGCCATTCCAGGAACCTGATCAAGCGATAGTGACTGGATCCATAGACTCAGGCTGCTAAACAGCACTTATCGCTAGCGCCTGCATGTGCTTGGAGAATAATCGCGATGAAGGAGGCGCTAGAATCAAGGAAGAATTCGGTTATGATAGAAGAACAGCCCGTTGCAGCTGGATGTTGCAGCACTAATCAAAAAAGATCCACCGAGTGCACCAAAGGAGCCGATAAGATCGATCGGGATTTCCCACGTGGATGTGGGCCCCAGTTTTATTCGATTTATGAAATTTCTTCGGCATTGTTGACTTGGTACATATAAAGGCCACCTGCGGATTGTATGCTGCTTCCCTCCACTCCTTAGCTTTTTCGTCTCTCTTTTCGGCATCGTTGGAAGCTAGCTGGTCACTGCTTCGCCTACCTCGACGGTCACGGTCTGCAAGTGTTCATCAATCCAGGCCTCTGCCTCGTTTTCACAAAAGCTACTACAAATCGTTATCGTTTCCCCCGGTCGTTTATCAAAATCGGCCAGCCTAACAGTCTTTACTTTTACTCAGTAGCATTCAATGTCTTCGTCTGCTTCTGCTACAAACGCGACAGCCGCCACCAGCGCCGCTGCCAGTGGTGGTGCCGCTCAAGCTGCTGCTGCCGCAGGTCCAGAGGTCGACGAAGAGAATCTCACGTACCACATTGAGATTTTTGTACTCGCCCTCATCGCTCTCTTGTTCGTTTGTCGCCTCCCCCGGATCCTTGCACGATTTTCTCGTTGGTCAGAATGGACCCAAGGGCCACTTCCTTCGCAACGTCTCCTTTATGACCCGTTCCCCTCGCATCGTCCACCTCACTCACGATCAGGCCTCAAAGGAGACTGCTGGGACATCCACAGACTCGCATACCCTTTACACGCATGCCACCAGCGTCAAGCGTATCGATGGTAAGGGAGAGCCAGCAGTCATGAACTACCCTCCACACGTCAACTCGTGCCCTGCCATTTTCCGCGGCCTTGCCTCCGAGCTGAGCACACGCATCTTACCCGGTTACTCCGTTTCTCAAGTCATTTGTGGTCTGGTCTACCTCTCCGTGTTCATTTACCCCACTTTGTACAAGTCAAACCCATTCTCGGATCCCGTACGAGCAGGTTGGGTGGCGATTGCGCAACTGCCATTTATCTTTGCGTTTGCGTCGAAGAACAATGTCCTAGGGCCGTTTCTAGGGATGGGCTATGAAAAAGTGCGCGTTTTTCATGCATGTCGTAATTTATGTCACTTATTTTTGGCTGGCAGCTCAATTTCATGCATAGAATTGCGGGCTGGATCATGGTGATTGCGGTCAATGTCCACAGCATGGGTTACAGTAAGTAAATGTCATATCTGTTTTTAGCCGTTATATTGATATCCGGGCAGTCTACAAATGGGTCATCGCAGGGGACTTCCAAGAATCTATCGCGGAGCCTGCCAACTACTGGGGCCTTATTGGGTTCATCTGCTGCGATATCATTTTCTTCTTCTCCACTGACTTCTGGAGGGCGAAGGCGTACAATGTGTTCTTGGGGACACACACTGGAGGATTCACTTTGCTACTCATTGCTGTGCGTCTATTTCATTTCACGCAACCCCATGGAGTATTAACAAGCAACATCATCAGTCCTGGATGCACAAAGACGCCAATAAGCCCTACGTCTTGGCCGCTGTGGGATTGTACTCGTTTGATTTCCTGCTACGCTGTATCAAAACGCGCATTCAGACCGCCATTGTCCGTCCCATCCCCGAGCTTGGCCTCACGCGACTCGAGATCCCGGGTATCAACGCCGGATGGCGTGCAGGTCAACACGTCCGGCTGCGCGTGATGTCGTCAGGTATGGGTATCTTGGGATGTGTGGAAGTGCATCCCTTCACTATCGCCAGTGCAAGCAATGGTCCCGAGGGAATGATCTTGATGGTCAAGAAAGTTGGTGGATGGTCGAACAATCTCTACAATATTGCGAAAGTGGGCGGATATGTTGAATCTGGTCGCGGAAGGAACTTGAAGGTCATGGTCGAGGGTCCTTATGGTGCGCAGTGACTGTTTGCTGCTTCTTCGCTTGTGTTTCACACTGTCATTTCCAGGTGGTCCGGGACACACTATTCCAGCAAGCTTTTCGGCCTCAGTGTTCGTAGTTGGTGGTAGCGGTATCACCTACGCCATCGCTGGTATGCAGGAGCTTATTCAAAAAGACCTCGACGGCGAGAGTCGGGTTAAAGTCATTGAGTTGATTTGGGTCGTTCAGGATCCAGGTCCGTTTTTCATCATTCAAATTACTCCGTCATATTCATTACTTTGCACAGCGTCACTTGTTCCGTTAGTCCCAACATTCACCTCCATGATCCAACAGAGCGTTTTCACCCCCGTCAGGATATCGGTCTTCTACACGCGTGCGGTCATCGGCAAGTTCCCCTTCCGCAAGGATTTCTTCTTCCCTGGCTTGTCTTTGAGCCCTGGTAGGCCGAAGCTCGCCACCATGTTCGAGGGGGCGATTTCAAAAACCGTTCAGCTCGGTGCCGGTGTGAAAGATGAGCAAGGACACTCAGGGATGTTGGTATCTGTTTGTGGTCCGACTTCGCTGGCAGACGATGTTGCCAAAGAAGTTGGAAAGATCGACCCTTTGAGGAGAGATCAAGTTGGTGGTGTAGAAATCCATGAGGAGTGAGTCTTTCGCTGAGATGAGCACCAATAACATGCTGATATTTTCCTGCTAGCGTCTTTGGTTGGTAGACGTCATATCTCCATTCTTTTTATTCGTCAGTGGGAGGGCACTGTTGTTTTCTTCTCTTCACTTGGGATTATCTTGACGATGACCACAATGTTGTGCGAGACACGCATTGCGACGTGATACTGATGATGAATCATTCTTTGCTTATGTGTACTTATAGTGCAATCCCTGTAGTCATGGATTTATTTCTTTTCCGTCACAAGGTGTATCAGTATCATGAGTTTCAAGTAGACCTGGTTGTCACGGAATAGATTTCTTTCTGATGTTTGTGGTAATAGCCTCACCAGTACCGAAAAGGCAGACGAGATACGCATAACCGCTGCGATCCACCTGATAGAATCGGTAGCAGTCGTTATGGAACCTTCCCCATTTGAGACAACGGGGTGTTGGTAGGGTGCTGCGGTTTAAGGAGTAGAACATGCAACAGGTATATAGGAGGCTTCCGACGTCCGTGGTAGTAAGTACAGCCAGGTCCACAATCTGCGCGGTATCTCGGAGTGTATAAAGTATGAAAAAAGTCTAATGAACATGCCGTGAGCCTCGGAGGACAAGAAGTAAGCAAAAGCAAACCCACCTACGCGGATACTAGAGTTCCTTTAAGTGTCGCCCTCCACCAAACACCCCATTGGTTCCCCTGCTAAGAATCTGCCAAAAGAACCTTTCGTCCCCTTCTTGGCCGTATAGGTAGTACACCGCCCGGCGTTGCATGTCCACGAGGTGCTGGGGCATGTATCGAATGAATGCGGTAAGGAAAAACGTGGAGCTAATGAACAGAATTGACACTGTGCATGGTAAGGATATAAGATGAGGTAGATGGTATTAAGTAGTACGACTGACGAAGGAGAACCTTCTCCCAAGGCTCCAGCATGGACAGCACGAAAGTCGATTCGAACCACATTCGCCAGCGCCAGAGATACAGGGCTGCGGGAGATTCCGGACGGCGAGCAAAGGAAAGGTCTGGCTTGGGGGGTGGCAAGGCGGTCTCCGACATCGTGGCAGGACAACGCTCAGTTGCAACGTTCAAGGAAGGATGAAGAGAAGTTAAGGGAATAAAATTCTCACGGTAATCACCTCTGACTCTTCGACTCTTAACGACAAATTTCGCTCCGCTCCGTCCCGCAGTACCCCACAATTCATCAGGCGAAATTACACCTTGTATTCCAGATGTCTATTCCCCATATTACTATACATTGTGATCTTCTACAGAGAACAGACAGTGATATAAAGGTACAAGCAAAAAAAAAACGTTAAGTCAAAGCAAAATCAGAGGAAAGGAATTAACTACTGGCCCTTAGCCTTCGCAGCCATCTGTACAGAAATGAAGTTAATGACATCCTAAAGTGACAACGAGGGGAGACATACCAAGTTCAATGCAGAGCCTGCTTTGAACCACTCGATTTGGCCCTCGTTGAATGAATGAGCCAAGGGTACGTCCTGCATAAACCCATTAATCAAAAGATAGACTCGCGGCGGATAAGACTCACCTCCGAGGATCCGTCCTCATGCTTCAGTCTCAAGGTCAAGTTCTTGCCAGGTGCAAAGCTCTCCAAGCCCAAGATGTCCACCCTGTCGGAGGGCTTAACTTTTTCATAATCCTCGGCGTTAGCGAAGGTCAATGCCAACATTCCCTGCTTCTTCAAGTTCGTCTCGTGAATCCGGGCAAACGACCTCACGATGATAGCGAGGCCACCAAGGAATCGAGGCTCAAGAGCGGCATGCTCACGAGAAGAGCCTTCACCGTAGTTGTGGTCACCAATGACAACCCATTTGATGCCCTTCTCGCGGTAGTAGGCAGCGGTCTGAGGAACACCGTCCCATCCACCCGTGATCTGGTTCTTGACCTTGTTGGCCTCACCATTCTCAGCGTTGATGGCACCAATCAAGCAGTTTTCTGAACTGGGTTATCAGAGTAGAGAACACATAGTCATGGAGTGATTACGAACGCGAAATGTTTTGGAGATGTCCTCGGTACTTTAACCAGGGTCCACCGGCACTGATGTGGTCAGTTGCTGTGAAGAACGCATTAAAAGACGCATCGCGATCGCTAATTCAATACTTACTGCACTTGCCCTTGACTTTGATCAAAATAGGGAGGTTTTCAGGCGTCTTGCCGTCCCATTTCTGGAATGGCTGCAACAATTGGAGTCGGTCACTAGTAGGGCTGACGGCGACGCTAACGCTAGCCCTGTCGGGAGGAGGAGGCTGGAAGGTATTTTCACCGGGGTCGTATCCTTTTGGTGGTAGTTCGTTTCCATTAGGCTGGGCGAACTTGAAGGACTTGCCATCGGAACCGGTAAGAGAGTCTGTAAGAGGGTTGAAGGTCAAGGATCCAGCGAAGACCATAGCGGTAACGATGTCAGGAGATGCGACGAACGCATGGGTTGCCGGGTTCGCGTCGTTACGTCCAGTAAAGTTACGGTTGTACGAGGTGATAACTAGAGAAAAATCAGTATCAACGAGGTGAGGCTGTACAACTTCGACATACTAGAGTTGGCTTCTCCCTTCTTCACATCTCTTCTGTCCCACTGGCCAATGCAGGGTCCGCAAGCATTGGCCAAAACAAGACCACCAACTTGCTCGAAAGCAGCGATTTGCCCATCCCGCTCAATGGTAGCCCTAACCTGCTCAGATCCTGGAGTAATCGTGAATTTGCTCTTAGTTTCGAGTCCGTGGCTGGCAGCCTCCTTGGCGATAGACGCAGACCGAGACATGTCCTCGTATGACGAATTGGTGCATGAGCCGATAAGGCCAACCTTGAGCTCTTCGGGCCAGTTGTTCTTCTTGACCTCAGCAGCAAACTGCGAGATAGGAGTGGCGAGGTCCGGCGTGAAAGGTCCATTGATGTGGGGTTCAAGTTCAGAGAGATTCTTATGTTACTTTGTAAGTACGGGAATCGGGCAATCACAAAGGACTACTCACGATGTCGATGACTTGGTCATACTCCGCCTCTTTGTCTGCCTGCAAATTGTAGGAAAACTGTCGGGCATAGTTGGCAATGTCCTCTCGCTTTGTAGCCTTCAAATAGTCGGCCATACGGTGGTTGAAGGGGAACAAAGAGGTGGTTGCACCTATTTCAGCACCCATGTTACAGATAGTGGCCATACCCGTGCAAGACAACGATTCGACACCAGGACCCTTGTACTCGACGATAGCACCAGTTCCACCCTTAACCGTAAGAATACCTGCGACCTTCAAAATAACATCTGGACAAGTGTTTCGTTAAACAAGGACGTGCGATGGGGGGAATCGTTACTGACCCTTAGGTGTTGTCCAGCCGCCAATCTTGCCCGTAAGGTTGACACCAATAACCTTGGGACATTTGAGCTCCCAGGGGATATCAGCCATGACATCGACAGCGTCGGCACCACCAACACCGCAAGCAATCATGCCAAGACCTCCGGCGTTGGGAGTATGTGAATCCGTACCAATCATAAGACCTCCGGGGAAGGCATAATTCTCCAAGATAATTTGATGGATGATACCAGAGCCTGGTTTCCAGAAACCGAGACCATACTGACGCGAGTCTAAGAGCATGATATACATGCAAAGCAAACTCACATACCTTCGCCGTTGCCGTTGCCAGAAAGTCATAGACCTCCTTGTTAATTTCCTTAGCGCGCGCCAAGTCCTTTACCCCTCCAACCTGGGCCTCAATCAAGTGGTCACAGTGGACGGTGGTGGGGACGGCTGCAGTATCCATCCCTGCACTCATAAATTGAAGTAGGGCCATCTACAAAGATATCCATGACGTCCGGCCCCTCAATGATGGAAGCGAAAACGTACCTGCGGGGTAGGACGGAAAGATAAGCCATGACGTCAGTTCCGGGGTCGGAAGAGCAGAGAACCTCTGCATACCTGAGCAGTCGCATCCTGGCATGCAACACGCTACAAAATGACGTTGAGTGAGCATACTTGACGAAAAGATATGGTCAACTTACATCTGGTCGAAGCTTCAGGTAGCTCGTTCCCCGCTCAATATCCTGACCATGCGGGTCGTCGAGATGACCGTACAGAATCTTTTCCGACAGCGTCAGAGGACGTCCCAGCCTATGCGAAAAGTCAGGAAACGCGTATATCACAACTGGAAGGGGACCGCACCTCTCACGAACGATAACGAGATTGTCTTCGATGCGTTGATAGTTGATGAATGCCCCTTTCTCAAGTAAGGACATTGGGACTTTGGTGTCGCCAATCCGAGGAGCAGCAGTGGCCATTCCTGCAGCGAGGCGCTGCAGGGACCGCACCGCTTTCGCGGTTCTGTTCGAAAGGTTGAACATCGTCGAACGCGATGAGCAAGAGGAGAGAGATCAGAGAAAACATCCGTTGCCGGTTCTTGCCAGATTTATACCATCAGGGCCACGTGAAATTACTTTCCCCGCCAATCAGAGTGCGTGCGTTAGGGATTGTATAGTTAATTATTTAGTTTTCTGCGGGGTGGAATATGATCTCCAGCGAGCCGTCGGGTGCCCTTTATTGCGTCGCACAGGATGGAATGTCATTGACCCGCTCTTTTGCCGCAAAAAACGCCCAGAAAGTGTCCTGGTGACCGACAGCCAGCCAATAGAAGGGCGTGCCGGTCAGCCGACCACTGCACAAACTTTAAGCCTTGGTCCCCGATGACGCTGATGCAGGTGCACTAGCATGTACATTTCAGTCTTAATGATACGGAAAAAATGCGTCTCTATCGGCCAGTCTGCTCAACGAAGGAACGAAAAACAAACCGGCAAATCGATGTAGTTCGACATCTTTCCAGCTTTACAAGTTGTGGAGAAATGATAAGCATCAAGGTTGAAGCGGCACAGTGTGGGGTACAATCATTTGTCGCGCCTGAATTTCCAAAAGGCTGATACATAAAAGACCAGCAGCGCGTAAAAGTACAGGTCATAAGACATTCATAGTAGGAAGCCATAAGATTGTAACCCTTGATAACGAAATCAAGGACCACCGAGGGGAACACCTTTAGCCGCAATCTTGGCAAGGAAAACCTTGGTCTCAGCAAGAATAACAAGTCTACCATTGCCCGCAAAGACCATATTAGCTGAAGTCATTCCTAAGAAGAATTTCCCGAGTAGAGTTCCTTCGTTGTTCCATGCCTGTGGCGGCCGTTAACAGCTTTTGTGACGTTAGGGCTTCGAAACTATACTTACTTGCACCCCATCGCCACAACCGGAGTATACGTTGCCGTCGGTATCAACTTGGATCCCATCAGGAACGCCCGAGTCCACATATGCAAAGACGCGTCGGTTCTTGAAGGCATGAGTTTTCGGATCTACATCAAAGGCGTAACTTCGCGAGCATAGTTTAGACATTCGGGATTGAGCAAGGCGCAAATGAGAATCCCTACATGGTAGCGGGCTCCGTTTGATTATTTCCGAGGAATCCGTTTGTAGCTCCCGTGTCTGTGCTACATGGACTTTAGAAACCGACGTGAAAAAAAGGCGGAGTACACTCACATATATGCTGTCTTGCCGTCTCCTGAAAACGCCAACCCGTTACACTTGTCAAACCCATCTGCCACGACACGAACAACTCCAGTGACAGGATCAAATCGATACACCTGGCTCGGCATTTGAGGAGCAGGCCGAAAGCGGTTGAGGAACCCATATCTACAAGGCATAAGACAGTTTCCCAAGGACACGAGAGAAGGTTTGACGGACATCACATCAGTAAAGAATATCTTCCCACTCGGATGGACTTTGATATCATTCAGAGAATTGAATTGACGACCAAAATAGTTGTCGAGGAGAACAGTGACGTTATGGGGTGGACGGGGATTGACAAGGGCTATTGAAGGAGGAAGCGGACCTCGACCTGATGTGATCAGAAGGAGGGAAGACTTATAAGGCCCAGTTCCCCCGTTAGTCATTTGGATTGTATCCGGGAGGATAAGCTACGATCAAGGAAGATTCGCGTTAGGATGTGGGTCAAGGAGTAGATCTTACTGGAGTGATTGGTACAGAAGAAGACCCTTTCACGGCCTCTGCTGCAGAGAGGCTTAATTTCGAGATTTGATTGTTGTGTTCCAAGTCGCTCATGCCCAACAGGCCACCGTCGTTGCTAGCAAAAAACACTTCATCCGAGGAAGGATCATAGATAGGTGCCTCGTGTGCAAAGGCAAAAGTATCATTGGAAGCAACCTCATGAATGGATGGAGATGAACCTAAAATTGCCAGGAACGAACGGTCGAACACTTGGAAAAATGGAGGGGTAGTATTCGTAGGATTGAAATGAGAGTCAAAGGAGTCTTCGCGGAAAGATGCATTGGCGCCCAAAGTAGCCACCGAACGTGGGTCGACAAGCTACACACATTGGTGTCGATTACCTCGGTTACTGTTATAAGTAGTAAACCATACGCACGACGGATTGAGGGGGTAAACGGAGATCTGGCATACCACCGGGGAACATTTTGGCCCAGGCAAAGGCCACCAGGGCCACCAGGGCGACGACGAGATAGGGCATGAAAGGCATGGATGTGGATTCTTTACTGGTGGGTTTGGGCGACTCTCCCATGGCCTTCTTCGAGGTCAAGCACATGTACGGTCTTTGCCTTGCCTCATGATCGGGCTTTATCCGGATCTCTTTCCGAGTACCGTGCGTCCGAGTCCGCGTTCGACGTAAAGTCCCGTAAAGTCGGGTGCAATTAGGACGCGCTTTTTAACTGGAGTATCGTCCAATCATTGCAAAAGGTAAGCCTTCTGGAACATTTCTGATAAACTTAGGATAAGCAGCGGTGATCCATATATGGGCATACCGCCGGGCGGAACGACTATATATAGTATCCCGCCAGGCCGCAGACACTCTCGGCCGAGCAGTCAGAAAAGGAAATTATCATCCTCGGAGTTTCGGAAATAACATCTTGACCAACTCCATGACACTAGTACTCTCTTGCCAACGTCAACGTTGTCATCCACCGACCCTCTTGATGCTCAACGGAAACCAGCTTCACACCGACGAGATTGTTATATTCGCTGCGCTTCATCTTTGAATGAACTGATCATCACTATCATTCATCATCCCTGCAGGATACACGCTCGACACGAACCGAGGTAAGCATTGACAAAACATCCTCAGCGAAACTCCCAATGCACCGCTGACTCGAGGGTCGGATTGTAGTATAAGCCTATGCCGACCTGGCCAAATTCGCCGGCATCGCAGCATCGCTTCTAGCTCCATCAGACGGACAAGAGATCGCCAGTACTCCGGCCATGATGACGCCTGTTAAACACCAACTTTTGAAAAACGTCGCGGTCAAATACGGAAAATATGAAACACTGCCGATTTCATAGTGACGAGTTCGGGAGGCATTTCCGGCGGCGACTTGCTGTTCTCGATTTAAGCAACGTTCCTCTTGAAACTTTCAAGCTTCGTTGCTTCCATCCTCTTCGTGTTATATTTGGTGTGCCTGGCGTGGGATTCGCACCGGAGTCATCCACCGCTATTTCACCCATAGTTCCACCGCAGTGACCTCGCACGGTCTCTGAACGTCCCCCGCTCCATGTCTCGACTCTTGTCTTCACTTACGAACAACTTCCCCTGCTATTCTTGGTGTTCGATGGTTTAATGTGTTCGTTCTCACTGCCACGCCAGTCGTGGGATTATTGGGTCTTTTCTGCCGTACTCTTGATCGTCAAACTATAGCCTTTTCCGTGCTGTATTATGTTTTTTCAATGCTTGGTGAGCCTACTTCTTTGTCGCACAAGGTTTTTGACCTGATCCTGATTAGGTATCACCGCTGGTGTGTGAACTCTTCTTTTGACGTTAATCGTGGCTTATCCTTCGCGCCAGGCTATCACCGATTGTGGTCCCACAGGTCGTATAATGCATCCATACCCCTACAGCTATTTCTACTCGCTGGGGGGACCAGCGCAGTTCAGGGATCTTGCTATTGGTGGTCCCGATCCCATCGGTCACACCATCGCTATACGGACACAGAGCTCGATCCATACGATTCCAATCGTGGGCTACTATGGACACATCTAGGTTGGATGTTGTTCGTAACAGACCTTCATTCTGGGAAAGCAGATGTCTCCGACCTTCGAAATGATCCGCTATTGAAATTTCAACATCGCCATTACTTTTATCTGCTTCTTATCTTCGGTTTCGTCATCCCTACCATCATACCTGGGCTAATGTGGGGGGATTGGATAGGTGGATTTTGTATTGCTGCATGCCTTCGTCTGGTCGTGGCTCATCATGTGAGCGTAATTACGTTTCTTTTGCTTTAAGCTGACGTTGCTCAGGGTACCTTTTGCATCAATTCCATCGCCCACTATCTGGGTTCAACACCCTTTGACGACAAATTGACTCCTCGTGATCATTTCCTGTCTGCGATTCTTACGATGGGTGAGGGATATCACAATTTCCACCACCAGTTTCCTATGGATTATCGTAACGCCATCCGTTGGTATCAGTACGATCCAACGAAGTGGTTTATAGCGACATGTAAAGCTCTTGGGTTGGCCTCCCACCTTCGAATGTTTTCGAAAAATGAAATTGAGAAGGGGGCGTTGACAATGAAGCTCAAAAAACTTAAAAAGGTACAAGAATCCCTTTACTGGCCAACGCCTATCAAAGAACTGCCGGTAATGTCCTGGGAATCATGTACGTATACACACGGTCCCGTTGTTTTCACGTTTCTGACATCAGATAGTCCAGGAACAAGCGAAGACGCGGCCGCTTATCCTGGTGGCAGGCTTTATCCACGATGTTACGGCTTTTCTCCACGACCATCCTGGGGGGTCTTCTATCCTGACTGCAAGTTCAGGCAAAGACATGACTTCTTCATTCTTCGGGGGTGTCTACAGCCACTCCAATGCTGCGCATAACGTATGTCCCGTCCAGACCCTTTTCTTCTATCGCAACTGATCAACTGGGTCAAAGTTGCTATCCATGATGCGAGTGGGCGTCCTTCATGGTGGCGTCGAAATGCCGGCAGAGCACGCTCTTCCTCCTGCCCAAAGCCTCTATGTTGCCACGCGTCTTGGCGCCATATAATTATTCCACAGCGCCTATATTGCGGAGCCGCCCGAGATGATGCAAATCTTGTTGGTTACCGCAGAGAGCATTTGTAGAAAATAACTGTGTTCCGTAATACTGTGTATGTATTCGTTTCTTCTGTTTAACCCACTCCGATCTGCAACGGACTTGACCGTTTCTCCGATCAGACCTCGTCCCAAGTTATGTGGTTCCTGATTAGAATTCATTGCGTGGATTTCTCCTTGCAGATTTTATGATGCAGTGGTGAAATCACGGGTTGTTGTGATGTATCAGATGAAATCAGGGTCGGGGATCTCGTTAAAAGATGATCGATACCGCCTGGGCATGCTCCATTTAGTACATCACACTTCGAACTTGTGTATGTGCCAGCCGGTAAGAAGTCTGTTTCATGAGTTGACTTATTTTTGAACGCTCAGATCTTCATCAACTTATACGGAAGAGATCTTTCTTATGAGACAGGCCAGACGGAAGGGTCGTAAGCTTTGTACTTTCAGGGCTGCAGATGTTCTAGGAAAGTTGGTCAGCTCTTCTACGAACTCCGCGGACCTCCATCGTAAGGCCCGGCTATCCGCATAGGACGACGGTCTTGCTGTTTGCCCCAAGGAACGCCTTCAGGATCCAGGGTTTACCCATCAGTGCATTAGCCTATTGGTTACGGTACCGTCGAGAACCACTCCCTTGGCCGAATAATTACTCACTTCACCCGGTAGACCGACGGCATGACTTCTAACCTGATATCGGCGCATACCATCGGGTCACTATATAAAGCGCGTGTACCATCCTTGCTCTCCCAGTCTCAGCATGGTCCTCCTCCAGTCTACGACACCGTTAACGGCTATCCCAACCAATTTGACAGTCCCACAGTTTCTGTTGGACGAATATCACCATGTTACCCGACCTACACGCCTTGCACGAACTCCGTGTTTGATCGACGATGATACGGGGCAAGTGGTCTTTATAGATGAAGTGAACATTCCGCGGTTTTTGAAGACTTTATACTGAGATTATCTTTCTCAGCTACGAGCTCGTTCTCGAGACATCGCGTCGGTCATGTATCATCGGTTCAAAATACGTGAGTCTAATCCATAATCCCTCGAGGATACTGCGCTCATAAATGTTTAGAACACGATGACATAGGTTAGTCACTTTGTCCAAATTACAATTTCCCTTTCACTTACATGCTCACCAGTGTCCATAATGAGTTACAATCATATTGGTATGCTCTTCTGCTCTTTTGCAACCATCTTTAACACGACCGGACAGACTTTGGCCCATGTGTTTGGGCAACACACCGCGTGGGCGGCGTAGTATCGTAAGTTCTGGTATCGTATTTCCCGCGATTGATTATTGAATTGCCGGATGTCCATGCGCTCCAGGACGCTAAGCCCTACGCTTGTATTGGGGGAACTAGGTAACTAGACTAGGGCATGTATTGCTCTTTTTGTTTCTCACCTTTCCTTTCTAGTGCATCACCTTAACATCGCTAAACCCTCTTTGCTGATCGTTCATGCTGACTGTTTGCTCATGGCTGTATCGGCGGCATCGTCGATTAACCTTGCTCTGGACCGTCTAATCATCATCGAGGCGCCGGTTTGGAAGGAACCTGTCCCTTATCACTCATTGCACGAGTTGATAGAGCAAGGTTCACACCTTCCGCCACCGGTCGAGAGAATTCTGTGCGAAGGAGAAGGAAAACGAGCGATTGCGTTTCTGGCACCTTCATCTGGGACCACCGGCATTCAGAAGGTAGGTGTCACTCGGTTATCTATTCTAAATGGATGCTTCACTGATGTCATCCACAGGCCGTTTCTATTACGCACTTCAATGTTGTTAGTATGATTATACAAGAGGCTACCTTTAATAAGTTAAATGAAGCATACGCGCCGTGGAACGAGCAGAGATTCAGACCAGGGGACGTCTGTGGCGGCTGTAAGCATTAGCTCTCTCTTTTTCCTTATGCTCACTGAGGTAATCTCTTGACTTAGTTCTGCCGCTCTATCGTGCGTGCACTGCAATCACCATGCAGTAGAGAGCTGATACTTTAACCCAACAGACATATATGGCCTTGTCTTCAATGTGAGCTATTGTCATGATATCTTTCAAAGGCATCAATTCCGATTTTTCCCCCAGCTACATTATATGTTATATGCTGCAGTGAGTACCTTTTTCGTTTTGCATTCTATCGTGCTCTAAAAAACTGCCTAGATGTCACTCGTTCTCTCGAGGAAGTTTCATTTCGAAAGCTTTCTTGCCAGTATAGAACGACACCAAATCACACACTTACCGTGAGCATGCGTTAGCTTCTGTCCGATTTAGTCGCACTCCGACCGCAGATATCGCCTTTCTTACTAGATTGGTTCCTCCTCAGGCAGTCTTACTTTGTAAAGTTTGTGGGACTCCGTCTATTCATTGTTGCCGAATGTTGAGATGTTGCAGCATCCAGCCGTCAAGAATTATAATTTGTCATGCGTGCGATACTGCATCATCGCCGCGGCACCGCTGAGCGCATCACTGACGGAAGAGCTTCTCACGGTAATGCCCAACGTCCAGTTAGGTCAAGCATACGGTACGTCATTCTAAAATAATTTTCCTCTGGACAGTCGCGGACTTAACTTTCAGGTATGACCGAAACTTGTGGGGCCGTTAGCATGGTAAGTGACGTTTAGCACGGGTCCTTCGACAATTAATGTAATATACATACAGTTCCCGGTAACTCAAAAGGTCGGAACGCTAGGAAGTGGAGGTCAACTTCTTCCAGGAACGACGGCTAAGGTGGTCAAAGAAGACGGAACTATTGCTCGGGATGGCGAAGTCGGCGAATTGTTTATTAAAGGCGGACAAGTAGCTCTCGGCTATTATGGGAACCCTACGGTGTAAGCACATTAAATAATTAACCGACTACTTATCAGTTTGACTAATTGGGATTTCGCGTTTTCAGGACCGCAGAGACTTTTGTTGACGGGTGAGGATCATCTTCAGTATTCACGGACTGTCCCTGATGCGTGACAAGATGGCTTCGTACTGGAGACCAGGTCATGTTTAAAGGCGGGGACCTGTTCGTCATGGATCGCGTGAAAGAACTAATCAAGGTCTGTTACGCGCACTTCTTCTCGTCATTCACTCATCTCAATTCGAGCGGATAGGTCAAGGGATTCCAAGTCCCACCCGCGGAGTTGGAAGGCCACCTGCTAACACATACATGTATTGCTGATGCAGCAGTCATCGGCGTGGCGGACGATTTCGCTGGAGAGCTTCCTCTTGGGTTCATCGTCTTGAAACCAGCAGTTGACCGAGCTGTGAAAGAGGACCCGGCTTTTGCGGAAGAGGTTAGGTTTAACATTTTCGAGGTACTTTTCCTCTCATTGGCCTGCCTTATGTCTCATTAACGTTATCACAGCATGTCGCAAAATCGAAATCTACTTACAAGTGGCTGACCGGAGGCATCGTTTTCATTGATGCCATTCCCCGTAACGCTTCCGGTAAGATCCTTCGACGCCTTTTACGACAACAGACAAAGAAGCATTCTCGTTCCTCTGTTTCTCCCCAATGTCACGCTAAAATGTAATTTTCTTGGTCGCAAGGTCTATTATTCTACTGGAGGATGGAAACGCATCTGTATTGTAGCCTCTCGAACTCATCAGTATATTATGACACCGTTGCTTACTTCAACCAACAGAAATCAACAAATTTATGATGTCCATTTTATCGCGAGATATACAGTTTAACTAAGCCTATTGCTGAAGAGAACGAATGAGAGTGGTATGAACTTTTTAGTCGAGACAACATGCTTGCCAAGATAGAAACGCAAAGGTAGCGAAAGAGTCGAATACAAGGTTTATTTTATACGTCTAACAAAGTAAAAACAATTAGCCAACGTTTCGAACTTCAAATGAAGAAAGTGCTCACAGAAAGCCCAACATAATACACTGCCGATACAAATGAAAGGAGGTGTCAGCGATGCAACGATCAGAGAAAAAGAATGACAGAATTTTATAAAGGTTCGATATCCGGAAGCTGTAGCGACTTTGGATCATGCTAGGGAATCTCTCAAGTCAAGTTTGATGTCAGCGCCAACTTTGATTCCATCACCACTAGGACGAAGACTGGGAGCTGGATGGTGGGCTTGGTGGTGAGGGGGCTGCTGCGGAGGATGATTGTAGCAAGGCCTGTGCATCGGTGCTACTCGCAACGTTCGCCTTGACTTTCGCAACCAAACCCTGATCGGTCTTGCATCCACACGACTCCAAGCTCAAGGCCGTCTCCTGCAACAGCTGAATCAAAAGGTTACATGCGTTCACGAGCCCGTCAACCGCTTTTATGGTGTCCCGCTGTCAGCACGTTCAGACCAAGGTAGGTAAGAAGCTCGACGACTGAGTTTCTCAGTCAGGGAGACAATCCCATTCACATAAGCCTCCAGATTGTCACCAACGTCCAACGTGGCGCCAACGAGCTGCACAGTGGTGTCCAAAATAGTTGCTAGTGTAGCTGAAGTCTGGGTCGACGAGCCTGGGTCAGGATGACAGCCACAGCCCTTTACCAGGATATTGACGACTGCGTCAACACCGACAAGGCTGCTGATGACAGCATCAACCACACCGACGATGGAAAGGTACGGTGAAGCAGGCGTGGAGGCTACGGAGGAGTTGAGGGAGGAGTTGATGTTACTGCCTGGATTTCCTATGCGGTGCATTGGGTCCACAAGTAGTCGGATATCCGCCAAGTTCCAATAGCTTTAACAGACCATTGGTTAATTGCTCAAGTCCTGCCAACCCTTGGACGTCGGCGTTGATGGATACGATCCCGTCCAAACCAAGTGATTTCAGGAGCTCGCACGGGTTCACCCGAATGTCTCGCATAGTGAGGGCAGGAGACGCGGCGTCGACGTTTCCAGTTGATATAGAGGAGCTTGAATCACGTCTTGGGATGACTCGCCGAGCGAAGACGCTGCCTTCGATGACAGATATGTCACGCTTCTGGAGGATGCTGGTAATCAACAACTTGGTGCCGTCGAGAAGAGAGCTGGAGGTATGACATCCACACGCGCTCAACTGGTCCAATATCCTTCCTAAAACAACGTTCAACGCAAGGATGGTTGTTTGAATGTCGGTCAACGCCTGGACTGTATTGTCTGTCAAGCCGCTTAGCGCCAGGGTATTATCCAACAAAGCGAGCAGCGAGTTCAGCAAACTGGACAGATCGGTGAGCCGGCCAAGGTCGCTATCAAGATCGACCGTAACCTTCGCATTAAGCTTGACAGCTAAATCAAGGAGTCGAGGGACGACATCAGAGAGAGACGATGAAGTGGACGTTGCAAAGATCGTGATTGAGAATCCAAACACAGGACCAGACGTATGAGAAGGTTTACGTTTGCTAGGATTTCATCATTGGAGTTTGGCGTGGCATTAGCGGGGGGGTGGATAAGTGACTCGAGACCGAGGGCCGCCGATAAGTTGTTGAGAAGATCGCCGACGCCTTTTCCCAAATCGAGCGCAGTAGTGGAGTCCACACCTACAGGGCGCAAATCGACGAAAGAAAGAGACCGGCGTTCTGTTCCATCAGTGACACAGCGGGTCTGGTCTGTGCTAGGCTGGAATCCCTGACGGCATTTATGGACGACGCACCGGCCAGCGCGGCACAAGCCTGTCACCAAGAAGGGAATTGTGTTGCAGTCAACACCCTGGGAAGACTGCGCTGAACCGAACGGATGAGGAAAGGTACATCCACCACCTAGCAAAAATTAGACGCAGCGCATTTGGATGGCAGAAACGCGCTTACAACTGTCCAAAGCGCAGGCGGTGGGTACACATTCGTAATCATATTTGCCCTTTGGATTAGGAACACCACAAACGGTTTCCCCAGTTTGGCATGTGGCCTGAGCTTCCGTCAGGGTGGTAATCTGCGCATGACGTCGTTTGTGCGAACGGGGAACAGCTGAACCACAACCCTAAGACAGAGGCGCAATTGTGAGCTTCAGCGGTTGCATATATGCGCATATAATGGAACTTACGCGGATAAATACCCCGCATTTACCATTACACTCAGTCTTTGGCGGTGGGCAGACGCACTGATCACCTTCCTGGACATAGGGACTGTCGCATTTCCAGTGACAAGGATTGTGGTTGTTGCATACGCGATGAGAATGAGCGGGAAGGGTGTCGCAGTGCTCGCCTCCGGTATTGATCTGTTGCAAGAGCATGAACAAACATGAGGAAGAAACCGGCAAATGCGCGCACCAAAGCCCTCAACCTAGTTTCAAGGAGGGACTTCACATCGGGACCGAGGAGGTTCACAGCGACATTAGTGTCCAAGAAGATGTCCAGATCCTGGAGGAAGGCGTCAGCAGAGATGCAGAAAGAGGTGTACGTTGATTACCTGAAGACACAAACAAAGATTTAAGCCAGTAAAGATATCGAGGGGAAGTAGCGACAGAATATCGCCCTTAAGAAGAACGTCGGCATCGAGGGAGAGACAGATGTCGAGGAGGTCGCGGGGCTGGCGGTGGTATTGGCGTTGCGCGAGGGTTCGAGAGGTCTTGTGCGACTTTATAAGGCTGGGCGACGCTGCAAAGGCGGTAGAGAAGAGGACAGTAAGGAGAGAAGAGGCAACGAGTGTGGGGGTGAACCGCATCGCAAATCCACGCGTCAAACCGACGGGGTGATGGTGGTAAGAGCAGAAAGGGACTTGTTCTGGTGAAACCTTTACATCCAACCTCTTTATACCTTCACACGGCGGAGTTTCATTCGCGTGTCGGGCACTAGCAATCGGGAGATCGATTTCCGTATATGGTGATTCAAGATTGTGTGGGCCAGCTTCTATCTTCCGGTGCAAGATGCCATAGCGCCAATTTTTTCAATAATTAAACAATAATTCCGCGGCAGTCAGAGTGAGACTCCAATCAGGTAAAACGAATAAAATATAAGAAATCTGAAAAGAGCAACATATTAGCAGAAAACGGCAAGTTTTACGGTGATTTATGCGTACTACATCATGGATTACTAGGCTTATTTTCAAAGGAGGATGCCTGAGTAGCCTGCGTTTCTTCATATCCCTCATCGGCATTCAGATGGACTTTCAACTTCGTCTTCGTCGCTCGATTCGGCGTCTATATCCACGTCCATGGGACCCATGCCGTCGCCACCAGGACCACTTTGGAACCGCGGGTCCCAGTCCAGCTCCTCTGGTTCCTCCACCTCCACTTCGACGCGCTGTTTCCAATCGAACTTCTCGCGTAGCATCGTGACAGCCCGGACAGCTCTGTCTACTCGGGCATCATGGGCAGCTCTAATTTCATTGCACTCTGCCAATACATCTTCGTATTCTGGCTTTTTAGGGACTGCTCCGAATCGAGATTGCTGTACCGAGGGCGCTGGTGGTCCCCCAAGCACGCCCAAAGAACCTCGGCTCTGCATGTGTTCTGACAGTCGTCGAACGGTGTCATTCTCCATTTTCAGGACGTCGAGCGTCTGCTGATTTCGAAGAAGAGGTATGACATCGTTATCAAGCTGAGAGTCTGACATGCCAGAACGAGGATGCAGCGCTATTTTCTCGTAAGGGTTGGAGTGGTCGGTCGGGGCAGAACCATTGACCTTGACAGAGCCATGTATGGGGGATACGAGAGAACTAGAGAAGCTGTGGGTTTGCGAGAGCAGGATATTGTATTTGGAAAGAATATCTGGCCATGGAGGCATCACATTCTGATAACCAGACTCTATGGTCCTTTGAAGTGCCTGTATTGATTCGACGATCTGGCCTGGCTTTGAATCTAAGAGACTCGAGATGGGCAGTAGGAAGACTAGATGAGTCGAAGTCCATTTGAATGTCTGCCATACTGACTGTGGCGAAGTAGACCCGGATACATAGACATCGAACACAATCTTTCAGCTGATTGCACGACGTAGCCTGGGAGGCTATTGACATACACTAGCAAACATAAGTAACAATACTATGCGTGACGACTGTCACCGTCACGTTTAAGCTCGCGTCTTTTTTTGAACATTCCATAGCGCGACAACCTCAACATCATGCTTTCTGCTCTGCGAGCCCGCCTGGGCGCGAAGCTTCCTGCCTTCTCCCGGTTGGCCGCTTTTACGCGCCAATCCACTGTATCTTCGGTCGCTCGACCCATTATCTGTACTCAGTCGCGTACCTTCTTGACATCACAGCGCCTCGAGTTTCCTACTAAGGCGGCTTCCTGCGAAGAAGACCACCGTGACTAAGTCGACCGCTACCAAGACCAAGGCGAAGGCTGGGGCTGCTAAAAAGAAACCCGCCAAAAAGCCTGCAGCTAAGAAGGTTGCGGCCAAAAAGAAGGCAGCCAAGCCCGGGCCTAAACCAAAGAAGAAAGTTGTCAAGCCCAAGGTCGTGAAGTGTTAGTACTTTTTCTGATGTGTGTGTACTTTTACCGATGATAGTCTGATAGTCAAGATCACCCCCGACATGAAACCACCCAAGCGAAGTCTCACTCCTTACATGACCTTCCACACCCAACGTGTGCACGCATCGGAAAAGTTGACCAATCTCGCGGAGGCTCAAGCTGCTGTCAAATCCTCTGCTGCCGTCTGGAAAACCTTGTCTGATGCTCAGAAACAGGTCTATATTGTATATATCTATGATTTTTAGATGCTGATATTAAAGCAATAGCCCTATGTCGACTTGGCCGCTGAAGCGAGAAAGGAATACGAGAAGACTATGGAAGCACTGGTATCGGAATACTCCCCTGCAAGTTCGCAAGGAATTGAACAAGCGTCGAGTTGCAAAGGGTAAGGCTAAGATTTCCAAACCCGATTGGATGGAGAAGGAGCCCAGTTCCGCCTATATGAGGTATGCGTTAGCCTATACACCTTTGCCCAGAGTACTGATGTTGCGACAGATTCGCTACCGAGTTTAAAGAGGGCAAGGATATCCCATACGTCGAGGCATTGAAGCAAGCTAAAGTCGCTTGGGCGAATATGCCTGAGACCAAGAAGCAGGTAAATAATACAGCTTTAACTTTACGAGTAGGCGTTAATTGACTGGTAACAGGAACTCAAGGCCGTGGCCCAGAAAGAGATCTCTGCCTTCAGGGCCAAGCAGCACGCGACCGTCTGATTCCGGCTTGCGGATAAGCTGCAATTGTATGAATAGTTTATTTTCAATGTATGCCTCTTTCTTTGTCTTGATGAGTCGTTTAATACCAGAGTCTCTCCCTACTCGCCTCGCCCGTAGGTCCTAAGTGAGATAAGTTCCTACACGATGTGCTACGTTCGTAGTTGTTGTATAGTTTTCTTCTGCCACTTCTGAGCCTGCACTGTTGCTTTGACCCATTGTTGAACTGCCGTGAACTTATACACCAAAAATCACTCAAGTTTTTGACGGTGCAAATAAGCATCACAATTGAATTATTACGTGCTATCCCGGGAACTAGCAGCTGGTGCGTTGTATGCGTCACAAGCCTGCGCAGTGCCAAGCCTCTAGGCTCCACAGCGAATAAGTAATGCTGCGGGCATGGTCGGGAAGTAAATCAGTTTGATATTGATCGTTGTCATCGCATCAACCGGCCCTCAAGCTCAAGGCCTCAACTGTGTCCGCTCTTTATTTCAGTAACTTCAATATAACTTGAACTGCTTAACGATTCGCTAACGTTTGTATTACACCGCAACATCCGTTATCCTTCGGTATGTACTTGATCGTTGAATAGGACACACGCGTGACGCGCACTCTTGACTCGGTTCTCATTGTGCCAAAAGCAGTACTGAATTGAAAAGCACCAATTTCATCATGGCGCTTTCTCTTTCACTCGCCGACGCCCAAAGACTCATTTCCGCTCATGGACTTGACGCCGCCCATTCTACTGTAATAAATGTTTCAGAGGTCGACAATGATGCATTTAGGTGCGGCTATTTCGTTGCTCGTGTGTTCGTTCAAATAAAATATGCATTCGTCAAAGTTATACCAGGGATAGAAGGGCGTACGTCGTAGATCTTTCCAGCTCCAAGGATGCGGCGCCAACGCATTCGTGCTTTATCTCCGTCTCTCTACCTTCGAGCTTGCCACTTTCACCAGATTCATATCACCCGAATTCCATTCAGGTTATCAGCAAGCTTATCTCCCTGATTCACAAACACACATCTATCCCCATTGCAGATCCGTCGCTGGATACTTCCGAAGGAGGGCTCTGGTACCTTATCACCCCAATCCATCCCTTCCCGTCGTCCGCGATTATCCCCTTATCTCATGCTCGAAACAATGGTCTACTCACTGCTCAACAATCTGTACTGATTGACCTGACACTCGGAAAATTCCTGGGTCAACTGCATAGTGGTGTTATGAATGAGTGGTACGGGCCGCCCCTCCTGGGAGAACCACCAGACCCGTCATACAGCTGGCAAGAGACGTTCACCTCGACTCTTGAGGCTCTCCTCGTCGAGATGGAATCCAAGTCGTACGAACTTCCTTTCGAAGACATCCGGCGTTATCTATCTCGCGCCATTGCCTTCTTCCTGTTTGATGATGTAGAAGTACCATCGCTAGTGTGGTTTACAGGCTCGGATGATGATATCTACATTAGTTTGAATGGGGCAGATGTTAGCATCGCTGCAATTCTTCCCAATGTTGCGCACGCAATCTGGGGCGATCCGCTCTTGGAGTCATTGTTCATGTCCGGGATGAACGAAGCGCTCTTGGAGGGTTACAAAGATGGGGGTGGAGAGACCCTGGTCATTTTTCGGCGGCAAAAGACGAAGCGGCTATGGTATACGTTATTTTTGGCTTTGGTGGTGCTGACGGAGCGAAATGGCACTGCGGGTCCAAGGGAACAATGGGCTAAGGAAACCATCATGCAGTGCACGGATAGTCTCAAGGATGCTCCTTGTCATTGAACATACGTACCAGTGCATTCAGTATGCATATGTACATAGCCTGCGGTATCACCTCGAGTCATGTCAATTATCGATCGTCCCTGATCATCGCTGCCGCGTTGTCAGAATTTCACGGTCGGAGTCAAGATTGCAAGGTTGATGCATTCCATGTATACTCATGTATATGCGTCTATCGGATCTCCATGACATAACACCTAGCCCCCGCCTATACACGAGGCACAAAACGTAGGGCAGGACAAAAAATGACTCAACCATAGACAAATCCACTGACTCAAAGTCCGGTGTGGATGGCATTCCACGAGGCAAATAGGCGCTAGGGCTGACATATATAAATCACATATGGGACTGTCTTTGTTCTCACAAGGACCCACCATGGCTACTTATCTGCAACAAATTTTGGGTGGATTAGCCCCCCTGCTTAACTCGACTGTCGTGGAAGTCGCCAACGCCACTTCAGCCGTTCCCCAGGCCACGATCGAGTCCCCCCTAACTATTCCGACCGATCTGTCCTCCCTGATTTCGTTGCTCTTCTCGTTTTCTGCACTACGCGACTGGTTGAAGCTAATTGTGCTTGGTGGCTTCTTCGAAACGTGTCGCCGAGTCATCTTTACCCAGTACGCAAAGCTCGTTAATGCCTTCTACATAAACGCAACCTTTGAAGAAGATGATCCCAGTTATGGTATGCTGCAATATTTAACTGCGCATATTAATGGCTCACCTGTGCTTTCTCCAGAATGGATGATAGTCTGGCTTTCAAAACAACCATCTTGGGGTAAGTCTGTCTCTCTTGGGTTGTATATAAGGCGGCGTATCTGATAATCGATGCAGCAAAAGCGCGTGACATACAAGTTAGCACTAATACATATGGTGCTAATTCCAATACCGTCATGCTTGACGGAGATGAAGATTCCGACGAATACTCTAAGACCTCCCGCAAGTTGGCCTACTTACCTTCCGTCTCAATGACATACTCTATGTGGTATAAAAGGCGGTACATGACCATCACTCGTACGCTGCAAGATACAACAGGATCATACTATTCAACGAAACACAACGTCCTGCAAATCAGGTCCGTTTCAATGCTAACTTGATCATTTTTCCTCCACTGACGTTTCTTTGTACTAGTCTTATGACTCGTAATCACAGTCTGCTCATCGGTCTGCTCCAAGAGGCTCGCAATGATTACATGGCCGCTCAGGAACATAAGATGTGTGTATGGGTTTCAGACGTGTGCGCATTCTGTCATCGTTAGCAGCGCTACTTGGAATTGAGCGTTCTTGTTTATAGGAACAACAGCTGGAGGCACGTTGGCTGCCGCGCCAAACGCAGTATGAATTCCATCATCTTGGAGCCTGGTGTGAAAGATCTTTTGCTGGAAGACGCTCGGGACTTTTTGGAGAGCAAGAACTGGTATGCAGAACGCGGCATTCCATTCCGTCGGGGTTATCTCTTGGTATGTTGTTATATATTACCTCCGTTACTTTACTGTCGCTAATTTAACCTTCCCGTAAGTATGGCGTTCCTGGTTCGGGGAAAACTTCATTGATTCACAGTATCGCCGGAGAGTTGGGACTAGATATATATGTCATTTCCCTCTCTCGCGTCGGGCTTGACGATTCCTCCTTGGACGCGCTTATCAACGAATTACCTGAAAGATGCGTGGCCCTCATGGAAGACATCGACGCTGCTTTTACACGGTCTCTCAATCGAGATGATGATGACGCTTCGGATTCCGAGTCAAGTGGCTCATCCAGCGCCAACAAAACTCCCAAAGCCACAAGTGGTGGTCCTCCACCACCGCCTAGCAGCAGGTAAGCAGTATAATAAAATTATTTCTTCACAACGATTTGACATGCCGGTATCAAGGGTCAGTCTGAGTGGACTACTTAATGCTCTAGATGGCATTGGCGCCCAGGAAGGAAGGATCCTCTTCGCAACCACAAACAAGCATACTTCCCTTGACCCCGCCCTTTGTCGACCCGGACGTATGGATCTCCACATCGAGTTCAAACTATCGAGCAAATATCAAGCCAGAGAACTGTTCAAGCGGTTCTACATTCCTTCGAATCAAGGTGATGCTGAAGAGGATGACGATGAAACTGCCGACTCTGGTTATGGATCCACCACTCCATCAGAAGCGACAGATTCAACTCCGCCATCTCCGTCTGGATCCAAGGCATCAGAATCTCCCGTTTCTGAATCTTCATCGCTCCTGCCTGCTCCACCGGTATTTTTCGGTAGCCGTCATGTGGGGCGAGCTCCCAAGCTTTCTAAAAGAAGGGTTGATGAGCTTGCTACGGCATTTGCTGATATTATTCCCGACCGGCAACTCTCGATGGCAGCACTACAGGGCTACTTGATGATGCACAAAATTAGGCCCTTCGCTGCTGTTGCAGGGGCACAGGACTGGGTTGAGAAAGAGTTGAAGGATCGTAACAGACGAGAAAAGGAGAAGGAGACGAAGAAGGAGAAGGCTGAGCAGGAGAAGAAGGAGAAAGAAGCCAAGGAGAAGGAGGGGACGGAGAAGACTGAGCAGGAAAAGAAAGTGAAAGTCAAGGATACCCCCAAAACACAACAGAATTCAGGTGAAAGCGACAAAGCGATCCAGGTAACTCCGACGTCAGCTTCATCCTGATAGATGGCGCCACTAGACCCTACCAGCGGCTAGTCGTGACGGTAATTTCCCGTGCTTATCGCTGGTTCACTTTGGCATCCGAAGTTAGTTCGAGCTTAGCGCCTAGGTTCAGCCAGACTTCAACAACTACTCGAGATTCTTGGATCCTACGTATTCTGCGAGCGAGACCGATGGGGAAAGGAAGGTCACTGTTAGGATTTGAAACGGGGCATCCTATCTGTAATAGTTTATATGTAGTTTCACTCATACTGTAAGTTTAGGACATTGGTCAACCAAGCGGTGTTGTTTTGTTGATACATGTTGAGACTGAATGGTTTCGGCACGGCAACTGCCTCGGTGATCGAAAAATTCGCGTCCACATCGTTGACCGTCGGAAAGTTTTGTCTACCACTATTTCTCTTCAAATTTGCCATGGCTCAGCAGCGCATGGCCTTGTGGGCCGCGGAGGACATTGATGAAGAACTTCAAGACGTCGATCTGTCGCTAGCGATTGGGAGCTATGGGCAGAACGGCTTTGACGAGGGTGCGCTTGCTATCGTCAGGAATTTTGCCCTTGTGCTCACTGGGATAATGCAGCGCAAATACCTCCTCAATTTGACGAAACTACCCTAATAACAGCGCAGCATATGGCACAGCAAGCTGCTTTTGCCCAAATTCCTGATGTTGTGAAAAGCGTATGTTGACCAGGATTGCTTTCCTATGGAGTGATGCTCAATGCTCCGATAGTTTATCGTTCATTTCCATCAAGCAGTGCTGGACAACAACCTAAACGAGATTACGATTGCGTATGAAAGTGGCTGGAACAAGTTCACAGAGAAGTTCTATTCGCGGACAGAATGGCCTGAAGCTGAAATTATTGCGCCTCTTGTTAACGACGGTGCTTATCCATCTTCCCATTTCAACGTAGAACTCCTCCCACTAAAGGGTATGACTATTCAGATCCTATCTTCCTGATTCTCTATCGAGAGCTATACTACCGACACGTCTATTCACGCTTACAGCCCGACATTGACGACCGGTTCCATTCTTATGAGAACAGCTGCGAGTTATTCAATTATCTCCTCAGTCAGTCTCCCGCTGCCCTTAAGTCAACATCTCTTGATATACTTATCAGATTCTGATGGTCCTGTCGAACTGGAGTTGCCTGAGCAATGGCTATGGGACATTATCGACGAATTCATCTACCAGTATCAAGTCTTTTGTACTTGGCGATCAAAAGTAGCATCTAAATCTCCTGAAGAACTTAGTGTGCTCGAGGATGGAGGAGGGGTGAGTTTAGTCAGCCTGGTATACGTGGACTGTCCTGATTGATTTCTCGCAGGTGTGGAGCTCTTACAGTGTCCTGAACGTCTTATATTCTCTCATCCAAAAATCGAAAATACACTTGTATATTGAAGCTACGCAGCAGGGAAAGTCTGCCGATGAAATTGCGTTCGTACACTTTTACTACTTTGATAATGCCAATAACCCATGGACAGTGAAATTGTTGGGCCGTACGGTGTACGTCCGCTGTACCGAATGCTGGGTTACTTCAGTATCATTGGGCTACTCCGTGTCCACGTTCTTCTGGGTGATTTCACATTGGCGTTAAAGGTGATGGACAACGTCGAACTCAACCAAAAGGTATCTCGAAGGATCATTTTTCGAAATTTAGCTAACATGCATTGATTATAGTCACCCTTCACTCGGGTAACCGCTTGCCATGTCGCTACATACTACTACGTCGGTTTCTGTTACATCATGTTGCGACGGTACCCAGACGCTATTCGCACATTTGTGACGATATTGAATTTCATCATGCGGATGAGGCAATACCATACCAGGAGCTACCAGTATGATCAGGTCTGTAAAACCCCGTTTCGTACCGACGCGGTTATCTTACGACCTCTACAGATCAGCAAAACAGCAGACAGGATGTATGCCTTGTTCGTAATGTGTAATGCGCTATCGCCCAGTCGGCTCGATGACAACATTACCAATGTCGCTAAGGAACGGTATAGTGAACAGCTTGCCAAGATGGTTAGAGGAGGGTGAGTACTCAAATATCTGTGCTTATCGGTTTGAGAAAACATATCGCTCCTGTTTATAGTGAAGGTGCCTTGCCTGCATTCGAAGAGCTTTTCCTCTATGCATGTCCAAAATTCATTAATGCGACCTCTCCACCATACGAGGATCCCAATGCCATAGCACAGATCATTCAGGATTCATCGCCTGATACCTACGTCGATCCAGCTCACCGCCAACTACGTTTGTTCTTGTCTGATGTAGTAACTCAGGCGCCAGTTCCAACACTTCGGAGCTTTTTGAAGCTATACACCAGTCTCGGCTCTCAAAAGCTAGCAAGCTTCCTGGATGTTGACGAGGAGGAAATGATTCAGGAGATGATGGTATTGAAGCAATGCAGTCGTAGCATCAGCCGAGTAGGGGGAGATAAAATCAGTCTACTAGATGGCCAGACCATCACCACTAGTGACCTTAACTTTGTCATTGACGAGGTATGCTGCAGTCAGGTTCTATTGTTAGGAAGGCTGATGCAACTTTTTCAAGAACATGGTACATATAGCCGAATCCACTGTTGGCAGGCGGTTCGCTGGCTGGTTCATCAAGAACACTGAGCGTACTCAACGGATATTTGACGACCTCAAGAATACCCCGCTTCCCACTCCTCCAAAAGGTGCCATAAACAATGTTAGCCCTGTTGATACGTCTACGAAGCATAGGCCAGCGGGGAAGGTCGCTTGGGGTAGCGTTACCTCAAAATCTTGAGTACTTTGCTACTCCGGACCGGCAGTGTTGTTATGATATATCCATGTACATCGTAAAATACATTGCAGGAGCGGTTGAACCTTTGTACAGTTCTAAATTTCCAAAAGATATCTCATTTAGGTAATTGTATTATTTTTTTGTAACACCCGCCGGCAATTTTTCCATCCTGGTTTGCTCCTCTACAGGGATGCGTTCTGTGCGCTTCCTTAGTACGCGACAGCCGTTATGGGAACTACCCAAACCTCATGTCACGCAGAGTACAAAAAAACTGCTGCGAAAAGTGGAAATGAGAGTCGCCCCGCGGATATTGGCTCCGCAGACGAAGCAACATCTCCAGCACTTCCTCCGGGTTCGAATGCATCCAACACGACGTGTTTTGTTGCTGATATTTGTACCAGGGTTATATATCAGGCAATGAAGAGCACGCCAAGCGGGAAGAAAAACGTAGGAAGCTCCAAGATGTTCTCGCGAGCGAGTTTGGGAAAGAGGTTTTGGTCGAGGACATAAGCATGGCCTCTTACGGTCGGGATATACGGAATACTCCCATGGAGTTTGCCATCGTGGTGTGTTTGAACTCATCTTTCCCTCATATGCGTGTCATGACATGACTAGGATACCGCCTACCCAACACAAGCCATACCACTCAGAACTATGCAGTCGCATGTCCTTTCCAAAATACATGACCATAAGAACGTATCATACTTATCTTCCATATCCTTTTTTCTTACTTTTCTCTTCCACAGGCGTGTCGTAGAGATTCTACAAGATGCTGGATTTCGGTGTAAAGTTCCCGAGCGTGATTTGGACCTTGGAGGAAAAGATGATTTCAACGTCTGGGCCAGTTCAGAACCAATACAAGGACCCGTCTACCCGCCACGGCTACGCGTCGAAGACGCTGAGGAACTGGACTCGCTGGACTCGTTCCATCTGACCTTCGCAGGTCCTAGTGTGATACCCCTGCACCAATGGCTGGCCGAATATCTTCCCAATCAGTACAAAGACTTCATGGCACTCTTCTTGATATACCTATGGTCTCAAGGGGTCGAATTTCCGACGACTGCTCTCGCACTGATGACAGCACGCTACCATCAGGTATGTTGTCTCTTTCGTCCTATTGTATTGTATATTAATTCTTCGCCAGGCTAGGGATAACATGCGGCCCCTTTTTCAACAGAATACGACCATATGTTGGGTCCCGGCCAATTTCTATAATCCTATAGACGGGGTGTGGGAATCCAAGTGGGAGGGTGTTCGGCTGCCGGGTACATCTAACTCTCCTCACGAAGCCGCCAATTGGAAAGCGTTGCATTTTCTGGAGATGTTGCAGTAAGCGCGTTTACCTCCCTGTGAATTTCCACTCATCGCTTTCAGATACTGGCGTAAATCTGACATTGCCACAGACACTATGGTTTCTGTGAGAGAAGGAGGCGCGAGTGCATTCATTCCCCGCCCTGGATATACGCTATCTCCCAACAACCCAGCTCCGTTGTGGCAATTCAGTCCTCTTGTCGTCCAAGATCCGGTTATTCCTACCCACGTACGAATAGGCAATCCTACCTTTGCACCAGCTCACGCATCGTTTTGTGTCCGTAGAATCACGCATGTACGGTCAGCAAGAGCGAGATCAAGCGTTTTGCATATGCCTGCAAAAGGGGTGTCAACACGTTGTCGGAAGGTAACACTGTTGAAGACTTCTTTTTCCAGCGCAAGGCAATGGATCCATCTAAAGACTCTGAGTACGATCGAAGAATGCAGGAACCGGATAACGAGGACTGGCTTTCTTCCTTGAGCCAAGAGGCAGCGGAAGAACCTGAACGCTTATTCGGTAATGATGGATCATATGGTGCTCAGCCTCAAGCTGCAGCATCTCTTCGCTCTGGTTATGCACCAAGGTCACCACCTTCGCCTCGACGCACCTACAGCACCCGATCTTATTCAACTCAGCTGACACCGCCTGGTGGTGTTACCAAGTCAATCCTACGGCAACGAAGAGAAACAGTAAAGCGTGTGCAGAACATTATCCGGCAAGAGTACGGGAATATGTACTCTGTTGAACAGTTCGGCAGCACACGCTATGGCATTTCTTCTGCAAATAGCGACCTCGACCTAGTTCTCATCGTGGGTGTCAAATTCTCTTTTCACAGTATTCTCTACTAATGCTTTCATCGTTTTCAGGATCCCAAAAGACCACATGGTGCCTCACCAAAGCAAGCAAAACCACGCGGTGGTAAGCGTATATACCGACGACTTTCAAACAAAGCTCACGCATCATAGGCATATATAGAATAAAGTTTGTTCTGTTCTCTCCCACCTGACCTTTGTGCTGATGGTGAAAAAAAGACAGGTTGGTGCTCTATTGAGGAAGAAAAAGTATCACAATGTCTCCGTTATCGATAGTGCAAGTGTTCCAATAGGTACGCTATTCTGGCTGATCGGCCGTTCAAGCCTTACCCCCTTTACCCTTTCTTGTGCACAGTAAAATTCAAGGACCCGATTACGGGAATGGACTGCGATCTAAACATTAACGACAGACTGGGGCTACACAATTCCGACATGGTGAAGCGTTACTGCGAATTGTCTCCGCTCTTGCGACCGATGGTGCGGGTAATCAAAAAGTGGGCCAAACCGCTCAAGTTAAACAGTCCTTCCATCCGCTCAGGAGGACGTGTGACGTTCAGCAGCTACGCTCTTACTTTGATTACCATTGCTTTTCTCCAGGTAAATTTAGTCCGTAACTTTATCATGCGATGGCTGACATCGTCCAGACACATCGTCTATTACCCAATCTTCAAGAAGGCGTACCTCCTTTGAGCGAAGAAAATCAAGATGGTCTCTTTTGGTTTAAGGGGAAGCCGTGTAATACCAAGTTCAATATGGCTGAAGGTTGGGTACCTCCGGAACAAAGAACGGTGGAAGAGGCGATGCTAGCTTGGTTCAGGTTCGTGAATTGGTCTTTCTGGGTTCTCGATCTCAAACGTATAAGCAGATATTGGGGTTTCGAACATGACTACACTGCAAACACTCTCGTCTCTATCCGGGCTGGTGGTATCATAGAAGGATCAGACTTCTCTTGGGATGACAATGAGAAATTCAAGAGCATGTCCGAGGCAAAGTGGCGGGAGGCGTGCTTGATGTTGAAAGCTGAAATCAGAGAACTATCGGCTTCTTGTCGCAGATCCATTCATTATCACCAAAGTAAGTTGATCTGTTATATGCAAATGCTTCACCTCATTCGGCTTCTTAAGAATGTCACAGGCAACATCCAGCCCGTCAGTTTTTCCGTTTTCCGAGCTGAATGCCAGCTTGCCTTCAAGAAGTTGTTGCTTCCAAGATCGCCGAAAGTGGAAAAAGGCAAAACCCGCAGTTACTCCTGCATCGGATGATGGCATTGAATCTGTCAGGTCCAGCTGTTGATCTCGAAAGTAACCCTCTCCGCGATGACGATTTAGGCGATGAACCTGACATACATTCACTGGCTGACTCGATAATGCCCCCGCCCAAGAGCAAAGGACCAACGCGGCCGGTGGATTTTGTGTTGGAGGAGACACGAGTGAAATGGATTGTTCCTCTCCCGGACGATCCTTTTCTGAAAAGGTATGCGTTTCTAGAAACGAACTCAAATATCGTTGCGACGCAAGGTCGCAAGACATCTGAGTTTGAAGAGTACCACCGTCAGGAAGAAATCGAGAAGACTCGACACACTTAATTATCTATATACATTGTATCACTAGTATTCCTTGATTAATAACAAGTAACGGTAACGGTCGATAGAATTGTGAATGTGCTACTTTGATGATCATGAGGCTGAGCAAGATAGGACGAATATGGTGCGGGATATGACCAATCACTCCGGGGCCATATCCATCGGCGCTCGGACTTACATCCATCTTCAATCACAACAACGACACGAAAGCCCGCTGGCGGCGCTTACTCCTTCTCTACTCTCTATCACCATCATCGATTCGTGTAGCTGTCTTCCATTTACGCCACGATGTCTTGGAAACTCGGAAAAAGTATGTCTGCAGCACCCCTTGGAATATACGGTCTCATTATCCTTTGCATGTAGAATCCAAGGACAGCAAGGAGAATGGGGTCATCTCAAGATCTGTCACTCCCATACCCTCTCGACCTACGACACCGAAGCCACCTATGGGATCTGATCAGTTCAGGTCTGGTATGCTAACCATCCGTATCTTCTCAGGTATGTCGGACTATTTGCAAGCCATATCTGCGAGCCAACGCCCTTCTCAGGACGCGGACTTTCTTTGCCTCCCAATGTACCCGTTCCGGATGTCATACAGAGAGCACTGGAATCGACACCTCCCATCCGGAGATCGACTAGCAACAGAGAGAGTATGCAGCGCAAACGTTTCTGGTGGCTCCCTTATGTGGTTCTGGAGTTTGACAAGAACGAGATTCTCATTGATGCTATGGGTGGTGATTTGGCGAGCCCGGTGTGGAACTACAGGGCGGATTTGTGAGTTGTCGCCACTCTGTTTTACTATCCCCTTTGAATACCCGGATAGCGATGTCTCACGTACTTCCAATATTTCCGTCTCTGCTTACTTGCGTACGGCACCCGTACAAGGACCAGATGATATGGGAAATGACCTTCTTTTGGCTCGTGTTGACCTTACGCCAATGCTGGATGGTCATGTGAGTCTCCTACTATTTTATGCATATATCTCTTCCTTGCTCAGACTTTTTCTCGCAATAGCACGCCTCAGATCAATGGTACATTGCTACAGCTGGCGCCGGTTCTTTCCATCTCAAGATCGATTTCAAACCAACCCGCAAAGAGCCCTCACGATCGAAGCCTTTGACCTTCTCAAAGTTATCGGGAAAGGCAGTTTCGGCAAGGTCATGCAGGTCCGGAAGAAGGACACGCAACGTATCTACTGCGCTCAAGACCATTCGCAAGGCGCATATTGCCCAGAGGCCTGGGGAGATTACCCACATCCTTGCAGAGCGGACGGTGCTAGCATTAGTCAACAATCCGTTCATTGTGCCCCTCAAGTTTTCCTTCCAGAATCCGGATAAGCTCTATCTTGTCATGTCATTTGGTGAGTTGATGCGTTATAAACGGGGCGACGACTGGCTGATTCAGATTATGCCTACCGTCAGTCAATGGCGGAGAATTGTTTTACCATCTACAGAGAGAAGGCAAATTTGACCAGGACCGTAGCCGTTTCTATGCGGCAGAACTTCTTTGCGCACTGGAGCATTTGCACGGCTTCAACGTTGTTTATCGGTAAGTCTAACCTATATCTGTACATGATGTCATGGAGTGCTCACGGGGACGCGATAGGGATCTTAAACCAGAGAATATTCTCCTGGATTACACTGGGCACATTGCGTTATGTGATTTTGGTGAGTCTTGGTAAGGTGCTTGGCAAGTTTTGCTCACTAATGACTGTTGGATAGGTCTTTGTAAACTCAACATGTCCGAGACGGAAAAAACAAACAGTAACTATCATCACTCAGCTAAATCCGGTATTGGCGTTGATCTTGATCCCTGTCAGCATTCTGTGGCACTCCGGAGTACATTGCTCCCGAACTCCTCGAGAGTCAAGGCTACACCAAGACTGTTGATTGGTGGACTTTGGGTGTATTACTGTATGAAATGATGGTGAGATTTTCCATGACTTTTGGATTTGATTACTGAATGTAGAGCTTGGAATAGACTGGCCTCCCGCCATTCTACGATGAGAATGTAAACACAATGTATCAGAGAATTCTCACTGATCCGCTTCACTTCCCACCTGACATGTCTGCGGAGGCGAAGAGTGTTATGACGGGACTGCTGCAGCGAGATCCGTCTCGGCGGCTGGGGGCGAATGGAGGCGAAGAAATTAAGAGGCATCCATTTTTTGCGAAGTATATTGATTGGAATAGGTGGGTCCATCCTGAAGCACCGCTACTCTCCAAACTTATATGTATTGCAGGTTGTTGGCAAAGAGATACCCGCCGCCATTCAAGCCGAGTGTTGTATGTCACTCTTCGTTTTGACATTGATATCAGTTTTGATGGTTGAACAGGAATCTGTGCTTGACGTTGCCAACTTCGACCCCGATTTTACGAACGAGGAGGCGCAGGATTCGGTTGTCACGGATTCCGCCCTTTCCGAGACTGTTCAGGATCAGTTCAGGTGCGTTTGTTGTCGCTTGAAACCTGTACATGTTTGACCCTTTATCCAGGGGCTTCACATACAATCCGGCAAATGAGCACCTAAGCGAGAGCGTGAGCTATTCCAACGGCATGTAAGGAGGAAGGTCCTCTCCCGAGAAGAGTTTTTTTTCTTTTTGTTTATGTTAACACTGATTGATACCCACCAAAAATGATTTCACTGTAGAGTGAATAGTTAGCTTCGCTTCGTTCGCTGTAGACACTTTTCATTGCTTGTCGTATTTAAACAGGCGTCTGGAACCACCTTTTGTAGGATATGGAATGTACGTGACTACATATATGACACTATCCTGTAGTTCAACAGTAAATGTACATCATTTTGTGGAAACAGGGTATCAATGGGGTAGAAAAGTATGTCTATAACAATGTAGCCATGTTAATAACAGAAACGAAGCCGCCGAAGTAAGTAACCTGGGGAATGCCCGTCCCCGACACCGTAGCACAAGGCTTACATCCCATGATGAGTTCAGGTGAGCTCACCATATTGCAAAAACTCGCTATCACCGCGCTTGTGATTGCTGTTGGAGTTATATGAAGCGGAGTATCGTGACAGGGCCATTTCGAACACATGTCTGTGTCCGTGGGATTTTTCGATAAGTACGAACCGGAGAGTAAGGAGTGCCGTGCTGAGGACTACAGGGAATGAGGGATTATGTAGAGTTACGAAGATGTTGACGTACACAGCAACCATTCAATCCAGACAAATGCCTTGAGCGCCTGAAGATTCTTGCACCACGAGCGCATGCTTGAGAAGTTCTCTGGAATGGATCCACAGGAAAGGGGGACGTTTTGCCACCGGGAGGTAGAGAATGCATTGAATGCGAGCCAAAAATGGACATGATGGTGAATGCGGCGATCTCAAATGAGGGTTTGGATGTGAAAGAGGGGGCGCCTGGAAGAATAAGGTCCAGGCACAGCATCACCGCGAGGAGGACAAGCGATATTAGGGAAAGAGCGAAGGGAAAGATGTCTGCGACGTCTGATGGATAATTAGGTGATATTTTTGGTACTCAGTATAACCACCCACAAAACCATTCTTGGAATTTGTTAACCTGGATCGAGAGGCCGAGCACGATGGTGCTAACGAGAAGAAGGAACACTAATAAGTATATGGTATGGAATATTAATGTATTCAATATCGCTTCTTGAGCCGAGAAGGAAACTCACGATGGGCTAATAGCTTTCTCTTCCCTACAGAGGAAAGGGGAGGTGAAGGCATTGCCTCAGAAGAAAGAAAAAAAAAAGAAGAAAAGAGGTCGAGGTCAACTCGAGTGAAAGTTGAAACAGAAAGCGCGTAGTCAAGGTTTCTGATCATCGCGATCGAGCGACAGCAAGTGGCTGTGAACGGCGGTAATTAAATTCAAATTTCGGGCGGGAAAGCGGGCCGTAACGGTTAAGTGACGGATCTGGGGATGTCAAGAGAAGAGAAGAGCCACCAGACCACTCCACGAGACGACTACCAGAACCACATTCCTCCGTGCTTTCTCCCTGCCTCAAGATGATTGACTTCGCGGGACTCTACGCCTTGTGCGTCTCCCACTTCTTGATGCTTTTTCGACGTGTCTTCGTACCAACAGCTACCCTTGGTGTAGGTGTTCTGAGCGCCCCGAGTGGCTTTCCGGCTACAGGAAACGGTCTCTGGTATACGACTACTGCTGGCACTTGGTCCAAGAACTGGTTGCCTATTGGCAATGGCTATCTTGCTGCAATGGTCCCCGGAGGGACGCGTGTGGAGGTTACCCAATTGAACATTGAGTCTCTGTGGAGTGGTGGACCATTTGCTGATCCTGTATGTTGCGGCTATTGCTCTCCGATCTTATTTTCTGTTGTTTTCCGTGAGCTGACGGTCATAGACGTACAATGGCGGGAATAAAGACCCGTCACAGCAGGCTTCGCTGGCAAATTCGATGCAGCAAATCAGGGAAACCATATGGACGAGTCCAATTGGCGAGATTGGAAGTGAGTCTTCACCGCTTATCCCCCGGATCCGCCCAAATAGCGCCTACAGACGTTGATGTCCTCGGTGTCGATGCTGGGGCGTATGGTATATTCTTTGTTCTTCTTTGTAAATATTTCCTTTACTGAAGAAGATCCAGGATCCTATGCTGGTGCTGGACATCTCATCACAACTCTCAATATCAGCGACGGTGGAACAACAAATTATTTTCGATGGCTGGACATCGACCAGGGCGTCGCTAGGACTTCGTGGACGCAAGACGGTATTTCGTACCTCCGTTCATCATTTTGCTCCCATCCGAGCAAAGCATGCACTCAACATCTCACCACAACGAGTAACTCGACTCTCCCAGCCCTGTCGTACGCGTTCACCGCCTCCCTAGAGAGCGGATTGCCACAAGTGAACGTATCGTGTCTCGATGGTACAAATAACGCACTTGTTGTTCGAGGCGTTGTTGCGGAACCAGGAATGGCATATGAATTTATCGCGTGGGCAAAGACCGACACAGGTGTCACGACGTGTATTCCGAGCGCGACAAACGCGACTCTTGTCGTGAAGGGAGCCAACGAGGCCTGGATCTCGTGGATTGGAGACACCGAGTTTGACCAGGATGCCGGCAATCAGGCGAACGCGTTCTCTTTTAAGGGTGCCGATCCGCATACGAAGTTACTTCCGTTCTTCAACAAAACTTCTGCGGTATATGCGAATATCTGGAAGGAGCATCTTGATGATTATACTGCGCTGATGGGCTCCTTTACTTTGGACCTGGGTCAAACCGTCGATCTGGAGAACCCGACCGATGTGTTGAGAGCGGCGTATCAGGTCGGCGTTGGAAATACTTACTTGGAATGGCTAGCATTCAATTTCGGGAGGTACTTGTTGGCAGGCAGTGCAAGGGGACTGTTACCCGCGAATTTACAGGGCAATGGGCAGATGGCTTGAGTAATGCTTGGGGAGCGGATTATCGTACGTGCTTTTCGGGGGGTAATTTGGAATATTTGATCTTGACGGTGCGCAGATTCCAATATCAATATTCAGATGAACTATTGGGTTGCTGAAGCTAGCGGAATGGATGTAACTGCATCATTGTTTGACTACTTTGAGGTGATTCGTTCCCCTTCGATTTGTGATACCTCTTGTTGACAAGTTTAATAAAGAAAAACTGGGCGCCCAGAGGAGCTATCACGGCACAGGTCTTGTACAACATATCCCGAGGATGGGTAACTCATAATGAGGTAAGATGATCTGCTTGCCAGTGTATGCGATGTAGACTGACGGATTGTCATACGCAGATGAATGTACGCGTACAGAATCGTCATGAGAATATAACACTGAAACCCGCATGTAGATTTTCGGTCATACGGGAATGAAAGCGGGCTCTGCACAATGGGCTGATTACCCTGGTCGGTCTTTTCTTCTATATCCCATCGTTCCTGTTTGTTCTGATATCCGAAGCAGAATCGAATGCGTGGATGGTGAGTACTGGCATCTCTCATGCGAAGAAAGGAAGGTTTAGTCTCAGAAATAGATGGTTCACGTATGGGACCATTTTGATTATACCCAGGACGTAGCGTGGTGGCAGGCGCAGGGGTGGCCGCTGATCAAGGTAGCTTTCCTGCGACCTCAGGTTAAGTTCAACGGTTAACTTGTACAGGCCGTCGCTGGTTTCTACTTGGACAAACTGATTGAGGACGAATACTTCAAGGATGGAACGCTTGTTGTAGCTCCGTGTAATTCGCCGGAACAAGTGCCTATTACGCTCGGTATGTTATTTATATAAGTATACAGCGATTAGTTGCTGATACTTCTATAGGTTGTGCTCACGCACAACAGCTGATCTGGCAGCTATTCAATGCCATAGAGAAGGGATACCCGTTCTCTGGGGACCACGACCCGGAATTTTTGGCAGAAGTACTGGACAAACGGTCGAGGATGGATAAAGGTATCAAAGTAGGAAGTTGGGAGCAACTGCAGGAATGGAAAGTCGAGAAAGATTCACCAACAGATACCCATAGACACCTTTCACATCTGATTGGGTTGTATCCTGGATATGCGATCGGGGCTTTCAATGACTCGGTTTCGAACGTGACGGCGGAGCAGGCATTAGCTGCTGCAAAGGTGAGCTTGATCGCAAGAGGAAATGGGACTGGACCGGACGCGGACGCGGGCTGGGAGAAAGCATGGCGTTCTGCCTGCTGGTCGGCCTTGAAGAACGGGGAACAGGCGTGGTGGGAGTTGACTGTGAGGTGCAATTTCCCGCGATCATTCTGTTTGGCTGATACCGTTCTTGCAAGTACACAATCGATCGAGACTTTGGCCCAAACTTGTTCAGCTTGTACGATCCGTCGAGTTCGGACCCAATTTTCCAGATCGACGCGAATCTCGGTCTCCCGGGTGCTCTCATGGTTTGTCTTTTGTTGAATTCTTTCCTTTGACCTCACCAACTAGTATAATTTCATTTTGCAGAACATGCTTATCCAGTCGCCTGATGTTGCTTCTTGGAATGATACCTTGATCATCCAGATTTTGCCTGCGTTACCGCAGGCGTATGCCGCAAGAGGACGCGTGACTGGGGCACGCGTCAGAGGCGGGTTGAATGTTTGGTTTGAATGGGCAGACGGGCTTGTCGGGAGAGTAGATGTCAATATGGCAGATGTGGGCACCTTCAGTGCAGGTAGGAAGGTGCGAGTTGAAGTAGGTGCGAACGGTGATGTCAAGGGTGAATTTGTACTTCGGAATGGGGGAAGTGTAACGTTGAATTGAAGATTTTGATTATATGTACTGTATGGGTAGGAGCGGTCTGGATGTGTACTAACGACGTGTAATGCATTTACTAAGTACAAATGCAGTGTGAGACCCAGACAACGGTGGAACTAAAATAACAATGCAGCATCCGTAACTGAGAAATTTACCCACTCCCGAATCTGCTATCTTGTAAGGAGAAAATCATAAAATTCGTCAATGTCACATAACCAGGGTTCAAATGTATGACACCAAGTCGCCATGAGCGATAATGACCCTGAAACAACGTCGTCACTAGATAGACAATCATGAACGAAGGCTCCCAAGCCGTAAAGGATAAATAAAAGAACAAATAGTCAGTTGCACTACAGGCCGGAGACCTTCTCACACTGAAGACTGCGTGAAGAAGCATTGTGTGTGTAACCTAGTCATGCCTTTGGTGTCACGGTGGTGTATCTGACGTGGATGGCACGTTGAAAGAGATAGGCACACCTAAATAACTTTGCAAATGCGTCCAGAATGATAAATATTGCGGTAAGGAACATGCGAGTGGATAGAGCGAATAACAGTAACTCAATCGTCTTCAATAACGATAACGTCGTCCTGATGACTACTTCGCGTGCGTCTCTTGTTCCTTGAAGGAGCGTCTACCTCCACTGAGGCCTTTCGCTTCTTGCGAGGGCGTTCTGGGGAATCATCATCAGAAATCACGATAAGTTCGTTATCTGTCACCGGCGTAACAGGCGCCTTTTCTTTTCCCTTTCCTTTCGGAGCGGGTACTGCGGCGGGCGGAGGTGGTTTGGGTTGCGCATACAGCTGTGTCCAACGACGAGCGGTGTCATCGTGGAGCTTGCGATTGTGAACATATTGTGAAGCAATTCCTGGAACTGAATGCATGTAAGTGCCAGATAGAGGCTAGAGGCGTCAGCATACCGAGTGGGTCCCCTGTAAAACAATTATCAGTAGATGACAAGCATATTTAAATGACGAAGCGTACTGGGATTAGGATCCGTCAATAGCGATGACAGAGACAGCATAACCTTAAAAAGGGATAGTGCAGGCGACCAATTATTCTTTAGAATGTCGATGCATATATTCCCTTGATCTGAAATCTGCATACAACATGCAGTGGCCAAGGGGAACGAGGAGTGGTGTGGCTCACGTTCATATGATATATCCTGTCAGTATATCAGAAAAGTGTGTAGATATAGTGCATTCGGCGTACCTCGTCTTGAAAACAGCTCTCGGTGCTGTGAATCTAGCCGGCCATTAAGAAAACCGGTTGAATCTCGAGCAAAAAGGTGACACACGGATAATCGTTGGCAAGAACAATATCAACGTCGAACGATCCTCCTTCGTACACGCTACCCTCGGGTCCAGGTAAAGATCCTTTCCACAAGTGCAGGTCATCCGTCGGGGCAAGCTTAATGTCACCCAGGTCCTCTTTTTGGACGTCCGCAATTTCGCGATGGATGCGTTTGAGTGTCATCTGCTACGGGTGAGATCATGAATGGTGATGCTGTAAGGGCGGCGTACGGCGGAGGTGGTGGACGCCATGACTGGCGACGGTAATAAAAGAAGAGTTATTAATATTATTGAATGAACTGGTACACCGGCAGGGGGCGATTTTGAGACTCCGCTTGAACTCGTTTCAATGCTAACTTCGTATCTCTCTCAGTATCTCTTACCTTGAGGTAAATTATTTTTTCACTAGCTTGTTGCATTTTGTGAAAGTACACGGATGTGAAGTGTAAACACTTTCGGTAAGGGGTAGGGAGGCGTGAGTAAGACAGAGTGTTGGTGGTACTTAAACTGTACGGGATCTGGAGTCTAGGCTGAGGACTCTGGACGCGTAATAAACATGTGCAGATGCACGATGAGAGTCATGAGACGGGAACAGAGATTGGACACGGGGTCAGATATAGGGTCAGAAACAGAAGCGCACTGTAGAACCAGTATATGTGAGAATTTCCAGCCGCGTTTGGGATCTGCAGGCCTCTGTTGCTCTCAGGAGATACCCGTACTTAAGCGAAGTCGCCGACGGTGTAGAACAAAGGCCGCCTTCGTGGGATACATAGCATAAGGCGGTATAACTATGTGGCGGGGTCACGTTCTCCTGTTGTTGCTCGAAGAAGCGAAAGTAAAATAGCCGAAGTATCAGGTAGAAAAGATACTCCTAGTATAGGTTTCGATTTGAATCGGTCATGGACGCAGCAAGCGTAGTCAGGACTGGTCAGTACATCGAGCCGATCCTTCAGGGTTCCCTCGTTGGCGTGCCGAATATCCATCTAGCACCTCAGAAGCAAGACGTGACATGACTTGAAACGGCGAACTCGGAGTCTGACTCTTAGACTGGAATCCAGAATATTTCTGTTTGGCTGAAAGCCAGGTGAAGGCGGTCAGGAATATCAGGTCGTTTTCTATACGATGATTCCAGTCGGTATTTATAACTTACAAATGTTTAATTCCAAACTGCACAATTAAGTACTCCGCCTAATCAATGCGTCGGATATCTCCGACTGTTTGTCCAACATAGAGAGAAAGGAATTTTTTGAGTTTCTGCCGAATGCTGAGTGGGAAGTTGGCGAGTCTTCGAGCAATGGGGAAGGAGCTCTAGTTTCCTACCTATAGATATCAAAAGAACTCGTCAAAGCCCTATTTCACTTTCTGGCAACTGACCCGAATTTGTAACGGTAACATTCCAAATGACTGGTGAGCGTCCCTATAGGCTCGACCGCAACTTGACGACCGCGGAGACGGTGCCTCTCCCGACGGCGTTCATTTTATTTTCATAGCGGTATGGAAGGAGATATTCCACGTTCTAGCTTTGTCCGTGTCACTGTTGTGCCGTTAAGCGGAGTAACTAGCTGCGGGTGTGGTGAGTACGATGGCATAACATGGGAAAGAAAGTGGACTGAGTAAAGCTCACCAGCAACGGTAGACTGAGCATAATGACTGAACGAGTGTCGATCTCTTAATTAGGAAGATCGCGCCATCGTCGGTGATCACAAGCAATATGAAGGGGGTGTTTCCTCCGACGATGAGATTGAGATTAAAATTGAGGTCCAGATCGTAGTCACGACCACAGTGCACCCGGGCGCGTGCACCAGGACAACGCGTATACGCATCAGTTTCGGGATAAGTGGATATATCGCACGGCAGTTGCTCGGCGCGAGGTTTCAGCGCGTATAAAAGTCAATATCGATGAGCGTCAACTTCACCATTCGACAATGCTCAAACTCGGTGCTATTCTCCTCGCTCTTGGATCCTCAGCCCTCGCTGGCTACGTCCAGAACGCCTCTGGAACCGCGTCTTTCACCCACTACTCGGGCTGCTCGTCGCCTGGTGCGTGTGGTCCTTGTTGGATCGATTGCGCGCTTCGTTGACTCACATTTGTACGCAGCTTGTGGGAAGACCGCGACAGGTTACACTGCTGCGATGAACCAGCTCGCGTTCGGTGCCTCGTCGGGTTTGGGCGCTGGAGACGCGTGCGGCAGGTGTTTCGCGATTACTGGTATGAAGTTTCTGCGTTTCATTCGTATTACGTTCGTTTGTCTGATTGAAGGTGATTGGTGTAGGCTCGGCAGACCCGTACAGCACCTCGTATACTGGACCTTTCTACTCGATCGTCGTCAAGGTGAGAATTTAGAAGAACAACCTTTTTATTTGATCTCTAACACGAAGACCACTGCAGGTAACCGATCTTTGCCCAGTCTCTGGAAATGAGGTGTGGTGCGGACAGACACAATCGAGCTTGACCAATGACTATGGCATGCCATTCCAGTAAGTTTTGTTCGCCAAAGATCATTAGGCTTCGATTAACGATCCGTCCTTGCAGCTTCGACATCTGCGAAGACACTGGAGGATCGGCCGAGTTCTTCCCCTCGGGCCACGGCGCATTGACTGGAACATTCGAAGAGGTTGACTGCTCGGAATGGACAGGTTCTGACGGTAGTGAATTATGGAATGGAGCTTGCTTGGACGGAGAGGATGCGGACTTCTGGCCCTCTATTACAGGTTGCGGTAACCAGGGTACTGCTCCGTGAAGGAGAGTGGTACGGCTGCTGCACGAGAGCCACAACATATTTAACTTCATGTCCTGGTGATATGCTTTAACAATGCTTCTTGGTTATCTTTCTCAAAATTTCGAATCTGCTCCTTGAAGCAAGGTCGTTCTGGGACCCTCCCAGGGTACCGTTAACTTACCTTTGATCACAAGCCAGTCTCTTTGAATGTGTAAGATCACATGCTGGGAAATCAGGCAAACAGACGGATTGATGAGTGATCGATATCAGTAGCTGGTCTTGAACGTCGAAGCAGTAGAGACGAGATGCATAAACCGAGAGATTCAGCAAGAAAACAAGGGAGGTGATGGCCGAACGTACTTCGCTTTGTGTAACAACGTCGCGATGGTGTGTTGGTGCTGATGCTGGTAAGAACGGCGGAAAAGATCCAATAAGGGCCGATGAGGGACAACTAAAGGTATAGTCGAGCGCAAACTCGACAATATTATAAGCGTCGGAGTATAATATGATACAATAAAACCGTCCATGAAAGCCCAGACTAAATATATCACAAGGTGCTATGTCTTGAAGATGACAATCAACACCAACAACACGAAGATGAGTACTCCGATTGTCACCGTTGAGCCTAAAAACCCAGAGTCAGTTCAAAAGAGAAGTCAAAAAAGAATAGAAGCTCGCCATTTCCTTTCACGCCCTGAGATACCCTCTCTAAGCTCCTCCTTGCAGTGCTTAGCCTCGAATGTGTTGTATCAAGATCCTCATCAAGTCCGTCAAGGAGCTCGGTATGGGTATTCAATTCCGAGTTTATCTGCAAAGAAACATCCCTCTGCCTGTTTATTCGAATGTGATAATGCGTCAAGGTGGTTATCTTGGTCTAATTGATGGAATACAAGATCAATAACGGCTGAATAACTCACAACGATGAGGACATACCATCTATCAGCCGCCGTTGCTCCTGCAACAGTATTCCAGCCTCTAAATCTGGGTCTGGGTCGTCCGTGTAGGGTGTATAGACCTGCTCTTGTGACTTGCTTGGTGTTGGCGGTGGTGGCAGTTCTCTTTCATCTTCGAGACTATGGACACGGTAAGATCACACGAAATAGAGAACTACAATGATACTCACCTTTGTCCACCAACCATCCCTCTCATTCGTTCGTACTGTTGTCTCAGTCCATTGACTTCAGGTTCGCTACCTAATTCACGTATCCCGTCCCGCAGGGCTTGCATATTCCCTTGAATGCGCTCATCGTGTGTTGCTGCAGCGTGGGGAAAGCGTTGACGTTCAAGGATAAGCGAGAGGGTCTGGGTAGAGAGGGAGGTTAGTTTGTTTATGGATGACATCCGTGGGCGAAAACAGGGAGAGGGACGGGAAAAAAGAGACGGGAAGGTGGTGACCGGCTGTTGGCAGTGAGAGTACCGTCACGTGCTGTTCTCAGACTTAAACCGGCACCGCCATCGACGACGACGATGTACGGCAAGGCACCACCACTACGCCAAGATGGGAATACTCATGTGGACGGGAACAGTTACCGGCAAGTATAGGATAAAAACAAGTCGACTGCGAATGCCATCGATTCCATCGATAAGATGACCCTTCCCCGGCTGGCAAGTGCGCTCGTCACTGAGTCGCTCGTTGCTGCGACTTACAGCGATATCAATGGCAACAAGACGGCGACATTATCGCTCAACGGAACCGACCTCGCCAAAATCCCATTAGTATGCAAACCAATCTTATCTGGAAACGATATCAAGCTGCTCGACCCCCTTGACATTAATCCATCTTACACTGATGCCGACCTAGTCAGGATATGGTCGCAATTCTCATCACTGTCTGGACTATCAGAGGAGCTAAGCGCCTCCATCTTGGCAGAGTTGGTGAGCGCGTCGGAATGGTTTGCGCGAGATACCAGCGATGGTAGCGCCTTCCCGATGCTCTCGTCACCAGCGATTGCGTGGGAACAGTCGGTGAAGGGCGGGCACCCGACGCATCCGATGCATAAGACGCGTGCTTCCCTCCCGCCCCTGCGCCTCGACCCGTCGTACAACCTTCTCCACCCTCGCCTGAGGCTGATCCACGTCCCCCCTACATCTGTCCTTGTAACTGGGGCCTATCACGACCTTATCATCCCCTTTATTGCCCGTTTCCCGGTACATACAGTTCCAGATGGATACATTCCTGTTCCCGTGCACGAGCTTCAGATCGCCCATATAGCCACTAACTTTCCCGAAGCAGTGATACACCCACCAGCTGTTTCTTACCCAGTCGAGGCACAACAGTCTCTAAGGTCAATAATTGTTCCAGGTCTCAATAACGGACTTCATTTGAAGCTACCACTGGGTATCAAATTGACGAGCGCTGTACGCACCATTTCACCAGCATCAGCGTATCTCGGACCGCGTTTTTCTGCCCAGATAATCCCCAAACTCACATATGATCGAACTATTCTAGCCGTAGCAGAGGAGCCTGTGTCGCTCATTGGCACACATCCTGACCCTCTCGTTGCTCGACATCTTGCGTGTCTCATCCGACAAGACCATACCGTCAACTCGGGAACCATCGACATCGTCTGCACTGCCCTCGTCGATACTTCCTCCCCACAAGCCATTTTCGGTCTTTCTACGAAGGAATCACGCGTCACCTGGCTCTCCACTTACATTGATGTCCTCCTTCGCGCTTTTCTCCCGCCTCTGCTCATCAACGGCGTGGCATTCGAATGTCATCCTCAGAATGCCGTCGCCCGTTTCTCATCCGAAGCCCCTCACAAACTCGTCGGCTTCATTGTCCGCGATTTCGGTGGATTGAAGATACACCCTACTACTCTTCTTGCTTCCATTCCAGAAGCAGACCTTTCTTTCGTTCACCCCACCCATTCCATCTTAGCCGAGACGATAGATGCGGTCTGGACGCGGATGTATCATACTGTCGTGCACAACCATCTCCAGCAGCTAATACGCGTTATGGGTCTTCATGCAGGTGGTGAGGGATACGAGCTGTTTCGCGTGCATCTTGCAAAGTTTGTTCCTTTGACACATCCGTGGTTCACTCAGCCGTATGTGGAAGGAAAGTGTTTCATGCGCATGCGTATGCAGGGCATGGATAGATGGGTGAGCGATGTAGTGTTTAGACAATTCTCTTTTGCTAACACGTCCGTAGCATTTACACGGGCCGTTCCCGAATCTTGTGCTTTTCCGAGGAGAGGAGCTGGGTATAGTGATGGGCAAAGGAGATGGGCAAAAGGTTGAGAAAGCTGACGGACAGATTGAAGTCACATCCCTTGGCGTATCTAGTTGGGTCAAAGTAGCATAAGCTTCTTTGGATACCTCCTCGTCCCTTTATCTTTAAATACAACTTCTTATGTGAACCTGCATCCTGCTATGTATATTATCCCTAGAATTGTTATATGGAAGTCGAAGTAAAGTAAGGAGATTTGAATTTGAATTCTTATTCAACTATTAGTTCGTTGCCCGTCACTCGAGGCTATAGGGAAAAGTTGAAAGGACTTTAATAGGAACGTAGCATTATTTGTACTTATTTATTTCTGAGGCCAATGTCGTCCCGGGACCGAAACCGAAACCGAAACCTTCGAAACCTTTCTCGGGGTTTCTCCTTCTGTCACGTCCTCCGTCCTTACCTCCGCCTTCGTTTATCATGCCGTCTCAGTCTACGCTGAGCAAGGAAGAGAAGGACAAAGTGAAATCCGCTATTCCAGCCCCCTCAAACAAGATTTTCTATGCCACGCTTGCCCGAGTCTACTACGCTTACCCGCAGCCGGACGAATGGTCGTATTCTGGCCTTCAAGGCGCTCTTGCGCTCACCAAGAACAACTCAAGTGGCGCGCTTTCATTTAGACTTGTAGATTTGAGTGGTACAAGAGGTGTTATATGGGAACACGAATTCTACGATGGTCTGGATTACTTTGCCGACAGAGCGTTCTTCCATTCATTTCCTGGCGACGTGAGCGCTTCCTCTCCCTTGGATTAACATTATGTTTACCATTGCTTACTCCTTAGGTCTCTATGATTGGATTTGTGTTCTCCAATGAGTCGGAAGCCAAAGATTTCTGGAAGAAAGTGCTCAAAAAGAAGGATGAGAAGCGCAGTACGTGGTTATCGCGCATTTCCAATGCGATAGCTGTTGACTGCTCTTCCATAGCGCCCAAGCCTGAGACAGAGAAGAAGAAGAAGAAGAAGACAAACAAAGGGGGCAAGATAGACAAATCCATGATTTCAGGACCAACGTCCGGATCGTTTGTTCACGTTGCGCATATGGGCTATGATTCAGAGTCCGGCTTCACTTCGAAGGGAGTCGACCCATCATGGACAGCTCTACTTGGGCAGCTCGAGAATTCGGGTATCGACAAGGAAATGATAGCAAAGGAGATGGACTTTATCAAGGACTATGTACGTTCACATCCTCAACAGCAGCCAGCAGTTGCGAAGGAGCCTAAGAAACCGAAACCGCCACCACCACCGTCACGGAAAGCTCACGGACAGAATGACAGTATTAGTGCGCCACCACCACCGCCACCATTACGAGGACGCCCTCAACTGCCGGCAGCTGCCCCTCCACGCACGCCACAGCCCCCGGCCCGCCCACCACCTGCTACTACAAGTGCACCACCGCCACCCCCAGTCCGCCCGCCAGTCCGAGCAACTCCGGGACCGCCTCCGCCCCCGGCCCGGCCAACGAGCTCAGTACCTGTCGCTCCTCCTCCTCCTCCGGTCCGGCCTTCCCCTTCTCCAGCACCACCGCCGCCAACAGAAGGTGCTCCTATTTCTTCTCCCCCTCCTCCTCCCCCTCCGCCGCCACCGCCGCCGCCACCACCTACAGGAGGAGCTCCTCCACCTCCACCTCCACCTCCACCACCGCCTCCTCCGCCTCCATCTGGAGATCCTCCACCTCCCCCACCACCTCCAGCTGTTGGCGACGGCGGAGTGGTCGCAGGGTTACCTCCTCCACAACCTGGACGCGGAGACCTTCTCGCTTCTATTCAAGGAAAAGGTATTCATTCCCTTCGGAAGACAGATTCCAATTCTTCGCCGCCGTCTGGTTCGTCTCGGGGAGAACAAGTTGCTACCGGTGCGGCCGTGGGTGCTGCTGCTGGAGCTGGAGCTGCTGCTGGAGGTGATTTGACGTCTGCATTGGCTGAGGCACTACTAGCCAGAAATAAGAATATGGGAGAGAGCGATGACGACGACGACGACGATGATGATGATTGGGACTAATTTTTACAAGTTGTTGTTCTGCACTGGATAGTAATTTGCTAGACGACGCATAATGCTAAGTACCCTTATTTTGAATAACTAGCCCGCTACAAGGAATACATGCAGAAATGATGGTGCTGTTTTTTATGACGACTAAATTCAAAAGCCACAATTTCTTTTCTTGAAGTCACTTTGCATTTTGCCTCTACGGCAACGTCTCCATCCTCATCAATTTGAATGAAAAAACCTTTCACGTATTGATACGTTTCTTGATATAATAAAATGTAGTTCATTTATAAAGACTACCTTACCTGTGACTCAGACTGTACATTGCAAATTGAAATATATATATAATAGTATTGAATATCATGCTCAAATAGCTTTCACATGTAAGTGACCCGAGAGGCGCGACGATCGACCGCGACTCTGATCCGAGCTTGGAAGTTGAAAGTTGAAACGAACCTCATCGCTACTCCTCCAGTACCATGTCGCATCTATCACAAGCAAGTGACTTTAACGCTCGAGCTCTGCCCCCGAAACCTTTCTCTGCGGCTGATTTACCTGAAGTTCATGCTGCATTCAACCTTTGCCTTAGTCTCGAGGCTCGTGCCCCTCTCGTTCCTCTCCCTCATCGAAATCATCCCGCCGTCGTTGTCTGCGCGCGTGTGTTGGGATTCACTCTTATAGAAGCCCCGTCTGACGATGGCCGGGATCATATGGCAAATTCCATCAACAGTGGTAATAACGACAAGACTTTACTCGCCTTGGGCAAGAACTACATCGAGCGTTTGCTTCGCGTATGTGAGTCCGCGTTTGCAATGCTTTCACGCCAGGTATGTTAACTGCATCGTAGTCAAATCTGCAAAGGGGCGAACACCTGCTCCGTCGGAGCATCCCTCTCGTCCGGATCTCGATGATACGCAGGAGGCTTTGCAAATACATTCTCCAGCAAGCATCTTTGAATTATAGCACTGCAAAGCAAGCGGTGAGTCTATTGGGAGTCTTTCATCTCTCCCGCTGTACTCAAGAATAGATAGGCTCTTGTTCGTGACGGTTTTCATTGCATGATCAAAACACACCTATATGAGGACCAGTATTTCGGACGGAATGAGTCCACCATCGTTGCCCAGGATCCGGAATGTAATGTAAGTACCCTCAGGTGCGTCCATATACTCCCGGAGGGTCTCAACTCGGATTTAGGAAGTATTGAAGTCCCGACTGACAAAGTATGTTTCTGATAATTGGATTCATATGAAAATAACTCATGAACTCTGTATAGTCTATGATGTATATGTTTGGTATACATATGGAAGAGCTTAATGGCGCTGGGATTCATCGATTGGAGAACATCCTCACGTTAAACCCTTCCTTTCGTGACTTTTTTGATCAGCTGGGTCTGTGGCTTGAAGCTGTGGTATTTAACCTGGTTACTTAGTTGCAATATTTCTCATGATACGGCATAGGATAACCAACCGAACACATATACCGTTGTGTCCACTTGTACCAGGTGTACTTCAGCGCCTCTCACCTCGCACTGTTACCTTCACTACACCCGATCCAGTAGCTCTACCACTACCCAGCCCCGCTTATCTAGCTATTCATGCTGCTTGTTGTCGTGTCGCTCATCTGTCGGGAGCTGCTGAGTATGTGGAAAAGGTTCTTCAGGAGGAAGAAGAGATTCGCGAACAGGTAGGAAGCATGTGTGTTCTTGCGGAAGATGGGTCATCGATGGATCTTCTTGAGCGATACATTGCTGTCCATGTCGTATAAGATTTTCATCGTGTTCTTTTGCTATACTAGTATTTTTTGACCCTGTTGTATAGGTACAGTTCATAGAGACTACAGTTTTAACATTTAGTGGGTCCCTGTAATCGACGCTGATTCCTACGTACCGGATGTCAAATTTACCCAAGTCAAGATATGTTTGTCCGATATGCTCCTTCGATGGTTTCAATTGCCAGGGGAAGTATGTTTTCATACAAGTACCCGATGGTCGTAGCGGTAAGGGCAAAGCTTAGTACATTTATTTCCCGTATTTTTAACCCAAAAGCAACTCTCTTTGGCCTACATAGCTTTCAGTAGGGTCAAGGTAAGCAAGGCTTCTTTCGAACTGACTCTCGCTGCAGTATCTTTACTGGACTTAGACGAGTCGCTAGTGTCACTTGCGTATAACACTACAGTGCGAGACTGTATCTTCAAAGTTTCCCTGGTGTATAACTATATGTCTAGAAAATGTGTGGTTCAACAAGAGGCACCTGTTTCGTTGAAATAGTTCTGGACGTGGTTCAAAACACATCGGGATGTCTATTATTTAAGTTTTGGCCTCTATCAGCCGCGCGCTTTCCACCAGTCATCCACCATCGTATCGACATCATATTCATACTGCACATTGTTGTCCTGGACGATGCTGCTACGCTTTCCGGCCATAGTGACCTTCAGCGCTTCATCCCTCGCATGTTGTTCAGGCCCGTCAGGGAGATGTAAAGTATTCTTATCCTGCCAACAACCATCAGCTGTGGCCATTGCACGAGGAGCCCGGAGGTATTGATATGCTTCCAAGAGGGCGGGTATCTGATCCTTGCTCGTGAGGCGGGCGAATAAGTTGCCGAGGACTGCAGCGTCTTCGATCTAGAATAAGGTCATTTAAAGTTACGAGGAGAAAGAATGAGGAATACGTACGGCCATAGACGCTGCTTGAGCTCGGTACGGCTGTGGAGAGAAAGAGCATGACGACAACCTGAAGGATCGGGAAGACATCACTTACGAGCATCGGATGACAGGCATCTCCAATAAGAGCAATACGCCCATCCTTGTGCACCCAGGACTTGAGTGGGGACTGGAGAACTTTGAGCGATCCCACAATACCAGATGGTATGAGGTTCAGTAGTTTGCCGACCCTTGGATCGTGGTCAGCATTTTTATCAGGAAAAAACATGAAATTTTACCGAGGTTCCCAACCAGAAAACTCTTTCTTCATCTTTTCGATATCTCCTTGTCGAGTCCATGGAACGGCTACGTCCTCCGTCTCGTCCGGATGCAACAGAACAAGGTTGTAGTCATCCATGCCCTAAAAGCATGCATTGTCAACCGTTTTACTCTCAAGAATATTGGAAGACACACTATAGGATACAGAACTAGGTGGCGGTCGGGTCCTAGCCAGACATTGAGTTGTGGCTTTTCCACGAAAGGACGAAGGTCTGGGTCTAGCATCATCTTCTTCGCGTCAACGATAGCCCGGAACGCTGCGTCTCCGCTTCGTACAGCAGGCGTAGGCGAGCCCACTACTACGTTTCGCGTTAGACTATTAACGCCGTCAGCACCGATGATCATGTCTGCTTCGATGACCTCGCCCGTGTTTAGGGTAACGGAAGTTGTGTCGGGGTCGATAGACGCAACTTTGGTATTGAAGCGAAGGGTTGTGAGAGGGGCGGCAGCACAGTGAAGTATGTCGACCAGGTCTCGTCTCTTAATTCATCACAAGTAAGCGGCGTGAAAGTCTACGACAGCGAGGGACTAAGTGCTCACGTGTACATTATAACATGGACTGCCATATTCTTGATAAGGAAAGTAAGCCAGCTGCTCGCCATTGTCAACTGTGAGGAGAATCGGTTATAAAGAATAATCTCGGCCGAGAGAGACGTACATCGAAAAAAGGACATAAACGCAGGTAAGACTCCAGCCTTTTCCAAGGATGGTTTGAGACCCCACCGAATGAGAAGGCGCGACGTGTCTAGACGATAGATAAGTGACTATCACACTAAAAGTGATTGTTAGAAGCTCACTAGGTCCAACTTGAATCCCTGCACCAATTTCTTGAAGATCGGTTCTACCTTCCAGTACCGTGACAGTATGACCGGCTCTGGACAAACAGAGTGCAGCACAGAGACCAGAAATTCCTGCTCCGATGATAATAATATTCAATCGGTATGGGGCGGTTGCCTCATTATCGAGTGTAGAATCCTAAAAGATGACGATCTTGGTTAACGGGGCTGATATGTATGTGAATAAAACGTTGCACAGACCACGACTAAAGAATCAGACATTGGCTGTGCTGCTAGTTGCAATGAGGAAGAACGAAATGAAGTTCATCACTTTATGTACTCAAAAAGGACCCGACGCTCGGGACGGTATCCAAACCTTGTGGACGTGGTCAATGTGAGCAGCTTAAAATATAACCGTGCATAGTAAGAACATTTAGTCAAAATGAAGATGCAGGCTGTATATAGCCGATGAGTTTTGACTGGTATGTGCTTTCATACCCTGGATACGACACATCAATTAACCTTGAGTGGGCGAATATGCGCGGTGATATGGTGGCAATGTATTTAGCCGGCCGAAGGAAAATGAAAAGTAGACCAAACTTGCGTGCCGGCGCGTCGTATTATGCTGGAACAGAGGCAACGTGACAAGATGTACGAGTTCGTCTTGATATCACCCACGACCCTCGGTTTTGCAAGCAAGACACTGGCGATTACCTGAAAATCCCTAGCGCTACATGCATATTCCAATTTGCTGAGCCGAGTGCCATCAGGGCTGTCGATGCTACGGACCATGGGAAGATTTTGAGGGATGTCCATGGTGGGCAGATTTGACTAAGAAGTTGCGTTTTCCCGAACGCAGTAGATTTCGGCCCAGGAAATGGTATATATACGTCCCATAGTGCTTAGCACGTTCGACACCGAATATACATCACGCTTTAGGAGCATCGAGCGACGCGGTAGACAGGACTATTGCGTGGGCTACATCGAAGCTCATAACGAAGGAACCCCTTGCAATGTCATACGCGTCGTCCGTGTCAAGGTAGTTGATGTCGTGCAGGAAGGTAGAAGTGGACTGTAGCTCCCTGGTCCCATGCGATCAAAAAAAATGTGCAGTCAACACCGGCCGCAGTACAGAGGTTGCTAGAAAATAAGAAGCATCCTGACACAAGATAAGTGTATCTGCTGATCATGAAAACAAGCAGCCACGAACCGGTAAACCAGTTTCATACTCGTTGAGCAAGCCATCCTCGGCGTCTTAATTTTGCACCAGGGTGAAATTTGCGTGTCACGCAAAGCTCCGCCCTTCATTGTATGAGCTACAGGCACTGCTGATATTGAAGATCAGATAGAGGTTACATTAAAAGGTAAGAAATAAACTGACCCGTCACCTGAGGGGGGCCTTCAAACACGAGCGATTTCGGCTAGGCACTGTAGGCAGGCCTCGCGATTTCTTCGTTGGATAACATCTTCACTCAGTGTTTCAAGTCTATATAAGAAAAGAGTATCGATTCCTGGGCCAGGCAGCTGGGCTCATTGGAATGCTACGAGTGTCTGGCTGAACGTCGTTGAACGAGTCTATGTCAGGTGTGCCCTCGTGCACCGCCACCGCGTGCACTAGTCACGGTCACGGGCCTTTAAATTCTTCAAATCGCTCTCATCAACGCGCCCGTGACCCAGGTCCCAAGACATGAAGAATGCAATATGAAAGCTGATAGTAGTGACAAGATTCAGGTAATTCTATGTGTCGTAGCAGCGCAGAGGAAAACAAATTCACAAAAGCATTACTAGGCCCCTATCCTCTCGCATCTACCACAAGCAAGTGACTTTACTGCTCGAGCTCTACCTACGAATCCTTTTATTACACCTGATCTCCACGCTGCATTCAACCTCTGCCTTGACCTCGAATCTCGTGCTGTTCCCCTCCCGGATCCAAGGCATCCTCCTGCCGTTCTCTGCGCCCGTGTATTAGGATACACTCTTATAGAGGCGCCTTCTCGTGATCACTTGGCGGGATCCATCAACAAACGTAGCTCTGATGACGATCTTCTTGCCTTGGGTAGGTACTATATCTGCCGCTTATGTGAGTATTCGTTTGTTGTGTTTTCACGCTGTGTTTACCAACTGTAACCTAGTCAAAGCTGTCAAGGGGCCCACATCTGTTCCGTCTGATAGCCCCTCTCCTCCGTCTATCGAATACGAGCAATCCTCTCTCACTATAAAGGAAGTCGTGAGTTACACCGGTGTCTTTCATCTTTCCCTGCTGTAATTAAAAGCATGGCATAGGTTCTTCTTCGTGACGGTCACCACTGCATGCTCAGAACAGACTTGTATGACATCTCTTATGTCGAACAGAATCCGTCTATACTCGAGGCACAGAGCCTGAACTGGGCCTTCAGTTCCCTCTACTGCACGTATATATTTCCAGAGTCGAATTTAGGAGACGGTGCCGAGCACCCATCTGACAAAGTACGTTTTCGATGATTGGACTCTTTCATATCAATGACCACTTCATAAGCTTGAATGGGCTGCCTCAGTGTGGGCTGCGATGCATATGTTTGGTATGGAAGAGCTCAATGGTGCTGGAAATCACCGATTGGAGAATGTCCTCACGTTATGCGATGTCCTTCACGAGTATTTCGGAAAGTTAGATGTATGACTTGAAGCTGCGGTATATAACATAAATTTCTTGGTCACATTATTTCTCACAAAACCGCACAGGATGGCCAACCGAACACATATGTCGCTGTGTCCACTATGTTCGGTTTAATTGGACGCCTCCCAAGTCGCGTTGTCACTTTTACTACGCCCGATCCGAAAGCTCTGCCGTTGCCCAACCCTGCTTATCTAGCTCTTCACGCTGCTTGTCGTCGCGTCGCTCATATGTCGGGTGCTGCTGACTATGTGAAGAATGCTCTTCAGGAGGAAGAAGAGGTACGCAACCGGATTGAGACGATGGGTGTTCTCGCTGAGGACGGGTCATCCATGGACCTTTTTGAGCGATATATTGCTACTGTCGGGATTCTGTGAGCCTTCCATCGCGCATCTGCATAAGATACTAATGACAAGCCACGGTTAATAGAGATTACTACGACCTAGCTGAAAGACGCTCATTCATCTCGTATTAGCTTGCCTTCATCTACGTAGAATGAAGTTCGGTATACAGGCTCGTGCAACCTGTGATTGGTTCACTTGGAGGTCGCATGACCTCGCGACATATACACTCTGCACTTGACACGCGTAGGAGGTGAGGACCCCATAGTGAAAGTTCTACGGAGAGACCACACACGGGTAGAATCCCTTATAAGTATTTCAATGTTAGAGTGGTTGATATTTAATGGTCAACGGTGCATTCAACACGTGTATGAAATCTAGTCTACGACCCTGATATTACAATGTCATGAACTCGTCGCTTTAGATCACAGTATGTAAGAAATGATAGTAATACAAGAGCATGCCAGATAGCAAACGAGAGCGGGAGAGAAGATGGAAGGATATAAAAAATTGCCGGATATCAAACACATGGGCAGGAGATAAGGCCATAGACCAGTAAGTCAAAACAAAAACTCGAGCTAGCATGGGAGTACAAGCAGTCAATGCCTGTGAAAAGAAAAATCCAAACCGCGTAAGATTCTAGATATATGGCGGACTACAGTTTTTCTCTTGGTAAGAGTAGCGGTGTCATTGGTAGATGTGTGCTTTTTCAGTCTGCAGATCCCTTTTGAACTGGAGGTACCGCTGCCGCCACCAAGGTCGACGACTGCAGGGCCGGGAAAAGTGTACGAGTCATTTTGGCTGTCGGAGTAAACCTAGAAAACGTTTAGACAAGGCGGCGGTATGAAAAGGAATCACACGTACGTCGATGAGGATACCAGGATCAGTATCCTTGTAGGCTCCAGGCAACTGCACGAGATCACTGCTAGAGGGAGTACCGGTGCCAGAACCTCCCACTTTGAGCTGAGTACACGAAGCGTAGAACTCTGCACCTCCTTCTGCTTGGGCGTTATGAAGAGCGATTATCTCATGGCGAATGATGTAGCTGCCAGCAGCGAGATTGCTTGGAAGGGTAACCTGGGCGGCCGCACCGTTCACTGCACCAGGTATGTATAAGAATAGTGTAAGGAAAAGTGGGAATTGCACACGCACTGAGAGCCGCTTGTGCCCATGTTCCGTCTGTCTTGCCAGCTTCCTCAATCTTGAACCATTCCGTGCCCTTTGGATTGTAGTCAGCGCATGACTGGTCGCCGCAATTGGTCAGGTAGGTCATCATAGGCCCGACATTATGAGGCCACTATCAGGTTTTTTTTATTGTATTTAGAGGAATAAGCTCTTCGAATACCGAACCGATGGCTTACCGCTGACCCGCTGGCACCTGTCCACAAGAACGAAATGGAGCTTCCAGGATTAGCATTAGCGACTTTGCTAGCTGCAAGGGCACCTGGCCCACAGGTAAGGTCGGAATTCGTTGCACCCTTTATGGGATCCTGGGTTGAGATTTCGCGGGTGATTCCATCGGTGCTGCCGGAAGCGACAGCGGGACCAGTGTATACTGTGCCGTCGATGGTGACCTTTTGTACGTATCCGTGGGCGGCGACGTAGGAAAGAGTAGAGAGGAACGGGATGAAAAGGGATGCCTTCATTGATTGAGAAAAAGGGTATAGTCAGCGGATTGTGGGTATCGCAGAAGAGAAGGATGGAGGAACGGTAGCGCGTGCCGGTGAAAGTCCGGGGTGGGAAGTGACGCATGTTGATGGGGTACGTGCATGTCGAAGAAACCACGATCGTCGGAGTGCCGTGTAATTGTTCAGTCGTCCGGTGACTAGTACTGTGTTCTTTTCTCAGCCTTCTTAGCTAACATCAAAGAACTAATCTCATGAACAATAATAGATGAGACGGGAGAGAACTCGATGCATGATACGGTCCGTAGCGGCGAAGATATGTATAGCTTTTCTCTGCTTTAAATAGCTTTGGCTTCATCACACGCTGTTTCCTACGCATCACGGGCGCTGGTTGATCTCTACTCGTAAAATAACACGATGCTGAACAATGCGGTTCCTTTGAAGACTTCCTTTGCAAAATCACTGACAGCAGACGTTCATAGCAAGATCGAGGAAGTTGGCAAGTTGAGACCATATTTTTAGCTAACATCAAAGATCTCGACTCCTGGTCGGTGTTGCGGTAAATCAATACAAGAATGTACTATGAGCATGAGAGAGATGTAGAGGGTATAAAGAATAAAAGGGTATCAGAACACGTAACAAAACATGGACTAGCATGTCAAAGCACAGGCCAGCGTGCGATCATTAAGGTGCGTTCTAGCGTGTTAATGCCTGCGAGAAAAAATATTCAAACCGCGCATGATTCTAGATATATGGCGGGGTCTAGTTTCCCTCTTGGTAAGGGTGTCGTTGGTAATCGCGGGCTTCTCCAGCTTGCAGCTTCGCTTTGGCACGACAGAAGATGAGCCGTCGGAGGCGGGTACGGCACTGGATGAATGCTTTCTGGTGGAGGTGGTAGAAGAGACGGCAGTGGGTATGGCACTGGACGAATGTCCGTTGGTGGAGGTAGCGGAAGAAGCGGCGCTTGAGCCGCTACCACCAAGGTCGACGACTGCAGGGCCAGGGAAAGTGTACGCGGCATTCGTGTTGGAATAAACCTAGAAAATTGTTTGTCAAGCTGGCACGATGAATAATTGAAGCCATCGCACTTACATCAACAAGAATCCCAGGATCAGTGTCGCTGTAAGCTCCAGGCAACTGCACAAGATCACTACTGGGGGGAGTACCAGTACCAGAGCCCCCAACTTTGAGCTGAGTGCACGAAGCGTAGAACTCGGCACCTCCTTCAGCCTGGCCGTTCTGAAGAGCGATTATCTCGTGGCGGATGAGGTAATTTCCGGCAGCGAGATTGCTTGGGATGGTTACTTCGGCGGCCACACCATTCACTATGTCATGTATGAGATAGTGTGAAACGATAGCGATAGGTAATCGTAGACGTACTGAGAGCGGCTTGCGCCCATGTGCCGTTGCTAGTCCTTCCGGCTTCTTCAATCTTGAACCATTCTGTTCCCGTTGGATCGTAGTCGGCGGATGACTGGTCGCCGCAGTTGGTCATGTAGGTCATCATGGGTCCGACATTATGGGGCCACTATCAGGATGGATGAGCTCGGATTACCGAACCGATGAGGCGGATACTCTACTTACTGGTGAACCGCTAGCACCGGTCCATAGGAAGGAGATGGAACTTCCAGGATTGGCATCGGCGACCTTGCTAGCTGCGAGGGCACCTGGTCCGCAGGTAAGGTCGGAGTTCGTAGCACCCTTGATAGGATCTTGGGTTGAGACTTCGCGGGTGATTCCATCGGTACTGCCAGAACCGACTGCGGGGCCAGTGTATTCTGTGCCATCGATAGTGACCTTTTGCACATAGCCGTGTGCGGCGACGTAGGAAGCAGCAAGGAACGGGAGGAAAAAGGATGGTTTCATTGTGTTAGGGGAAAAGAAGATAGCTGGCGCAGCAAGAAAAGACTGTCGGTGTTGAGGAAGACGAGTTAAGGAAGGTGAGGTGTTAGGGAACGGTTGCGCGCGTTGGGAGAGGTTGTGGGGGGAGAAAGCCCTTTTAAAGCTGAGGGATTGGACATTAGGTGCGTGTATGTGGGGAGGAAACCGTCATGCATTACGGTCCCTGCAGGTGTTAGGTACCAACATGAGAGAGACGTGGGAGCGTCGTGCAAGTGTTCAACTGTCCGTGAGTTTTCTTTGAGAAGATTCGCTCTTCTTAGGGTCCCCTGCGCAGAAACGAGCTGATACCAGGATCATGGATAACGGTGCAAAAGCCGAATAGACATATCTCACTCGAGAGGATGGGAAATGAGAAGGACCTTCAAGGAAAGGTAAGGATGGTAATAGAACAGGGATCATATAAAACTTTATCATTTTCAAAAATAAAACCTTCTCTCATGTTCCCTACCGAGAACTTGGCCTAGTAGAAACCCGTTTTTAGAGGACACGGAATTTCCTACTATGCGTCCACAAGCGATAATTCATCTCCGTTTATTAAGTAAACATCACGTTGCTTGACCAGAGTTCGGGTCCTAATTAGATGTCCAAGTAGAAAAACTTCCTACGATGGCCTTGAACGCCTCGTAATATTGAAAAATTTCCGTCCTAATGTCCAGCGTAACGATACCGGGTACGACCTATTCATGATGAGCGATTTACTAAAGTAAAACAAGCGTTCGCACCTTGGGTTCAATACTAGCTGCTCTCCCTCCCGCGGACTCGGATACGATTGTTCGATCGAACGCAGCAACTGCGAGCTGCGCTTCTGGGTTTAAATGTCTTCCAGCTCCAGATACATGAAAGAGGACGATGTCGTTTTTCTGGCGATCAAACATGCACACGTTCGTCTGCGCGTTCCAGGCTGACTAGAGCACATCTCCAACACCGCGCAACACTGTAGATTTTTGAAGATGATTGTGATCTGAAACTCAAAATTGAATGTGGCCGGATAAATTTTGGATGTGAAGAAGTACGATGGTGAAAAACAGAGTTCTATAGACGGAGGTGTGAAAGAAGGTGAAAGAGCAATCCAGTAGCGGCAGTTGCCGGGTCCCCGATTCTTTCCCTTGGGCGAAGAAACGGCATGTACATGTATATCCGCTTGTTCAAGCTGCTCAATAGAGTGGTAATGCAAAAAGCTCGCTCGGCGGCTGCGCCGCCAGCTCGCATTTTGCACAGTCTAAATCTAATCACCTGAGTGCGCTCCGTTCGATGACCTATACTAAGATTACAAAGAACGATAAAATTTCCGGCATTAAAATTGAACTCATTGATGAATTGTCATTTCACACTAGAGGCCCTGAGGAAGGTGAACGTAACTCAATCTGCCATCTAGTATGCAAGAGATCACAAGTTGGTGGGCATCTGAACAGCATCTTATAATTACATGCCCTATGCACCTGGCACCATCACAAGAAAAAAAATATTCAAATCTCTAATACTGCGCACCTCATGCCATCACAAGGTCGATTAGTCCACAATGAACACATCACAACATTCATCAAACTGTTACATGGCAGTAAAAGTCTGACCATGAAAGGGTATGTACTTCCCAAAAACCAGACACAACAATCAGCACACAGTACTTGCAAGTTGCAGTTGCTGTAGCAAAATGTTCTGATCTGCAGGTTTGCATCAACACTGAATTCTCTCGCTATATCAAATCTACATGATGTAACAGGAAACTCCATTGAAGATAAGCAGATGCATAATACCACAACGCGTTACCAGAGCGATAGCACTGAGGCAGATTTTTGCAAGATTTTTATTAACCCGCTGGCGGCTGAGTGGGGCTGTAGAACAGACAGTAGTTGAGGGCATCTGCAGTCACAGAGCAGAAAAAGGACAGTGAAAGTAGGAATCACTTGCGATGTGCAAGCAAAAAAGGTGATAGTAGGTGAGAGGAAATGAAGAGGAAATTGATGTCGACAGTTTTCCGACCAGCCCGCAAACCAATAGGAAGTGTTCGGAAAGAAAGACTTCTCAGCCACAGCGGCAACCGCTCGGCAAATAAGCCGTTGCGTGCCGGATGATCGCCTATCACCAAAAATTACTAAGCCGACCCCGAGTATAGCCCCTGTCCAGACAGTTTGGCACGTTTCCTCATTCTTCGGAAAGAATCGGGAATGGTCACGGTCACATGGGATTTTGATGTTTAACGCATCATCGATGCACCATCCTCAAATTTCAATTATGCTTGTTGTCAAGTACTCTGTCATTCACATGAACCACGCTCTCAATATCGAAACTGGAGACTCAAATATCAAGGGAAACAAAAACAAGAATAGTCAAACTATGGATTTCGGACTCGTAAATCCGCTGCAGCATGGCAGCCTACTCGGTTGCTGATGATGATGCCTCGACCGTTGCGGTAGCCAAGATACTCTCAGAGGCCACAGACGACTTGATTGCTTGCTTTCCATCGACAGTGAACTGGTCAAAGGGATGAGCAAGGGAACCCTGCAGGACAACGTAGCATCTTGAAATCTCACATGGACAGGATCATCCTGGGAACCACGCTGAGGGACCGGCTGAAGGACCTGGCGGGCACCAATAAGGTGACCTTTGACAACACCGGTGGTGATCGCGCCGACCGTTGCAGAAGCCGAGATACTCTCAGTAGCCACAGACGACTTGCTTGCGACGTCAGCGAACTAGTCAAAGCGATGAGCGAGGGAACCCCGCACGACAACGTAGCATATTGAAATCTCACAGTGGCACCATCATCCTGGGCACCATGTTGAGCGACCTGGCGGGCACCAACAAGGAGACCTTTGACAGCATTGGTGGTAAACGTGCCAACCGTTGCGGTAGCCAAGATACTCTCAGCGGCTGCAGACTTGCTTGCGACAACAGCGAACTAGTCAAAGTGATGAGCGAGAGAAACCCGCACGACAACATAACATCTTGAAATCTCACAGTGGCATTATCATCCTGGGAACCACGTTGGGCGGTCGGCTGAATGACCGGCTGGTGGTTTGCTGCTGAATCGATGGAATCGGCCTGGCGGGCACCGACAAGGAGACCTTTGGCAACATTGGTGGTGACCACGGCGTCGTTGGCTATTGCTCTGTTCACGTCCTGTGAGTGATTTGCGTCACTGTTCTGTTTTCATATGCGGAAGGAACATAATTACCTTGAAGGTTCTAGGGTCATGGTCGAGCGAATCCAACTCCTCGATACGGACATGTGTATTGCCTGATGATGGTCATCAGTAGGAATACAAGGTAGGAGGTAGTTATCCTTACCATTTCCAACTGCACTCCTTGCGTAGCCACCACGGTGAGGCGCCGCTTCAACGGCCAAAGCAGAGAAACAGAGTCCCAGCAAGACAGCGCAAAGAGCCTTGGAAAACATTTCGACAGCGCGATAAGAACAGATTCAATGAACTCGATGCGTTGAGAGCTTGAAAGTAAAGAGGGAAGATGAGAGCACGATGTCGGCGGTCTTATATGTACTAGACTACGGAGAAAGCTTTGGAAGCGATGATGTTGCTGCTACCCTCAATATGCAATGTAGGGTGCCCTTGTAGGGTGTCGATCGAATCTTCTTGACTCATAACGTCGCCGATATTGAAGTAGACCCAGACGACCTGGATGGACACACATCACTCGGCAGCAACCGTGCTACCCAAGGCGCGCCGGCGGATTTCGTCTTTCCCTTCCACCGCTACCAAGCATTATTGTTCTCAGTTCGTCCAAACGGGTCAATGTGTGAACACATAATAGGAACCACAAGTTTTCTTGTATTGTATCCATCGTCAACCTCCGTTACAAGTGTTCCCCAGGATTCAAGGTTCAATCCCATCGTCACTGCAGCCTTTGTTCTAGTAAGTCTCCAGGCGGAGATTAAGAGCCTCCGACTAACACCCAGGATGCCTAAGAGCAGCCCCATCATGTCATGTCAGAGCGTTAGGTCCAGCCATACAGCAGGCCGAAAGACACCACGCTTGAGTCTAAGAAGACGTAAGGCCTTGCAAAGATCTGCACAAAGCGCTCTCCCAAGAATCTCCGCAGGAAAGAAAGGTAGTCCGCCGATGTGAGGAGTTGAGGAAAGAGATGCTGTCGTATTGTTGGACCCTGTAGACGAGGATCATAAGTTGGTTATTAATCCCCATCCTTTCTTCCTTGAACAGCATTTAACGCCTCGCACGATTGGCCCTCGTCCAGAAGTCGGAAGAGAACTCGACCTTAGTTACTCATGAGGATTGGCTCTAGGTACGTATACCTGCCCGTCCGCCGATTTTCTGTTCGAGCCACGACCAAGACAATGGCCAGTTTCCGACACCAAATCCGCCGAGTTTTCATGATTACGAGATGGAGGTCATTCTCGCGCATTTGACGTGTCCGCAAATACGCCGTACAGTGACATCGGACAACTGTGACTGGCATGGAACCTGTCGCAGAAGGCGCTCTCTGTTCTACACAATGTTGAGAACCCCAAGCCCTCGGGTTTGGTTACTAGTGCACTGTCAACTACCCAGGAGCAGCGTGGTAGACAGAAAATAGCTGGACTCCCCGACACGATGGGGGTGAAGTTCCAGTTAGAAGATGGCACGACGCCAGAAGAATATGCACTTCGCGATACAGGTGTTGCGCACATTTTCGACTAGTACGAGAGAGACGTAGGAGTGTCGTGGAAATGCTCAGTTGTCCGTGGTTTTTTTCTTGTTCGAAACCTTGTGAAATTCCCCTGGACAGAAACGAACTGACACCAGTATTATGGATAACGGTGCAATAGCCGAACGGGCGTATCGGTTGTCGTGAGAGGATGGGAAAAACGAGAAGAAACTCCGCAGAAGGATAAAGATAGAAATAGAAATGGGATCGTACACGACCTTGTCATTTCTAAGAATAAATCATTCCTCGTTTCCTAATGTTGTGCCAAAAACCTGGTAGACACCCATTTCTAAAATGCACGGGTTTTCCCACTGTTCGTCCACAGGTGGCGGTTCATCTCCGTTTATTAAATAAACATCACGTTGCTTGACTAGAATCTGCGCAGAAAATGACAGTCCAACGATGGCCTTGAATGCCTCGTAACATTGAAGAATTTCCATCCTAGTGTCCAGCGATTTCATTCCCTTCCGATATGGCCTACGGTATGTGGGCAGAAACGATGATAGGCTCGGGAGGGAAGAGACCGTGACGCACGCTGTGAACAAGGGCGAAGGTCATAGAGATTTTGAAAACGTGGAGGATGTGTTGACCATGATGTTACCGGGTACAACCTGTCTATGATAAGAGATTTACTAAAGAGAAATAAGCGACTCACACCTTGGAGTCGATACTAGCCTCTGCCCCTCGGATACGATTGTTTTGATCGAACGCAGTGATTGCGTTTGCGACGAGCTGCACTTCTGGGTTTAAAGGTTCTCCAGATCCAGATATACGAAGGAGGACAATGTTGTTTTGCTGGCGGTCAAGTATCCACACGTCCGTCTCTGCGTTCCTCCATTCTCCACAAATAAGCAATGGAATATCCATATGACTGCGAGCGACGCGAGTGTAACCAGTATATACTGTTCGTTTGAAGAGCTCCATTGCGAAATCATTGACGGCCAACATTCCAGCGGGAGCTATAGCGAGATCCAGGAGGTTGACCAGTTCTACGTTCCGGGCTGAGACGCGTCCTGAACATCACGGTAGGATGTGGCAAATCTTGTATGCCAAAGAAGGTTGCGGCGTCTTCAAGGCGAATATGGATGTTGTAGGCGTCTAGGTCGTATCGAGTCCAGTTTTGCGGAACGAATGAGGTTTGCCATGGCGGTGTATAAACAAAGACGCGCTTTAACTCCTTATGTCAGTACCTCGCTTCTTCCTTGCGCTAGCAGAGCACAACGGTCACCAAGTCTACCTTTCATCGGCGAAATACCTTTATCTCACCCCAAATGCCACCGTCGAAGAGCTTCGCAAATGCGTACAGCTAGAACACGACATGTCTTGCTATCAGTGCCATTCGTCTCGCCTCACCGACGCGTGGAAGTGTACGCTCAGTGTAACGAGCCGGCCTTTGGCCCGGTCCTTACCCTTCATTTCTCCCCCTCGTTGTCGCTCCACACGCTCCACCGTTCTCGACGCATTCGATAGGATCTATTTGATATTAGCTAGTAGTATATAAGAGCTACGTACTGCTGTAGTAGCTCGGGTTTTTCGCAACGACCAGCCTTTACACCTGTCACACACTGCGTGAAACTCCTTCGTGAGAGTACGTGACTTTCGCCACCCTCTCATATTTTTGACAGCTCCATTGGCTGTTTCTCTAGGGCTTCGCACCGTACTGTATATGGTATACAGCCGTCAGCTCCAATCCGTCGACGGCGTACCGGCCGTATGAGTACATCCGTCACGGCCGTGTGTATGGCCGTATGTAAGGAGCTGGGCTTGGTAGGTCAGACTAGCATAAGACTATACCATGTAGTCATTAAAACATACCTAGCTTGTTTTCTGATACACCTCAACATCGTCACCCTCGTTGGAGAACCGGTTCTCACTATAAAGAAATACCCCTAACAGGTGTACAGTTGCATCATCAGTCCCAAGTACGCAAGAACACCTCTAAATTAGTCTGCAATGGCCTGGAAATAAATGGTAATGAAAGGTATTACTTTGTACTTAGCTTCTGAGCCCCGAGGGATAGCTAAATTTTACTCCCCAGTGATTCAGGGCTACATACCGTACACACAGCCATCAACGGCCGTCAATACGGGTGCTTCTCAAGCCCTCGATGGTACGGTTACGGTACCCGTACGATGGCACCCGTACAACCATATTATATGGTGACGGTGCGAAGCCCTATGTTTCTCTGCTTATTTCTATATCTCTCTCTCAACTACATCTGCGCTTTTTTCTTTAAATCTCTTTCTCTCTCTCTTCGTTGATCTCTGGAAAACTGAGGCTTGATCACCTGAGGCCACTCCGATTTTGACACTGTACCTTCTGTATACCTACTAGGATGTCTCGTTATGCCTTGCACAGCCGCCGCAACACTGTTGCAACAGGGCCAGCCTTGCCAAGGGTGGAGAGTCCTTTATCCGAGTTATCTGGTGAGCTGTCCCCAGATATCCGTAATACTAAAATCCCGGCAGAATCCAGCACTGCAAGTGCTCAGGGCTCTGCTCCTGGTCCAGCTGCGAGCCGTGTTCCAGCGTCTGGCAACGCCGTGCTGAGGAACCCTCCTTCTGCTTATGTACAAGCAGAGGAGGAGAAATCATCTCCTTCTGACTCGGAGGATGATGAGGATGTCAGTTCCCAAGGGAATCTGACTGCTGCGGGTATTTCAAAGAAGAATTTGTCTCGTAGTAATGTAGAATATGATGATGAATCTGATACATCTAGTTCTAGTAGTAGCATGGAATCCGAGAAAGCATCTAGTAAGACTGATGCTGAGGAACCTACTCCCCTTCAACTGGCAAGGCCTGCAAGGCTTCGTTGTACTCAGAGTCTGGATGACCTGAGTAGGAATGCAGTTCGCTTTAAGGAGCAGCATAAAGCAAAGAAGCTCACCAAGGAACAAGCTTCTACAGTTAGGGCTGCAGAACGTAATCTGACTGCCGAGCAGTGAGAAATCCTGGCAAAACGTCAGGATAAGGTTGCTCAGAAGCAGGCTCGCAACCCACCTGAAACCCATAATGCAACGCCAGGCCCAAGCTCATATGTTGTGAAGGGAACATTTGCCGATCGTAACCAGGAAGTTGATGATTCGGAATTGGACATTGAGGCTCAACATGAGGCGCTCAAGAACTGGAACCAGGTCTGTGATGAGATCCAGGAATCACTTGATGGTCATCAGGATGAACCTGAACCTGAAACGCACCATGAGGATGGATTCGCAAAGTGTAACGAGCATGCCGATGGAAACCCGACTTCCACTCAACCCAACAAACCACAGCCCAGAATCCTACGGATTCCGATTTCCAGTTTCTATTTCATATTCCATTTCATATTCCATTTTATATTTCACTTCTCCATTACAATTTATCAATAGCCCAACATCAGTAGCAAACATGTCATTGGACCCCATCGGCTACCGAACTGGTAGAATACATCCTCTGACAACCCTAGAATGTAGACCACTCCGAGTAGGAACTAGATTGGACTCCTAACTAGTATATAAGCCTTAGAATTACACTGTAGATACTCAGTTCGAATATCAACTTGGTTCAGCCCAATCTCTCTCTCTCTGACTCTAAGTCTAACTCTCGTTCTCCAGTCCGCGGAACTCCGATCCGTTGGACTTATCTCTTACCTCGTCTCTGCCACTCCATGGACTTCCGTCCGTATCCATCTTAGGGCTTCGGCTCAGGGGTGACGTTGCTAATAGCTTCACCTACGCCCGACGCATCCTGTGGCATTCCGCTACATGCACTTACTGCCGCAATCCTATTGGCACGATCCTAACAGTATATTCGAACTCAAACCCTTGAGTCGAAATTTCTCCTAACCATGTCTTCTACTTTCACTGTTCCTCCAGAAACCAGCCACAACTCCACAGGTCAACAACCGAACCTACACCATGGACGATATCCCTGCCTCTGCTTCAAAAGAGGGTCCCCTTCTCTTCGGATCGGATTCTGCCCCTCGCCAACAATCCTGTAGGGAAACCTACCTTCACAGTGGCTTCACTGCTCGCCAATCCGATGCTAACCGATCGCCTAACCCCTTCCTAGCCCAGTGATCAGAATCCAATGGCTGGGGCAAGTATTGAAGCGACCCCCTGCGGAACCCAACTACCTCTCTGTTCGATGATATCCCAGGTCGCGATGACGACGACGACCAAGGTTTGGAAGATGGGGAATTCCCCCCTCACACGCCAATGAATGGCCACGGAAACCCATCGGGAAATCCTGGTGGTGGCCCACCCAATCCTGGTGGCCCCGGAGGTCCTGGTGGTCCTGGTGGTCCTGGTGGTCCTGGAGGAGGACCCAACAACAATCCTGGTAACAATCCTAATCCTCCCAATAACGACGCCCAGATCCTCATTCAACTCATGAATGTCCTCCGCAGCGTCTCTAATGCTGTCAATGGCAATCGACAACGTGCGGTACGCACCAAGGTCAAGGAACCAGATACCTTTGACGGGTCGGACTCCCGAAAACTTAAGGCCTTCATCGTCTCCCTCCAGTTGAACTTCAATGACCGTCCCGACGCGTTCCGATCGGACACGGCCAAAGTCAACTATGCCATCTCCTTCCTTTCCGGCATCACACTCGACTGGTTCAAACCGGATATCCTCCACCCTAATCACCACAACCCTCCTGCCTGGGCATACTCCTATGCCACCTTCCTTTCAGAACTCCGAACCAACTTCGGCCCCTTTGATGCTGTCGGAGATGCCAAAGATGAACTCGAAAACCTTCAGATGCGCGACGGAGACCGCATCATGAAGTATATTGTCAAATTCAATCAGTATGCTGCCATTATTGGCTACAGTGACAACTCCCTTCGTCACGCCTTCTACTGTGGCCTTTGCTCCCACATCAAGGATGATATGGCTCACCACGGGAAACCCGATAATCTCCGTGATATGTGGAATCTCGCTCAAGAGCTCGACGCTCGCTACTGGACTCAGAAAGCCGAAATCTCCCGAGAAAATCGCAGTAACCCATCTTCCTCTTCCAGCAACAGCAACAAGTTGAAAGGCTCTAACTCTTCATCTCCCAACTCCAACTCCGCGAACCAAAAGTCCTCCCATTCAGGCTCCACAGGATCATCTTCGTCTTTCCCCAACAACTCTTCCTCTTCCAACCCTAAGCCCTATGCTGACAAGCTAGGCAAAGATGGCCATCTTACTCAAGAAGAAAAGGACCGCCGTCGGAAGAATAACCTCTGCATGTTCTGCGGAGGTAAGCACAAGACCGAAGATTGCAACAAGCGCAAAGCTGTGGCCTCCGCTCAGGGCTGTGCAGCTGCAGCTACTCCTGCCCCTACTCCCGAGTCCACTGCCTCTATTGAAACGGTTCCGTCAGAATCGGAAAACTAGAGAGCAACCCTGTATCCTCCGCACTAGGACAGGGTTGTGTTGACTGTCACAGTGCACTGGAGATCGTAACCCTCAATGCTGCCGCTCTTTCCAATCATTCCCTAACTGTCTCTCTCTCATCTGAAGTCGGCTCCAGGATCGGAGTCCGACGGTTCATCCATTTCTACTATCCTTTGTTTTCTTGCACTCATTGATTCTGGCTCTAGCCACTGCTTTGTTGATTCGAAGTATGTTGAGGATCACAATCTCCTTACCAAATCTATCCCACCTGTCCAACTTCGGCTTCTCGATGGCTCCATCAGATCTCACATCTCCCAATCCATTTCCCTTCCAATCTGTTTCCCCTTCCAGAGACATCCTTCCTATTGACTTCTATGTCACTCGTCTAGATTCATCTTGTAATGTTGTTCTGGGATACAACTGGCTCTCCCGCTACAATCTGTCGATTGACTGGGTAAAGCACAGTATCACTTTCCGTTCATCATTATCGGTTGTTTCTTCATCAAGCGCTTCTGCGGCTGCCGACACACATGTGCCAGTCCGCTCGGACTCTTCCAGTCCAATCCAACCATCCCAATCATCATCTTCCACCCCAAAATCGAGATCCCGACGGGCTCCGCCAGCCTTATGAACCTATCTATTCCTACCCTACCATTCCTTCCTTTGGTGCTTCGGCCGCCCCCAAGATATCTATTATTTTGGCTGCCGCTTTTGTCCGAGCTTGTGCAGAAGAAGGGAGCTCAGCAGTTCACATTGCAGCCTTCTATGCCTAGTGTTAATGGCAAGGCTACCTCCGCGGTACCCTGCTAACTTATCCGATGTCCCACCGGAGTACCATGAATTTGCTGATGTATTCAGTGATTCCCTTTCTGAAAAGCTCCCTGAGCATCGCCCTTACGACCTCAAGATCAATATTGAGGAAGGCTCCACCCCTCCGCTCGGACCCATCTATTCCCTTTCTGAATCCAAACTAAAAGCCTTACGCGAGTTTATTGATGATAACGTCCATAATGGTTTCATCACTCCTTCCCGCTCTCCGCACGGAGCTCTGGTACTGTTTGTCAAGAAGAAAACCGGTGAACTTAGACTCTGTGTAGATTATCGTGGACTTAATAAAATCTCTAAAAAAGACCGTTACCCTTTGCCCCTCATTTCCGACCTCCTCGATTCCGCGCATTCTGCTCGTCTCTACACCAAGCTAGACCTTCGTCATGCCTATCATCTCATCCATATAGCCGAGGGTGATGAATGGAAAACCGCTTTTTGGACTCGCTACAGCTCCTTTGAATGGCGTGTCATGCCATTTGGACTCACCAACGCTCCCGCGGCTTTCCAACGCTTCGTCAATGACATCTTTTCTGATATGCTCGATGTATCTGTCATCGTATACCTGGATGACATCCTTATCTACTCCGACAATCCCGAGGATCACCAAAAACACATACGCGAAGTCCTTCGCAGACTCTGAGCCAATGGCCTCTACTGCAAGGGTTCCAAATGTGAATTCCATCGGGACTCCGTCGAATATCTTGGTTACATCCTCTCGCCCAAAGGCTTACACATGTCTGAAGACAAGGTCAAAGCTATCACTGACTGGCCGGTTCCATGCAAGGTCAAGGATATCCAATCCTTTCTTGGCTTTGCTAATTTCTACCGCCATTTTATTCACAAGTACAGTGAGATCGTCCTGCCCTTAACACAACTCACTCGCAAAGGAACTCCATGGAAATTCGACGAACAATGCCTATCCGCTTTCAATGAGTTGAAGCAGGCTTTTACTCATGCTCCTATCCTCACCCACTGGCTTCCTGACCGTCAACTGGTTGTGGAAACTGACATGTCCGACTATGCTATTGCTGCCATCCTATCCATTTACCTAGAGGATGGTGAGATCCACCCCATCTCCTTCTTGTCCCGGAGTCTCCACGGTGCCGAACTCAACTACGATATGCACGATAAAGAGCTTCTAGCCATCTTCGAAGCTTTCAAATACTGGCGCCACTACCTTGAAGGCTCTGCGGAAGCCGTTGACATTGTTACAGATCACAAGAACCTTGAGTATTTCTCTACTACCAAGGTCCTTACTCGACGTCAAGTGCGCTGGTCCGAATTCCTCTCTCAATTCAACCTTGTTATTCGGTTCCGACTGGGTAAACTTGGTGGGAAACCGGATGCCCTCACTAGATGATGGGACGTCTACCCTAAAGAGGGGGATAGTCAATATGCTCAAGTCAATCCTCACAATTTCCGACCTGTTTTCACTCAAGAACAACTCTCCGCTTCACTCCGCGCTACATTCCTTGAAGGTCCTGTCTTACATGCTAGTGCTATCATGGACATCGACAAGCTCCACTCTGATATCAAGAATGCACAGCCGTTGGATTCCGCTGCCACCGAAGGCTTCTGACTCGCATCTTCCCCTTCCAACTCCTCTCGGTGGTCCGTGGATGAATCAGGACTACTACGTCTTGACAG